TAGGCATGGAATCTGTTCAATGGAAGAATTTATAGTTCCTTGGTTTATTATTTTTTTTCTTTTCTGTAGGATTCTGATAGTATTGTTTTTTTTTTTCGTTTGGGTCCCTATTTGTTTTAATCACCGAGCAGCATTCTTGGATCTTTGAATATATATTTTTATCACCGTTCAGCATTCTTAAATCCTTGAAACAGCTGGGTTTCCAACACGCTGATGTTTGTTTTTTGTTTACCATTACAGATTGATGCTCATGCTGGTAATGTCAACGATCTTGCTTTCTCCCAACCAAACCAGCAATTATGTGTTGTGACTTGTGGAGAAGACAAGACAATCAAGGTTTGCATCTTGCCGTATGTTTTTACATTTGTATAATGAGACCATCCTGCTTATATAATTAGTCTCTATACAGGTCTGGGATGCTGTTACCGGAAATAAACTGCACACTTTTGAAGGTCATGAGGCACCTGTTTATTCTGTGTGCCCACACCAGAAAGAGAATATTCAGGTAGAGTAGAATGCATAAAGTGTCTCTTGCTCTTTATTCTAAGGCATTCCATAAGATGAAATGTCGTATTACCAAGTGTCTATTTGGTGTTCTCTGCTCAATTAGAATTCATAATCTCTCGCACTTCCATCTTTTGCCAAGTTTATGTTATATACAGAGATACAAATAACATGAACCGATGCTAATAGAAGCATCTGCAGCACATTCTCTCTGTCTTCAAAGTCTAAGCTTGAAACTTGTTTTCTTATGATAATTTCAAGTGTATTGCTATATAATGATGTGAGCAGGTTTATGTTTCTTGCTCTAGTCTGTGCAAGCTTTTTCACTTTTGCTCTCTTTGGTCATTGGGATAGTTATAATGGGGATTTTTCTTTCTGTCAGTTCATATTCTCAACTGCTGTTGATGGGAAAATAAAGGCTTGGTTATATGACAACATGGGTTCTAGAGTAGATTATGATGCCCCCGGTCGATCTTGCACGGCAATGGCATATTGTGCTGACGGGACTAGGTAAATGATTCTCATGCTGTAATATTATATTCTTGTTATGCTATACTTATCCATCCTTTTGTTCATATCTTTTTTTATCTTCTCGTTTTGTTGTAGATTATTCTCTTGTGGTACTAGTAAGGAGGGGGAATCATTCATTGTTGAATGGAATGAAAGTGAAGGAGCTGTGAAGCGGACTTATCTTGGACTGGGGAAACGTTCTGCGGGGGTTGTCCAGTTCGATACCATGAAGAATAAATTTTTGGTAGCTGGTGATGAGTTCCAAGTCAAATTTTGGGATATGGATAGTGTTGATCTCTTGAGTTCAACGGCTGCAGAAGGGGGTTTGCCGGTAAGGGTCAATTTCTCTCTCAATTACTGTTTCTCTAGTTGACATTTAAAAGAATTGGTTGCTAACTTAATATCAATAGTCTTCCCCTTGTTTAAGGATCAATAAAGAAGGAACTCTGCTGGCTGTCTCAACTACTGATAATGGAATTAAGATACTAGCGAATGCTGAAGGTTCCAGAATTTTGCACTCCATGGCAAACCGTGGCCTTGACAGCTCTAGAGCTCCTCCTGGGTCAGTTGCTAAGGTAAACCACTTGTCATCATATCTTACTTATTCTGCTCTGTCTGGGACCTATTTCATAAAAAAAAAACAAATTTGAATGCATGATTTTGTTTTTAGGGTCCTATTGTTGGCACATTTGGCACTCCAAGTTCAAGCACTGGAATGAGTCTATCAATGGCTGAAAGAAGTGGACCAGTGGCATCTGTTACGGGATTGGTAATCCCACCTGTTAAATGTTTTAAGATATTTTTGTTTGGTTAATATCCTCATAATATGTCACTGGAGATAGCTGACCGTGGAAAATGTCCACTTCATTGCTTTAACGAAGTTGACTGAGATCAAAGCATAACTGTTAATATTCAAACGCTTCGAAGGCAAACACTGGCGCTTTACTGAATTCCTGTTAAGTTTATTCATAATTTTTTGGTTTTAGAATGGAGATAATCGTAGTCTGCCAGATGTCAAACCACGAATCGCTGATGAGGCAGAGAAATCAAAGACTTGGAAGCTGACAGAGATCAGCGAACATTCCCAGCTTCGTACTCTGCGGCTTCCTGACACCCTGCTACCAGCAAGAGTATGTATCCAATCTATTTCAAACATGTTGTCATTTTGTTCCAGCTAGGATGCGTTGCAGACCTTTCCTTAAAGAATGATATGCTGATCCCTTCCCACCCATTAGAGCTAAAATACTCCCTGTTATTATATTGGGAATTCTATGATTAAATATAAAGTTTTCTTTACTGGTAGTTCAAATGAAAATTATCTAATATTTTGGATATTCTGAGTATCTAATATTTAGTTTCCTTTGCATAAAACTTATTTCTGGAGTCCTTCGCTTGACCCTCTCTTCTTATCTTGGTCATGATGTTATCTTATTTCTCGATGCAGGTTGTTAAGTTGATATATACAAATTCTGGAGGTGCTGTATTGGCATTAGCAGAAAATGCTGCACATAAACTATGGAAATGGCAAAAGAGTGAGCGGAATCTTTTGGGAAAGGTATACAATAACCGTTGATACAACATATAATGGTGTTTTTGAAACTCAACTGTTATAGCTTCTTATATGGTTTTTGTTTGTTTAGGCAAATAGCAATGTCCCACCACAGCTTTGGCAGCCATCTAGTGGAGTATTAATGACAAATGACACACGCGAGGGAAACAAAGAGGATGTAGTTCCATGTTTTGCACTCTCAAAAAATGATTCTTATGTCATGTCAGCCTCAGGAGGAAAAATTTCCTTGTTCAACATGATGACTTTTAAGGTCCCTCCATGTCCTACTCACGTCTATTCATCTGCTTGGCTTCAAACTCTTGTTTGCTCACTTTTTTATTTTTCAGACGATGACGACATTCATGGCGCCTCCTCCAGCAGCGACTTCCCTTGCCTTCCATCCTCAAGACAATAATATTATTGCTATCGGAATGGATGACTCGTCTATTCAAATCTACAATGTCAGAGTCGATGAGGTATCCCAACTCAACTGAAAGTGTCAAAAAGACTTGTTAGTTTTTCATAGAAACCAATATTCAAAACAGCTTTTGGATGGTAATGAATTATGCAGGTTAAAAGTAAATTGAAAGGTCATCAGAAGAGAGTGACTGGATTAGCATTCTCAAACGTTCTAAATGTTCTTGTTTCCTCTGGTGCTGATTCTCAGGTATGCTTATATGCTGCATTGGTTCTCGCTCCAATAATGTTCGAAAAAAAGATCTTGCCACTGCTTTCATCCGTGTTATCAGTTTCCTAATGTAAATGGTTTTATCTGTATAGCTTTGTGTATGGAGCATGGAAGGATGGGAAAAGCAAGCTAGCAAACAGATACAAATTCCAAGCGGGCATTCGCCAAACCCACTTGCTCATACACGCGTTCAGTTCCATCAGGACCAGACACATGTGCTTGTTGTCCATGCCAGCCAGTTAGCCATATACGAGGCTCCTAAATTAGAGAGCATGAAGCAGGTCTGCTGCTAAAATGTCTTATAGAGCATTACATTAAATGTTTTGTCAATGTCCTTGAATCCCTGATCTATCAATGTCCTGATCTGTTTCTTCCTCTCTTTGTTCAGTGGATACCGAAGGAGTCAAGTGGTTCAGTCACAGATGCTGTATATTCATGTGATAGCCAGTCAATCTATGCAGCCTTTGATGATGGAAGTGTGAGTATCTTGACGGCAACAACATTGCAACTGAAGTGCCGCATTGGTCCCAATTCATATTTGCCTTCAAACCCCAGGTAAGAACCCTCTGCTATATTTCAACGTTTGCCAGTGTTAAGACCAACACAACAACACAAGTAACATCTGTTCTTTTTGAACAGCTCGAGAGTATATCCAGCCACAATCGCAGCACATCCGTCTGAACCAAACCAATTTGCAGTTGGGCTAACCGATGGTGGGGTCCACGTGATCGAACCTTCAGGTCCAGAGGGGAAGTGGGGAATGTCCCCACCACCGGAAAACGGCGCAGGGCCAAGCGTCTCCTCAGCACCCGGGTCAGATCAACAACAGAGGTGAGGTCTGGTCTGTTCACCCAGCTCGCACCATGCAGCCTCCCAAGTTATTAGTATACACTTTGAGAGGAGAGCTCTGAGATTGTAGGTTTTTATATTCTTATTCAATTCATAGTAGGTGAAAGGTGAAGCAGAAGTTTCTTCCATTAATTCTAGTGTTTTACTAAATGGTTTCATTTGAGATTCCCTTACTACTACCATTATAGAGTTCCCCTCCCAACAGTTTATTTTTATCTAGATTTCAAGGTTTGTAGATAAAAGATTGATTAGCCAATTCAGATAATGTTTAGAAAGTCTTTGTGTTTCTAGAGGCACACCCATCACAGAGCTCTGTAATTAGGGATTCCTGGAGAGAAGTATTGAAGGTCTTCTTGAACAAAAATAGAGGCAAGGATTTAAGGACAGCCCAAAGCCATTATCTTCTTTTCAGATTCGGTGGGTAACTTAACGTTAGTGGCCAAACCAAAAGCTTCAAGAAATCTAATGACTACCAAGTTATGACTGTTAAGTAGAAACTTAAGATAGTAGGGAACGAAACGACAATCTGCTAAACAGATCCAATTACCACATAATCAAAGTAATCAGAAAGTAAAATTTCCTCAAGCTAAGATCTCCAAATACCAAGATAGAATGCAATAAGATTGACAAACAAAGCATAGGAAAAGTTTTCTAAGTTGCAATAGATGTTAAAATTCAGTCCAAATCAAAATTAAAATGAACTATATAACCTAGAAACGAAGAAGAAATCATCATACGAACGAACTTCAATAAATAGCCACAATTGGTCAATTTTCTAGCAATCCATTTCTAGAGAAATAACAACATCATGGAACTAGAAGCTATGAATGAGATGTGATTAATATACCAGCTAATTTCAACTTTCAAGTGCTAGCTACTTTCTTGAAATTGTATATCAACTACAGAGTTGAAATGTTATTTAGAAGATACATATGGTTTACATGCAATTCAGATAATGTTAAGAAAGTCTTGGTATTCTTGAAAATGACAAATCTCTAATGACTGAAAAGAAATAGGGATGTGGAGATGCAGGAGGAGCAGAGTTTGAGAATATATACTATTAAAGGAAAATTAAAGATCAGACCAAAGCCATTCTCTTTTTCTGAGATTCAGTAGGTAACTTTACGTTGGTGGCCAAACCAATAGCTTCAAGAAACCTAATGAGATACCAAGTAACGTCGAGCTGCCACCACTCGAGTCCATGCCTGGCCGAGAACTCGAACGCATGATGATTGTTATGCCATCCCTCGCCATGTGTTATCATGGCTATCCACCTAATTCATCACCAATTTATTAAATGTTCTTATTACTATTTGGTCAGATTACAAATATTTATATATGCACAGTACCAATTGTTTTTGGAGAAGTCAGGGGTGTTCCAAGCTCGTGTTCCCCATACATGGCAAACTGAGTTCACTAGAAAAGTCGTGTGGAATCGAACCACAGTTGCAACACCCTGCCATCGCCAATATTCTCTCATAATTATACTTTCACCTTAATTTGTTTTCTTTTGCTATGATAAATGCCATTTTTATTTGAAATATCTACTGTAGTCCGACTTGAACCATGACACTAGTCTAAAAAATATTATCGTGGAATAGAATATAATGTATAGCATAAAGATTTCAATAATATATAAAAGTGAAATGAAGACAAGGGATGGTATGCGTCCTTACAATTCCCCAGACAAGGAAGGGCATGCCTCCACAAAAATAGAAGAGAAGGGCATAAGCCATCATATGCAAAAGGACCGTTCGTTGAAGGAACCTATAGAAGGGCTGCCTCACAAGGTCATCTACATTCTCATGTCCTCCACACTGCAATCGGATGGTTTATTCAGGGTTAGGTCTGTCCCGCTCATACAGGACCATTCCTATCAGGGCCACAAGGACTGGACCAGTCCACTACATCTTAAATCATGCCTATTTGAACTTTCCCACAATATCAAGTTCTAATCTATGAGTTCGTTCCTCATAGAATTACAGTTACTTGATCAATAAGAAATAAATTGGGTATTTAACAACTGAAAATTCTATATACCTTCTTGAGGATAGAACTGTTATCAAAGATCCAAGTAATATGACTAAACCAAAACCCTTGAGTAGGGCTGTGTGGGTCACGTTGTGTGTCACAATGCTTATGATGGTACCGATGGTTGCTCACCCACTCTATTGGATCTCCCTGCGCACACAATTTACAAGTTACGGATAAAATATATATACATACTCCTCTGAACATATTTTCATATATATCAAACAATCATATCGTGTTAATACATATAAAGCCAAACCTGAAAAGCCAGAAGGCCACCATAAGCGAAGAGATACTCAAGCCATTTTGGCAGATCGAAACTTCGGTGAGAAAGGTTTCTATGATAAGACAAGGTGATGCAGATTCCATTGATGTAAAAGAGCCAAGGTAAAACCCGAAAAGCCTCCCAACTGAAGTAAAATGGAGCCAAGAGGCTCAGCAAATGAGCCCCACCGACTAAGACTAACTTTGCCACGTCCCAAGAAGTCCAACTCCTTTCCCAAAATGCCCTCTTCTTTTTCATGATCACCACCTCAACCTCCGACAAGGGTATTCTCCAGGAGCTCTTGACCTGATCCGGTGCATCATGAGCTGCCACGAACGTGTTTTTCCTGTGAGCCACGGATCCTCCTCGTTTGGACAAAAAAGAGTTTGTAGAGTTATGTGTGAACAAGGCATTGCCATTACTGGGGTTATGCTGTTTAACAGATGGTGATAAAAGAGATAGCGGTTTGAGAGTTGTTGATAGAGACAACATGGCTTTAGGTTGTTAAAGTTGATGCCTTTGCATGCATATTATTATATAATATATAGCAGTTTATTAACATATGTGGTCCAATTGGTTTTTTTTTTTCACAAAGATTGGATTAAATATAACATTAATAGGTGATTTGCTTAATTATAAGATTTTTTTCTCTCATTCCTCTCAAAACTGAAAATTGAACTACTTAGACCATGTACATAACTGATATATTTAGAGTATCCAAAGCCCATAAATAATTTTTTAATAGATGAGACAATACATTTGGGTCTGATCAGTATCAGTGCAGTGATACTTCTGATACCCAGTATCGGGTGATGTGGCGGCTCCTGATTCGTGCTAGGAAACGCGTTTTTCCCTGAAAAAAAAAAAAAATCATTCTCGTTTTCCCGATTCTTCCCGATTATTTTTATCATCATGTTTTTTTATATTTTTTTTGAATTTTATGTTTTTTTGCTTAAGTATATTCTACGTTTTTTTAATTGTAATATTACCTTTTGTAATTCTATGTTTTTATATATTTATTTTCGATTTTGCAAATAATTATTTTTTTTATAATACTTAAACCGGTCCCACCAATGAAAATATATTTAGTATGAGTATCATAAAAAATCTCAAACAATAAACAAATATTATAAATAATACTAAAAAATTGTTAATGATACTTTATGAGTATCACTTATGTGCATGCTCTTACTTTCAAAACAAAACATCTATTTACCATACCAGAGATTAGAGAATGATTAGCATATCCATGTAGTTTTGGCTTTTTGCCATAACTTTTCATATTCCATTCATCACTAATTGTACTACTTTTTGGTGTTTTTGCAAAACCATTTGCAGCAAAGGAAAAACAGATTAGTTGTGGTGACTGATGGCAGCTAAGCTTCAAGATTCAATAATGACCAAAATCCAAAAATGTATAGTACAAACTAGCACGTAGTGTTTCTGGCTGCCAAAATACACAAATACGAACCAATAAGAGATCGACACAAAACCATTTGCAGCAAAGCAAAAATATATTAGTTGTGGTGACTGATGGCAGCAGAGCTTCAAGTAGATTCAATAATGACCAAAATCCAAAAATGTATAGTACAAACTAGCATGTAGTGTTTCTGGCTGCCCAAATACACAAATACGAACCAATAAGAGATCGACACAAAACCATTTGCAGCAAAGGAAAAACAGATTAGTTAGGGTGACTGATGGCAGCTGAGCTTCAAGTAGATTCAATAATGACCAAAATCCAAAAATGTATAGTACAAACTAGCACGTAGTGTTTATGGCTGCCAAAATACACAAATACGAACCAATAAGAGATTGACACAAAACCATTTGCAGCAAAGGAAAAACAGATTAGTTGTGGTGACTGATGGCAGCTGAGCTTCAAGATTCAATAATGACCAAAATCCAAAAATGTATAGTACAAACTAGCACGTAGTGTTTCTGGCTGCCAAAATACACAAATACAAACCAATAAGAGATCGACACAAAACCATTTGCAGCAAAGGAAAAACAGATTAGTTGTGGTGACTGATGGCAGTTGAGCTTCAAGATTCAATAATGACCAAAATCCAAAAATGTATAGTACAAACTAGCACGTAGTGTTTCTGGCTGCCAAAATACACAAATACAAACCAATAAGAGATCGACACAAAACCATTTGCAGCAAAGGAAAAACAGATTAGTTGTGGTGACTGATGGCAGCTGAGCTTCATGTACATTCAATAATGACCAAAATCCAAAAATGTATAGTACAAACTAGCACGTAGTGTTTCTGGCTGCCAAAATACACAAATACGAACCAATAAGAGATCGACACAACACAAGCGTCAAGTACCAGCAGTTAGTTCCGTAGTCGGCAAATATTAATGGTGGAGAGCGGGGCAGTTAGTTCCGTAGTCGGCAAATATTAATGGTGGAGAGCGGGTAACCGAAAAAGAATTCAACTATCAACTCAAAATTGGCGATAACGTAAATGGTTTTGATAATTACACCTCCCTTTGAATCCATGCCACTCAAAATAAAACCGAAATTAAAAACTACTATCATCCATATCAATATACTGGTGTGTTTTTGTCGTTTGATAACAAAGTTTCTTAGACCCAAACCACATTATAACGGATTTATGCAAACTCCTAAGTTTTAATTTTATTTGTTATCGTTACATGATATATGGAGAAAAACATTTCTATTCTCATAATTTTATACTACTTTCTTACAAATAATAGAAGTGACCGGAAAATCATAGGAGACTTCTTCTTATTAATTAAAAGAAGTGATTGGAAAATTCAGGACCACTTTTTAACGAATACGTATAAAAGTTACCGGAAATAGGTTTTAACGTTATTACCCAAAAAAGTGATCGAAAAGTGGTTGCATGCTACTCAAGTGCATGTATCGCTGAGAACTTTGAATCGTATAACACGATTATTTGTTAGCTTATCTCCCATTATTATTAGAATATTAAAATCTTTTACATCGAGAATTTGAAACATTTGATTCTTAATTAGTATATACAAGGTTTATAATCCTTTCTACTAATCATCAGTTGGTTTTGAATTGAAAAATCTATAGTTCCTACTTCCTAATATAGTATTTAAGTCCAAAGTTGATTCCACATACATTTTCTCACAAAATAGTTTTCCACATACTAAGTGATCCGTCTTGTTTTAATATTTCGTTATGATTGTATTTTTAGTTTCCGTTCTTATTCTGAAGAGACCTATTAAAATGTTCTAAATGTCTCGCATCGAAAATTGATTAGCGTTCTCTTCTATTTTCCGGTCAATCCGACGATTTAGTATTAGTAAAAGGTAATCAACCGTAAATTCCAAATCGAGAGGTGACGTGAAGGACACGTAGTGATATTAAGCATAGAAATACGACCGAAGCATGCGACACATGTTGGAGAAAGAAATGGTGAGACTAGTCATGAACTGAGTCTGGGCCGAGACTACTCAATAAATAGGCCCACAAACAAATTTTGAAGCGACTGATAAAAATGTGACAGCTTAAACAATGGCAATTTTGTTAAGTTAGCAAAAATCAAATCTTTCATTTTTAGCATATGTAACCATTTGTTTGTTTGTGGCAGAATAAAAACCATTAGTTAGTTTGCTTTCATTTGAGAAAATAAAAGAAAATTGTAACAGCTTCTGTTTCAAGTAAGCTATGATACTTAACATATATTTATGAGAGAGGGAAAAACACGAACGATCGAGAACACACACAACAACAACAAAAGATGGATCTTAACAACAACAGCAACATTGTCAAAACCCTAGCTCGATGGTGTCTTCTTCTACAAGCCTTCATGATCTCGTCCAAGACCGTGGCTCTGAAGGAACCTGACTACGTAAACATGAACATAACAATCCGTAACGCAATGACAGGATTAATCCGACCGGAAATTGTTTACCGATGCCAGTCTAAACACAAAGATTATGGTTGGCATCGATCTACAAAGCCAGGAATCCAATTTTCATTCCCAATCATCCTCATAAAAGGCGAAAACAAAATACCGGCGATTCACATCTGCGAATTCCGGTCCGTATTAGGAACGGCTACCCTCGTGATCCAAAACACCTATCTCGACGCTGAGATGTGCCCTAGATCGTCGTGTGCTCACGAGGCAACCCCGAAAGGAATTGTGTTTAGAGGCCTTGAATGGGATTTCAGAACCGTATTTCCTAAACTCAAACCAGTTGAGTATCTAGAATTGCCATGGACACCTTGGCCAAACAGAACATGAATTTTTTGTCATCATTTTTTCCTTTTGTATTGAATGTAATTATAGATATTTAAAATTCATAATCAGTTTGTCACATACAATCTCTTGCACAGATATATACCTTTATGTAAACACAAAAAAGTAGGACAAAATCCTTTTTAAAACCTTCATAGCTTCAATCGTACCGACAGTTTTGATTTTGGTCATAACCACGTAGTTTCCAAGATCAGTCGCTGGTCAATGCCATTCTTTGTTTCTGAGCTTCCGATGGGAGCTTGACATCGGTTGCTAAACCAATGGCTTGAAGAAACCTAACGACGTACCAAGTCATATCAAGTTGCCACCATTCTAAGCCGTGTCGAGCTGAAAACTCAAAAGCATGATGATTGTTGTGCCATCCTTCCCCAAATGCTAGAGCTGCTACCCACCTGAAAAGTTAGAATTCATAGTTTCTTTTAGTACAGCTATGTCTTAAGATAGATCAAGTGATTAAGGAGTGATCGATGAAGGGTTTTACCAGTTGTTCTTAGACAAATCGCCGGTGTTCCATGCTTGTTTTCCCCATACATGACAAGCTGAGTTCACTAGCCAAGTTATATGATATACCCATACTATTCTTACACCCTGCAAAACCCCAAAAAAATAAAAAAGGATTAGAGACGCTACGGTCGGGAAAATAGAATCAGAAACTGTGGCTCTATGGAAGTGTTAGAGTAATTAAAATCAAGTTTCTTCTGCCTTTTTTTCTTCCTTTCGTTCCGTTTACAAATTTGCTAAAAAAATTCAATGTAGTTTCACTTTTAGCATGCAAATGTTGTTTATATCTAAATACAAGCAAATAGAATTTAGTCCATTCACGAGAAGAGCATGAGCCACAAATTTTTCTTACAAGAAAGATAAGATATTTACTTGTGGTTCTGTTTTGTTCAACAAACACAACTTGTGTGCCTAAGGTCAATAATCTAAGTTGCACTAAATTACAAGAAAACGCAAGAGGGAAATCAAGCGAGGAGATTTGGCCCAGCAAATTGATAGCTACACAAAAAAAAACTGGTGGATTTATCTTGTTTTGGCTGAGCTAAAACACATCATAATCCTATTAGCTAGTTCTGAAAATTAACAGTGATAGATTCAAAATGCAAGACTAGCCACAGAACATACCATTCCCCAAACGATGAATGGAAAGCCGCCCATTGCGTATAAAGCAATCGCTAGAGCCACCGGATGCAAAATGTAGGTGGTTCGAAGGAATCGATAGAATGGCTGCTTCTCCAAATCCCCAACATTATTAGGCTCTCCACACTTTAAACATCAAATACAAAACAGAGTTTTAAATCACTCCATAAAAAATACATTTTTCAGACAAATCTAAATATGAGAAAGAAAGAGAAAAAGCTCGTTACCCTTTGGGTGATTGTATTGGTATCAAACATCCAATTCATATGACTGAACCAAAACCCATCAAGTGGGCTATGAGGATCTCTGTCAGAATCACAAAACTGATGATGATACCTATGTGTACTCACCCAATCAATTGGGTTTCCCTGAAGAAAACAACACACAAACATCAATTACACAATTTGGGACAAAACTACACATTCAACAAAAGCTACATTATCATCAAATCACCTGAAGAGCTTGAGCTCCACAATAAGCAAACAAGTACTCAAGCCATTTGGGAAGCTTGAAGGCTTTATGAGAAAGATTCCTATGGAAAGACAGAGTAATACCCAAAAGACCTGTGACAATATAAAGCCCAAAAGCAACCGAAACAGCTCTCCAATTGAACTGAAACGGAGCCAAAAGACTAAGCAAATGCATAGACAAAACCACAGCAACAGCTCCAAAATCCATAGCTTTCCATTCCCTCTCCCACCAAACTACTTTTTCCTTCTTCTTCACCAACACATCCGATAGCATTATCCTTCTGTAATCTCCCTCCGTCGCAGCAGCAGCTGTGGTGACATCTCTCTTCAAACCCTTTTCAGAGAATGCAACAACGAGACTTGGAGGCTTGAAAGGAGCAAGCTTTTGGTGGTGGGTGAATGAAATTCTGGTGAAACTCAATGACGGTGTTGATGTGTTCAAAGTTCGTGGAGATAACGAATGTGAAGAGAGGAAAAGGGGTTTGGGTTTTGTTAAAAGAGAAGCCATTATCGATGTGATGGCTAAGAGAAGAAGAAGAGACTTAAACCCTTAGTTATATACTACTATATATGTTAATATGCGTGCGTGTATAAATCAGGGTCGGTCCTTTTTGTATGCTTCACAAGTCACAAGTAGTAAGTTGTGTTGACAGAGACGTGCAAGATCTCATCTTTTTTGTGGTTCACGGTCTACATTGCGGCTAGATTTTGAGAGAGAAGATAAGATGGTTTTAGGGATTTGGATTGCCAATTTGGGGCAGTTATCTTAAACCCGGATCTTCCGTTCAAAATTTCGATTTTTTTGCTGAAAAGCCCTTGTTTTCTTGGAAAGTTAACAAATCACCCTAATGTTTGTTTTTCATAAATTGGGCTTAGGTTGTTCTCCTAAAATGGGCTTATTTTGGTTTTGGCCCATCTTTCTCATCCATTAAAGAAAAATCCCAAGAGTGAAAAGGAAATGTTCCATAGACCATTACAATTCAAATTTGATATTTGTCTCTCTATGATACTTAAGTCTTTGTTTTTATGTGTAAGAAAAAAAATCTATAGTAGATATTTGTATTTGTGGTGTGAAAAAATCCTTATCTTGAAGCCATATATCAATTACTCTCATATTTTTCTCCTTCCTTCATCCCCAAACAAGGTTTCTCATTAGATCGGTTCCCATGGCTGCTGCCGCTAATACCGCAGCCATTTTTGCCTCTCCTTCGCAGCCTTTATCCTCTAAACGCAGTTTTTGTAAGTCTTTTCACTCAAATTCTTAATTCTTTTATGTTAATCTATAATACTAGCTATATGCTTTATAACGAGTTAAAACTGAAGCTTTTGAATAATACAGTGTACAGTTCAACGATTGGTCCAATACTAAGGAGATTTCCAAGGAAGAAACTTGATCTCCAAGTTAAAGCTGTTGCCACAACTCTTGCACCCCTCGAAGAGATCAAAGAGTCTGTCTTTATTTTAGTTCGTCTTGTTGCTTTGGTTGATATAAATATATGAATATTAATAACTAACATATATCATGATTGATTATTTTGGTAGATATAAGCTCCCTTCATGGGCAATGTTCGAGATGGGGACTGCTCCAGTGTACTGGAAAACCATGAATGGTCTTCCTCCAACCGCAGTAAGTTTCTCTAGCCATTTTCAAATCCTAAGAGTGTTAAGACTCTTTAACTCAAATTAACTTCTTAAGAAACTTTTTCGGATTAGGGTGAAAAGTTGAAACTTTTCTATAATCCAGCTGCAAGCAAACTCACTCTTAACGAGGACTATGGGGTTGCTTTCAACGGTAAGTTTCTTAGAAAACATCTAACTAACTTGTATTCCAAGTTTGTCCCAATGAGTTGACGCAGTTAGGATTGTTAAATGGACAGACTTACCACATATAATTGTTTTTCGTACAAATATTTACAGCTAGCAGTCTAATCGTGGGTTTAGTCGAATAATTATTTCTAAGTGTGGCTAGCAAGTAATATTTTGTCATTTCCAAATCAAATTAGTCGAAAGCTATATAGACCAGTCTCATGGACTAGAAAAAAAAATGAAAAGAAATATTCAATTGGTTACTAATGGTGCAGGAGGGTTTAACCAACCAATCATGTGTGGTGGAGAGCCAAGAGCAATGCTTAAGAAAGATCGAGGCAAAGCCGATTCTCCGATTTACACTATGCAGATTTGCATTCCTAAGCATGGTTCGTTTTCTATTATAATCAAAAATCAAAGCGTTTTTTTTGTGTGGCCAAATAGTTATTTGTATCAATTTGACACTTTCATCTTTCCTATGAATCATTATCAGCTGTGAATTTGATATTCTCATTCACCAACGGTGTCGATTGGGACGGTCCATACAGACTTCAATTTCAAGTCCCCAAGCGATGGCAAAACAAACCTATTGAGTTCTTCAATGAGGTATAAATAGTGAATTTCTTTTGAATTTGCACAACTTATCACCTTTATATGCAATATGCACAACTTATCATTTATCAATTGGTGCAAAAAGGGTCTAGCAAACGAGTTGAGCCAAGATGGAGCCTGCGAAAGAGCAATATTTCCTGACTCGAACGTTGTTGCAACTCGTTGCACAATGATTGCCAACTTGACGGTCGAAGGAGTAAGTTCTCACCAGACTATATATTATAAAATCATTATTATAAAATTTTGAATACACACTAATTAACTTCAAATTATAAATTTCAGGGAGATAGATGCAATTTGGATCTAGTTCCTGGGTGCATGGATACAAATTCAGAACATTTCAACCCATATGCTAATGTTGATGATGGCTCTTGTCCCCTCGAGTTATCCGATTCTGATGAATAGAACTAGTTTTTATTTATGTAAATATATAAACACATATGTTAATATCAGTATTTGAATACAAAAAAATGTTACTTGTTGATTTTTAATATAATTAGATAAGAGCTTTACAATTAAAATATCTGGGGTTTCTTATAATTAAATGTTCACTTCTTGATGTATTTATTAGTTGAACTAACAAATTGGACTACTATATTGGAGAACTTTTCAACAAAGAAAGCAAATAAATCAATAATGATATGTTGGATAAACTCACCTTAGGTGAGTCACCTACAACTTCTTCCATTGGATTGCAGAAATTAGTTATACGAAGACCAAATATTCACAAATAGCATTTCAAAAAAAAAAACTCCATGAGGCAGCTTCACAATGACGTACACATTTAGTTAGGTTCAACCAATGGTATTCAATTAGAACCATTTAATAGAAACTAAATTAAAATCATTAGACTTCAACTAAATGTGTTTCTAAACGTTTTAAGAAGAAATAGATTTAGTTTAATATACAATTATTTTGCCGGAAAAAAATAGATTTAAGTTACTAAAGAGTCTTTCGAAATCAAACTACAACGAGTAGTGCGTAAGTGTCTCTTGCTCATCTCTTCATACTTCCCGGCCAATGAGTCAAAGAGAATCCCAGCGCCAACTCCAACCGCAATATCAATCGTGTAATGCCCTCTCGTACCAAGCAGCCTGATCGATTGCAAGACATTGAGGATGTCAAAAACCATCGCCAGCCTAAACCTCTGCATTCTCTTCATGTCCAACGATGCGATCATCGAGCCGGCGACGTGACCTGAGTAGAAGAGGAAGAACGAGACGTTTCCGACCGGATAATCTACTCCTGATCCTAAAAACTCCTGTAAAAAAGGGTCAAATAAGTACCTCAAATCGTTCTTCTTTTTCTTCTTTTCTTTTATATTGAACGTGTTAATATAGACAAGACAAACATGAACCCATGTAACCGCACAAAAAGAAAAATAAATGAAACGACATTTATGTTAAAACCAAGGGAGTACAAATGAACCGCCCCTTTGAGAACATTCTTTTGCATATAATTAAGAGTCCAGAATATTATCAAATTATTTGGAGACACTATTATAAAAGATATATATGTGGAACTGAACCTGAGGGCGAGGGAGCTGAGTAGAGTAGCCGAGAATGCCACGACAAGTGAACATGAATAGAGCCGCGATGGTCGCTCGTGGTCGTCCTTCCACTGCCCATGTACATCCAATATACGTTGTTTGCATCCCTACCAAAACCTGTCCCACCCCCACCAAATCATCTCTATGTGTTGCATACTTTGCATGTGAATATTATAAGGTGAGGAGGCATGAGGAATTTGAGGATATTCATTTAATAAATGTTTACCGTGTTTAGAGCGGCTAAAACGGTGTTAAGATTTGGTGAAGATGCCAAGATGCTATGCAGAGAGCGTGTGGCGACAAATCCTAGATCAAACGGCTGAGAACTCGCAGGAGTCATCTGGAACGTGTACTCCACAACCGTAAAAAACAGAACTCCGGCCGCAAATAAACACGGTATCCAATGGTGTCTCGCCACGTAAACAATGTCATGCATCGTCCACGTCATAAACGACGCTTTGCTCCTCCATTCTCCTTCTCCTCCTCCGCCGTCGTCAGTTTTTTTAGCAATGTTCTCCATTTGACTATTTATTGATCCGATTTGACGGTTGTGGTCGTCGAGGATTCCGTCGATGGTGACGCCGTTAGTTTGTTTTCCGTTAATAGGGTTAGATTTGCGACGGAGAGGGGCGACGGTTTTGGTTACGGCGTCTGACATGACCGTTAGAATTAACGGAGAGTGACATTTCGGGATTTATAGAGAGACGGGTTATATAAAGAGATTACATTTCGAAGGAAACTTGTTGGAGCTAAAAAAAATTCATACGAAAACGATGAATATGAGATTAGAGAGCGACAATTACGCTTATTTTACGCAAGTATGATATTTTCGACGACAGGAAAAGAGAGAAGAGTATGAGATTCTCATTACTTTAATAACTAGTTTATCACGTAAAAAAACACGTTAGTTGTGTATGTATGAATAATGTATATATAACTCCAATTCAAGATTATGGAGAATATCAAAAATTGTGTGCCTTGTTGAATAAACCTATTAATGTTAAATTACTCCCTCATATTATAGTGAGTCCGAACGTAAGAGAGTTCTAAGTTTTTTAGTGGATAGATAAAGTAGTAAGAACTACAAAATAATTAGCACTACAAGATAACGGTACAATAAAACTGAAAATATCGCTTTGTGTCGTTTTTGGTCACATTCTTATGCCTAAGAATGGTCGAGGTTTAGGCCTAACGTTTGTGTAATTAGATACCATTTGTTAACCTCAAGTGGGCTAAAATGTTAAAATAATATTATCAACTGATGTATTACATTTCATAATTTGTATGGGTATTTAAGACACTTTCATTTTTTTTATTCTTTTAAAATTTTAAAGACACCCCAAAATATATCTAATGGAGGTTCTCTAAAGAACTTCTTTGTTTTTTCATATTCTTACTTTTTATTGTTTTATTTTTCAGTCATATTTCTTAATGTTTGTGTTTTATTTTCAGGTTATAATTTAAAAGGACAACTTAAAAATATATTATCTTCATCCTACTTTGATCAAGGGGTATGTATTCATTTTAGATTTTGCAATTTGTTTCAGAAATTTAGTTAATTCAAGTATTAAATCTTTTTCTTTTAGGCTATTACGTCTGACTTCTTCAAACCCGCCAGAATGAGTTTCTTTTGGGAATTTGAATTGTACCCTATACCATGGGGGATATAAGTAGGATTGCTGAGAACGTCCAAAATTTGAGAAATTAAAATTGGGATTTTGTGACAAGCTTGAGAAATTTGCTATTGGCGATATAAGGCGAATCAAATGTTGTTTTGGATGCCTTTCAGACTCAGGGCATCAACTACGTGAACAACATGGTAACTTTAATCATTGTTAATCTATGTTAGCTAATATTCAATATTAAAAAAATAATAAATATCGACAAAAGAAAAAATAACTTTTATCATTGTTGTTCACGTATTCGATTTGTATTGCATACAAACTCTGAATAATATTTTTGAATACAGAACGAAGTGGATATTGTAATCGGAATTTCAATTTGAGTTTTTTGGTATAAATAAAAATTATCAAAGATTATGTAGTAGATTCTTCATTTGTTTACTTTACTTTACCCTTCTAAAATTTCATATGCATGAATGACTCCTAAATATGTTCATTTGGCACTTAGCTCAGCTTAGATTAGATTGATGTCCAACATTACATCTCAACTGCCAATATTTTTTTTCTTTTGTGTTTTTTTTGTTCATTTTTTTTGTGTTTATGTTTTACTTTTCTTCGTACATGAAATCAAAGGTATGTAACCATTTGATTTTAGTTAGTGAAAAAGTTTTTTAAGTTCCATTAACACTTTTTTTTTTCAGGATAATGAGCATGACTACTCTCAATCTAAAATAGGCGTGTTTTAGAATCATGAGAATTGTTGAATACTATATGATTTGAATGTTAGTATAATTGTTTGGAAAATCAAAACGAACATGACATGGTTGTGTAGAACTTTAGAGGGCTTCCATCTTTAATTGTTTTCATGGCACAGTCGAGGGAACCCTTGTATGGGTATTTGCCCCGAGGGTTGGCTTCCATGGTCTGCATTTGAGTTTTAATGAAATCAAACAGTATGCTAACTCCAGCAGAGAACAATCCTGAAATAGCATTTGCTCCTGCCCAAGGGAACAAAAACCCACATCAACCCAACTCATTCATCAAGTATTATTATCTCTAAAATGTAGATGGATTAGTTAAAAGTCAAGACACACAACACTAGTCTAATCAAGAAATATGTAAGACTCCCAAGCATAGTTCTGAATGAGCAACTTACCGAGGACATATGTGTGGCTGTATCCAAGAGCGTTCAAATATTCAGCAGTTCGATCGTAAGATGCAAGCAATCCACAGTTCAAAAAATCAAATATTGAAATTAACATGTACATGTTTCAAAAAATCAAATATTGAAATTAACATGTACGTGTTTAGATATTTACATGAATAAACAGTAGTTCGTGTTTAGATATTTACATGAATTAAAAGTAGTTGTAATTATATACAGTTGAGTTTTATTTATATAAGAGCTTTACAATTAAAATATCTGATCTTTTTTTTTTTCCTCAAATTAAAATATCTGATCAACGGTTGAGTTTTAGCCACCAAAGCATTATAAATGTTCACATGTTGATCTTTCATTTTATTATTTAACTCAACTTTGATCTATATATTAGTTGAACTAACAAATTTAAAGACTATTATTAAAGAATTTTCTCAACCAAAAAAAAGGACAAACTAAATAAATTGCGATCTGTTGCTTTCTCCTGAGACCAAACTAATTAGGATCATGGATCGGTGCACCTGTCCCGTTAACCTCATACGAAACCCATCTTGACCTACCAATGGATTAATATCCAGTATTTTACAAATAATTATTTAATCATTTATTTTTTCCTACTTCACTGCGTTACTAATCGGAACATAAGAATATAAAGCCTATAAATTATAAATAGACTCACCTAGAATCCCTTAACATTTAATTAGGTTCAACGACCGGCATTAAATTAGAACCATATAAAAGAAGAAACAAATAAGTCATTAGACTAAATTCAACTCAACTAAATGTGTTCATCTAAACATTCTGATAGAAAACAAATTTAATTGACTAGAGATTCTTTCGAAATCAAACTAAAACCAGTGCCTAAGTGTCTCTTGCTCATCATCTCTTCGTACTTCCCGGCCAATGAGTCAAAGAGAATCCCAGCGCCTACTCCAACCGCAAGATCGATCGTGTAATGTCCTCTCGTACCGAGCAGCCTGATCGACTGTAATACATTGAGGATGTCAAAAATTATCGCAAGTCTCAACCTCTGCATTCTTCTCATGTCCAACGATGCGATCATCGAGCCGGCAACATGGCCAGAGAAGAAGAGGAAGAAAGAGACATTTCCCACCGGAAAATCAACTCCTGATCCTAGAAAATCCTGTAAAAGAGTATTGTAATTTCCGGGATGTCAATTATCTTGATATACGAACTAGAGATAATTAACCTTAGATATCACTACATGTTAATAGTATAAGAAGACGACACATAAATCCATGTATCGATGCTACATCACGAGAAAGAAACTAAACTAGATGAGTCACTAGAACCGTAGACTGTATATGAGTGAGAATCTGATATTTATGTCCAGTCAATCAAATCGTGGAATTATTTTGAGGAAAAAATAGTGATGGCTAGAAATTAAAAAACAATCATTTTAAGATGATGATAATTAACCTAAACCCGGTAAACTTAAAAGCGCTAGACACAATCTATCACTCCCGACAAAAAAAAATACAATCTATCACTCCTTTCATTTCACAATAATAATTGCTGTTTTTGACGAAATTTGTTTCTTTTAAATTTTGAAACTATTATATGTTTTACGCTAGTGGCCAAGGGAAATCACACGTCCACAATGTTCAAATTCTGATATGGATCAACCAATAAATTGGACGTTACATCTATATATGTACCCTGGTAGATCATCACTATAATATTAAAAATAAAACATAAATACAAAGTTACTTTATAATAGTATTTGTTTTATACTTGAAGAGGGAGATATGTGGATTGGAACCTGAGGGAGAGGAAGCTGAGTAGAGTAACCGAGAATGCCGCGACACGTGAACATGAATAAAGCCGAGATGGTGGCTCTTGCTCGTCCTTCCACTAACCATGTCCATACAATATACGTTGTTTGCATCCCTACGAACACCTGTCCCCACCCATTTATTTTAGTTATAAAGTACAAAACTCAGATTTAAGTAACCAATCTCTCTGTGTTGCATGTGATACTGTCTCCAACTCATTCTCACCATGTGTCATTTGTAAAGTTAAAAGCGATCTATATTAATTAATGGAAAAAAGATGGCTGGCTGCACGAAGTATCTACGAAGACATGGCCACACATGCAAATTTTAATAATGGATCCTAAACTACATGAACTATATGTATCGCATGCCCACATATACGAACTATATGTAGTCATGTCGCCAACATCACGAACATTATTTTCCGGTACACTTTTCGCCGGAATCCGGCATTGACCAGTTTGACCGGCGTTGACCAACATAAATATTAAAAAAAAAAAAATTTAGTTTTTTAATATTTAGAAAATTATGTTATTGAATCATTTATAATATTGTAAAATTATAAAAATATATACAATATTCAATATAAAAATATTTTGTATATATATTCAATGCATTGATTTTTATAATTAGTTAGTTTCAATAATTTCAAAACTAAACTAAAAATAAAACAAAAACCAATTAGGTAAAATAATTATAAATAGAAAATTTTAAATACTCTCTAGTCTAAAGTTTTTTTTATAATATGTTGTTAATTGTTTTTGTATTATTAAAAGAATTTTTCGTAATAATTTTAGATACAAAAATTAACAACATATTATACAAAAAACTTTAGACTAGAGAGTATAGAAAATTTCATATTTACAATTATTTTACCTAATTGGTTTTTATTTTATTTTTAGTTTAGTTTTGAAATTATCAAAACTAACTAATTATAAAAATCAATGCATTGAATATATATACAAAATATTTTTATATTGAATATTGTATATATTTTTTAATTATATAATATTATAAATGATTCAATAACATAATTTTCTAAATATTAAAAAATTAAATTTTTTTTTTTTTTTTGAATATTTATGTTGGTCAACGACGGTCAACGCTGGTCAAACTGGTCAATACCGGATTCCGGCGAAAAATGTATCGGAAAAAATGTTTGTGATGTTGGCGACATGACTACATATAGTTCGTATATGTGGGCATGCGATACATATAGTTTGTGTAGTTAGAGATACATTTTTAAACTTTGCATGTGTGGCCATGTTTTCGCGGATACTTCGTGTAGCCAGCCATCTTTTTTCCTTAATTAATACTAGTATATTGTACAAACAAACAAAAAAGCAAACAAAAAAGCAGTTGTTAAAAAGAAGATTACATAACTAAACAAAGAGATTACATTAAATATATTTTTATCCACTAACTAACTCGATTAAGACCATTTTATCCACTAATTGTTCTTAATCTATTATGACCATTTTAGGATTAAATCTTTTGCCAATTTTTCTCACACTATACTTAGGGCATCATCAATGGGGGATCATGTGAGGGTGTTCTTATAGAGAATATAATGTTAAAATAATGTAAGATCATGTGTTTAGATCTTTTGTTTAGAAGTTGATTAGTGGGAGAACATGTGTAAGATCTTAAGACTTAATAATATAATAATCTAAATTAAATTAAGATTTTACAATTATTAAAACATTTAAAAATAACATATAAATTGCAAATGCCAAATTTATGAAAAACTGAAAATAAAAGTGAAAATACAATACTAAATATTTATGAAAAAAACATTAAAAATATAAATAACAATAAACAAACAAACATATTACTTAATAAAAGCACAAAAACATTTTATCTAATTAATACATAGTTTATTATCCAAATTTATTCCAAATATGTTGAATATTTCAACCAATGCCCAAATGCCACGTCACCCCGCAACACCCACAAGAACAGATCCAGGTCAAGAGCCCAGTTCCTGATCTTAAGCCCATTAACCCATTTTTCTGGATTTAAATAATGCTTAGATCAGGGGGGTGATCCCCCAATGCAGATGGTCTTAGGATATTTACCTTGACAGCAAAATTCCAGCTGGAGAATTAAATAACACGGGAAAATAATCTGAGGTTTGTTTCCATCTCTACCCCACTTTTATTTATTTTATTTGACTAATTCAATTAAATTATTACTAGGATTATAAAAAAAAACAAAATGTTAGGTAAAGGAGGCAATAGGAATTTGAAGATAATGATTAAATTATATTTTACCTAAATTAACTCACACGACATACCGTGTTTAGTGCGGCTAAAACAGTGTTAAGATCCGGTGAAGATGCTAACACGCGATTCAAAGAGCGCGTGACCACAAATCCAAGATCGAACGGCTCAGATCTCGCGGGAATCATCTGAAGCGTGTACTCCACGCCCATGAAGAACAAAAGTCCGGCAGCGAACATGCAAGGTATCCAATGGTATCTCGCCACGTACACAACGTCACGCGCCGTCCACGTCATGAACGACGCTTTGCTTCTCCATCCTCCTCCTCCGACACCGTTGGCGTAGCCGTTGTCAGTTTTCTTAGCAGTGATCTCCATTTGAGTATTTGTATCTCCGATGCGACGATTGTTGTTGTCTAGGGTTCCGTCAATGGCGACGCCGTTAGTGTTGTTTCCGTTAAGAGAGTTAGATCTGCGACGGAGTGAGACGTCGGTTTCAGTTGCGGCGGCTGTCATGGCCGTTAGAGTTGACGGAGAGGGACATTTTCGGAGTTTAGAGAGATGTGTTATATAAGAGATACAAGGCGGAGACTTCGAGGGAAAATTGTTTGGGTTAGAAAATTCATATGAAAACGATGAATAATATGAGTTTTGAGAGCGACATTTAATTTATTGTTATGGTTAAGTCTTGTTTTCTTTTCTCTCTTTAGTGGGCTTTGCCTTTGTGTACCGACATGTTGTTCTTTTTATATGTTAAGTATGATATTTTTCGACGACATTAAGGGAGAGAGAAGTATGAGATTCTCTTAACTATATAGTAACTTGTTTATCACATAAAATGCGTTATTCATGTAAGTATTAAATCCTGATTGAAGATTATGGAGAATATCAAAACGATTTGGTGCTTAGGTGAATACAAAACTAATTTATTGCTTTGATGGTCCCCTTTGCCCAAATCTTCTTTCACACTTTTTTAGATAACTATTGCATTACCCTTAGTGATTTGAGGCTTTTGAGCTATATTGTAGTTGTATCATGGATTCATTTTTAAAGGAGATTGAGAATATAGATTAACACACACAGTACTTAGATATTTCATAAATCGTGATAAAAAAAATTAGAATAGAATGGTGATTCATTTACTGTAACAGTGTAACTAATATACAGATACTTACGAAGTTCTCGTATGATGTGTCGAGTAAGAAAACAACTATCTTGTCATCCAAAGCAGCAGAAGCATTGGGGTGTAGTGGACAATATGAAAACAAAAACAGGAAGAAACAAAATGATCGATCAATACATACCAATTACCAAGAAATAAGAATGAAACAAAATTTCTTCTTTTTGGAATATTGACATTGTTCACTCGATCACGGATTTGATATCTGACGTAGAAGAAACGCTATACTTGTTTTCTGGTTTATTTTGGTTTGAATTTCTTGCATGCTAACATTTGTGTTGAGATTTTAAATATATTTAGACCATTTTATTTTATATTTGTAAATTTATAGTAGACATTTAAGAGATTGTATAGAAATAAATCTGAATTGTGTAGTTGTACCAATTGCATGTAAAATTTATATAGTCATACATATCTACTCAAAAGGTGGTATAAATGTAATTATTTAAATGTAAATGTAAATCAAGAAGTGGTGATTTTGTTAGTTTTTCACCTAATTGTACATATCTGTCTAATCGTCACCCAATTAGATGTGTTTGTCTACTGGTCGAGGCTATGATTTGGGACATCGTTGATGTTTAATTCCCCTTTTCTCAACTTTTATTAAAGAATCGACGTACAATTACAAATAGATCTCGCGATGATATATATTTTACTTTACAAATATCCACAGCCACAACAACCAATTTCCAATTTCCCCTTTTCTCATACTTTTATAATTTACAAAAAAAAAAAAAAAAAAATCTTATTACACGTATATGGTAGTAGTTAGACCTCTTTTACAAAGTTACAAATTTAAAATAATTATATAAACTGGCCGTGTGGATAATAAAACATTTGTCGACACAAAAATACATCAAAATGTTGATATACCAATATAGAAAACTTCAAATGATCCCCCTAGCTGTTTCTTTTTCTTGCAACTTGGATATAAAAGCGGCGTGTAAACAGATCTTAAATTAATAGTTTAGAATAAAGTCTATAAAACAGATTAAACTAACATTTTCAAGTCATGGCATGTTATTAAATTATTTATGCATGTGACTTTCGAATTTTTAGCCAATAGGAAACAACAATAATATATACTATGACTTTTAAGAAGGAGACTAAAAGATATTAATTCGCTACATACGCGTCAAGCGTGTGTATGTATACATCAACCATATATAAATAGAGAGGCAAAGGAAGGAAGAGAAGAGTGTCCATATCATAGATTAAAAATCATTCGTAAATCAAACCACAAAATCTAACTCCCATATACAAAGAAAATAAAAATAAAAAATGGAATTAGTTGAAGAGACCATTCCAAAAGAAGGAAAAAAGATGGGAGAAAGAATTGTGGTGGACAAAGCTTATCTTTACCAAGAAGACAAACCACTCACCGTCTGCAAGACTTCTCTCTTCTACACCGGCGATGGTTTCGCCGCCTATGATTGCCACGGTGATATCATCTTCAGGGTTGATTCTTATGGACCTGACACAAGAGATAACGATGAGATTGTCCTCATGGACGCTACCGGAAAGTGTCTCCTTACCGTTAAACGAAAGGTAAACTTAATTACTCTCTTTTTTTTCTTCTTCTTGTAAGAGTCTAGTCGTGAAGGTGACTCCGTGATTAGAAATAAAGTTTGATGCTTAACTTGTTGTGCTGAATTTGATTAGATGGGTTTGGTTACAAAAATAAATTTAAATGGTGGGCATCCATCTGAATTCAAGAATCTTGATAACCTTTTTTTTTTTGTCAAGAAAATCTTCGAAATTTTTTTGTATTGATAAAAAAAATATACTTGGCTAGAATTCGATGAAGATTATTGTTACAAACGAGATCTGAAGAAATTGTTTTGAGCTGAAAATTCTATTAAAATGTTTTTTTAATAAGCCTAGTTCCGAGTCATCGACTCAGTTGCTAACACAATTATAGTGTTCTTTATCGTTATTCAGTTAAAATAAACAATAAATATATATAGTAGTTCTAAAGATGATACTGAGTCAACTCGTTGTTTCTGTTTTTGATGAACAGAGACCAACTCTACACCAAAGATGGGAAGGTTTTCTCGGCGAGAGATCGGAAGGTCAGAAACCGATCTTCAGCGTTCGGAGATCTTCGATAATCGGACGGTGTACGATGGAAGTAGAAGTTTACGACGGAACAGGAGAAGAGTACATTATTGATGGAGACTTCTCGCAACGAAGCTGTCTCATATACGACACGGAGAAACGTACTGTGGCTGAGATCAAACGCAAAGTAGACGCGTCAACGAACGTGATGCTTGGTCGAGATGTGTTCACTCTAGAGATTAAACCGGGTTTTGATGGTGCTTTCGCTATGGGTTTGGTCGTTGTGCTTGACCAGATCAACGGTGATGATCCAGTTGAGATTGGTGATGAACAGGTACACCCTTTTGTAGAGGATTAATGTCGGTCTCTCTCCCACCTCTCACAATGGTCTTCACGTTAACATATCGAATCTAATCTTTAGTTTTTCAATCTTTGGATTTGGACCATATGATTATGGGAGTCTGTTTGTATCATTCTGTGTTAAATCATTTAAGTTGCTACGTTACATAATATTATAGTCTCTGTCTCGGGAAATTTGTTGAGTATTATATGTTGATGTTACAAAATTAGATTTGTGTATACACGCTATTAGAAAATATCGTAAAATTATGAAGATGCAAAATCTAACAGTTGACCAGTTTAAATGTGTTAACGTTAATCAAATTAGATTAATAAATTCTAATTTATTGGTGTTAGTTGCAAAATGTTTCTATCGAAGTACTACTAACTTTTTTAATATATAGGAGAGATGTAACGTGTATTGTACGTACACATGTTTAATGCCAAGTGGAAATTTAATCTCATGATAATTATTTTTGAGGTGTTAGTTGACACAAGATCAGAGAGTGCGTACGAATATTAATACATAAATAGAAGGTGGTCGAATAAGATGTGTTAGAAAACAATATAGGCATCTAATAAAGAGAGAAGATAAATCTTGACTAATACACTCGATAGATTTGATTCGTTAGCGTAATCAAAATTCTCATGCTACGATAAACAATTGATAGCGATACAAAATACACCATGGACAAAACAAATAAAATAATTTTATTGTAAGAACAAATACTTGATCAAAATAGTGTATGATTGAAAGCAGATGTGAATATATTTTGTAGTTTTCACAACATTTTTTTTCATCTAATTAAGCTGTGATTGAGTCCCTACCAAAACTCACATATATAGCCTTGTATATCACTTTTTCTTTAACAGTTTTTGACTTGGGGTGAAATAGTTGGAGAAGAATGTAGAAAACTCCAGCACTTCAAATCACTAGAACAATATTGTTCCAATGTGCACATAACATAAAGTAAGAAATTCTTTAAAGTTAGAAGTGACTAATCATAAACAAATTAAGAATTACAGGGTTAACTTGATGATCTTCATATATACCAAAGGGTCAATTTAAAAATCACAAATCTCACAACTCACAAGTGTAACAAACGGTGAAGAAGAAAAAGGAACGTGAAAACAGAAGCCGAAACAAGAGACGGTCTAAAACGACACCGTGTGGCAGAAGAAGACTTGTGTCCGGTGAAGCCAATGTCGTAGGCAATAGTACCGTCGGGTTTAAAAAGGCCAAAGTTTCTCTCGGAAGTTGGACCTGGTTTGGAATTCTCGTTGAAGAGAGCAAACACGTAAGCTCTCACCACCATGTCTGGTCTATACGGTGTTCCTTTCCTCTTCTGCAGCCGCTTCCTAAGATTCCGATTATATGTTCTCGCGTTCTTCAAAGACGCTCCGGGTTCGTCTGCATCACCTTTCGATGCCCAACCCGTCTCCGAAACAATCACCTACGTACAATTAAAATGATTAAATCAGGTTCGCATGACGCTCTAAAATCCGTGTACGACAAGACATGTAGTTTAGTGCATGTTACCGATACAAAAAATAAAAAATGCATGTTACTCATACAATGAGTCAGATTATTCAGTTAAAAACTCATAAAATGCGTGTTTTTGACGGGAAAAAAAAAGTCTTTATAGTTTAGTGTTGACATTTACATTTGTACGTTGCAAAGCTTGTAAGAAAATGAAAGTGTTGATTTAAACCAAAAAGAAAGTTTATAGTAATAAGGACGCACCGGGACTTTTGTGTAGCCAGCTTTTTCGAGAGCAAAATAAGAAGCATCGACCATAGCGTCGAACATGTTATCGTAATGAAGCTTGGTTTTGGGGTCCAAGATGCCTTTGTTGCGCTCGAAAAGAGCGTAATTGATGTCAATTGTGATCGGGTCGGATTTATATGCAAGAAAAGGGTAGGCGTTAATGTAGAAGGCCGACCCAATTGTCCCAAAAAACGCTAACAACGGCTTCATAAACGGCGCCACATCGTCCCTGAATGTACAGGACGACGGTGGATACGAGTTCGCAAACACTGCCTCCGAATGTGGACTTGACACCTATAAATTAATAATAATATTGACAATTTTTGTTAGGCTAGACCACCATCTAAATTCTAAGTTTGATGTTCGAAAATAAAATATTACAGAAATGTTCTTTTGATAATTTCAACAAGAAATCCAAATTGATGCATGCGTACTAACATATCTAAATATCGGATTATGACATGGTGACATCATTAATTAATACAAACTACTATATTACTAGCTTTGGTCTCTAATTGAATCATTTTGGGTTATAGAAAAAGATTGATCATTTTGTCTGAAAAACATTCTCAACTTTGTCACTAACCCAATAAAATTGTATTTTGAGATTTAACGTTGATTAAATGTGAGTTTTATAAAAGATTTGAGGATTATTTTCGATTACGGTCGAATTAAAGACTTTTTAATAAACAAAATTAGCACATTCGAGATTAAGATGATGATTTTAGCGACATGATTGTTTATTTGTTTAAGTACAAAAGATTAAGGTAGTGTACCTCGACGACATTGTGAAGACCAAGACGGCGAAGAGCAGAGTAAACGTTCTTAGCGGCTGGTAAGAGAGCTTCCCAAAGCCCGATATCGGTGCCACCTAAAATCTCGTTCCCCACCGCGATACCGCTAATTCTAGTACCGCCTCGTATGAAAGGCTCAACGTTTTCCTTAATCCAGTTCATGGCTCGGTCTTCTCCTACGCTAATGTCCTTAAGAAACTCATTGCCTAAGCCAACGATGATTTCTATCCCTGTCCCGCGAAATGCCGTGAGGACGGAGTGGTCAGCGTCGTAGATACGGATGTTTCTAATCTTTGCTGATTTAAGGAGAGTTGCTACCGCGTCAGGAGACGGAAGATTGTCCGCTATGCGACCGTAGTTTACACCGTATGTTCCGATGAATGCTACGGCAGTTTGTGAAGAGATGATAGAGAAGACGAAGAGAAACGAGAGGAAGAAAGAAGAGAAACCCATATGTGAAGTTGGAGACTTTTGAAGAGGAACACAATAATTCATTTGAGATACTGTCTCAAATGATGTTTTTGAAAACAGAGCAGCGTTTTTCTTTAATCCTAAAAATGGGAACAAGAAGAGTTTATACTATGAAGTTGTTCCTTAATAGGAAGATTCTAAACCCTTGTCCTTGGGACCATGCAAAAGGAAGGAATCAAGGAAATAAGAAAACTAACATTGTATGTCTTTCTTTGCATTAGATTCTTACTTTACCCTCAAAGCAAAACTTTTACCTTTTTGCTCTTGAATCTTCTTCTGCTTTCTTCCATTTGTTTATTTGGGTTTCCTATTTGTGGCGTTCATATGAAGATTGGATCAAAATATAAAAGAAGTTTAGAAGATCAGTATATCTGCTGATCATTAATCTGGCTTTTTTGTAACTTAGATTATCCATCCATACGAAAATGGAAAAAGAAACCAAAGTGGTTGCAATGGTATTATAGAAGAGTCAATAATATCCTCTACATAATCTTTAACCTAACAGAACTTGCACATATTACTCATAATACATATCTCTGCGACTCTGCCTAACAACATCTTTCACCGCGATAATGCGCCGATTCGTTTAAAAAAAGAAAGCAAGAAGGAAAACATACTTCAATAGATTGATAGAAACAACTGACTTACAGTTTCATGAGCTAACAGAAGCAGAGTAGAGCAGGGCTATTCGGTAGCTTCTGCTTCTGCGGTTTTTTCTTTCCCCTCAGCTTCTGTTGTCAGACCATTTTCCTCATGGTTTCTGGTCTCAGCTTCACAATTCTTCTGCTCATCACTAGCTTCAACGGTCTTCTTCTCTGTATCTACCGAGTTCTTTTCAGTTGAGCCAGTCTCTTTTTCTTTGTCAGTCTGAGACTCCACTCTCTCCTTACTACTATCTTCAACTGAATCCGGGGCTTTCTCCTTCACCGACTCACCCGCTTCTTGAACTGGAGCTGCATTTGGAGTTTCCTTGGCAACCATGTTTTCTTTTGCATCATTCACCTTCTCAGTTTCACCAGAGCCATTATCATTATCGACGTTTCCCTCTGGAGGATTCATTTCAGTATCTTTCACATGAGAGTATTCCTCTCCTCCCTCTGATTTCTCAACTTCTGCATCTTTCTTTGACCCTGGAGATTTGGTTCTACCTCGCTTCTTGGGTGGCTCTTTATCTGGTGACGGCGTAGCCTTAGTCTTCTCACTGATTCTTGCAGATCTCCTAGGTGTCCCACTAGTCGTCCAATCAAACTCAGCGATCGCGGGGTTTCCAGGGTGGGATTTGAGATACTGCTCCAGCTGCTTTCTGTTACTAATCTCCTCACCCGTTGGAGCAACAAACACAATCTCTGTTTTCTTCACTGAACCCACTTTGTTGGGATAAAACTGCAAAAACAAGTCACTTTGACTTAAATGTAAACCTCTGAAATATGAAATTTGAAGTTCAGAAGGCTGAAACATTAAATTCTAAAGACGAACCTAATGTGGGTTAAACAAGGTTTACAATCCATAAGAATAGGTAAAAGTAAGAAGTAGATCAAACAAAATCAAAATGAGGCATTTTTAAGTCCATAACCTTTGAATCACCTAATCAACATCAAGAATTTTCACTTATACAAACAATTCGCCACCAAAAGCTACCATAATTCAGAGTCTTTAAAGGCTAGACAAAGATTTGGTAATTGCAGCACTACACATATACAACAAATTCTAAGGCTTTGTTCTTCATTGATAAGCCAAAATTATGAGAGAAAACAAACCAATTTCTTCCATGAAGAAGGTGCTGGTAGCTCAACAGATACAACTTCATCTTCACCACCCATCTCTCTCTCCTTTCCTTTTGCTTCACGGAGTAGAAGACGGTTGAAAATTTTAGGGATTTTGTTTTCCTCTGCTCTTCTTCTCTTTGTTAACTCTATGGTTTTAGACTTTTTTCTACTACCAGAAACAGAGAGAGTATATGATAAAGTCACTTGCACGTAACACAACATCTTAACTAACAAACCAATAAAGTTTAACCACGTGTCTATATCCAAAACTGGTATAAAATGCGCTCTATCATCTATTCTATGGTAACAACGACACGTTAAAGCATTGATCAAAAGGTGTTTAGTCGACTCGGATGTTCGCATTAAATGCAGATTTAGACTTACTTGGTGCTCATGCAACACACGTGCCGAATAGTTAACGACTTTTCTCTATTTCGGGAAAAATAAACTCTAATGGAGTATTGCTTTGGAGTCCGGTAAAACGGATACAAGGCCCATAATATCCATCGTTGATGGCCCATTCCATCTTTTAGTTTTTCAGCTCATATTACGCAGAAATTTATTTTGATGCAAGATGACTATAATATCAGTATATATCAGTATATCACTAGCATTAACCAAGATAACATGATCTTATGTTATTGTTTCCTATTATCATTTTGAATAAGTGATGTACAAGGAAGATGCTTACTTGGTGAATTTTCTACAGGTATGTCATCTCTCTGGACATATGTATATATATATATAGAGATAGTAGATGATCACCATTCACCAAAGCCTCTTCTTATATGGAAACTATTTGAAACGAGAACCTTTCTTGCCTTTGCCTTTACCCCTCCCATCTGTCACTGTAACCCAGAAGAAGAGAAACATCCAAAAAAACACTGCGAGGAAGATCTTTACGCGGTCTTGAATCCTTGTTACAGCTCCCACAAGACCTATCCACACAGAAAACAAAAGGAATATGGTTATGAGGCATAATAGAAGAAGAAGAAGAAGACTTTTCATTTTACTTGATGTAATAAGTGTCGTGTTTTCTATTTCCAGATTATTCCTCTATGGTCTAAATGAATTATTATTACCAAGCTATTCAACATTAACATATGGACTAATTGCAGAACCTATAAACATACAACTACTGCACAATTCACATCTTAAGAGAATACCTAGAAGATATCACAAGAAATGGCTGCCTTTTTGGCTCCTAAGGAGCAGATTCTGCAATCATAATTGCCTAAACCAAAATTCACAGGATTTTGAACTCTAGTTCCATGGACACAATTAATTGGATTAAATCACCCTCCTCTTTAAGAATTTTCATGATATAATAATGATTAAAGCACGAGCCAGTACCAAGTACCAACCTCAATGACTCTATAGTTTTATCAAACTATCCGATAAAAATTGAATCTTTCGACCCAAAAAAACACCACTTTAAGTGAAAAGCAGGTACAACAAAGACCAACCAAACCAAGTAGGATTCAAACGCAGCATCACAAAATATCAATCTGGGCAAGAGGAATCGAACCTGCAAGCTGAGTGGTGTCCTCAGGCGGAGGCGGATCAGGACCTGGAGGAGGAGGAGGACCACCAGCAACTGCGAGGCGGCGTAAACGGCAAGGACTAGCGAGTAGGACGATGCTTCGACGGTGAAGGTGAAACGGCGGTGAGAACGGCGACAGAATTGAGTAGTGGTAGAGGTTAGAGCTTGTGGTCGTGTTGGACAAAGCCATCGCCATTTTTCCTCGACGATAAAATTTAAGAACTAATTTTTATTTAGGGGTTTTTGATTCAGAAATACACACGTGTACGACACTTAAAGAAAGAAAGAAAACATTTTTGTGGAAAATACTCCAATCAATAAAAATTTTGTTGGTTGTATATATCTCTCGTTACAAATTCGCCAATTTTATAGACAGAATCTGAATTGTGTTAAGTAAAACAAAAGAAAGCTTTTTTCTCCAACATAAATGTGAATATGCAAAGAAGAGATCTTTCAGCCGTATAGACCCTCTTCTTCCCACACTTCAACAAGAAACTGCACCATTTCCTGCAATGATAAAATTTCAATAACAAAACAAATTTGGTTAAGAATGGATAGTTACTTCCTCCAGTTCATGGAGTTTGAACTTACATCAAGAGGTATAGGCCTTGGAAACCGCTTGTTGCTTCCAAGTAGACTCTCATAAGTCACATTCTCACTGCAAAAACAATCAAACTGTTTAAATTCGACTCAACAGATTGAATCTTGGAGCCGTTAAGTCTCATAGAATCCTCACTTTATAATCGGTTCTCGAACAATTTTTTCGCGGCTCTCGGATTTTTTGTTTCCCACCCATTGTTGCCGAGTTTGATTCCATAGAACAAGACCTGTAACACCCCAAAATTCTCCAATTCTTTTTCAAATGCTCAATCAGACAATCACCAAGCATACTCTTCACTGACTCACTCACCATGGTTAACAAATTCAGCAGGTTCATTAGAGCTGGAACCACATCCTTGAGAATCAACAGTCAGATTTGTTGTACTGATTGAAGAAACACTTCCGTGAGCATTGCTTTCCATATCTAAAGTGGTATTAGTCCAGAAATCTTCAGAAGCTACACTAGGATTCCTCAATTCACTCCAATCTTCTTCTACTAACACATCTTTTGAGCCATTCAAAGGCACATCTACATCTACACTTGTTGTTGCTTTCGACTTATCAAAACAAGCCAAACAACTACTGCTGTGTTACAAAATCATAAAAACATATCATTGATTTGGTGTAATAGCTAAACCAAATCATCATCCAAGCATAACATCAAGCTAATTCCTTCTATAAGAGAGTTCATTTCAAAGCTCAAATCTTTATGAATACCCAAAGCTAATAACTTTCGAATTCCAATGGCCCAGATGAAAAAAGATAATATTTTTCGCCACAAAATCAAAACCCCTATAAAACGAGTTAATTGACTTACCCCATCGTGGAAAAAACAGAGCCCTTCTTAGATCATCAAACGAAGACTCGAGCACCACCAAACAAAAACTTATCAATCTTCGAGTGAAATCAATCGATTGGGTACAAAGCAAAGACCCAGTCGGAAGAAGAAGAAGAAAGTGAAAGGAAAAGACGATTTCTTTTTCTCTTTTTCTGGGGTTTGCGTGTATCTGGAAGTTTCGGATACTTCATTTCGAAGAAACTTGGAAGAGGAATTGACCGACCCCACATATTGCCCCAAAACGACGACGAGCCATGTGTAGAGAGTGTAGTGGGAGAGAATGTCTCACAACTCCCATTTTGTAAACCATAAACCTCTTATATCCCTTTTTTATCTACATATCCCCTTCTCAATTAATGAAATGTGATCTGACGATTTTACCCTCTGTTTATTTATTAGTATTATTATTGATTTATTTGAAATTTAATTAAAAAAAAAAAAAAAAATCGAACCCAGAAAAAGAAAAAAAAAAACGACGGGAGCTCTCCTCTTCGACTCTCTTCTCTATCTCGAGCTCCACCTCCGGCGAGCTGCACTGTTGCCGTTTCTTCCGTTCTGGCGAGCTTCCGGCGAGCTGCGGTGAGACAGGTTAGTTCCTTTAGCTGCATAGAGCATGAAATAGAAGTTTAGGATTTAGACAAAGAGATTCAATTCAATTAGATTTGGGTTATTGTGTTTAGGTATGCACATTGGAAGTTTATGCATAGTTTCTGGGTGGAATAGGTCTGTAAATGGGTAAGAAATGGATTATAGCAACTGAATCATAGTGAATTGTAGTTTTGAACCCGAAACCATTCGATTTGAGTTGTTGTCGCGAAAGTACAACTGGTATAACTGGGTAGAAATGTACCTGAATCTATTGAAATATATATATGTAGTATTACTAGTTACACTAGTATTACCCAGATGTATATAGTATGACTAGTTATACTAGTATTACCCAGAATTGTAGTACCCAGAAAATAACTATCTCCATGTTAGAAAGTAGGATATGCACGAAGGTTGGATTAGATGAAAGTAAGGTCAAATTGCAAATGAGGTACAATGCAGTGCTGTTGGGACCAATTGAAGAGATTTACATTAGTGATGATGAGGATGTAGGTGTCTATATATCTTCAGGTGAAAATAACCGTAGATATGTTTTGAATGTGGACGTCATCACTATACCAGAATTGCCTGAGCAACTGTCGAGAGCGGAACTCCTCAATAAAAGTTCTGTTGGTAAGAACTATGCGGAATTGGATTCAAATGAGGATGAAATGAGAGATAGTGCTGCCATTGTTTTGTGCTAATGCGATGAACAAGGAACGGAACCAAATGAGGCAATAATGGAGGTTGATGATACTCAAGATCCTAAGATTGGATCACGTGATGTATTCTCTGGTTTTGTAAAACTTGGTAAAACGTGGTTTCGTAATGGTACAACTATGTATGTCTTTGATTTCGTGTTTTTATGTATTCTCTGGTTTTGTAAAACTTGGTTTCGTAATGGTACAACTATGTATGTCTTTGATTTTGTAAAACTTGGTTAAACTTGATTTGGTATAACTACGAAGAAATTAACAAATCTTCATAAATTCAAAATTATATCATAATGCTTGTTGTAATGAAATAGACAACTTAGTGTTACATAATCAAATTAGTGGTCTGTAATCACAATTTGGTAAATAAAATTTTCAAAAATCTTACACATTTGAACTTTCTACATGAAAGTTCTTATACTTTAAAGATGTCTTTCTTTTGAATATCCATGGTGAATGTCGAAAGTCTGAAAAATCAACATTTTACAAATATTATTGAATGAATATGTTTGGAATTTACCACATATACATAAAATTAGGTGTACAACTAATAAAAATTAATATTAATCCAAGAATAACTAATTATACAGAAAAACCCCAAAAGTCCAACTGTGTGTAAGCGAGTACAACTTGTAAACTTGGAAAAACTGTGTATATTTGACGGCGCCATGTGTACAAATGACGGCGCCACGTGTACAAATGACGGCGCACACGTGAATAAGACGGGCCCCACATGTCCCAAAATTGAAATTTTTCCATTTTTTTGGGTTTTCTCCCAAATTTGACGGCGCACATGTGTAAATTTGACTCACACATGTGTAAATTTGACGGTGCACATAGTTTTACCTAGTAATACCAGTAGTATAAATAAAAAAAAAACAAAACCAACATAGGTTTACCTAGTATTACCAATTGTACAAATCTAAACAACAACTATAAGACAAAGATATAGTAAAGAAGGTATATTCTTCTTCACCTCCAGCTACCATGATACTATCAATTTCATGTGGGATGTAAACAATGAACACATATTAGAAACATTATAGCCCAAAACACTATTAGTTCTGCTACATTTGTAGTAATAGTTTCCGAGTTGGTTCTTCCCACATTTTTATACCCAACTGCATAGTTCTTGCAATTGAAGCCCGATATCAATGCATGTTCCGATATACCATATCGGATTGGAACACCATTGACGATGAACCACACTTCTTTCTTCCTTTCAATGCGCGCCGTGTGAAGAAGGAGCATCCACATTCCCATAACTCGGTGGTTTGGATTTCTTGGCATGTGTAAGACGTGTTGGAAACTCGGATGATTCTCAAAATATGCCCTCTCAGACTTGCTCATCAGAGGCTCCAACGTATCGAATGTAGTCAACACTTCGTGAATATAGCACCGAGTTGATAGCTTGATTTTTTTCACATATTCCGAAGGCGGGAAATACATACTCAGCGGTGGTATTGCTTCTGTTTCCTCGTCGATCTCCTGCAACAGAATAGACATTCATTCATATATCATTATTCTGCGAATAGTATTACCAGTATTACCCTGAAAATATACACATAGTTGTACCCCAGTAATACCAGTTTCACCCAGAATTCAAACACATAGTTATACCCTAGTAATACCAGTATTACCCAGAAATCAAACATATAGTAATGCCCTAGTATTACCAGTTATACCCAGAATTCAAACACATAGTATTCCCAGTTCTACCAGTTATACCAATAACCATAGAATTCAAACACACATTATACCTCAGTTGCAATAGTTTTACCCTGTTCTACCAGTAGTACCCAGATATACACATAGTTTTACCCTGTTCTACCAGTTTCACACCATTCAAATACATACCATCGCATTTTCCGGCTGATTTTCTGGCGCAATCTCATCCTCCTCATTATCATTCTCATCAGAGGAGGACTCTCCGCCCAAAGATCTACTACCATCATCATCGGAGGACTCCTCTCCTTCCTCATTCCCTTCTTCTTCTTTCTCTTCTTCTTTCTCTTCTTCTTCGCTCTCTTCTTCGCCACTCTCTTCTTCCTCATTCTTCTTTGAATTTTCTTCCTCATTCTTGTCAGACTCTTCTAAAACCGGACTTAATGTCTCCGGGACTTGTTGTTCTCCCTCAATTGCCGTCGGGGATGGCTCCTCCGTCGAGCCTGGCTCCACCGTCGTTGTGGTGGATGGCTCCACCGTCGGGGATGGCTCCTCCGTCGAGCCTGGCTCCACCGTCGTTGCCTTTGTTAATCTCTTCCTCTTTAACCCTTTCTTTGGAGGCATTATCGGAGAGGTTTCGAAACGGGATACAAGAAACGAGAAAAGGAATCAATAAAGTTGGAAGATGATTTCGCAATCTCTCAATTACAGTTTCTGGGAAGATTTGAAGAGGAGAGGAAGTCGGAGCAAGAGAATCTCCAACGGTTAGGGTTTTCTCTTTGAATTGGGGATGAGTTTTCTCGTTTTCGATTTCAAAAACAAAAGAAATTTGGTGGGTTGAGAGAATGGATCGGGTCTGGTTCGAATAGATCCAGGTTTTAGCAGTAATATTGAGGTTTTGGTTGGGGTATATCAGTAATATCCATAGTTTTCGATTTAATTTTAAATAAAAATAAAATTGTGTTTTATTAGGGGAGATATGAGACGATGTTTGGACAAAAAGGGACTCACGAGACAATTTCTCGTGTAGTGGTCGTGTGGAGTTATAATGCTTTGGACCCTACACTTACCTTATCCACTTTTGACTGCTTTGGCTCCTTTCGCTTGCTCGTTTTTTTAGATCGTTCTTCGTTTGCCAATTGACGATAATTATGGATTCGCATAGTTGCGACGGTTAGAACAGACAAATCCATTTACGGATTAGACCATTTTCTATTTATCGTTTATAAATTATAGTTTGTAGGAATACAGATAAAAAAATAGAAAAAATATATCGCGAATTAACTACGAATCGTTTTTACATAAACATAAATTTGGTATCCAGTAGATTGTTGTCCGTTACAAAAATAAAAAAGTCTAATATGATAACGATTTAGTCTTTTTTATCCATTACATCCATTAATTTCTTTCTTAGAAAGAATACCAATCGGAGGTCATAGCCTAAAGCTAACGGTTGACTTAAGGTAATACAGATTATGTTGATCTTGTAGATTCTAATTTAGTAATTTGTGATGTTGCATACATGTTACATGTTACATGCTAGTGTATTTTCTTTTATAGTGGAGAATCTTATACCAATATACATTGGCCTAGAAACAAACCTATCCACTAACTCTAAATTCTTTTCTTGTAAATAAAATCACAATGAAGTTTGAAAATTTCAAGCGGTATGGTGATAAAAGTTAGGTGGTCATTTATATTATAATTAAAATCTTATGAGACGTAAGCCATAAGCAAATTATAACCCTTATAAAGAAATGTTAGGAAAAGATATAACTCATTCAAAACCAATAATCAAAATAAATTAATTACGTACAACTAGGACCGTTGGTTTATTCTGTTCACATTGGAAAGTTTTGGTTTTCTCCCATCCACCAAGCGGCACTTGTTTTGGAGATGATTGTGATTAGATTTGGATCTTATAAAGTTTGGCTTAGAGAACATTGTTAATACACATCTAAAATTGTGTAACTTATTAAGATAACCGTATTCTTCTTTGAATTTGTAATATATGTATATAAATTTTTTTTTTTCCAAGTTGTTCTTTATTTTATATCACAAACCATCTTACAACAGCATCCAATAATGGATCAACCATTATGGAGAGTCAAGTATTTATAGCAACTATGAACTTAAACCAAACCTAAGATATATTACAATGATTAGTAAGAGAATAACATAACAAACTAAGACTTGGCTCTGTTACTAAACCTACACAACCAGAGCACCATTTTGAAAAAACGATAAGCAAATGCAGCCACCACATGATCTTCATGAAACTGAGAGGAGAAGGATCAAGCACCAAAAGGGTGGAGCAGTACGAGGTAATTTAAATATGAACACATTCGTCAAAACATTATGCACCTCAGAGCAAAGTCAATCACTCTTAAGAGAAGGATCAGCCACCACATGTTTTTTTACTTTTAAAAAATATTTTAAAACATCTTTAATAAAGAGTGACCTCGGGCTTTTTACCTTTAACTTTTAATATACAATAAAATTGTGTAAGTTGTGTTGAGTTTAAAATTATAGCTTTAGTAAAGAACAAAAGATTCATATCTTCATCATTTTGTGGTCAATACATATATCTTATTTAAAAAATAAAGGCGCCTCTACTTCTTCAAACTTGGTTGAATGGAAAATCTTTGATTGGCGTATTAAACTCGTGATCCAGAGCCGTGACATGTGCTCTTTGTGTTGGCTTTATCTATCCTAAAAGAAAGCTCTAGGATATGGTTCATTATGTTTTCTTGATTCTTATGGAAGGTTTGTTTTTGGAGTCAAAATATCCAAAATATCTATGGCAATACCAAAACCTGATTTTTGTTCGGTTCTTCTGTGTCCAATTTCTGTTTTGTTAAAGAATTTTAAATCTTTTATTTTCTACTAGACGTGATCATTGATTTCAATACAATCAATATAAATTCTATTAGGATAGCCCGCGGGCTTTGTCCAAGTAGTCCACGGCGGGGCGGGCTTGGACATCATTTTTCATGTCCATAAAATAGCGGGCCTCGCGGACAAGCCCAGGCGGATTGCGGGTTTTGTCCGCGGATTTGCGGGCCGGCCCGCGGACTACAAATATTTAATAAAAAATAAATAATTAATATAAATAAATAAATACTTTACATAATTCTGAAAATATATATGAACATATAACGAAATTCATTGTATAAAATTATAAGATTTACAAAAGTATTAATTCTAAAAGTTTTTTAATTGAAAAATTGTTAATTTTAAATTTTAAAAATTAATTTTATTTTTTTTAATTATTTTTAAAATATTAAAACTAAGCCCGCGGGCCGGCCCGCTAATCCGTTGGGCTTAGCGGGGCGGGCCTGGACATATCATTTTTGCCCGCGGTCCTAGCGGGCTGGCCCGCTGCGGTCTCACAAACTTAAATGCCCATCGCGGGCCGGCCCGTCTGACACCTCTAATTCTATAGATACTCAACAAAAAAAAAGTTTATATGTCCAATAGGCACATTTTTACAAAATTATATTCTTTTATTTGCCTTTTCAAATTTCTAATGACTACTTACATGTCAATTATTTACATCGTTACTTGATTTTTTTTTTTTTGGACAAACACATCGTCACTGATTTAAAACAAGTAGATAGAGCATAAGAAAACCACCTACTACTATGAGACACAAAAAAAGGAGAGAAAGAAGACCACCAACTGTTGACAAAAAAAAATGACCACCAACTACAATTTCTGAATTTTCCAAGAAAAAGTCTAAAATATTACCGGAAAATAAACGAAAAATTTACAAACCTAAATCTATTGACTTCTTATTAATCAAGAAGAGAAAGTCAATAAGAACATTGAACTCTGTGATCTCGGTCTCTGAGAATCCCATTGTACAGAGCCATCCGGTTCGCTGGCATAGTAGAGATTCTACACATAGAACCGGTCTTCCCCGGTTTAATCACTGGCTCCGGTACGCTTCTCCGGTTCAATTCCCTCCTCCGGTATTCTTCCCCGTTCCCTTTCGTGTCTTTCACATTATCCGCGAACCGCACTTTCTTTATCCTCTTCCTCTGCTTCTTCGTTTCCTCTGCATCCCAAGAAAAAAAAACTTACTTTTCCGGGAAAATCTATCAAAAACATTCGAGGCACAGAGAAAAAAGATCGTACCTGAAGATAAACAAGAACGGAGAATGGGTCGTGGAGTCTGATCAAGAACCTTAGAGGTTTGATGATTTCCATGGAATTGACGAGCCATGGCGAGAAACAGAGCGGTGCTTGAGCAAACCATGGCGGTTGCGATCACGACGGTACCATTAGAACAGCTCAACATTGAAGATACGTGCGTGAAGTTTCTTTACCAACGAGTTTGATGATACCAAGAAAGAAAATTTCTCAAGAAAACCAACGGAACAATAAAGAAAATCGAGCTGTGATCGATGATTGGCTGTGGCCTGTGAAGAGAGACGTGTGTGTGTGTTTTTGAAGAGACTTGTAACTTAACAACTGTTGAAATTTTTATGGTTGGAACTCTTTTCTTGACTCTCTCCTATATTTATATACAAATTTAATTCTTTGCCCAAAAAAAATATATATATATATATACAAATTTAATTCGAAAGAGTTTTTTTTTTTTAAATGGAAAAATATATAATAAAAGTTAGAAAAAAGAGTGCGACTTAGATTTTGGTGCTTTGTTACTCACATGTCCTAGTGGACAAGGAAAACAATAATAAATAGACCAAGTTTAACTAAAATAAGACCTCTCTCATTTTTTCTTGGTCAATACGTAGTTTGGATTTTGTAGACCTCTTTCAAAAAAAAAAAAAAAAATACTAATTGGGAGTTTAGAAAGAAAAAAAATTTGAAAAAATTGGGAATTTACGATAGCTATTCGTCGTCATTTTAACAAAAAACTAATTTCATGTCTTAAATCTTATTACCTGACTAAATTCATAAGTGAACATGTTCTTTGATAGAAATTTTTCGCAAGTCTATTTCAATTAAAACATATAGGCCAAAGCCAACTGTATAATATGGTTTGGATAAAAACTTCAGAACAAAGACATGAACATTGTCGCATGTATAATGTAAAATCCAACTCACTAATATTGTCTGTTTTTAAAAAAATAAATATGTTGTCTATTTTATATCTATTTTATCTGTCTATTAACTTATAAATTATCACTTGAAAAGATGTTACAAAAAAGATGCACGTAGTAACGAGAATTATTGGAAGAATGGAAGCTAGTACGAAGGTGTAAAATGATAATGGATGAATCATGTCGACGGAATTGAAAAAAATTATTAACAAATTAATTAATTAAGAGACTAGTACTGTATACTATTAACTTGGATGAATGTCAATCACTGACCTATACACGTGTCTTGTCTGACCTATACAAGTGTCCTGAAGATTTCGAGAACCCGAAACTTGATAAAGTCTCTAACATTATAACCAATAACATTCCAACATATTTTCAAAACAATTCGAGAAAGAAGTCCTAACACGTACTTGGCTTCGAAATGCTTGCTAGTTGCTACAACTTTTTGTGTTTTTTTGTGCGCAACGATTTGTCTGCAATACTATTGTCTCAAACATTGTTATACGAACCGATGATTCGGTTGTTTACTTTGTTTTTGATAAACGCTCGTTTACTTGTTGTTAGCCCATTTTTTTTTTTTCGCAAACTTGTTGTTAGTCAATTAATAATATTCATCATATTTTAGAATAATTTATTAACAGTCAAAATCATGATAGAATTAGAAATTTTATCAAATACGCCTTTATTAAATAATTATTTTTTTTCTTATTTAACTATTTTGAAGATTTTACTCTTAGCTAAATCGGCTCAATTTATATGCAAAATAAACTTTTAAAAATGATTTGAAATACACAATTGGGACCTTGATTCGGAATCCACCTAGTAGCTTATGAAAATAGGGAAATAAGGAAAGTAGTTATGATTAAATATTCTAAAAAAAAAACAATTGTTTGATACTTGATATTCAGTATTTTTGAGTTAAAGGAAAATTTCCTAAGTTAAAAGGGAAAATGAGGAGTGGGTTAATTAACATGAGTATTTCGCTCAGCTTGTTACGAAAATTTAGCGATCTCCTTCTTTTATCATCTTATCACTCTTCTTCTGAGAAAAATAAGAAAAGGAAATTTTCCTTTATTCAGGGTTTTGCCGTTAACTCAATTGACTCTTCTTTCTCAAATCTCTATTAAATCCCTAAAACACAAGAAAATATCAAACTCATTTTTCTTCCAACTAATCAAATGGTTTTCTATGTAAACGATAACGTAGACAGCTTCATCGATGTTAAGCGAATCTACAACAACTACAACGGAGGTCGTCTGCGCAATAACCAAAACTTGTTTTTCGATTTCCAAGTGCATTACACTCGTGCCGAAGAAGATAATGACGAAGAAGAAGAAGAAGAAGATCTTCCCAATTTTGACAATCTCGAAACTCTAACCGTTGAGCAAACTCACGAGTTTGATCGAGAATGGTTGTTCGGTGGAGATGGTGATCGTCTATTACATTCTCGATTTGCTCGAAATCCCTTGTTATTATGCGATTGTTAGCACTCTTACTGATGAGATTAAGGATTTGAAGAAACATGATGCGAACGTGGACAGGCTACAAGTAACTTTAGGTGTTACTGTGTCGAGGTTTCCCGGTGAGGATGATGATCACGTAGATGTGCGATTTGCGGTTGCTCCAGCGAACAATGAGGCGGCGGTGGAGACACATTTGACGACGGTTGTTGTTCAGAATGATGGATATTGTGTGATATGTATGGATATGATCCGAGTTGGGTCGGATGTGGAGGCGGGTCGAATGCCGTGTTTGCACGTGTTTCATCGCGATTGTGGAGAGGAATGGCTTAGGAATTGTGGGATTTGTCCGGTGTGTCGTGCTGTGTTTCCTTCTTAAACTCATAAAGTATGTTTTACCTTGTTCATTGCTTTTTTTGTTAGTTCAGCTATATCTTGCATTGTGTAAAACACTCCTTAGAAATTTGTTGAAACTATTTTCTTTCACTGTGGTTTAGATCTCTTCACTACTGTATACTGATGAACTTGTATGCATAAAATAGTTAATTACCTCTATAACTTTGATGTGAAACACACTATTATTGGTAAGTATAGCCAATAGACGAAAGAAAAGGATCAGATATAAGATTCATAGGTTCAAAGGTACATAACAACAACAAAAGAAGATCACAAAGCTACATTCTCTCACCACGTCATTGTACGAATATAAAACCCAAGGGGTAAAAAAAGTTGCATCATCACACCAACCATTTAACTTATTAATTCTAAAGGTAGACACTCAAGTTTATTCAAAGCTACAACAGCAGCAAAGCAGAGAGAGAGAGAGAGAGATCATTACTCGACATGCGTAGTGAGATTAGGTTGTAAGGATTGGAGGCAGGTAGTCTGATTTGGTGCCGAGGATACGGGCCTTTGTGTCCGGGAAGAATTCGAATCCTGGAAGCTCAGTGATGTCACCTTCGCTAGCTACACCAATCGGGTAGCGGAGCAAGTGACCGGGAAGGTCATGTTCAAGTGACTCACTTGAGTAAAAGTCCCAGTACTTGTCAGAAATGCGGTTAACTTTCTCGATGCATTCCAAGCTTGAGGGGTCGAGGAAGGTTTCATCGAGCATTCCCAGGTGTTCGTACCAGAGTGACATACGGAACCCATGGATCTGGCCACGAGCTGGTTGTCTATGGGACAAGTGATGTGGTTGATAACCTCCCATTGCTATCTCAGAGTCTCTTGCACCGTCCATTGACCTCTGGTTGATGTTAGCTGACCCGATAATAATATACTCATCGTCAACTGCAAACGGGTAATCAAGTGAGTCAGGCGCAAACATTTATGTATACTTTCAAGTGTTTTTCAATTGAAATGTGAACTTACCGATCATCATTTTGGTGTGGACGTATATCATGAAGCGGCGGGCTTCTTGCGCCCTCATATAATCTGTGTCGGGGTCTGGTTTCTCAGCAGGCTCATACTCTCCATCTTTCTTGACCTCACGGTTTCCGAGACAGAAGAATGTCAGATAGTTTCTTGGATCTTCCTCAAGACCTTGGGCCCTGAGAGCCTGAATCACATCCTTGTACATCATCTCCATGGTCCTCCTCTGCCAATCTAATATAGCTTGCACTGATCCACTCTCTGGGAGACCTTCTGGCCACATTGGAACCACAACATACACCCTGAACTTCTCTCCTTTCTCGATCTTGCTAACAATCTTCAGCGATAACTCTTTTGGGATTAAGTGCAGGGCATTGATGTCCTCAGGAGTAATACCATCGGCGGCCCAAGCAAAAGAACTCCCAAGGAAGTACTGGTTTTCAACGTAGATGAAATCCTTAGCCCGTCTGATTGCGTGAATGTAAGCATCTTGGATACTCCTATCAATGATGTTATCTTTCCCACTTACAAGCCCGGCTTCCGCAGCAGCTTCAGGCGACTCAGGAAACCCAGCAGCAGCTCCTCCATCAATGGACCTAAACAATTGGACATTCCACACATCGTGGTCCTCTTGGAACATAACAGGAGAAGGGGTGATAATAATATCACTAAGATCTCTCAACTTAACCAGAATGTCTTTACCACCCTGCTTGCTCCATCTCTGCTCGAAGTTGTACATGACATCCCAAGCAATTGGACCTTCAAGACGGGAGTGAATGTCATGCCAAGGCTCCCTTGGACCACCTTTAGTGATAGCAGCACCAGTGAAGTTAGGTTGATGGAAGTCATCATGGTGGACAGTGTCCAATGTCCTGAACAAGGAATGGAACGGAGTGTCGTACCTTCCATCACAGAGATCAATACCACCAACAAAACTCACAATTCTCCTCATTTCTGATCCTCCTCTGCTTGGCATCTCGCTGTCCACAACAACAATCTTCTGATGATGCGTGAACATAGTAGAGATCTGCAAACTTTGCACTATGCTACCACCGTCATCAGGGTTACGAGGGCACAGAATACAATGAACATCACTTCCCCTGAAAAAATTCTCAGTCTCTTCATCATGAGTAGCCATGAGCCCATCTTTCTTCAGCACATCAACAGAAGTTCTGTCATCCCAAACAAGCAAAAGAACCCTGACACCTTCACTAGCCTTCTTCTTGAGTAGCTCACCAATGGTCACATCACCTCCAGGCTTAGGCCTCCTCGAGTCCCTCACTAAAGCAATCTCAGCGTAAACAGACCAACCAGTAATGTAGATCAAGTGTTTTGCATTGCTAATAGCATCAAAAATATCCTCCCAACATCTTTGAGGCTCATAGTTCTTCCCTCCAGCGAGAGGAATCCTAGGAACAAAGTTGTCTGGAATATGAGCATCTTGGTACAGAGAAACCTTGCAACCTTGTCTCTGCGAGAAGAACGTGTATGGAACTCCAGGGAATTTAGCACTTTTGATACCCTTATTCCAGTTACGATCCTCTTCAACATGGAAATATTGGAGCTTGACATGAATCTTTGATCCTCCCTGAATGGGGTTTCTGTCATTATCCAAGATCTCAACCCACCGATCCACTTCCTCGCCATTGATGACTTCGTCAACAGGAATGTATGCTCTTCCGATAAGGGTGGCACCAATGGGATTATCATCTTTAACAGTGAAGATGATATCAGACGCCAAGTGGGCACAGTAAATATGAAACGATTCATACCACTTTGGGTTCTTAGGTTCATTTTTGATCTTCCTGGTTCTCCCAACTCTAGCTTTTTGCAGATCAATCGTCGCATACAACTGCGTTTCTCCTTTGCCAACACCAATCGTCTCTTCTACATTTGCCAGAATCTGAAAGTTTCATCAGAAAATAAAAAAGATCAATTGTGTATCTTGAATTACAACTTCAAGAAAAATATGCAGCACATTTTCATAACATATTAGTCCACAACCTAATTTGAACTACAAAAAAAACAAAATCACAGAAAGACATGATAGCAAAAATGATGCAAAAACAATGGAATCACAAAGAGACAACAAAATTTATGTATATATACCTTGCCAAGGAAGCCTTGCCTGACTCCACCACCATGGAGGGCATCAACTTCATAGATTGTAGCGTGTAAAGTCCCGTGCAACAGATGCTGCGCCATTTTTTCACCTGTTACACCAAATAACAATTGACCAGAACCACTTATCAGTTTCCGACAAAACTAAAAAAAAAGCGAGATCCAGGAATCATAATAGAATCTCAAAGATCTGGTATCAAAAAGACATCAAAATTTTAAAGTAGCCAAAATTTCGCAGTATTGTCCAAAATACAACCAACACTACTTGAATACTGAAACTAAAGTCACTGATCTAACTCAGAACAACAAAAGATCGGATCAAAGTAACAACTACAGGATCATCAAATCACAAGCCAACAAACTTATAGAAATGAACCCGATCGCTGATGATTATCCAAACCAAACCAAAAGTAACAAAAAAAAAAAAAAAGTCAGCAAGTTCTCCACTCATTTCTAAAAACAAAGAACCACCTAAATCAAACGAGTTCTAATCGCAAAACAAGTACTAGAAACATAAAGAAGAAGAATATAGAAAGGATGAGAATCACAGAGATGAAGTAAAGGGTTTAGAGAAATACTAACTTCAAATTTTCCCCAGAAACTGAGATCTGATCGGAGAAACTCAATCGGTCGGTGGTCAGAAGAAGAATTCGGGATCTGGTCCGTGTGGAAGAGCTCTTAAAAGAGCTACTTTGTGGAGCTGCTGATATTTAATTGGAGCGTGTGGGGCCCCATTTTTCATTATTTTCTACATATCTTTGATGATTTAACAGTGACCCAACGTACGAATTGTTTTTAGTTTCAGCCCTAGACTTTGTTAATTTCACAATTAGGCCCTAAATAGTTACTCTTAAGAGATTCCTTTCAATTTAGAACTTTATACTATATAGCTCATGCAACTAAATAACAATATAATTGTGTTTGGATTACTTTGGATTATGTTATTCAACATCCTAATATATAATTTTTGATGAAACAATAAGTTATGTAATAGAGTAAAAAAAGAGAAAATAGAAAGTTAGTGACTAATTGGAAAATTTTGAAAAGTTTAAAGAAGGCCGACAAAAAAAATGGAAATAAATATTCAAAGTTGTAATAAAATCCCTGACTTGAGGATAGGGGGAGACAAAGAAAAAAGAGAAAGATATCCAAATCGTGCGCCCAACGTTCTGCATCCAAATGTTACGACGTCGTTTCCCAAGCTGAATCCTCACCGTCCATCACGAGAAAACTTTATGGTGTACTTTTCTCAAGTAGTACGTGTCGGATAGTGGACATGAACACTAGTAATAATTTAAGTGCTTCATCATTGGATCTCACACATCTTCGTTATAAGATTGTGAAAGTTTTTTTTTTTTTTGGTAAAGAAGAATGTTGATAGATGTATAAAAATATTATCTCACAAACGGAACGTGGCCATGTGGGGATTATACAATGCATTTGTAGACATCTTAAATAGTCTCTGATGTGATATCTAATAAGTTCTTAACTTAGCTCGCATCTGCAACACCCTAAATCATTATGGCGCTCCAAAAGCTTCAAGATTTGTAGTCTCTGATCCAGTTTTTTCTTATTTTTATTACATGGATACGAAGACGGTAAAGATCAGCGATGTATCATTTACGGGAATCAAAGGGACGGTATATAGAAGGCAATATGGTAACACAATGGTAGGATGCAAGAGGCTTATTTTGAAGCATATCGACTTAACATCGGCTGATGGTGCCGGTCAAACTCCTCTAACCATTCCAACTAGAGACTAATCACAATAATATAAGTGTGATTTACAGAATTTTTAGATTTCAGTTATACTATAACAAGAAATGAAAGTGAATCAGTTCTACATAATTATTCGAGATCTAAGTGTCTGGCTATTTCTTCTTTTTTGCTTGGACTTGCATTAACCTTGTGGCTACAGAAGCTATATAGACCCATTTCGTTTAGTGCTTCAGCTATTAATTAGATTTGTCTTACAAAAATACACCTTAATATTAGACATCATAGATTTTTTGGTCGACCCAAGAAAAAATGATCAAGAAGAGATGGTCGAAATTTAGGTGCAGCTCCTGATAATGATATTGTTATATGGGCCATAATTGGGCATAGTGTTGGTGTAACATTCTGCTGAAACATGTATTTAGGCCTGTATTTTGGAATAATCCTAATGTCTGGAGTCTGGACCGTCTGAACTCTGATTCGGAGTTTGATAAGAAAGTGAATACTTTAACTCATTTAGTTGGAATTTTTTTTTTTAATTTAAATAACTATACTAATATTATTATTAGTATATATAAAAATAAAAAGCTAATATATAGAAAACCCAAAAGCGAAGCCGAAACAAAAAATAATAATTAAAAGCTAAACATGAAGTCAAAAATAGACAGAAAAGAGAAGAAGCCAACGCAAGTTTCTTGGGATAAAATGGCTTTTTGCTCAACATTTCTTCAAACTAAAGGAATTAGTTATACGATCCGGTTCATCACTCATCAGTCACAACAAATAACCGTAACACATCGTAATATAAAATTATATAACCAAGGAACCAGAATCGGGAAAGCGTAAGCGTAAGAGTGATGAGGTACTTTATTCGCTGCCTCGTTCACAACTTCTAGGTCTGCAAACCAATAAACTTTGTCATTCACTGTCCGGTTACAATTTCTAGGTCTGAAAACCAATAACCTTTGTCACTCGCTTGCATGATTACAAGTTTCTAGGTCTGAAAACCAATAAACTTTTGTCAAAAGAAGACAAATTTAGCATGATATCTTTTTGATAGGATTGAATATGCCTCACTCGGGTCTCATGTAATCCATCGGTGGACCACTTCTCTCAAGTCGGATTCAAAAATGATATATACACATTTTAATATGCATTCAAAATATCAATTTAGATTATATGTACATATCAGTTTTTGTTGAGTGGACGGACTATCATATAAATCGCGGTATATACAATGTGTTTAATGTAAAGTTGATTCATAACAATAAAAAAAAAAAAAAAAGTTGATTCATAACCTTTTCTTTTTTACTTTTGCTATATAATTGCAGATACTTCCTTGAAAATCAAACCAAACTAAGGGAAATGGAACCAAAAAGCATCTTTAATTAACAAAAAAAAATGGAACCCAAAAACATGAAGACACATTTTATTTTATTGTAATAGATAATAATACAATGCTACGTACTTTTAGGAGAACCTTTTTATTTTTTAATTAATACAGTGCCCACTCTGACGCCTCATGGACACTGGCAATAAATATGAGATTTGATAGTTACTGTATCATTATTTTGTTAAGAAATTGTACATATACGTATTCGTATTCGTATATCCATTTTCTTCACACATTGTCTTCCACTGTCCCACAAATATCCGAAACATGGTAAAGTCCTTTAGCATCTTCTTTTCTATGTAAATATGTATCTTATATAAGTAGTATACTATAGTAGTATAGTAAAGCCTTAGCTTCAACATAATTTTTCCTTTTAGTTGTAAATATATTCATGATTTGACTCTTTTTCTCCAAAATATATGAAGAAGAAGACCTGGTTCTTGAATTTCTCACTGTTCATTCTCCAAATCTTCACATCTTCGATTGCATTGGATGTTACTCAATTCGGAGCGATTGGAGATGGAGTTACAGACGATTCGCAGGTAAAAGATTGATTTGTAGTTGTAATTTGTTCATTATACATCCAAAAAAGTTCCTAATATATCAAACTTTTTTCCTAAAATTAAAAATGAAAATAAAGGCGTTCTTGAAAGCTTGGGAAGCAGTCTGTAGCGGAACAGGAGATGGGCAGCTTGTCGTTCCGGCAGGGATGACATTTATGTTACAGCCCCTGAAGTTTCAAGGTTCTTGCAAATCGGCCCCAATTTTTGTTCAGGTACTCTGTTTTTCCCCTGTTTTTTGTTTTTTTTTAATATTAATGACGAATAAGCTGCTTTTTTCTGTTAAAGTAATGACAAATATGCTGAAGTAAGATTAGTAATTTAATTGAAGATATTAGGCAATCTGGTTGCATCGAGTAAAGGAAATTGGAAAGGAGACAAAGATCAATGGATTCTTTTTACAGACATTGAAGGACTTGTGATCGAAGGTGACGGTGAAATTAACGGCCAGGGTTCGAGCTGGTGGGAACACAAAGGCTCCAGACCTACCGTGAGTATCACGTTAGCTGTTTGTTTTTCCATAACATTGATTCGTTTTGTATGCAGTTTTATCTAAATTAAAAACAAGATAATTATGATTTATGAGATTAGGCATTGAAGTTCAAGAGCTGCAACAACCTTAGATTGAGTGGGTTAACGCATGTAGATAGTCCAATGGCTCACATTCACATAAACGATTGCAACTATGTGACCATCTCAAGCCTACGAATAAATGCACCTGAATCAAGTCCTAACACTGATGGAATCGACGTAGGCGCTTCATCCAACGTTGTCATCCAGGATTGCATCATCGCAACCGGTATGAATAAACTCGATTTTTGGAGACTCTTGGAAAATTTACAAATACAGTTAGTATTGGCTCAATTTATATACATTATTGAAAAACAAAAGCAAGTTTTGGAACGGGTTTGATGTATGAATGCAATCTTCACATGTCAAAATAGACGGTCCACCAAATGTCCTATCTAAATAATGTCATTTGGAATTTACTGATTATCATCATTGATAGGTGATGATTGCATTGCGATTAATTCGGGGACGTCGAACATCCACATTTCCGGTATAGATTGCGGACCAGGCCATGGAATAAGGTTAACCAAATTAAAAATGTACTACAAAATGTTATCTATGTTTTAGATTTATAGATAATCATGTATATTGTAAAATGTATAGCATAGGAAGCTTGGGAAAAGATGGAGAGACAGCTACAGTGGAGAATGTATGTGTCCAAAACTGTAACTTTAGAGGAACTATGAATGGTGCTCGGATCAAAACTTGGCAGGTACTTTTGAATTTTCTTATTAAACTCTCATTCAGCCACTTTACATTGTGTTTCTTTTTCTTGTTCTTTTAAATAAGTTCTGGTTATATATACATAGGGCGGATCGGGTTACGCGAGAATGATTACTTTCAATGGAATTACTCTAGACAATGTTGAAAATCCAATCATAATCGATCAGCTCTACAACGGTGGAGATTCTGATAATGCCAAAGATCATAAGGTACGTATCTCAGATTCTCAATTTTACTTTGATCATAAGACTGTTTTTAATAACAAAATTTAAGTTTTTTGTTTGGTTTTGTAGTCGTCGGCAGTGGAAGTGAGCAAAGTGGTGTATAGTAATTTCATTGGGACGTCGAAGTCAGAGTACGGCGTTGACTTCCGATGCAGCGAGAGAGTACCATGCACAGAAATTTTCTTGAGAGACGTGAAAATAGAAACGGCATCATCAGGATCAGGACAAGTCGCACAAGGACAGTGTTTAAACGTGAGAGGTGTGTCAACACTTGCTGTACCAGGTCTAGAATGTTTAGCCCTTTCCACAGATATGTTGTCATCGACGCAATTGCCGGAACAAACTTGCATGTTGGCACAATCAGTGCAACCAAGTACAACACAACCGATGCAAGATCCAATATGGGATTTTGAAAGCAGAGGGAAACGACTTAGAGTTTACAATGCCGTATTAGTTTCATTTGTCTCTTTGGTTACATATATTTTAGGTAATTAATTAATTCAAGATTTCAAAAGTTCAAAGATATAAGTGGCTATGATAAGTTAATTGGGAGTTTGAAGTCTAATTGTGTTGATAAGTGTCACCACCTCAAAAGCCTATTTTTCCAATGAGATTTTTTAACATTTATAACAAAAACTAAAAATCAAAAACCAAAAATTTCACATATCAAAAACGAATCTATTGCCATTTATTGCCGTAAATTGTGGTATTTCCGTAATAAAGGTATAGTCAAGGGTTTAAATTGAAACATATTCATTAACATTTAAACCGGTTTAACTAGTGGTAGAAACTAGAAAACCGACATTTCGATATTTAAACCGATTTGCAGAAACGCTCGTGAAGAAATCAAATCTGTGTTAGTTTCTCTTCTCCACTGAGAAACGCGTTTGAAGGAGAAGGGTCAAAGGGATCTGAATCAATCTTTTTGGCTGGGAAAAACTCGAAATTGAAGGAAGAAGAATCATGGGTTTCATCGGAGAAACTGTAGATTCCATCAAATCTATCAAGATCCGTCAGCTTCTCACTCAGGCTATCACTCTCGGTTCGTTTCAATATCAATTGCTTTAACCTCATTTGTGTTATCTAGATTTCACCAATGTTACATCTTGAGAAGCTTAGATATGATTCGTATATAAAGGTTTGGTTTTGTTTTGGGTATAGGTATGATCGTTACATCTGCATTGATAATTTGGAAGGCATTGATATGTGTCACTGGCAGTGAATCACCTGTGGTTGTTGTTCTTTCAGAAAGCATGGAACCTGGCTTTCAGAGAGTGAGTCACATTTTGTTTGGTTTTTGATTTTGAAACTAGTTGATTATGTGATTCTTGGTTATTGATTTTGAGACCAATGTGACAGGGGGATATATTGTTCTTGCGGATGACCGATGAGCCTATTCGAGCAGGCGAGATTGTTGTTTTTAGTGTTGATGTTAGTGTGTCTCTTGTTCTGTTCCATCAATTTACTATCTCCCTTCCAATTTTTTGTCTCCTAATTTGCCTTGATGCTTCTTCTTTCAGGGTCGTGAAATTCCCATTGTTCATCGAGCCATCAAAGTAATGTTTCTCGTACATTTTCTCATCTCTGGACATCACAGGTTCAGGATACTTACACTTGATGGCTCACTCGCTTTTTTGTTGTTTGAACACATCACAGGTTCATGAGAGGGGAGATACTAAAGAAGTTGATGTTCTAACAAAAGGTGCTAGTTTGTTGGTCTGAATGGATAAGAATAACCCTTTATATTTTATAGTAATAAATTCATGGGTTACTTGACACACCTTTGCATTTTCCAGGTGACAACAATGACATTGATGACATCGGTCTCTATGCTGAAGGACAACTTTGGCTTCATAGGCACCATATCATGGGCAGAGCTGTTGGGTAAACACTCTAATTCAACAAGCTTTTGTGCCGTGTGATCTCATTGAAACTACTCCGAAAATGTCAATACTCAATAGTCGTAAATGGTTCCCTTTTGATCCTTTTTTCAGGTTCTTGCCTTATGTTGGATGGGTGACTATTATCATGACAGAAAAGCCTATCATCAAGGTAAAATCTTTTAACACGACCTGCAATTTATGTCATGGTTTTTGACTTTGAGATATATGTACTCACTATTAACATCTTTTTCCATCTTCTCTTCTTTCAGTATATACTCATTGGTGCATTGGGTTTGCTCGTTATAACATCCAAAGACTAAGACTACAAAAGAAGCTGGTCGTTGGTAAAGAAGTAGCTTCTGCAACGCTCGGTTCATCATCTTTGTAGCCATCATCTGTGGGCGACTTTTAAACTGTAGAATCATATAAACCTCAATTTATATTTATAGACACTTTTATCTTTAAATTAGCTACGTTACCACAATCTCTTCTTTAGCAGCGTTGTCTATGATCTGCACTCAGGTAGAGATTTTTCGAATAGTTTTAAGAAGCGAAATTCGTGATGATCTAAGCTCTGAAGGGATGTATTAAAAATAGCCGCCGAAGTTAAAAAACGATTGAAATATGACGATTTTAATGAAAATAACCAATAACTAGTGTTTAAGATTACAGCTTGAAATCACAGAAGCAGTCAGGGCAATGCAGATCCTCTGCCAATTTCTTCAGCTCTTCCTCTTCATTTCTATAAGAACTTAACTCTGCAAATGCTTTTCTGCTAAAGAACAGAGTTTTATACATCCATTTATATGCTAGCAACCATTTTATCCATGTAAAACATGAAAATCCAAGACAGCTTTTGTATTTCCATGCATTCTTGTGACATCTTCATGGTTTAGCAAGTAATGAACACAACTATGTATAAACCGATGTAAAACCTCCCATCTCCATCAGACCATGTTGGTTGTTAAATTTGTATGCAGGATTGTAAAGTCTATGACATGATAACCAATTAACCATAACACGAGACAATCAACGATTTTTTTTGGTTTAACAAATAAAAATCAGTATACTAATGTTTATTTATTTAATGCATATTATTGTCAAAGTAGCTTGTCAATCATCTAAGATTAATCACACGATCGAATAAAATAGGATAAATAAATCTTGAGGTCCTCCAACGACTAACACTTGAATAAATAAACAAAACACTACGTGCGGGTCAGTACAAGCCATGGCTAACACGATCATCTATGTACTTATATGGTTATAACTTATATGTTCTTTGAGTGATTAATTCGTTGAATTAAAGAAAAAAGAGATAGTAAGGATGGGAAAAGATTTCAAGAGTATGGTGACACGATGCATCTACGTAGGAAAAGAGAACGATAACGTGAAGAAGCTGAAAACCGCGACGGAGGAGCTCAAAGATTTACGCAACAATGTGATGAAAAGGGTCAAAATGTATGAAGACCAGCAGAAGCTGAAGCGGCTCGAGAAAGTCCAGGTTTGGCTTAGACAAGCCGATGTAGCGATCAAAGAAGCAGAAGAGATGTTGATAACGATGATGTCTTCTTCTTCTTCAAATGGATCAAGCATGATGAGTAGTCACAAGATGGACAAGAGGCTTTGCAAGAAGCTGAAAGAGGTTCAGGAGATAAAGAGTAGAGGAACATTCGATGTGGTGGTTGAGAATAGTGGCATTGGTGGATCGATGATGATTTCGACCGTTGATAGAGATGATCAGACGGTTGGATTGGAGGCGGTTTCGGGGCTAGTGTGGCGGTGTATGACGGTGGATAACACCGGGATTATTGGGTTGTACGGCGTGGAAGGTGTTGGGAAGACGACGGTGTTGACTCAGGTCAACAACAGGTTGCTTCAGCACAAGTTAAATGGGTTTGACTTTGTGATTTGGGTGTATGTGTCCAAGAATCTGAATCTTGAAAAGATTCAGGACACTATCCGAGAGAAGATAGGGTTTCTTGATAGGTCGTGGACGAGCAAGACAGAGGAAGAGAAAGCCGGTAAGATCTTCGAGATACTTAGCAAAAGACGATTCGCTTTGTTCCTTGACGACGTTTGGGAGAAAGTCGATCTAGGTATACGATTACTTGTGATCCAAGAAACTATATGACTTGTGAACTAAGTTTTCATGAGTTGCCCTAGCCTTGATTTGGTCTAAATATTTAGCGTTTTAAATTTGTCAAACAGTGAAAGCTGGTGTGCCACCGCCGGATGGACAGAACAGATCAAAGATCGTGTTTACAACCTGTTCGGACGAGGTTTGTCGGGAAATGGGAGCACAAACTAAGATCAAAATGGAGAAGCTGCCATGGGAGAGAGCTTGGGACTTGTTTAAGAAGAATGCGGGAGAAGATACAGTGAAGAGCCACCCGGACATAACCAAAGTTGCTCAAGAGGTTGCAGCCAAGTGCGATGGCCTCCCGCTGGCTTTGGTCACAATTGGCCGAGCCATGGCCTCTAAGAAAACACCTCAGGAATGGCGTGACGCTTTGTACATCTTGAGTAACTCTCCTCCTAATTTCTCAGGTCCAATTCCATAAACTTTTAAACATATATATTATTAGTTTATTACTTTTAATTAGGCTTCATTTTCGTGTGTATATTACTAACTAAGGTTTTATTTAATTGTGTAACAGTTCTCAAGTTACTGGACAGGAACTAATATGTACACTCGATCGAGGTATTATATATTTTTGGCATGTTTGAAAATTGTTAGATTTTCTGATATTCAAATGGTAACTATAGTCCATTAATTGTTCATCAGATAAATTTGTATATATTTTTTCTTATCATTTCCTTTTTTCCTTGTAGGAACCGTGTTGTGCATGGAGAGCTTAAAGATAGTTGCGTAGATTTTTATTAGGGAGATTAATCATTTTTGTGTATTTTATTTGAGAGTTATTGTATTATTTACGTCACCGGCTTAGAGTTTGAAGAATTTGGTTGAAGCTTGCAATGTTTTGATGGTTAATTGTTGGTTTTGTATTTAATTTTCATTTTTTAACTGAAAAAAGTTTGATTCTCGTTACGCGACGCATGGATTAATCAGTTTATTCATTCGTTTCGTTATTATTGATCTTAAATATCTAAGGACAAAAACAAAATCTCCTGAAGGATAATATGCTTAGCTAATTAAAGTGAGAGTTAGGCACAAATTTAGGCCATAGTTCAATAATTGTATTCCTTCTTATGATTAATATTATGGTTGTCTTGTCTTCATCACGGCACATACTTTATCAGTCTTTTCTATTTTCTCGAAACTTCAAATCATCGACTCATATTCATTATATACTATAATATGCATCAATTCGTGAAAGAAAATAGTATTATATGCATTAATGTGTAGTCAGAATATATTATCAGAATGTTTAATAGTCGAAAGTAGGATAATCTTCAACAAAATGAGGAAAATAAAAACCTGAAATTCTTTGAAATATTTTTAACAAAAAAATCAAGATTCAAAAGTAAGAATTTTGAAAAAGAAATACAAAAACATATGCGTATCTCCTGTTCTAAAAATTCCCGCCTACCCCGATTACTCCCCGCTTAATTTCTAGGCCCACCCTATCCACCTCGATTAATGACTAATCCACTAAAGAAATCAGTTACCCGATTACTCTCCGCCTAATCAGATTACTTTCTGCCTAATCCGATTACTCCCCGCCTAATCTTACATATCCGATTATTTTTAGATTCCAAGTATAAAAAACTTTTTATTTTTGTTATTCAATCATTTAATTTGGGAGTTTGTGATGTTTTACAATAACTTATGTTCAAACTTTAATAAAAATCATAAATTTGTAATAAAAATCATAAAAATTTGTCTCAAAAATACAGTTTTATGTGTTTACTGCAATTTTGAAAACAATATTAGATTAATATGTTTTAAAAATATGAAAATAACCCTAAAACTAATCCCCGATTTTAATCCGATTTTCCGATTAATCGCTAGGCCCATACCGAGCGCCCAGCGATTTTTCAAACAAGGTGTGTATCTAATGATTTTGCACTATAAACTAAGGTTTATCTTAATCCAAAAAAAGCTTATTCTATCAATAGTTCAATGTATCTAGAGCCATATCTTTTATCTTTATACATACATTACAAATAATATATGCATATATTTATCTATATATAGATATGTTCAAACAAATCATTTGAGTACTACTTAAAGAAGACAAAGCAAGAATTAAGCATTAGTGTTAAAGAAACACCATATGAATCAACGTTTCTCTCATCTCATATTTTCTGGTTACAGATCATCAACCTATGAGCCGAGGAGGGCCGTAGAACAGCCTAAGAGAGCAACGGCGACAGTGGAGAAATTTCCGGCGAGGAAGCCAGTGGTGAAGGAACGCGACATCAACGAAAGAGCAGAGGCATTTATACAAAAATTCCGAAAGCAGCTTCTTCTCCAACGTTAGGAATTAACTGTTAAATAACAGCAATGCCCAAATCTTTTAACTGTTAGAATCAACTATCATTTATACATAGAATCTTGGGATTGTTATAAATCATCTATGTACGATTAAAAAAAACTACCACAATGTTTTTATATTTATAAAAAAAACATACAGAATAAAGCAGTCTTAAAGAAGAACTTTCATACAAGCAAAAGAGAAACATAATACAAATATGAATGAAGTTTCTTTGTCTAAAAGCATACACAAGGAACATTATCATAACTTAAAACCAGCTCGAATTTGGTTTTACTGAAGCTTCTTGATCCCCGGAAAGGATGGAAGGATGGAGATGAGAGCATCATTGTATCCTACAGGCTCTGTTCCGAATGAGAAAACGAGAGAAACAAATCATTACACGGAAAGTTTTAAGAAAAACGAGGAAAGGTTAAGGATGAAGAAAGACTTGCCTCCATCTTCTCGGAGTATCTTGACTACCTCGCCGGTAACATCAGCCTAGAAGATTGATCGAAAAACAGAGAAGCAATTTTAACTGACTTGGTTGAAGCAAGAGATAGATAATTACTAAATCAGAAATTCAAATGGAATCTTATCTAACCTCGATTGGAAATTGGCCACCGAGTTGTTCAATGTAGCACAGAATTTGACCTTCTTTCACTTGGTCTTTCTGTCAGATTAAACAAGAGCAAAGAAGAGATTAGTCAGTGGTTTCCCCCATGAAATCAAACACTCTTCTGTTCAAGAAGATTGGTTATACCTCTTTACAAGACGAAGGCAGGCGTTTACCCTTTATGGTTTTGGATCTCCTGAAGAACCCTACCTGCACATATCACACCATTTAGATTGGGATCAACTTTCTGATTGAAACTCACCTCTCTTTTTCACTTTTTAACGGAAAGTTACTCAGAATTAGAAAAGATAACATTTTCCAACAGAGCATATGATATTTTGCCTTTAAGTTGTGTGATCTCTTACTTTTGGAGATTGGAGAATCATCAAACCCTGATCAGCGGCTGACGATGCTGGTTTTGAGATAGCCAGTGAAGTAGAGGAAGCTGATCCATTCAAATCAGGACTCTCGCTAGGTTCATTTGAACCAGCTACAGCAGGAGTTGGCGGAGGTTGTGGACTACTATTGTCAGCTATGTTCCTTGCTACATATAGTCGGAAACCCCCCAGCTATTAGAATGTGCAAATGAAAGACGCAGAAAAAAATTAGATAAGAATCCTATTCAAAAACTTAGCAGAAATGACTCTGCAAAAGAGCAATAACATGACAACCATTCAACTGAGTAAGAGCCTTACTTTCAGTTCAAACTCTGCAATTGATGAAGAATCGCATATTTCAGTGACAAGGGCTTCCACCTAAAAGATAGAAAAATAAATCAAACAGAATGCATCCAATTAAAAAACAGACTCAAAAATGGTTTTAACAGTGCAACCAACAAGTGAATTTTCCACTAACTCCTCAAGATAACACATTCTCTTCTCTTCCATTAGACAGTAAGGGAGAAGAAATTCAGAAATCATCAGCCAGAGTTCTTCAAATGACATCCTAACATTTAATGGAAAATGAAAACCCACCTCAGAGGGCTTGGGAACAAGCTGAGCGTTCAATGGAGACGGCTTGGTCTCTTCAGAATCTTGTACTTCTATAGTAGCTGTGGATAAGAAGGTTAAATCAGAAATCATTAAAGGAAAACTAAAAGACACTCTCCATGCACACATCATCCCACATGTGGACACACTCGATGTGCAAAACATATCGATAGCAAAATCGCTAAAATGAGCATATTCTACCATAGAAGAAAGACCAGAAGATAAGAAAACATATAGAGATAAGTGTACCTGATGTTTCTGCAGTTGGGACAGTAGACACTTGGACAGCTTTCACAGATCCAAACGTTGTCCTGAGACTCAAGTACTTCACCGGCCTTTGCCCAAGCAATGATCTTTGATTGTATGGTACCAGTAAGCTTCCAGATCTTACTCTACTAAGGTCTACTGCTGAGATTTTAATTTTAGGAACTCCTAGGCTACCTGAAACATACGCATAGGTCTCAATTGGGGAAATCAGCGAAAACTAGACGAGTCAAAAGAAAGACAAAAATCAGCACTAAATCATCAATATGATCACTCACTTTTTAAGTTGTACATAAGCAAGTCTTATACACTCAATCCAAGATAGCTCCAGCAGGTTTTAAGTAATTCAAAATATAATATCTAAGAATTAACTCATGTATACTCAACAGTGAGAGATTAAGTAATATTGTCGAGAAATTTGTATTAAGCAATACAAATTTTGGAAATAATTTATCAATGCCAAACTCATGGCAATGGTGATAAACGATGTATCAAATTAGATTAGCTTCGCAAATTCAATATCAAAGGAAGTAAATTGAATCTCATCGTCATTGAGACGAAGACTGAACAGAAATTCTTCAACTTTAGATCTCTAATTCTATACCAAAATCAACCTAATTGTTCAAAGTTAAGTCCTTTATGAGTATCTATATCACTCAATAAGCAGAATCCACAAAGTCCCAACCTTTCGATGAATATGATTCTATGAGAGCAGAAAACTACGAAATCTTTCAAATTTGAATGTGTAAACAAAAACCCAGTCTCCTGTACGACGATCCCAAGAAGCTGGAACAATTAAGACAACAAGAGACAGGTAGAGAAACTTACAGGAAGCCATGGAGGGAGACAATGATTCGAGAAACAGAAGAATGTAAGGAAGGAGAGAATGAGATTGTGAGCTGATACGATAACGATAGGAACGAGGACACACGATTTGACGAGTGTGGAGATGATCAAATCAAAAATTTTGAGGTTAACGCTCGTCGTTGGTTGGGTTTCGCTCGTTCGATACAACCAGAGTGCTTATTGTACAACGAAGCACGAAACATCAAACTTTTGTTTTATTTGGGCTCTTATAGCCCATATAATAAAGCCCATTATTGGCCCCTTATTAATTTACTTTTAGCTTCATTTTTTTTATATGATATTGTTTTTGCATTTTAGGTATAATAAGTCTTACAACTTACATTTTCTATATATCATCAACACAATTTCTCCCAGAAAAAAAAACTAAGTAATTCAATTTAATTTTAGAAATACAAATATTAATAGGTTAGGATTCGCGTTATGTCGCGGGATATGTTTTTGTTGATGAAGAACCTCCTCCATATTATTAGATCCTAAGCATTTTTGATTTTTTTGATATAAATGTAAGCATTTTTGAATTCAGAATAGTTTGGAAGTTAGAAAATTTTGGGGGGTAAATTTGTAAAATTTTGATTATTATTGCAGTCACTAGTCACTAGGTTGATAGAATTATGTCTACTAAAAAGTGATTGTAAGTATATTTCAGTCTAGGAAAAAAAAGTAGCAACTCATGTATAAAGCGATGAAATTGAGAAGAGAATCTTCTTTTAAGAAAGACATGCAGCGTACAATGATTAGAATAATAAAACTCTTAAAAAGAAACTGCAAAAGAAAAATTACGAATTAAGGAAAAGAAAAGAAAAAGAAATATAATAAAAATGGATAATACATCCAAAAGCACGACAGCTAAAGTTACAATATTGGCTCTCATTGCAACAACATCTAACAAAATTATCATCTTTTAGTTCTCTTTTGCTTCTGCTTCTCCTTTCCATTGATCCAGACGGTGCCTAAAAAACATATCAACATAATCAAATACAATATCTTAATCATAGGAAGAAATAGTATTTGTGTGCAAAAAAATAATTGAAAGTTTTTTGTTGAAGAATATGTTTGAAAGTTGAATTACCTAAGAAAATGGAGACAAGGCTACTTCAAAAGCATTTTGTATAACTTAGAAAGTGGTTCTGTTGCTGAAGTCCCTTGGTGCATTGCATCTGAAGCATTCCATTCTGCTTGCAAAGTTATGCTCATTGCAACCAATCCTGTTTTCAATTTCGATTATAGTCTTTATCAATCAAACCAACTTTAATATACGTATAAAAACTATATATTATATTCATTAATCGAGTTATATCAACCAAGTGTATTAATTTGGTACCTAGTACAAATCCAGTCGCCGGATTTCCAGCTAGAGCGACCACCGTTACCGGGGACTCTAGACCGCATAACGTCTGCGTCAAACATGGCCGGACCACCGATGCCACCGCCTCCGCCTCCAGCGCCGGTCTCGTCCTTGAAAGTGCCGCATTTGAAGCAAGTGGAGCGACTGGCGAAGTTGTGTGTCCCGCAGTTTCCGACGGTGCAGTACCAATCACCGGGACGAACGTCAGAGCCGGTGGTGAATCCGAAAGCAGACATGGCTCTGCCGCCGAAACCACCGAAGTCTAAGCCACCGACTCCACCAGGGCCGGAACGAGAGTCACCGCATCGCTGGCAAGAGTCACGGCGCTGGAAGTTGAGGTGGTTGCATGACCTGCAGTTCCAATCTCCGGGTCTGTTCATTCTTCAGTTCTTGTATGCGTGCGTTTATATTATTTTCTGTAACATGCATATAAATTTGAATATTTCGATTAGATACTTCCATTAAAAAGATTAGTAGAAATATTTCTAAGAAAAACAAAAGATTGCGAAGTACCACGCAACTAATGAAAATGAACTCTTGCTTTCGTTAAAAGTTAATTAGGACAAAAACATCAAGTGTGTGGTTAACAAAATTATATTTATATGTATAAAAACATGTACAGTAGTGGATATATATATACGCTTATTCTAGTTTTGAAGATCAATTTTCTTACTATATTCATAACGTATAACGTATTATTTGCCAATTGCTCGTGGCTGTATATTTCTCAAATCAATATCTAAAAATAATCAAATAGTTAGAAAATAATATAAATTAGAGACTGACCTTGATGAACTTGGAGAGATATGTGATTATATGAGTTTAGTGAAAGAAATCAAGACACAAGGCTTTGAAAGAGTGATGTGAAGAGGATGGGCTTAAATAGAACACACAAGAACAACTGGTGGCTCATTTGAAAAAAAAAAAAAAAAAATTAATAATTTACTTTTTCGTTTTCTTCACCTCAATATTGTAAACTTTCGCAAAAGAAGAGCAACAAAAAAAAACCGAGAATATTTAAAATAATTAAGTGAAAATTCCGGCTGATATTCCCAAGCCTATAATTTTTTTAGTATGGATAATTAATTACTCTGGCCATAGCTTTGTTGTATTATGATATAATTAGATTGAAGCATGTTCATGTAACTCTTATTCATAATTACAAGTACTTCATATCAAGAATTAAAAAATTTAGAAATATGTTATACTAGATATGGATATATAGTATAATGGATTTTATTAATGTCTTTACTACATCACCACATGATCAATTGAAACATGCATAATGCATGTTGTTGAAAAACCTATGTTATAAATAGGTTTTTTCAAATTAATATTCCTTTATGCAAAATTAGACATAGTCAAAGATATACTCAACAGTTGATGCCACAACTTGATTTTTTGCTCGACATGTTTTTTTGTCACCTACTCGTTCTTTTTATCGTCTTGATCACTTCATATTTTTATATAACAGTTGTAAATTTAAAGTACTTTGGTTAGAATCTTGGGTCAAAGCATAATGTAATTTTAAGTAAATTAAGAGTCATCAGAAGCCAACAAACAACTTAGGAGCCCACATCCAACTAAAAGAAAGAGATCTTGTTAACCTCTAGCTCTACACAAAAGTCCTTTGACTCGTACCTTTTTGGACCCTCTATCTCTTATGCTCTTATACATTTCATAACTATATTTTATTAATTGATGATTATACGCTTCAACACCAAGGAAGCTCATCATTTAGTTACCAATGAACGATAGTATTTAATTCAAGTAGCTAGTGGCTAAGCTAGCTAGGCGACCTTGCTTACCGATTACAACCAAATTAACACGTTAATGTTAACAGAAGTAACGAGATTCACAACTAAAAATGTATATATAGATAGCGAAGAATGCAGCGAAATAGTTGCCGTAGATACCATTTTGCGTGATATCCGAGATTCAAGTAGTTTTCTTTTACAACTAATTTGAAATTACAAGAATCAATCTATGTTGCAATAGGTTGCTATATATATCTAATAACATTATAAGCCAGATACCTCAAATTTCACACCTAAATATACATACACATATTTCTCAACGTGGATACCGTTTTGTGAGTGAATAATAATAGGTATTAAAACCCCTAGGAAATCGGTTAGACCACAAAAAATGAAAGAAAAAAATTGCTAGATAAAACTAGATAAAGGAGTACATATATAACTATAAAGATGATATGTCTTTGAATAGAGAATCGATTCGGTATCTTCTACGTGGTATAAGCTTTTGGTTGATATAGGAAAAGGTAGCTTAATCTCACAATTACATTATGGTAAGTCTCTTTCATTTATACTTTAAGGAGGCAAAGGAATCGACATCCGAGACACGAATAAAAATTTATACCACTTTTGAATTTTGAATATTCACTATCTTTTGTTCTTCTTATCTTTTTACAAAAATTATAATACAAGTTCTCCTTTGCTTAGCAGCAACGTAACAAAATTTGTAAACTTTAAAATAAAGAATGATCAGTGTGATAGGATATTGATTAGTTTACATGGTGCGTTAGGATTTGCCATATTTAAATGATGTTTCTAGCTTGCACTATTTCTTTGTTGTTGCATGTTCTACTCTGAATATATAATATTCTTAAAGCGAATATAATCGAAGCTCTTACGTTGATTTATATGTTGAAAGTGGTTAAAACAAAGTTGAGCTAATATAATCTCAAAAATATATTGTAGATAGCAATTTTAATATCAATACAATAATCATACAAAAAAAAAAAAAATTTCCTAAGATTTGTTAAGAAGATTTTCATACGATTTAAGTTTGAAATGGTATAAACAACAAAATGATTACAAATGCGTCAATGGGATAGATATGAGAAAACCATACAAATATAATAGTGAAAAAAAAACACTAATATAATTATGGGTCAAAAAAACATAAAAAGAGGGGAAAAGAAAAGATAAAGGGAAAATCAAAAGGGATGAGGCAAAATAGAGAGTTTCAATAAAGATAAATTTGGGTGATGGTGACGGAATAATTCTTCGATGTTTTCGTTTTGACCATCTTTTCCTTTATTTCTCACTTTAATTTTCCTTTATTTCTCTCGCTGTTTATTCCCAGATTTTTTTTAAAATTAACTTGTGCAAAGAAATAAATTTGGCAATCTTCGAAATATACTAAGATTTTTCTATTATAATTAACAAAAATAAAAAGAGAGGGAAACTGCTAATATCTGGAGTCCATTCTCTTGGAGAAGAGTAAAGTGGGCAAAACAAAAAAAAAAGGAACTGAGCTGATTCGATTCTCTTTGGGACTCCCATCCATGCATCACCTCTCCCACCTTCTTTCATTTCACTTTTATTTTTTATTATTTTACAAAATTAAGTACTAATTACCTTTTTCACTGTAAGCATAACAAATAACAAAACCTTTATTACGGTCTCAAACGCTCAAAAATATTTTAAAACATAGTAAAAGGTTTTGTTCAGTACAATTTTAAAGGGGGCAAAAAAACAATTTTCTTACAAAATATGGATACCATTGATTACTTACCAATTTACCATCTATGTTTCACCGTAGAATTTATAATTGGGATGGCTCACGGTGGTTGTGATGGCGTTTGTTCCAAGAGTGCCATATTGTTCATTTGTTCTCATGTTTCAATCCACAACACGGTTTGGATCAATGTTATTAACTAATCAAAGTGAAACTAGAGAATATAATAAGGGATTGGGGAAAATTTTGAAATATCAAAGTAATTCTTTTTAAGTGGATCCATTGATCAAGGAGGCCACTAAATTTGCTCGAGGCTTGGTAGTGGGTTCATTTGTGTTTGATACACTGTTTTGTTACTCATCCTTTTTTTGTCTGACATCGTATATATATCACGTGTATCGGTTAATTACATGTCACTTTACCAACTTGTGTAGTTGTCTGTGTGTGTCTATTACTCGTACTTCCGTTTGCGTTCATATAATTCAACGCAAATGTTAGTATTTATATAATTCTAGCTAATTGCATCATCTATATATTTGCATTTGATTAACAGAAGGCAAAATATTCCTCGGCTAATTGTCACACTAGTTATATATGTGGAGGTGAGTAGTTAATAACCTGGAAGTTGCTCGGTTTATTTTATATGAGATCAAGTTTGACCCTTTTTCAGTGAAGATTATTAATAATTTAAGAGTATTTTAATCGTACTATTTTAGTTGTAGTTAATATATACGTCACGGAACATGTAACGACCGACGACGACCGATTTTCTTGTAACGATCGATACAATAAAAAAAATAAAAATTAGCCATCTCATAACATGCGATGACGATACTTATGGTGTTGCCACGTAGCGAGCATCTTCCTCTGAACCATGAGGTGTCGCAACCACAGAGGACAACACGTACAAGACCGAGAAACCGCATACTAACACTCGCAACGTAAAGCACAACACCCCTAAACTCCTCCTTTTTAATTCGGTTTAAATCTCAACACACCACGCGGCTATACACGTGTCAATTTGCTAATACGTGTCTTCTTCTCCGGGCGACCAAGACACACTACAAATGTCCCGATGGTTTGGGGAGACAATTCACAGTTTCTTCTACAACAACAAACATTTTCACAAGAAAAGCTTTAAAAACCTATCTAGTGTCGTTTCATATCTTACGCATTTGAAGAAAGACAATGGCGTCCAACCAACAGAGCTACAAGGCTGGTGAAACCAGAGGCAAGGCCCAGGTAATAAGAACATATTTGTGTGTGTATGTATACTAAAAACCACATTATATTTCAAGTTCTAAGATGCTTTTGTTTGTGTAATAACAGGAGAAGACTGGACAAGCTATGGGAACTATGAGGGACAAGGCTGAGGAGGGCAGGGACAAGGCTTCTCAAACGGCCCAAACAGCCCAACAGAAGGCCCATGAGACAGCTCAGTCAGCTAAAGATAAGACATCTCAAACTGCCCAAACGGCTCAGCAGAAGGCCCATGATACGACTCAAGCAGCAAAAGACAAGGCATCTCAAGCTGGCGACAAAGCTCGCGAGGCCAAGGACAAGACCGGGAGCTACATGTCGGAAACAGGCGAAGCCATAAAGAACAAGGCTCAAGACGCTGCTCAGTACACAAAGGAGACGGCTCAAGGTGCGGCTCAGTACACAAAGGAGACAGCTGAAGCTGGTAGAGACAAGACCGGTGGGTTTTTGAGCCAGACCGGTGAGCATGTTAAGCAAATGGCTATGGGTGCAGCTGACGCAGTGAAGCATACTTTTGGGATGGCTACTGAGGAAGAAGACAAAGAGCATTTTCCAGGAAGTACTACGACCACTACTGCAAGTACCCGGACCACTGATCCGACTCATCAGACTTACCAGAGGAAGTGAGAAAACCAAAATTGAGAACGATATGAGAGTGTCTTTATGTTTGTTGGTCTTTTGAGTTCTGTGTTGTGTTTTTTTAGTTTCCGTTGTCTTTCTTTGCGTTTGTGGTTCAGTTGTGTTTCTTGTTGTGATGGTGATCCTGGAGAATTCTAATTTCCAGCCAATAAGTTTAGATTTGATCCTGTTACAACTTTCGTGTTTTCCAATTTTTGTTATAATAAACAGTTATTAATACACATCACGGTCCACTTCGTATATTCGTCATCAAGCATCTAGTATAGCATTGTAACAGAGATCTAGCTGTCTAAACCAAACGGGTTTTACTAATCTTTCAATTTCGTTATACGAAATAAAAATTAAAAGTTTAATATTATTTTATTAAAAACTTCAATAAAACATTTATGTGGCTCAGCTTTGTCATACTTTTTTGTGCAGACAAAAGCTTTTACTTCGTTCAATTTCACCTATTGATAGTTAGATAATGTCTACCAAAATGAGAGAAGCAAACCGAAAAAATTGAAACAGTAATTTATCTAAACCGAACCAAGCAAAATAAATGAACCAAAGATCAAGAAGTCAACGGACCTTTTGGGTGACAATCCCAAACGACGTCATATAACACCTTAGGGTTATGAGTTACGACACGACGTCGTTCTCTTGGTCGGTCACTTGAGAAAGAGAAGCGGTCGTGGCATTGTAAGATCTCTTTAGAGATTTTCTTTCTGCTCCGTCCTCTTCCTCGTAGAGCTAATCTTTCTCTCTTTCCTGTTCGTGATAATTTTCTAGACACAGATTATATCAAAACTGCGGAACATTTTGAGTCGGTTGAATAAATCTGCGTGATTTAGAGATGGCGGCTTCTTTATCGACCAGACTTCTTAAAGGAATCGCTAACCTCCAAGCTGTTCGTTCTAGCAGATTGGTTAGATTCTCTCATAACCCTTCTGTTCAATTTTGATGTATCTGATGTGTGCTCTATCAAGTTTTGTCTTTTCTTATCTTAAATCACTTAAAAATTGCTTCTTTTTGGTCTCTTAGATGGGTTCTTATAACATTTGGATTCTGATCCTTCTGTTAATTAAACCGGATTAGATAACTACGTGAGCTTTGGTTCTTCTTATGTTGTTGCATTGATTTTGAATTAAGTGAAATTGAATTGGTGTTCAATATAATTATGTGGTATTTTGTTTGCAGACATCTGCATCAGTCTACCAAAATGGGATGATGAGATTTTCCTCTACAGTGCCAAGTGATTCAGACACACATGATGATTTCAAGCCTACACAAAAAGCTCCTTCTGGTTCTACGGACTCGCTCAAAGATATTGTTGAGAATGTAAGTAAACTCTCAGCTTTTTAGATTTAAAGTTGAATGTTTGTGTTTAGGCATTTGATTCTGAATCTGATTAGGGTTTTTGCTAATAAGCTTTAGCTTTGGTGGTTGTGTAGGATGTGAAGGATAATCCTGTTATGATCTACATGAAAGGTGTCCCTGAATCTCCTCAGTGTGGGTTTAGCTCACTAGCCGTCAGAGTTTTGCAGCAATATAGTAAGTTTTGACCTACTCTTGATTGAAACTGAAGTCTTCTTTAAAACTATTTTTTACACTCTTAATGTGTTCTGAGTTCTGATATTTTGTGATCTCCTCTTTAGATGTTCCCATCAGTTCTAGAAACATTTTAGAAGACCAAGAGTTGAAAAACGCTGTGAAATCTTTCAGGTGAGTGTGTGGACACTTAATCAAAGTTTCATACACAGCTGTATAATCTCTTTCTCAAAGTTCCTTCAAAAAAGTTTGAGAATAAGCTTGGCTCTACCATTGTGTTGTACTATATGATCTAGACTCCTCTTTGACTAAACTTTTTGTTCAGTTGTCCTGATTTGATTCATGAGTCTTTCGATCTGTGCAGCCACTGGCCTACGTTTCCACAGATCTTCATCAAGGGAGAGTTCATTGGCGGCTCAGACATCATTCTTAACATGCACAAGGTTAGTTTCACTTAAAGCAAACCCTGTTTGTCTTTTTTTCCTTTTTCATTGTGTTGGTTTAATCACAAGTCCCTTTTACAATTCCAGGAAGGTGAATTGGAGCAGAAGCTTAAAGACGTCTCCGGAAACCAAGATTGATCCAAAGTTGGAAGTTATGCTGACTGATGAATGAAGTTATTATGTTCTTGTTCTTTCTTTCTTTAAGAATGTCTTTTGATGTACGGCAATAATGTCTCAGAAACTCAAATCCTTTGGATTTGGTATGAACAAAACTTTGGTAAACTAAGATAGCAAAAAAAGAAGAAGCACAAAGAGCCTTTTTATTTATTATTATTCATAATCAAGAATTGAACAGCAGAAAAGCATGAATAAATCACAAAACAGTAGAAACATGAGAATACCGTATACCCCAAGAAACCCCCACCCCTTATATATAATATAAATATTCTACACCATTGTATAGTAGCTATAGATGCTTAGAAGATGCTTGCAGAGTTTAACGCGAGCCCTCGAGACCAAGCCTTGAGGCGAGCCAGTGAACTACCTCATCCATTTCTTTAGGAACCGTATAGTGACCAAGCCTACACAATAGACATTAAACCTCACAATCTCAGACCAAAACAGTAAAGCAAATTAGAGTGATAACTTTGGGATATAGGTTGAACATTTACCCTTCATATGGTTTGAACATAGTTTGTCGGAATCCAGCCATAGCAAGTGAATGAGCAGATTTCTCTCCAAATCTATAAGGAACTACATCATCAGCTGCAACCAAAGAACACATCAAGTGAAAAAAATTTAGATTCTCTTAGGTGAATTTATATTGAAATAGTACATCACATAATGATATGTAAACATACAAGTTCCATGTGCAAGTATGATTGGTATCGATGCAGCGCGCCTCGCAACCTCATTCGAACTTTCTATTTTGCTCCTTAAGCTCCTGCATTGTTATGTTTAAGCTTCCAATGTTAAGTCTCTGTTTTAACAAGTGACATGAAAGGGTAGAAGAAATATATATATATACCTCCAACCAGGAAGCCAACCACTAAGTCCTACAGTAGCTCGTAGGTTAATAGTATAAGGATGTCCGGTTCCATAACGCCCAAGAGCGTAGCACGTCGTGGAGTAGAGAGCTATTGCTGCACCCATACTGAAACCTCCTATCCCAACTTTGACTGACACAAAACCACAAATAACATTTTCAAGTTAGGCTAGAGGTTATGATATATTAATGTATCATGGCCGGGGACACAGGAATGAAGATAAATATAACTCTTGGTTGGCTTACCATCTGTTGGTTCAGCTGATAAGAGGTTAGCAATATGTGCAGCTGAAGCATCTAAGCCTTCTATATCATCATGAAGATCCTCAGAAATTTCTCCCACGTCAAACCCTGAGAGAAGCAAAGAAATTGGTTATATTGGCAAACGCTTGAAAGAATGTTTTGATAAACTTTAGAGAAGCTAAATGATCTTACAGGCAGTGCAAGGGAATCCACCGAGAAGCGAAACAGGACGCGAAGGAGCAGTTGGACAGATCCATTTTATCTGAGCATACCATAAATCTTTTATCAGAACCTTGAATAATAATATTAAGTGATACAAAAAATTACTTCAAAGTGGTTGTTTTCATGGATCCTTACGTTTGGAAGAGGTAGGCTCTCCAAGAGCTGAGAAGAACTGCATAGAGAACAGAACCGAAGTGAGAACTTGTTATCAAAGAACACGCCAAAAGTCTACTTTCGAAAGCTCATTTGATTTATTGTAGTCAATTAAACCAAAAAGTTAAAGCTTTTAATAACACATTAATACTTGAAACTGTTCAACTAACAGAGGAAAAGTTTTGTCCTAAGAAAAGTTTGTTTTGATATCTTTTCAAGTAATTTGGACATTGTCTTGACAAGTAAGACTTTAAGCTTTCAAAGCATAAAACTTTCTTTATTACTTGACTTTGATCATAAAAACAAGGCAAGTCAGAGAGAATTAGATTACCTGGAGCCATTATCTCCAAGACCATGCAACCAAACAATAGTAGCTTGGTGCTTTCCTTTAGGCCTCACAACATAAGTCCTTCCAAACTCATAGCCCCTTGTACTTCTACTACCTACAAAGATCTTGTCAGAAACATACTTAAAGCAGAGTAATCACATAACAGAATTATAAGCACAAACATGAAGCAAACAAGAAAGAGAGAAACAAACCGGAAGCCATGCTTTGACGAGAATAGCTCATTGTTGTTGAAAGATCTTTTTTCACTACAATTTGGAGACTTTGTTATGATTTTAGTAGTACAAAGTTTGAAATACCAATGGAAAATATAAGAGAAGGTAAGGGAGGGGAAATGTGTATTTATAGAGCAAACTTGGAGGTGTGATGGTGAGAGGAAGGAATAAAAGAAAAGAGATGTGAATCTGAATCATTCACTATGGGATGTTAAATGTGTACAACAGCTACACAAAAACCTATACTAGTCTAAGAGAAAGCATCTATGGAAAGAGGAAATCAATTTTCGTTTTCTTTATAAAACAAAAGAAATAAATCTTTTTGGGAACACAAGGAATCAAAATCAAAACCAGAGCAGAGCTAGCGGCAAAAATACACAGAGGAGAGAGAGAGAGAGAGAGAATCGATGCCTTGTGGGCAGTGGAGGAAAATAAAAACTCTACCGCGTAAAAGAATATATTATATAACACAAGTATGTATATATATTACAAGAAAACATGAGGGCATAATCCAAAATTGAAAAAGAAGAAAAAAATCTACTTGTTCAATCATTTGTTTAATGAAATATATACAAAAAAAAAAGTGAGATGATTGATGGATACCCATTAACCAGAAAGCTTAAAAGTCTGAAACTTTACGAGAAAAAAAAAGATTTAAAATTTGCATTACACAATGGACAAAGGAATTACATATTTTTATTTAGGGTTCTTGGATTTGTGAAATCTGAGAGCACTGAGTGTAATGATGATGCGTAAGAAACATAAGTGACCAACCTGGATTTTCATGTGGGGGAGCAGCAAGAGCATGCAGCAATAAACCAAAAAAGACTTTGATCTTTTCTCTATCTCCTTCAACGCTTCTTTCATTACTATCTCTTGTTTTGACACTGTTGCGTTTTGTCCACCAAAATTGGCTGACGATATCAAGCCCACTTATTTCACCTATTTGTCACTTTCTTGATACTACTATATAGATTTATACAAAAAATGTACTGATGAGATTGTTACAGTATGCTTAAAGCATTTGATAAGATGTAAATCTACATTTTTTTTTTGTAGCATCTGCTGTAAATTTACATTACTATTTGATCAGATTATCTATTTTGCATTAGTGTAGTTGTCGTGTTCAAATTATAGGAAATTAAAAGACCAAATAAAGATCAAGTGAACACCGAACAACGAACATGGTTTTACATGTATACGCGTAATGATTGCCTCTTGTCTCCTCTTTTCTATTGTACCACAAAGATCTTCCATAGATTTTACGAAATGATTACTAATCTTCCGAAATGATTAAGTATTAATCACCCGTGAAGAAATATATCAACTGTTAGTTTGCTACTAATTGATTGGTTATTTATATTAATAGGCACGAATAGAATTTTTTTTATAAATACATAGGTTACTTTAACTTATGATTTTAAATGTGAACTTTCTAATAAGGTGCACCCAAATACTTAACTAAAACATTTTATGCGCGATCAACATAAATCGGAAATCGGTACACGTGGTTATAGATTGGTGAAAAAAACTCTAAATTCTCAACAACACAAAATAGGACGACACTCCTTCTGTTTGTCGTTTTATGCAAATAATTTGTAAAAGAAATGTTGTTTTATGATTTTAATGTACTTTTCGAAAATGATATTTCTCTTGAGCTTCTTACTAAAACTTACAGTTTTAATTATAATAGAAGCTGAAGATTCAATATTATGTTAGAAACTTATAAATAAAAAGAAATAAAAAAATTATTCGCGTGAAAACTGTTTAACAATGCTTAGTTAAAGAAAATGAAATATTTGATTGTTGACATTACTTAACATGTTTCTAAGTAGTGAGTAATGACGCCATCGTTATACATAACTTTTAACAAAGGTCAACAACTTTTGCGATTTTTTTTCTACTTGTTTTAGCTTTTGGCAAGTCAGCTCTTTTAGTGACCCACCAATTTCATTAAAATTTGTGGTGAATAGTCAACTCAAATTAGAAAAATTTGGTTTATAAATTGTTTCTTATTAATTGACACAAAACAAGACAATAGATGCTTTCAGCACTACAATGTTAGTTTGCTAATTTGTGGATTAAAAAGTATATAGCGTTTGTTCGTTCGTATGATGAAGGGCTATTAAAACCCATTAAAAGTTTTTTTATTTGGTAATAAAAGGTTAACCCATTACAAGTTTATGCACCTTTTAATATGACTTGCACAAATCCCATTGATTAGAGAATATGTAAACTTAAATTTATAACTTTTCTTTTCTTCCGAGCAAAAAAATTGAAAGAAGAAGAAGTCATATATTAATAGCATGTTTGCAGAAATAAAATGTCTTACTTATTATTATAGATTTTTCTCGTACTAATGAAGATATGATTCATTGAAAATGTTTATTATTCTTCTCGAGCACATCGACAAGAAGGACCATTCGTGCCGTTCTTTATATTTGATTAAGGTTATATGCGATCACAGATCACTGAAATATGTCTCTGCGCAATTAGTTTAAAAACTATTTAGAGACGAAAAAAATACCAACATGATTATTTTATTCTGATATAGAAGTTGAATTGATGAATATAATACTCGCAAAGAAGGGTATTTTTCTCCTGCAAGATACGAGATGCCTTCGTCACTTCGTCTGTAATTCTGTATACAAAAATAGATTGCACAGGTTTTTCATTGTGTGTGATATATATTCATATATAGGTATACATTTCATTATCACTAGATAATTTTCAACCATGATAAGTTAATTTAATCAACTCACTAATAAAGTATATATTGTCCATTTATCTGTAAATTATTCAACGAAACAAAAAGAGTACTACTGTGCCGTGCTAACAGATATAGAGGCGCTTTAGGCAAAATTTTCTTTAAATATGTTTTATAATTAATAATATATCCTAAACAAACAAAAACAAAAGCCCAAAATATATATGAGACTAAAATCTCCTGCCAAACAAAGGAAAGAATGAAATTTGTGACAAATATTGGGGATAGAACTTTGTAAAATGACTTTCTAGAGTGACATTTCTAAGAAGACAATTGATTAATGTGGCCTATAAAGTTATGACATAAAATGTGGCCTAGGGCACTTGCCCTTTTTTGTAAGAGGTAGTCACGGCTCTGGACTACTAGCAACTAGCAAGCGAGTTAAAGGAGTGCAGGATGAAATGTCCCGTAGCTGTATGGATAAGACATTGAAATATGTTAATATATATTTGATGGTAAAGTATTTTCATAACTTAATCAAATTGCATTGATCTTTTTTTTTCAAGCAATTTACAAAAACAAAAACATGAGTATGAACACCGACAATGAAAAAATTAAGATAAAAAAGAATATTAAACACGTGTATTTCTTTTCCGCCGAGCAAAAAAATTGAAAGAAGAAGTCATATTTTAATAGCATGTTTGCAGATAAAAAATGTCTTACTTATTATATATTTTTCTCGTACTAATGAAAATATGATTCATTAGAAATGTTTATTATTTTTTCCGAGCACATCGACAACAAGGACCATTCGTGCTATTCTTTGTATCTCAGCTAACAATATAGTGCTAATTTACATAAACGGAGAGGAGACGGTGTAAAGTCGTGAGTCGTGACATTAATTAGTCTTAAACCGATAATATGATTAATCCACCTCATTATACTTTATCTAACTTCACACCATCACACACTTGATACATCGATTTATATTTTTAAATACGTATGTATATATGTATGTTGACGTAGGAAAATCAGATGTATCATGCATGCTTCTTTGAAAACGACAGATATTTACCAAAGGAAAATGGTTGGAAACAAAGGGGATTTGTAATGAGGGAAACTAGCTAGGCAAGCTGTATCGAACATTAGAGAATAACTGTATTTTTGGTGATTTGTCTTAAGTAGAAACAGAATATTGAACTCGGACGTTCTTTATCTTTAGAGAGTTTTCTTTATTTTATTTTAATAAGACTCCTTTTGAGAATTGTTTCGAATATATTCCTCTGGTAATTTCCGACAACGCTATACTACTTTGTTTATCTTTATTATCATCTATTTTATAGCTAGTTAGGTTTTGCTTTGGTTTCACACGGTGGTACGTTCGCAATGACAAAAAAATACAGAATTTGAGTCTCTGCTTTGTCATTTATGTATGAACAAATATTGATATGAAAACGTACCAAAGGTATATGAAATAAATAGCTAAATAACGTAATTTTGAAATATTAACAACATGCATGATTTCGTTTCCTATAAATCAAGTAAAATTTGGTCTTAAAGTTGTTAACCTTAAATTCTATATATATAATTTGTTAAAAAAAAGCGAAAGACGTTAGGACAGAATCGAAAGACACCTGCGCGGAGGAGTAAAAGCGGCTCGATGTTGACCTTTACCGTTCAGGTTCACCGTTTTATTTATCTTTTTGTAAACATTAAATTAAGGAAAGTAAAACTAGGTGCATTGTATGAGTAATTTAGTGTTTAACCAATTAATGAACAAGGTTAGAAGAAAATAGGTATTTCTATAATCTATTGAATTATATGACCGTTCACAAGGAATCAAGGACACGATCAAAACGTCCCTCTATGAAAAGACATCGAACCATAAAAATAAAATAAAAGGTGAATCATATAATAAGCAAAAGGCAAGAATGATTCTGATTCTGATTCAAGAGTGTTACAAAAATAAAAACAACGGTCATAAGAGTTTTGGCACTTTGGAAACTCTGATACCGAGTCTTGTTCTAAAAGGATCAAAAACATTTTCAACTGTGTTTCACCAAAACGGCAGATAATTTTTTTTATTCCAGTCATAAATTTTTTAAAATATATGAAAATGTGCAAATAAAAAAGAAAAATTTGCGGCAAGGGAGAGGCCGGAATCAGTGGTGGTGCTCATCGTCTTCATCACCGTGACCATCTGGAGGCCCACCAGGACCAACCACTTCCAGCTGCAAACATACATTATTTAACCAATTCAATATTCTGAAATCGAAAGCTCTACGAGTTCTTGCTCTTATCCTTTTACAGATTCCACTGGCCTATGTCTATGAAATGGGGTAGATCGATTTTTTTACTGTTCTAGAGCCGAGTTTCACTTACCTCAAAGTACTGAGTGCAAACTGGGCATTCAAAAGACTTTCCTTTCTCCAGCCAGAACCAGACAACATCGTGCTCGTCCTCTGCAGTTTTTAGGAGAAAGTTAGATTGGATAATTCATTGGTAGATAATGCACCTTGATATATTCAATGACAACAACAATTGCCGATAAAGTTCGTCCATTAATGTGCCACTAAAGTTTGAAGAAGGGATGAACTTACCGCCTTCACCACCAGGGCAACCCACAATTCGCTTGTCATAGTAGGACTTCACAATAGCCGGAGCTTCCTAAGGTAATACAAAATGATATCAAAGTTTGTGTATCAAGAAAATGACAAAATAAGTATCTAATGGTAGCCGAAAGAAAATGAATATTGCTCAATCAAGAGATAAAATGACACAATAAAATAAAATAAAATAAATCAAATTTCTTATCATCTTATGTCACATAGCATGCAAAAGTCATCACTCACCAGTCATATACTTCTACATATTTTCAGTAATTTGGAGAAAAGTTTCTTAAGAATGTTAAGAACTGAATTTTCAAGATCTACAGACACTTGCACATGTTGTATGTGACATCCACAAATTTTCGTCATTATTGTGCACATAAGCATCATAGGCAGTGAGCCACCGAAAATTAACAAACACAGCTTAGATATGTTTTGCTATCACCAAACCTCATATATGATTCAAAGTTTCAAACCCAAGCTAGTGCTTCATTCGAGGAACTAATACTAATTGCATTATTCACAAAAAATCTTGAAATATGACAAGAGTAATATCAAGATAATTTAGCCTGACAATCAGACAAGATTCCAAAAAGACATAACAAAGTGATTGCTGCATGCCATAGTAGTCCTGGCTAAAGCAATATTATGAACCATAACAAAGAATGCAAGTTGATCCATATAAGTCAGTAAACCAGCTAGACTCGTATTAATTTTGATGAAGTAATAAGGTTCATGATACATACTTATTCTGGTTAATTGAGATAATTGAAACAGCTACATTCGCTTACTTATATCATAAACCATTCATAATACTTGAGTTAACTGAAGTGTCTCCTTGGTTTGTTTCACTTATACCCCGAGTTTTAGTGATGAACATAAAGTCTATAACATGCCTAGAAACATTGAAAATGTGAAAACTTTGGAATAAAAATCAGGTCAAGTTATTCAAAGTGGAGTAACGACATATCTATCTCGGGTTATAGAAACTTAACTAACCTTTGTTCCAAAAGGACCTTCAGGGAAGTCAATATCATCCAGCCTCCTTCCCTATCCGAAGAAAACAATGACAAAATCAAAATCAAATTTTCCTCAATTGAAGTGTATTATCAAGCAGATATATACACTCCATTGCTATACCAGAAAATCATCGAGAAACGAAAGTCATGATCACAAATGGAGTTGCAGCAAAACACATTTGTAATCATACTCAGATCTTATAATTGCAATACATAAAGAAAACAACAATCACCTCAAGTTCAGCTTCAAGCTCCTCCTTCTCGTGTCCAGTTGCAATTGGCATTACATCCTCCACCTTCTTCTTCGCAGGAGTCTCCACTGCAAAATACAATCCGTAATAAACAATCATTCACCTTCCAGTGGAGAAGATGAAAACAAAATTGCAACAAAACCAATCTAAGAGACCAAATATGCGAAGAAGAAAAGATAGTGAATCGAATCTAATTCCATCGCAGATAAGAGTCCCCGAGCCGAGATCTGGAAATGCTTTAAACAATAGCAATGATGAATCACCTGATTCGGAGCTGAAATGGCGAGGGATAACGAAAGAAGAAGCGGAGATGGCTGATCGATTGGCGGCGAGGTAGAAACCGACGGGTCTAACGGTGGCGGCTATCGATCGACGAGGAGAGGCAGCGACGACATCGGCGGCTAGGGTTTTGAGTTGAGAGGAGACGATTCTTCTCCACATGGTGATGATGATGATGAGTCAAAAGGGATTTCGAATGAAGATAGTTTGTGTTGTGATTCTCAGGTCACACCTTGAAGGATTAGCGAAACCCCCAAATGTTTTATTTTTCGAATCTCTTCAGTGATGGCTTCTTCTTTGGGAGAAATTAGAGATTCTTAATTTAGAATTGGTCACTCTTTTACTTGGAATCTGGAATTAACCGGTACGTGTGAAACTACACAGTACGCACGTGTCAGTCGATCCTATATTGTTGTGTGCCATTTCGAGTGGAAATAGACAAATAGTGATACAAGTGGAATAATGATACATAATTACATATGCTACAAAATGAAATTATGATGAAATGGACATGTAAGGATTATATGTTTCTCAATCAATTTGCTTTAGTTAGCAACCAAAACTACTTAATAAATACTAGTTGCGACACGACATCTTGTTAAAACCAAGATATCTACAAGTACAAATATAGTTTTAAATAGCAATTTAGCTAGTTAGCAATAAGTCATTCGAAGTTGACGGAAACAATTAACTCGTCATGATCAATGGATCCTTTACTTATTTTATCCATGAACCAAAAAGTCACAAGAAGTTGATTATTTTTTGTTTGGATAATTGATCACACTACCATCCATACCAAAACTTCAAGCTTCCGAAAGAATTTGCCTCAATTTGTTTCCGATTTGCAAATATATTTGTCTTGAACACTTGCACACAATTAACAGCTTCTCCCATCATTTTCCTAAACTCATATCCTCACTGATAATAAATCTTATCGATCTCTCCAAATATAAAGTTCTCCGCTAGTACGATACTAACCTGAAAAGTTGGCATCCTCTTACGGTTTATCTTTCTGGTTCAACAATTGGTTTCTCTTCTTATATATGTCAATGTGTATGTGGGCATGTTTCACTTTGGGTCTTTTGGGCTTTGTAACGTTTTCTCTTCTGTTGCTTATATATGTGGTACAAATCTGCCAAACAAGGAAGCCCAAATGCTGAATTCTAAATAACGAAGGAAATTACTTAGCTCTAGTTATTTTAGTTATTAGAAAGCAATAAAAATACATATTCTTTTGTTAGTTTTTTTTTCTTATGGCTGATGAGAACATGCAATAATACCATGAGTGTCTGAAAAACTTACTTATATAATGCGTTCAGGGTTAGTAAATCTAACAACTCCTCCTCTTCCATGCAAATAATCACATCATATGCATGCATGTAACGTTCATTTTCACTTACCTATCACTAACAATTCATTTGGCTTGATAAAAGAAGACTGAAATTTTGTTTACGAGTTCGAAATCTGTTGAAAGAGATATAACAAATTTCTTCATTTTTTTGGATATGTCATCTGTTATCATCTTCCCCAAATTTGATTAAAAATGACTAAAATGTTATAAAAATAAAATTTCGGGTGAAAATCATAAACATTGCAGTAATTTTTTTTTTTTTTTTTTTTTTTTTTAACATCTGCTTATATTGAATCAAAGAACAGAGTCATCAAGAAGTGTGTTAGCTATTACAGAAGGAATGCAAGAATAAAAATGAGAATAAGAATCCATAGGCAGGTTAGCTTTTGCAAGAATATCCGCAGCCTTGTTGCATTGTCGGTTCGTCCAAACGAAGTAGCATTCATCAAATTTGTTTTTCCAATAGCGAATGTCTCTCATCCAGTTGAAAGCTGCAAAGTTGGATTGCTTTCCATTTAGGATCGCTACTACTTCTTTGTTATCTCCCTCAAAATACACCTTCTTATATCCTTTACTCCAGCAGCTTTGCATTGCCATGGTGAGCGCTTGAAATTCACTTTCTAGAGGGTTGTTTGTGAGGTTACCAACAGCCTGGCCTGCCCCAAGGAATCTACCAAAGTCGCTTCTTAATATCCAGCCCCCTTTGGACGTGAAATCTCTGACGTAAGACCCGTCGTAGTTACACTTGATGAAGCCTAGTGGTGGAGTAGTCCAACGATGAATGTGGTTTCGGGTTGCGGGAACAGGATGTGAGGAATGTTGATGCTGGCCATTTGAGTGATGGAAAAAGGATTCAGCTTCATGCCATTCCTTGGCATCCCTCTGCGCGTAGCTTAAGTTGGTCCTCCAATGAACATGGTGTTGTTGAAAAACAAGGGAGTTGCGGCTTTTCCAAATGCGCCACAGGATCCAGAAAGGCAGCTGACTTAAATGTGGAGTTTGTGTCGAAGTATTAAACTGAAATATAGCTTGAAGTTTATCCTCCCAAGAGACCGAGGAGTCCACAAGAATTGGGTTTGGGATGCCCGACGCTCTCCAAATTGCTTGCGCGTATTCACACCCAAAGAATAAGTGATTGGTGGTTTCATCTTCTCTGCAGCATCTTATACATGTAGCATAGTTAGAAATATGTCTATACCTCAGATTTTCGCCAGTTGGGAGTGCATTTGAGAGGAGCCGCCAACAGAAGTGTTGTAGTTTCGGGGAAGTTTTTGTTTTCCAAAGCAACTGTTTTAGTCTAACATTCCCTGGTGGTGAAAGAGGCTGTTGATTTTCGAGTTGATGAGTAGCAAACCAGTAGGCTGATTTAACGGAGTAAATGCCATTCTTGGTATAGTGCCAACCTAGTAAATCCCGTTCCGCTGTTGCACAAATCTTTATTTTCTGAATTATCGGTATATCCTCCGGGTCTACCCAATCATGTAGTTTTGTAGCGTCCCAGTCCGTTTTAAGCTCATTCATCATATCTTTAACCAGTACCTGACTTGGGCTTCCTTCCCTTTTATATGGTGCTCTAGGCGGATGGGTAGGCAACCAAGGATCCAGCCAAGCGTGAACCAAATTTCCATTCCCAATACAAAAACGAAGACCTTTTTTCAGCAAGTCGCGACCCTGAAGGATTGACTTCCAAATGAATGAAGCTTTCCTACCTTGAACGGCGTTTAGAATATTTGTCTCATGGAAGTATCGACCTTTTAGAACCCTTGCCATGAGACAGTTCGGATGATGAAGTATACGCCAAGTTTGTTTACCAAGAAGCGCCAAGTTAAAATTTTCAAGATCTCTAAAGCCAAGCCCTCCCTCCTTTTTGGGAATACCTAAGCGATTCCAGGCGAACCAATGCAGACCTTTTTTCTCATTTCCGGAACCCCACCAAAAGTTAGCCAAAACGTTGTTGATCTCCTCGCAGATTTCTTTTGTTAATTTGAAGACATTCATCGAGTAAACAGGCATTGCTAAAGCAACAGCCTTCAGTAGAACCTCTTTACCTCCCTGTGAAAGATATTTTTTGCTCCACCCTTGTGTTTTCTCCTTCACTTTTTCCACTATGTATTGGAACAATTCTGATTTCTTTTTATCAAATTGTTCTGGGAGGCCTAAGTACTTTCCACCTCCTCCTTCGTTGTGAATACCCAAGAGATTGCGCATTCGACGTCTTGTGTCTTGATTCACATTTTTACCGAAAGTGATTGCAGATTTTCTCAGATTTACTGCTTGGCCAGAGACTTCTTCATATTTGTTGAGGATTCCTTTGATGGCGGTTGCCGATCTCTTGTTTGCAAGAGTAAAGAAAAGTGAATCATCAGCAAATAAAAGATGGGATATAGAAGGACCTGACAATGAAACTTTGATTCCTTTTAAGAGCTTTTTTCCTTCAGCTTGTTTCATCATGTGCGATAAGACCTCAGCACACAAGATGAAGAGATATGGTGAAAGTGGATCGCCTTGTCGGATACCACGACCAGGGTTGATAAGCCCATGAGGAGAACCATTAGTATTTCACTGATAGTGGATACTAATAAGCAATAAATACTATATGACTGATGGAAATTACCATTCAACTACGTTACTAGGTTCCTATAAATGTTGGATAATTACACATCGCTAAATTGATCTTGCTCCTTAGTAAAGACGTGGCATAAATATAACCGTTGATAGTTACATATATGCTTCCTTTATCTTACGCCGAGTACCGCGCACATTAGTCAAACGCACAGTTGAAGAAGCGCATATTAACCGCTCGACGTTACCATCTCCCTCTTGAGAAAACTTCTCTCGCGCTTTTGGAAGGCGCGAATTTCTCAAAAAAAAAAACTTCTGAAGAAATCTCAAACAAATTGATGCAATGATTCTCCGTCTGTTCACCTTCAATTTTTGTATCATTTTCAAAAGTGATCTCATCCAAAATTAATAAATACATTAGTTATCTAAATGATGTAAATTTATATTTTATATCAATTTTTAAAAAATGATACAAACCAGTAGAAATTGAATCAATTTTATTTAATTGATGTAAAATTAATTAATTATAACATCAGTTAATATAATTGATGCTAAGCGATATATATTTGCTTCGTTTATAAATAAGTAACTAGATCATGACTCGTGCTATACAGCACGGGAGTTTATATATTTTTTGAATTATATTGTTCATTTAATATGAAATATGTAAGATCTAAGATAGTGTCATAGTTTAGTATAAAAGGGAATAAATCATATAATTTTATGTTTATTACTATTTGGATATTATGTTGTATAGTATTTATTTGACAATAATTGTTTATTTTGTTTGTATAAATAAATAATATTATACAATGTATTTTAGATTTATTTTAAAAACAATATTTGGATAGTTTTATTATATTTATTAAATATTGTGTATTTTAATTTGGTTGAAAACATGAATTGATAATAAAATGATGTAGTATATTGTATTTTAGAGTTGAATATATTTAGCTGCATTAGATTTGTATTTTGTTTAATGAGATTAACAATTTAATTAGTTTAAGTAGTAATTGATAATTAGAAAAAAAAAAAATTGTTGTATTGGGGCTGAGATGTTTAGTGGGCTATTTTTGGGTTTATTTGGCCCAGTTTGTTTGTTGTTTTCTTTTAAAAAAAAATAAAGAAGAAAAACACAAAAAAAAACAGTTTGGCAAACGTCCAAAGTTCCGACAGTTAATCGGATCCCAGTTAATCCCATAAAACTAATGTCGAATTCTACCCAAATTTCTTTCAATTTTGACCTCAGACACGACAAAGATTGAAGATCTTGTCCAATCCGTTCATATCTTTCGAGTAATTGAAGTAGCGGAGTGGTGATCAAAGGTAAAGTTAAAACCGAAAGATTTTGTTTATAAGTTACAGAAATTGATTAATTAAGTTCATGAGTTGATTGATGATTGAATCGATTTAAGAAACAATGAAAAATTCCCGATCTGATTGCAAAACTGAATGAGATTCACGAAAATGAGGTTGTCGATGAAATGAGTTGTGGGAGAAGAAGATGCGACATATATGATTTTATGTTAAGTATGGGGTTTAATATTTTTTATGAATTAAATTGTATATTTTGTTTTATAACATTTTTTTTTATAAATTTGAATTATATAACATTTTTTTATGAATTCGGATTATATATAAACAAAATCTGTTTAATATCTTTAAACCCATTTGACCCGTTGACCCGTTGACCCGTTAATATATATTAGTGACATGGAAAAAAATGATTATGATTAGAATTCTCTAATGGCATATATTGTAACTTCTTACAAAATCAACGTTATGATCCTTAGGATGTACTTCCCAAATATTAGTATAGGATATAAAATAACATCATTTAGTTTTGTGATACAATTTAAGTGATACAATCTACTAATTTTTTTGTAGTGGCCATCTTGCTAATTATCATTTTTAAATTTTACAAATTTTCTATATTAAATATACTTATAAAAGGAAAAAATATATATACATTATACGAAAACAAGAAAAATTGAAACTTTTTGAAAAAAACAACATATAGAAATAAGAAAATATTAAAAAAATCATAAAAATAATATCATTGAACATGGAACATAAGAGCACAAAATTGGTAAAAAGAAACCACAACGATTTTCTTCTCGTCATCAATGAAGAAACATGCAGCCATAAACGAAAACATACTGGCGGTGCAGTCATTGTTCAAGAAGCGATAGTGCACCAACGCAAGTATCAGATGGGGGTCGATCCTATAATGGTGCGTCCTTCTTAGAAATCTGCCTGCGTCGAGAGTGCAACAAGCTTCAGTGTATCCGATGTCCCTTGCACCACCAGGCTACGAAGACAATAAACATGTCAAAGATCTACCAAACCTAAGGTCCAATTTCAAAGAAATCAAACCAAAATTCAGATGATAAACTAACCAGATACTTAGAATTACAATATCTTCTTCGTGGTTGGGCTACTTGATCAACTTCGTCCCATTCATATTCGTCACTGTAGTGATCCGCATTGAAGAAGAATAGTCCTTCGACCCTGGGAAAGTGGTAGATCTCAAGTACTTCAAGCCGTCTTCGCCTTAGAAAGCAATAAAATACATAATGGGTTTGAATGGTAACCACTTATAAAAGCGGTACAAGGTGTACAACTTTGACATTTACCAATCACAAAAACTTTATCAAAAGCGTTACTAAAAGTTTTACTCTCAGCTTTTTTGTACAGTTTTTTTGTACAACTCTTTCTTACAGTTTTGCACTATTCCGGTAAACCTAACAGCTCCAGCTAACAGCTAAAAAACTTGTACAACTTTTGGTTACCAATCGGACCCAATCTTTTGTTAGTTTTTTTCTTTCTGCCCTATGGCTGATGAGAAGATGCAATAACACCATGAGTGTCTGAAAAACTTATATAATGCGTTCAGCATTCGTAAATCTAACAACTCCTCTTCCATGCAAATAGTCACATCATATGCACGCATGTAACGTAATTCATTTTACTTACCTATCACCCTTGTTCAAAAACGCGGCCAAGGCGGCCGATTACGCGGCGGCTAGTCGCTCGGCGGCAAGGAACCGACGAGATTAGAGTAAAATCGGAAATCTTGAAGAAACTTGATTTATTGTTCTTTTGAAGGTTGAAAATCATAGATATTTGATGGATCTAGCATATCTATCAAGAAACAATAGAAGAAAACAAAAAGAAATGATGAAAAGTGAGAAAAAATCAAGTGACGGCGGATTTAGGGTTGCAAATCTGATTTTTCAGAGGTAGAAGACAAGGGTAGTTTGGTAATTTAATATCAATTAAACCTAAAATAAATAAAATAGACATAAATGCAATTGGCGTTGCTCGAACTCGTCACCAAGATGTGACCAAACTCGCTAATAACCACTAGACCAACTTGCGTTATTGATTTTAGATTCACAAGAATAATATATATACAATATATAAGTAAAAATATAAAAAAAAAAACTAATCCCGATTAATCCCCGTTTAATCTCCGATTTTTCGGCTAGGCGCTAGGCCCAGCTCGAGCGCCCGACTAGCGCCTAGCGATTTTTTAAACATGGCCTATCACTAAGAATTCATTTGGTTTGATAAAAGAAGACTGAAATTTTGTTTACGAGTTCGAAATCTGTTGAAAGAGATATAACAAATATCACCGATTATTTCCTGATATAATAGAATATTCTATGATACTTGAGCTCTATTTTCCAATGAACACACGTCAATTTGGACATTGTCAAAACAACAAGTCACACAAGCAAATTAAAAAAAAAGCGAAAAGTGCAGATGGAGACATTTGCACTGACAATTGGCAACGCTGCTCCACGCCTTCAATCTTATCCATCTCCTAAAAAGAAAATAATCCAATGCTCTCATCTCCACCTTAGTTATCATGGAACACAACGCATTTACCGTTGCACACTCTTTCCAAAAATACCCTTTATCCAATCAAACGAACATTCCACACTATAAAAACCATGCCGCATAGCAGCTGATTCCACCTAAATATCTAAATCCATTTTTTCTTAAATCCAAAATTTACAAATCCATAATCTTTCTCTTCTTCCCAAAAACAGCTTTGAGCTTTCTCTCAGATCATCACATTTTACCTACAATGGCTACAATCATCGCCTGCTCCGCTCTTTCCTCGATCCGAGCATCTTCCGAAACCGGATCTACCAAATCGGATCCGAGCCGTAAGAAACCCGTTTCATCTGTTTCATGGTGGGCTCCTCTTTTTGGCATGTCATCGGAACCTGATTACGTCAACAAGAACATCTCCTCCTCCGTGAATCTTGAATCAGATCTGGATAAAACTGACAAGAGGTCTCTGCGATGTTGTCTCACGGAGGAGAAAGCTAAGCAGCTGCGGAGGAAAACCGCCGAAGCTTCCACGTTTCACGACGTTATGTACCATTCTGCGATCGCGTCGCGTCTCGCGTCTGACGTGCGGGTTAAGGAGTAACTGGATCGGGTCACGGATCCTCCGATCTAGAAATAATCAATAATTCGTCGAACTTTTTTTCCGATGATACTCAAGAACCGTTTAATTGTGCGTCGTCGTTTTATGTTTGTACGGTCTGGATCTTATGCGATGTTGCTTTCTTGTAAACGAACCGTTGGATCATTAATTAGTTGTAGCTTTTTATTTTTTCACCAAAGATGTATGTAATGCTAACCGTTGGATCGGTAGATAAACTTTTAGACAAGTGTTACATTTAATTTACCCAAAAACTATATAATAGCACTAATTTGGTTATCAGAGATTCAGATATTTGGTTTGAGGCTTATAATCAATACTCATTGCAACAACAGAGACTATGTATGGGTTAAATACTAAGAAAGCTATTATTACTACGATGTAATGTTGATTCAGTGAATTTTCTTCATTTTTTGGATATGTCATCTGTTATAATATTCCCCAAATTTGATTAAAAACAACTAAAATGTTACCAAAAATATAGCTGTAATTTTTCTTTATTTCACTGATACTGGATAGTGGATACTAATAAGTAATAAGCAATAAATACTAGTATATGACTGGTGGAAATTACCATTCAACTACGTTGGTTTCTATAAATGTTGGATAATTGAACACATCGCTAAATTGATGTTGCTTCTTAGTAATGACGTGGCATAAATATAACCGTTGATAATAACCTTTAAGCTTCCTTTATCTTACGCCGAGTACCGCGCACATTAGTCCAACGCACAGTTGAAGAGGCGCATATTAATCCCACGACTTCCTCTTGAGAAACTCAGAAAACTTCTCTCGCGCTTTTGGAAGGCGCGAATTTCTCAAAAAAACTTCTGAAGAAATCTCAAACAATTTCATGCAACGATTCTCCGTCCCTTCACCTTCAAGCTACCGTGTCAATCCCATAACATCAATGGCTACTAGATCCGGTTCACTGATTTGGTTCCGGAAAGGTCTCCGGGTTCACGACAACCCGGCTCTTGAATTTGCCTCAAAAGGTTCCGAATTTATGTATCCGGTTTTTGTAATCGACCCGCATTACATGGAGTCAGACCCATCTGCGTTCTCTCCCGGTTCGTCTCGCGCTGGAGTTAACCGGATCCGGTTCTTGCTGGAGAGTCTCAAGGATCTCGATTCTAGCCTGAAGAAACTTGGTTCACGGTTGCTGGTTCTTAAAGGTGAACCTGGTGAAGTACTGGTTCGTTGCTTGCAAGAGGTAATAATGTAGAAAAATTCAAAATTGTGAAATTGGTTTACTTTAGGCAATTGAGAAATCTGAAAGTTTTATCTTTGGGGATGGGGTTTTTGTTTTGGCAGTGGAAGGTGAAGAGGCTTTGCTTTGAATATGATACAGATCCGTATTATCAAGCTTTAGATGTTAAAGTTAAGGTAAAATTCGTTTCATTAAGCCTTAAAGTTTTGATCTTGCTTACGAGTGATTGAACTATGCGTGTGTCATTGAGGTTTTAGCTAACTCAATTGATTTTTATAATCTCTTTAGGATTATGCTTCTTCAACTGGAGTTGAGGTTTTCTCTCCAGTGAGTCATACTCTTTTCAATCCCGCAGACATTATAGAGAAAGTAAGTGTCAATGCTAACCGAGTTAGTTTAGATATGTCATCTATGGAACTGTAAAATTTATGTACATTTGTGTGGTTTTCTTGCAAGTTAGAACGGTGGGAAGCCACCTTTGACTTATCAGTCATTTCTGAAGATTGCTGGGGAGCCGTCATGTGCTAAATCTGAACTTGTGATGTCTTATTCTTCACTTCCTCCAATTGGAGATGTTGGAAATCTTGGCATTTCAGAAGTACCATCTCTTGAGGAACTTGGCTACAGAGACGATGAACAAGTTAAGAGATGATCTGTTTTTTTTTAGTAGTTGAAAAGATTTCCATCTGAGAATCTTATGCTTGTGTTAATGTCTGTAGGCTGATTGGACTCCTTTTAGAGGTGGTGAATCAGAAGGCTTGAAAAGATTGACCAAGTCAATTAGTGATAAGGTATGGTCAAGAACTTGTAAGTTTTTTTAGAAAAAATGTTAGCGCAATCTGCTCAATTGAGTACTCTAGTGGGCTGAAGGAAACTTATCTCTTGGAGAACTTGAAGTTTCCCTTTAAGATCCTAGAATTGATATTCTTACACTGACTTCATAATTCATTATGGGTTTTATTTGTAGTGTAGGCATGGGTGGCAAACTTTGAGAAACCAAAGGGTGATCCATCTGCTTTCTTGAAACCTGCAACTACAGTTATGTCACCGTATTTGAAAGTGAGTTACATGACATAGTTTTGTCTTCTCCCTCCATTTTTCTAATATTTCCGTCTAATTCCTGATATTTGAGAAGTTTGGATGCCTTTCTTCGAGGTACTTTTATCAATGCCTTCAAAATATTTACAAGGATGTGAAAAAGCATACATCGCCGCCAGTTTCTCTCCTTGGGCAGGTCAGTCAATGACTTAAAAGACTATTTTTTATACAGCCCAACTGCAGAAAGTTGATACCTTTTCATTTCTCTAGTTGTTGTGGCGAGAATTTTTCTATACCACTGCATTTGGTACCCCGAACTTTGACAAAATGAAGGGAAACCGGATCTGCAAACAGGTAACAACTGTAGTATAGTTTCTCTTGTCATGTTCCTTCATCTTTTAGATCTTCATGCTTTTTAGACCAATCTTTTTCTTCCATACGTAAACTAGATTCCATGGAACGAGGATCATGCCATGTTGGCTGCTTGGAGGGACGGTAAGACAGGATACCCTTGGATTGATGCCATCATGGTTCAGGTTAGACTTTAGTCAAACTGAATGCCTTTAGTTTTCCTTTTAAGCATCATTTCTTAATCATTCTTTCTCTGGAATTTATAGCTTCTGAAATGGGGTTGGATGCACCATCTAGCGCGTCATTGTGTAGCATGTTTTCTAACTCGTGGGGATCTGGTAATGCTGCCTCTACTATTATTGGTTTCTATCTCCCTCAGTAAATTTTGCTGATATGCATAGTTTCTGCCTTTCTGGTGTTAGTTCATACATTGGGAACAAGGGCGTGATGTGTTCGAGAGACTTCTGATCGATTCAGACTGGGCAATCAATAATGGCAATTGGATGTGGTTATCATGTTCGTCGTTCTTTTACCAGGCACAGTCTCCTTTCTTTTTCTCTCCGTAATTCTCATAGTTTTCTTTGGCTTTGTTAGATGTTTTTCAGTACGGTCAAATTGAACTAAATCAACTTTTGTGATGGTTACACTTGTGTTCCAATGTATTGTGATGGTTTCAGTACAACCGCATCTACTCTCCTATATCTTTCGGAAAGAAGTATGATCATGATGGGAAGTACATTAGGCATTTTCTCCCGGTACTGAAAGGTAACTGAAGTTAGTTTCCCTATCCTGGTAAGATTGTTTAATGTTTATTCTTTCATTAGCTAATAAGTTTTCTGATTCAGATATGCCAAAGCAGTATATATATGAGCCATGGACAGCACCGTTGAGCGTTCAAACTAAAGCAAACTGCATAGTCGGGAAAGACTACCCGAAGCCAAGTTAGTAATATCGTCTCTATTTACATATACGTAGAAAGATACAAACATTATTGTATCTAAAATTTTGAGAAATAATGTAATCATGAAGCTAGTTGTTCTAGTTAATTTGAGGTTGCTGATAGATAAAGTCTTTAAGTTGCATAGTTCTAACTTTGTGTGTTTGCAGTGGTATTGCACGATTCAGCAAGCAAGGAGTGCAAGAGGAAGATGGGTGAAGCATATGCATTGAACAAGAAGATGGATGGTAACGTAGATGAAGAAAATTTGAGGGATTTGAGGAGAAAACTTGAGAAAGATGAACATGAAGAGTCCAAAATCAGGAACCAACGACCAAAACTCAAATAGATAAGGATTGAAAACCATTTCTGCGATAATGAAGAGGGTATTATTACAACAATTGTAGCTGGTATGACTTAATCATGGTTTTCATTTATTTCTATGTAAAAAATCTGTTATGCAACAATGTCAGGTAACAACACTTCACTCAAGTGCAAATATAATTCTTTGAATTTTTGGACAGTGATGTAATTCGTAAACTAACGGTGCTAATTCGTTAAAAATGAAAATTAACGGAATCAAATTGAAGAAGACAAAGAAATAGCTTCCCGAAATAGAAATCTCTCAGACAGAGCCCTTACTGGTTATTAGTATATAACAAAAGCTTCCTTCTTCTTCTTACAGTTATTTTCTTCTTCGATTTGCCATTTTTTTTTTCTTTTGTAATTTTCCTTTCTTTTTTTTTCTTTTGAATTTTCGGGAAGCAGCATTTCCACTGGAGCTGCGATAATCTTCCTATCAAAATTATAGATCGATCCAAGTTTTTAGATTCGAGAAAATTTTCTCCAAATTAGATTATATATAAAATCGAAATAGACAGGAATTTTTGTTTTGTCGGATTTGATCAGCTGTTGTTCTTTGGAATTTTAGCGCCAATTTTACCACTGGAATCGTTTGATTAGACGCTCAGATTTCGTCGTAGGATCAATCAAATTAGGGTTCTTCTTCTTCAGTGTGTGTTGTTGTTAAAATTAGTAAAGACAGATGGAGAAGAAGAAAGTCGCGACTCCGTTAGTGTGCCATGGCCATTCGAGACCTGTTGTGGATTTGTTCTACAGTCCAATCACACCTGATGGTTTCTTCCTCATCAGCGCAAGCAAAGGTAAACAATGATCTGATTTGTTTTTTAAGATCCAATAATTGGGGAATTTGTTCTCTTCACTATTGTTGTTGATTGGCTTTGTTTATTATATGAAACTTGTTTTGCTGAAACTCATGGCTTCTTCTTGATCATTAGATTCTCATCCAATGTTGAGAAATGGGGAAACTGGAGATTGGATTGGTACATTTGAAGGCCATAAAGGTGCAGTCTGGAGTTCTTGTCTCGATAACAATGCTTTACGTGCAGCTTCCGCATCTGCTGATTTTTCCGCGTAAGTGATGGAGAATAGAAAAGAAAGCAACTGTTCTTGTTGATTTGGTTTTGGTTTATGCTCGAATCGGCTTGATTGATGTCCTGCCTATTCTCATTCATGATTTGATTAGTTGGCGACATCTATAATTAGCTTATATAATCTCTTTAGGAAACTTTGGGATGCTTTGACCGGGGATGTCTTGCATTCTTTTGAGCACAAGCATATTGTTCGAGCATGCGCCTTCTCTCAGGTATAGTAAAGTTCTTTCGTCGATTAAGGTAGATTGGACTATCTTGTACTGGTTTTGCTATATGTATACCTTCATGAATATTCATTTGTTCTGCTCAAGGGAATGTATTATGTATGAATCAGGCATGTGTCTAACATGGTTCTTTCATCAGGATACGAAATATCTAGTCACAGGAGGATTTGAGAAAATTCTTCGTGTTTTTGACTTGAATCGCTTGGATGCACCTCCTACAGAAATTGATAAATCTCCTGGTTCTATCAGAACCTTAACTTGGCTTCACGGTGATCAAACGATATTAAGTTCTTGCACTGATATTGGTGGTGTGAGGTATGAAGTAACTATCTCATCAAAAAAACTATCTGTGAATATTAGACAGATCGTGAAACTCAATTGTTTCTTGCCTCATCGTCTTGAACAGGTTATGGGATGTGAGGAGTGGCAAAATTGTGCAAACTCTAGAAACCAAGTCTCCTGTCACCAGTGCTGAAGTGAGTCAAGATGGACGGTATATAACAACTGCCGACGGATCAACTGTTAAATTTTGGGATGCAAATCAGTAAGCTCTAGTCTCAGTCCTTTTTCGTTTTTTATTTTTTTTAATCTTTTGCATTCTCCTGAAAGTGTTTTATCTTTGGCTTGGCAACTTCCAGTTTTGGACTAGTGAAGAGTTACGACATGCCCTGCAATATCGAATCTGCGTCGCTTGAGCCTAAATCTGGCAACAAATTCGTTGCTGGTGGAGAAGATATGTGGGTTCGACTCTTTGATTTTCACACCGGAGAGGAGATTGGTGCGTGACTAAAACCTAAAAAAACACTTACATGACCTCAGTTTTAAGCAGATTGTTGACTAAGCTGTTCTAGTAGTCATTGGTTTTGATGGGTTTCTTTTTCTCTAAACTTTAGGATGCAACAAGGGACATCATGGTCCAGTTCACTGTGTGAGATTTGCACCAACAGGTGAGTCTTATGCTTCAGGGTCCGAAGATGGTACCATCAGAATCTGGCAGACTGGTCCCGTGAATACGGAAGAGACCATCGAATCAAAGCCGAAGCAGAGTGTGGATGAGGTTACTCGTAAGATTGAAGGCTTTCACATTAACAAGGAAGGGAAAACCGCAGAGAAACCATCTGATGCTTAAACCAAGAAAAGAACAACAACAAAAATGGCTGCTTCTCTTGTCTTCTTACTGTGTTTTTACTTCCAGACTGAATATACGGAAATTTAAAACAAAGTCTTTTAAGGAACACTGTCTTTTGTCTTTCTTCTTCCGAATCAAGTTTGTGGATGTGGCTGATCATTTACGAAGTCATGGGGTCTATTTACTGATTAAAAACTAAATAGTGGGGTCAATTTGTAATATTCAGTAATTGGACATGGGCTTTTGGGTTTTCGATGTGACCAAGTGAAGTGACAACCGAAAATTAGCGCAGACCATAGGGGTAAAAAGGTCAATATAAGTCTCACAAAAATCTCCTTGAAAAGATCTCTGCGTCCTCATAGTAGTACTTGTCTTTTTATCTGCTACGGATCTTCCTCTTTCCCTCTCTCTCTCTCTCTTCTTCTTCTCTCCGAGTGTAAGACTTTTTATTTTTGGCGGGAAAATGTCTGGAAAAGGAGCGAAAGGACTGATAATGGGGAAACCCAGCAGCAAAGACAAGGACAAGGACAAGAAGAAACCAACCACTCGCTCTTCTCGTGCTGGTCTTCAGGTCAGTCTCTCGTTCTGTTCTCTATTTACTTGTCTTGGGATGTGTGAATTGTGTAAGTGACAGATCTGCGAGGTTCTTAATTTCTGAGCTTAGATAGAATCGATATGTGTTTATCTGTTACAGAAGATTTATTTAGTCCTCTGTTTTAATTTCTGCAATACTTTTTTCTATAGATTTTGGTGATAATTACATTGTATAGATCGTTGGGTAATGAAGTAGTATCCATATTTAAGAATATTGATGAGAAATCTTAAGGTCTTCAATTCTTCATCCACAGCTTTAAAAAGCTATGATGGTTTTTGGTCCTTAAAACCTGCAAAGCTTTTTCGTGTCTTTAAAATGGTTGACTCCAAATCCTAGCTTGAGAAACAAATGTTTTATTGTCGAATCTTCTTGCTGCGTTGATGAGTTTACAGATATTGGAAACGGTGTGTGAGTCTTTTTTCTCTATTGTTTGCAGTTTCCAGTAGGAAGAATCCATAGACTGTTGAAAGGTAGGTCAACTGCTCATGGACGTGTTGGAGCAACTGCAGCGGTTTACACAGCCGCTATTTTGGAGTATCTGACTGCAGAAGTCTTGGAGCTGGCTGGTAATGCGAGCAAGGATCTGAAAGTGAAGCGTATCACACCAAGGCACTTGCAGCTCGCTATTCGTGGTGACGAGGAGCTCGATACTCTCATCAAAGGAACTATTGCTGGTGGTGGAGTCATTCCTCACATTCACAAGTCTCTCATCAACAAATCTGGCAAAGAATAAAGCCTTTTCTCTGTACTACTATCTCTCTGTATTCTCGGATCTCCTTTTGTAACAGTCGTGTGTATGTTTAAGATCCACTAGTGGAGAAACTCTTAGGATTGTTTGTTTGTTAAGGTTCTACTTCCACATGTGTGTGGCTTGTTTCTCCTTCTGATTAACTTTTTGGGGTTTGTTCATGTAAAACAGATGCAAAGAAAATCAATTTAAGAGGAGATTTGACTGATACCTAAATCTTTGCAAGATGCATAACCCATCGAATTGATATTTTAGGGCAACATAACCTTAGTTTCTATGACATCAAAATCTGTCAACTAGTTTTTCTATGTACACCAAAAATTAGCATCAGCCTGCTGCGAGTGAGTGTATAAGGTTATTGCCTAGTTGCCACCTAAAGACAAAAGGGGTTTTACATCAGCTAGATTCCAAAAAACTAACCAAAACCGACGACTGGTCTTCTGTGTTTGTTAAGAGAAGTGGTTTTATGCACATTGTCCCTTTCCTTTGGTTCCTTGATGATTTTTGTGCCTCATGATGTCGATCTCCTTGGCTTGTATCTACAATGGACGACGAAAGAAGATAAAAAAACCGGGAGGGACAGCAAAACATGTGTTCATAGTCTACTCTGAAAAGAGTAGGAAGAAAAAGCAGACCTCGAATAACTTCTTCCACATCGATTCTGACTTTGCCTGTTGAGCGAACCACTCATAGGCCATAGGTTCTACAATGTGGTTGGGCTGAGTGCAGTGTGATGTTGAAACGGCCTTTCTCTTTTGGAAAACGTTGAGAAGAACAATATTGTGTGAGACAATGTTTTGTATTCGGGACTTTTGAGAGAGTTGAAACAAGAAAAATCTTTGACATGACTAATGCAACAACTTACCTTCTGAGTTGTCATCAGAGATCTATCCATCATGCTAAAATGGCCAGTAAAGCTTCTACATCTTCCAATTTCGAGTGGGACCTTTTTGCTACCCAATAGAGGTCTGCAAATGGATCATATTAGAGAAAAAGAAAGAAGGGTTTGATGGAGTTTACATATATGTGAGAAATAGAATATCAGAGAGTAGTAAGTAACCTCTGGCCAGGTAACATCAGGCACTTTTCAGTTAACTGCGACATGGCAGAATCAGCTGCTTTTGTGGTTCCAAAAATCACAAGAGCCCTGCCTGATTGGATAAATGTAGTTTAATTTGTTGCATTGACAGAATTTTTTACCATTATGAGCTACCAAATAGACACAAGTAGGTGTAAAAATACACATATACCACTATGTGGGCTAGACACGAGACTTGAAGGGATCATCTTAGCATCAACTGCTTCTTTGAAAGCTTGCCTACAAAGATCCTGAACAGAACAAAAAGGAAACGGCTAGGAGTGTTATATTTTACAGGCTTTATAGAATGATTGCTAATTGTCTTTGATCAACATATGTAGATGGCATTGCATTGACAACATCAAATAAGATCCAGATAATATTGTAGAATCACTAACACATACCTCTACCTCCAGCGATGTGTATGATGGTTCCAGGTTCTCAATTAAGAGCACCCTACCTTTTTCTATAGCCGGTTTTAGTTCGTCCTCAAAAGGCTGGAAAAGGGAATATAGCAATGTTAAATGAAAAAACGAATGGTTTAGAATAACTTTTTTCTGAACCAGGACAAATCGTCTAACTAACTTTATCTTAACTATTTCATAGTTATTGTGAATAGTAATATTCCCTTGGTCTGATTTCGTGTGATGAAAGCCAATAGCATGAAAAACATTGGCTATTGGAATGAAAAGTTTTCTTATTCTTCTTAGAAGCGTCAAAGAACTTACCAATTTCTTGTACCAGCTTTTTTTCTCCTGTAAGGCAGACAAAAGGAGAAAATAATTTGGAAATGTCATAAGTTAATACTATCTAATCAACAGTGTGAATAATCTTTTTGCTATGCTCAAGCAAAGAAATAGTACACTACTTTTGTGCTGTAAATTGTTAAAAATAACATTCTCTCAGCTAATCCACCGAAAGAAGAAGGATAGAGATGGTACGTACGATGTTCTGAGTAGGAGCTTTTTCTATAAGAGAAGGATTTTTAATGATTTTCTTCTCTCCTGATTGAGGGCCTGGATCATCTGAATCATCTGTTTCTGGTGTGTTGAGTATAAGCTTCCTCTTTTTAGAAGGCTTAGCATCAACTGATGAACCTGAAGCATATAACTCCCCAAATGCTCTGGTTTTGAGTATCGGACCTCTTGACGTGGTATCAGTATTGACAGGAGGGTTCTTCTTCACATGTACATGACCAGCACGGTCCTCCAGAAAAGAGACTTGCAAAATCAAAGTAAGTGTCAATCTGGTTTGTCCATTTCACAAGTATATATGAAATAAGAGGCCAGAACAGATAGGAAAAAGGATCAACCTTTCTTTAATGAGCTTGTTCTACTCATCAGCTTTCCATCTCTGTTATCATTTTTTCCTAACTTTGTTGATCCCAAATCTGGACGCAAAGATTTAACTGGAGATGCCCTAGTACTGGCAGCTGCGCTTGAGTTTAGACGTTTTACAGGCTGTTTATCTCTTCTCATGTTGAAGAGTTTCCCCACTGCATTATTAGAGCCAGTACAACGTAAAATTAGCTTCATTAGATCCATTCTCGGAGAGTGTTAGGGGTTGAACAATAAAGTATATGCATTTTGTTCTAATCCAAACCTCCAATTCCAGCTATAGCATCTGCAAAGTCTTCTGATATAATTCTCAGCCTTGTATCGAAGGTGCGGGAGAAGACATAATTAGCTCTCCTCAACTCATTGCTTCCTGGTCGTGGGTTTCTTCGGTCATCAGATGTGCATACAACATTGCATTTCCCCATGATGGTCTCCTGGATCAAACAACACAAAAAAACCCCAAACTGATCTTACATCTATAGTAAACATATCATCAATTCAGATTGCTATTTCAATTCAGTAAGCAGGAGAGAAGGAGATGAAAAGGCAGCAAACTTACCACATCATTGATATTGGAAACCCCTTTTTCATCACCACAAGCCAGAAACAACTCATCCCATTGTGGCTCATAGTCTCCCAAGAAGCGATGGATGTCGATAGGTCGAAAAAACCAAATGACCTTGACTTTCTTCTCACCTGCTGATGTCTCGTACATGCTGACAAGCTTTCCAATTGAAGTCTCACATTGACCATGTATGTAAAAGTAAGCACAGTCAAAAAGCCAGTACTCGATGCCGTCATAGGTAAATGATTCATAGAACCGGACTTTATTATCTTTCCGTCCCACCCCTCTCTTAGCACCCCACTTAAAAACAGGGTTCTCTTCTCCACCAGCACTATTCGATTGCAACATAGAGAAGTTATCCTGCTGAGATATTCCCAAACTGTAGAAGAAACAAGAAGATAAACATAATAAGATGCAACCAAAGTAATACTAGAGAGTGTAAGATCATGGATAAGTTCATCATCCTTTTGAGTTTTAGACCTAAGGCGCCTTCAACCTCGAAAGGAAACTTTGCAAGCACATGGTTAAAGTAATGCCTAACTAGGACAGTATAAGGTTCACTAAAGCATCCAAAACCTAGACAGGAGATTGTCAAAAACAACCCCACAAAAGAACACAAGGCAACAATTTCATCTACTAACCTAAACAGTTTCCACCATTCTCAAGTATAAACTTGCCAGATATTGAAGTGATTACTGAATAACCAAGCCATTTTATGAAGCAAGTACTAAATACAGTTACTGTATACAAATCTTCAACCAAAAAATCAAGCCACCCTAAATATCCGAGACTCAAATACATGAAAATCGCTTACTGTTCATAAGCTCCACACAAAAGCAACAGATATAACAGTGATTTCGAAATACCAGAGATAATCTGTATACAACAAGGTGGCTTTTAGCAACGTTGATCAGAAAATCCAACAAATAGACCGGAAAACACTCAACGTTTAGCGACAAAAACGCAAAACTGTACGGACGTTGCTTCCGATACAACAAAAGCAACTCACAGTTTCTTCAAATCAAAAAGCAACAACGATTAGAAGACCATAGAAGAGAGGAGAAGCTATACCGGAAGCTAAATCGTCGATCGGAAGAGAATCTGTACAATGCAGAACAAACGAAGACCTAAAGATGCCACGAACGACGTGAAAAGTGAAAACGACAAGGAGAAACCGTTTCGTCGGAGGATTTTAGGTCACCGGAGCTGTTTCACAGCGACGATCGAGGGTTTCGAGAGGAGAAAACAGACCCGAAAGGGTTTTTGAAGGTTTTTGCAAAAATAAGAAAAAGTGTGACTATAGAAGATGCTGACGATGGATGCTGCTTCATGGAAATCTCTGGAGTTAGCTTAATTATGAACTAATCACTGTAATTAGTAGTAAGTTTTAAACTAACCTTGACTACTCTCTTTCTTTGACGCACGTCTTTGTTTTATCCAGATTTAAAATAACACTGACAGTTTTCTTAAGCCATTTTTTTTTAAGTACTCTCCTTTTTACCTTTTTAATCTTACACGTTACATTAACTAAACCCATTACCCTATATTACCGTAGCTGTAAAAATTAGGCAGCTGTCATTTCAGATATTCATTTTTGTCTTCCCCATAATTTTAGCTTTTAAAATCGAGATAAAAACAATTATAATTCATTTGTGTATTTATGTTTTTTAAAACAAAACTATAAATTTATTTATTTGTATAAAATCCTTCAAATAATGTCAAAAACATTTTTCATAGAAATAATTTGGTATAAGCAATGATCGCTGTTGGAAAAATTTACACATTATCATTTATTGTTTTATTTGGATGGTAAGCGATAGTTATATGATTTCAAACATTTTGGACGTTTGAGATTGGCACCAAACATCTCTTTATTTAGCAATTGACAAATATACCCTTTAACCACCTCACACGTTTGGGAAAAAGAGTTGGCACGTATAAACCCTAGCAGAGGCATTAAACCCTGATAAAGTTTTCTTGTCGTCTAGTAGTTAGGGATCACTGTTCTCCTCCGGCGAAAAAAATCTCTCGAAATCGTAAGTCTCTCATATGTCTCCATTTCTGAGTTTTTGATTCGATTTCAGATTTTATATTTCTTTGTCTTTAGTGTTTACTTTACGAGAAATGGGTTTTAGATTCTTAAGGCTTGTAAAATGGTTTTTGATACAATCAATTTCGAATCTTATTTGTGTTGTGTTGCTTCTCAGGATCCTAACCTCAATTGATTGAAGGAAGTAATGTATTCGCTTTCGAGGATTCTCCGAAGGTAAAAAAGTTTTTTATTTTCATTTCTTAGAGCTCTTGTGTGTGGTTTAGCAGCAAGCAAATTAGATCTTCTCTAATGGGGTTTTGTTCATTTTTATGATTTATTTGATTGAATTTTTTTTTTTTTTACTTGATTGTGTCATTTAGGAGTCAAAGATATAACTTTGCACCTTCTTCGTTTGGTGCGGTCAGTAAATTTGAACTATCAAGTGGTGGTGACAAAGAAAGGGTCTTTAAATCATCTGGATTGATTTATAATAAATCTCAAGGTTTAGTCAGACTTTATTCCACAAGAGATGTGTTTTCACGGTTCTTTGGCATCCATAAGCTTTCTTCTATAGCTGATGCGAAAGACAAAGGAGATGAGGTAGTAAGGGAAGAGGAGTTGTCTGAATCAGAGGAGGCGTTTCCTGTTTCTGGAGATGTATCAGAGGGAGTTGTTGATGATGATTCTTTGTTCGAGTCTGAGGTTGGTAGTGACAATGATGGTCTTGAAATTGAAGTGGAGCATTCAAAAGGTGGGAAACCAACAAAGAAAAGAGCTCAATCTGAGCTATATGAATCCATTGTTGCCTATAAATCAGTGAAACATGTTCTTGAAAAATGGGTCAAAGAAGGAAAAGATTTGAGTCAAGCTGAGGTTTCTCTTGCTATATTCCATCTGCGTAAACGTAAATACTATGCTATGTGTTTGCAGGTAAATATGTTCTCATTTCTACTTTGCCACATCGTTTATTGTTTTGTCTCTATCACCCTCTTAATGTGTATGTCTTTGCTTTGGCTTTTCAGTTGTGGGAGTGGTTGGGAGCTAATACGCAGTTTGAGTTCACAGAGGCAAATTATGCTTCTCAACTGGATTTGGTGGCCAAGGTACATAGTTTACAAAAAGCTGAAAACTTTTTGAAGGATATTCCAGAATCTTTCAGGGGAGAAGTGGTATACAGAACCCTGCTGGCAAATTGTGTACTTAAGCATCATGTAAATAAAGCTGAAGACCTTTTTAACAAAATGAAAGAACTAAAATTTCCAACAAGCGTGTTTGCTTGCAACCAGCTGCTTCTCCTCTACAGTATGCATGATAGAAAGAAGATAAGTGATGTTTTGTTGCTAATGGAGAGAGAAAACATCAAGCCGAGTCGTGGTACGTATCAGTTTTTAATCAATAGTAAAGGTTTAGCCGGGGACATAACTGGAATGGAGAAGATCGTGGAGACAATGAAGGAAGAAGGTATTGAAGTAGATCCAGAACTGCAGTCTACTCTGGCTAAGTACTACATAAGAGCGGGGCTTAAAGAACGAGCACAAGACCTTATGAAGGAGATAGAAGGGAAAGGTTTGCAACAAACTCCATGGGTGTGCCGGTCATTACTCCCACTTTATGCAGACATAGGAGACAGTGACAATGTGAGAAGACTGAGTAGGTTTGTTGATCAAAATCCGAGATATGATAATTGCATTTCTGCCATTAGAGCATGGGGAAAGCTGAAGGAAGTCGAAGAAGCAGAGGCAGTGTTTGAGAGACTTGTGGAGAAATACAAAATTTTCCCTATGCTGCCATATTTTGCCCTCATGGAGATATACACAGAGAACAAGATGCTAGCAAAAGGCAAAGATCTGGTTAAAAGAATGGGAAATGCAGGGGTTACGATTGGCCCGTCGACATGGCACGCTCTTGTGAAGCTATACATCAAAGCGGGAGAAGTTGGAAAAGCTGAGTTGATATTGAACAGAGCTACGAAGGATAATAAGATGAGACCTATGTTCATTTCTTACATGGCGATTCTCGAGGAATATGCAAAAAGAGGCGATGTTCATAACACAGAGAAGGTATTCATGAAAATGAAAAGGGCAAGCTATGCAGCTCAGCTTATGCAGTATGAAACCGTTCTGTTGGCTTATATCAAAGCCAAAACTCCTGCTTACGGGATGTTTGAGAGGATGAAGGCAGATAATGTGTTCCCTAACAAGAGTCTTACTGCGAAACTGGCTCAGGTTAATCCATTTAAAAAGTGTCCAGTGTCTGTTTTACTTGACGAATGACAATAATCATCCTATGTATTGAGCTGTTTTGTTTGTTCTGTTTGCTTCCAAGCTAGGAAATAATAAACAGAGGATTCGTTTTTCTTCCAAAGTTTGTCACTTTGAGGTCTGTGTTCTTGTGGTTTTTTCAAGTGACAGAAATGAATGAAATTGGAACTAAATTGAACCGGACAAAAGATACGTGGAGGAACTTACCGAACCGAACCAAAAACTAGACCAGTATAATTTGCAGGACAAAACCGAGAGAAATTAGTGAAAACCGTAAATAAATAAAACGCGTAGATCAGAACCGGGTCGGGTATATACAAATCCAATCGTGTGGGACCCAACAGCGCGATAAGGGAATAAAAAAATACAAAAATTGCGGTGAGCGTGGATCGAACACGCGACCTTCAGATCTTCAGTCTGACGCTCTCCCAACTGAGCTATCCCCGCTCTGTTGTTATTTGAACGATAAGACTAGTACCTAACCTCTATTTTCTTTCCTATTTTCTTATCATTCGTTTTGACTTCGCCGCTTGCTTTGAAGAGAGACGGAGACAAAAACACACACGACGAAGAAATCTCCCGGTGGTCGAAAAAGATGAAATCGTTCAAGGAACAATACACGTTAGGTTCGTGCCTATTTCAAGATCGATCACCGTTTATATACTACTAATCGTTCTCTGGTTAATCAATAACCTTATCGCTTATTTGCAGGTGAAAGGCTCGCAGAATCGCGAGAGATAATCGCTAAGTACCCTACTCGGATTCCAGTAAGTTAATTCAAATTGCTTCCTCTGATCTTATTCAATTATCAGATGTACCCTAAGATGATGATTTTTGCTTTTCAATTTTCGGAACTCAATGTGTTGCTTATTTTGAAGGTAATTGCTGAGAAGTATTGCAAAACAGATCTACCTGCAATCGAGAAAAAGAAGTAAAATAATTTCTCATCTTAAGCTGTGTTTTGATGATCTGTTGCATAGGAAGGGTGATGATGATCTGAGTTGTTTTTGAATGTTTTAGGTTTCTGGTTCCAAGAGATATGTCAGTTGGTCAATTCATCTATATCTTGAGTGCTAGGTTACATTTATCTCCTGGTAAAGCGTTATTCGTGTTTGTGAACAACACTCTGCCTCAAACTGGTGAGTTTTTTTTTTCAATTGGGTTTTACTTGTAGGTTTTTTCTAGACATTGTTTGTTTGATGTGTTTTGTTTTTCCTTTCTATGTAGCTGCTCTGATGGACTCGGTCTATGAGTCGTACAAAGACGAAGATGGGTTTGTTTACATGTGCTATAGCAGTGAGAAAACCTTTGGCTGAGCCAAAAATGATGTTAGTGTACATATACTTTAATACATAAGCTGTCCACTACATCAAAAGACACAAACACTTGTTAAGCTTATATGACTGCTTGTTTTATCCTTAGACTTTGTTCATTTGTGCAAATGTTTCTACTACAATCTCAGTTCCAACTTGCAACTAGTATTTCCCCAAAACGCTCTCTTTCTCATCATTGTTCATCTTCCTGAAAATTCAAAAGAGCAATGGGTTGTTTTACTTTTACTAGGGGAAGAGTTTTGTGCTTCCTCTCCGGCAAGCACCACGAAGTGGCAATCAACCAGTAAGAGTTCTGGCTACTTTTGGAGTTATCTTTATTAGATTCTAGTTCAGTGGCTGGGCTGCAAACATAAGAATTAAGACTTGGCATACAATTCTGATTGTATATGTCCCAGTGTCTATGTATTTTTTAGTGTGGCTATTTTTCTGTTCTTACACCTTTCCTGGCTTCTAATTACATAATGGCTTGTGCATTCAATAACTCCAATCTTCTCCTGATATATAACCATCTTCTAGCCACCTTAAACATGCCTTGCCGTTCCTGTTTTTCATATCATTCAAGAAAATGGAAGCTCTTCTGTTGAACAAGGGTATACTTTCATTACCATCAAAAGCCAGTGGAATCAAAAGGTGCTTGCATCCAACAAAATGTCTCAAGGCAGAGAAATTTGGTGACAAATTCCAAAGCCATGGACAGTGTTTTCAAATGTGTGCCAAAAAAGGTAGTATAAGCTTTGTTCCGAAACTTCTTGAATCCAACATTTGAACCACTTCGTATTTTTCTTTACATGTAAGGATGATTGAATATCAGTTTGTGTAAAGGAAAGTCAGAAACCCAAAGAACATCCAAACCCATATCTGTAAATGGGCCTTTAATCAGCTAAACCGGTTGGTATGATATCACACTCGTGATGTGATGTGGATATGAATGTGCAATGGGAACAAAAAGAAAAGGAAGAGAGAATCTTATTTTTGGCATGTACGTATGGTTGTGATAATACAAGCGGCATTGTGATATTCTAAAACGGGACCATTCATTGTCGTTCATCTACAAAACCACATGGAGAGAAGGATATTACAAATTATCGAAACAGAGAGACTATGATTTATTTGTCTTCTTCGAAATATTGGTTTTTTTAGCTAAATGCATAGAAGCTTATCTAGTTAGTCTCTTTCCACGGTCAAAATTGTAGTCGTTCGTGAATGTACTTTGCGTTTTATAATTGTTGAAAATTTTTCTTTACAAAACAGTTACTGTTTGAAAATTTGTCAAACAAAATGATCCTTTTTTAGGTAATTCTTGTTTTAGACGACCAAAACCAAACTTAACCACATAATGTTGGAATTTATTACAGTCGAAATCAAACTAAGAATGTAAAAACCGTTCATTGTATATAGCACTTAATTGATAACACTAGAATACAAATACCATTTAGCATCTCAGAGTAAGACAATGACGAGTCTATGCATTAATTTCATTCCCTTTGTCATATATATACAGGTAAAATATCTCTATAATTGTTTTTAATATATATCGAGGCAAATCAAGAGAATTTGTCTTCATCCCTTCTCTTATCGACACTTTCCTCCACAGCCTCTCAATCTTCTAACATTAGGATCACTCGTCTCATCTCTGGACTCTGATCAAAACCGTATTAAGATCATTATTGCATCTTTTATTATACAGCTAGAATTCATAATATAAAGTAAAATATATGCTACAGAAAGTATAATATGCATATCTTCAAACTTCAATACATCTTTGCATATTCATATGATTCTAGTAACCTTCACTTTTAATTTTTTTAATCGAACGATGTCTTAGCATTAAAAGAGTATATATTTGATCAACAAGTTAATGTACATAAATTGAATACAGAATTTGTTTTTGTATGGAACCTATCTAGATATAAATCCGAAAATAAAATAAAACACTTTCTCATGTAGTCAATTCTATGAACTAAATAATTTTATTCAATTTAAAATCAGAAAAAAAATGTTATGATTTGATTGTCGGTCACTATTAGGCAGCTACGATGTAGTATTAATAAATATTGTGAATGTGTGTATCTAGAAAATGAAATCTAATTAAATTCGTTCGTTATTTTCTAAAACTTGCAAAACTATTTACAAAAAAAAAAAAAAAAAAGCCTTTATGGAATTTTGGAAGTCATGATTATGTTCTCCGATGAGCTTTTCGAGCAAAAACCATAAAACCAAACGTAAAAAAAAGACCATCACTTCACTTTGCTTTCTTCTATATAAAACCATCTTCTACTCCACTACACATCGAGAGCTCACTGTGAAAAAAAAAAATCGAAACAAATGAAGAAAACACCTTCGCCGGAACCAGTCACCATCTACGGCAATCAGCAAGAAACCTTCGTCGGAGATATGGAGTACTACACTTACTTCGACGAATCTTGTATCCAAGACATGAACTATTTCGTCAAAACAATCACCGGAATCAAATCCAAAGGAATCAGACCAGACCTTATCGGTTCCATCATCGCTCATTACGCTTCAAAATGGCTCCCTGATCTCTCCGGCAATGTCTCCGCCATCATTTCCACCTCCGTAGAATCCAAGAACCACCACAATGAGACACAACCAGAGAGCGTCACGGCGTCTGTAATGAAGAAACGATTTTTCGTCGAAACACTAATCGGAATCCTCCCGCCGGAGAAAGACTCTGTTCCTTGCAATTTCCTCCTCCGTCTCCTCAGGACAGCGAAAATGGTCGGAGCTAATCCGAACTACTTAACGGAGCTTGAAACCAGAGTCTCGTGGCAGCTTGACCAAGCCTCTCTCAAGGAGCTTATGATACCTTCCTTCAGCTACACGTCTGGTACTTTGCTTGACGTTGAGCTTGTGACGCGTCTCGTGAACAAGTTTTCTGGATTGGATAGTGAAGGTGTTAAAACCAGTGCGGCTCTTGTTAAAGTGGCCAAGCTTGTTGACTCTTATCTCGCTGAAGCCGCCGTTGACGGTGGTTTGGCTTTACCGGAGTTTATATCCTTAATCACAGCTCTTCCTAGCCATGCTCGTACTACAGAGGACGGCTTGTACCGCGCCATTGATACATATCTCAAGGTAATGATAAATATCTTAAATTGAAATTGAGATTCAAGATTAAGACTCAATTCAAGATTTGAATTCAATTGCAGGCACATCCTCAGGTGTTGAAGCAAGAAAGGAAGGAACTTTGCAGGCTTATTGATAGCAGAAAGCTATCACCAGAAGCAGCTCTTCACGCGGCTCAGAATGATCGTTTACCGGTGAGAGCAATCATTAGAGTTTTGTTCACTGAGCAGACAAAGCTAAGTCGTCACATGGACTGGAATGGTAGCTCTATAAGCAGCACGACGAAGAGTCCAACAAACTCTTCTGGTTCACATTACTTGGAGGGAGGTTCTGCAGCGCGGTGCTTGTCTAAACGTGAGATGAATGTTCAGCAAGCAGAGATAAGAAGGCTTAGAGAAGATGTGGTGAGGCTGCAGAGCCAGTGCAGTGCTATGCATTTGCAGGTGGAGAGGCTTATGGAGAAGAAGAGTAGTGGTGGAAGTAAAGGGTTTTTCCGGTGGAAGAGGCTCGGGTTAGTACCGTCAATTAGAGGAAGTGTTAGCGTTGAAAAAGGTGAGGAAGAATCTGGTGACAATGGTGAAGGATTTGAGCCTAGGACTCCTGGGAATATGAAGACAAGGCTTGTCAAAGGAAGAACAACACCTTCAAGGTGGAGAAAATCTATGTCTTAATCTTGAATTAATGAAAACAACACAACAATGGGGAAGTCTTTTTTTATACACAAACAATGAATAAACCATATTGATCACAACACTAAACAAATGCATAGATGAAAGCTTTCATCGTGCTCTCTAGAACTTGACAGCTCGTTTGATTGATTGAAGAGAAGACTTGATGAAGTTGTTCTTAACAAGATACTCGTTCTCATCGTCGTTTCTTGAAACCACTGGTTTCTTCCTGATGCAGTCTATTCCTTTTTTCATTCCGAAGATAAGTGATGGAGATGATGGAATCCTTCTGAAGGTTCTAGCGCTCTCTGATCTCTTCACAACTTTGTCTCTGCCACTCTTCTCTGGTGTGTTCTTTAAATCAAAACTCATTCTGCTTCTACGAGAACTTTCAGCTCTTGTTTCCACCTTGCTTGTGTTGTTGTTTGCCTCCTTAGCCTGCAACTGCAAGTCCACTTCTTCTTCACTAACCTTGCTTGTGTTGTTATTTGCTTCCTTAGCCTGCAACTGCAAGTCCACTTCTTCTTCATCAACCTTTTCAAGAAAAGGGAACTTGTGGTCCAGTTTCTCTATCATTTCATCAATCTTCTTGCTTTTTTCGGTTTCAAGATCGTGTGGATCGCTTTTGTTGTTGTTCTCCAGTAAAATATGAAGCCATTTCTCAACATTTCCTTTCCCTCGCTCTCTCCTGCTTTCCTCATCTTCCTCCTTCTCTGGTGCCTTGAAAACATGGAATGCTCTGAAGCTTCTGCTGCCTCTCTTCCCATCTTCTACATCTAGCTTTTCTTCAACCGGTTTATTATCTTCCAACGCAACAAGAGACTTCTCAGATACCTCTGGAGTTTTCTGTTCCTCTTCCTCCTCCTCTATTTCACAATGCTTCTTAGGTTCAGCCTCAGAAGCCGCTGCTTTATGCTCTTCTTCAAAGTGTACCCTTAACTCCTTGTGTGATGACATTTCTTCACTTGTTCCTGGAAGATACAGAGATAACTTCCTGTCTCTATCGTCTAGCAACAAGTCATCTTCATCATTCAGCAAAAGTCTTGATCTTTTCCTTGCTTTCTCTAACTCAGGCCTCACTTGATTCTCCAGCTCCTCTCTTTCTTTAAACTTCTTGTGAAGTTCTTTCTCTGAACCATCACAAATCGCCTTTTGCGCCTCTAATCTTGCCATAAGCGCACTACTCGCAGCCTGGTTTAACCTCACTTGTTCTTTATACACAACACTCCTACAAACACACAAACAAACAAGATTAAAGAACATTATAAATTTAGAACATATCGAAATGCAATTGTGTATAGAGAAAATCTCTTACTGGTGCATAGCATCACGGATCATCTTCTCAAGTGTATTCCTATACGAGCATTGAGCTTCTGCCAATCTCCTGCACTTTTCAGCTCTTCTTCTTCGCTTAACTAGCTCATTCTCTAGCTCCTGAATACTAAGCCGATCTTCACTGTTCTTTCTTGTCAAATCAGTTGTTTCATCATCTAACTTCTTCATCTCAGCTCTCATATTCTGCGCTTCCTCTCGGTGTCTCAATGAATCCCTCGCAGCAACAATGGCTTGATACGGATTTTTCATTAAGTCTGGAGTCTCATTCTCTTTGGTTGCACCGAATCTCATCTTCCTTGCTGCATCATACATAAAGTTGATTCAATACAACAATAGATACAACAGCTGAAAGGCCGAGAAATAGTTACTATACTAATACTAACCAGGAGTTTGACGATTGCAATCGAGCGATCTCAAGACTAATGAAGGGTCATAAGGATCTCTTCTAGAAACAACAACTGCAGCTGAAGCAAGCCCAAACTTCTCTTTTGATTCAACAAAATGTTGTGGAAAATGGTGTGATTCAACCATTTGTATACCGTTTAGTTCTTCGTTTTCGCCTTCTTTGAACAAGAATGAAAATGCTCTCCTCCTATAAAATTTACATTTGATTAAGATGTTTGTACATTAATGAAATAGATAGTGGTATTTGTATATATCCAAAGTTTGTTACTTTATACCTGAAATCAGAACTTGAAGCAGCGAAAATCGACAAGAACTGATTCACTGAAATACCAACTTGAAGATCCCACCATGGTACTAAGAACTCAAGCTTGTCTTTCTTGTTCTTGCGTGCTTGCCATTGCACTATCCTTAGGTTGCTTGGTACTGTTAAACCTCCTCCTACAAAGACAATTCAGATACAGAGAAGCTTTAATCAATCAGACAACCAAGGAACTCAAAATCTAAAAACAGAAGAGATAATTGAAGGATGTGTAAACTACTTGAGCAAGGGAACCAATGATCAAAACCCCAAGCAAGAGGAGAAGCTGAATCAGCGTGGAAGTAAACAACATTCCCATATGGATCAATCCGAATAACAGCTGGATCAAATCCAGCATTTCTGCACACATAATCAAAATCATAAGAATCTGAATTGACTCTAGTGTGTTAAAAGTGATGAGAGATTAAGCCCTTATTACCCTAGATGATTAAGCTGTTTCCAAAGGAGACTGAGGAAGATCTTGGGTTTTGTTGTTGGTCTCGCTTTTGGATCAATTACTGGAAACATCGCATCTACTTCTCTGCATCTTAAGCTCTTCAAGACAAACACAAAAACAGTAAGTTTTTGTCAATACAGAGAAAAACACTAATCCAGTAGAATTGAAGAATTAAACAATATAATTGAGATCTGAAAGAAGTAAAGTAATCCCTGAGCTTCCAATAATTCCAAAAAAAAACCCTAATTTTGAGCTCAATTACCCCCAAATAAAGCAATTGTGTCAAATTACCTCGTTCTGCTGAAGAATGTAGGGCATGAAAGTGAAAGGAGGACCATTTCTGTACGGAAAAACTTCAAAATCGCGACAGATCTTAGCGTAAGCTCTCGGATAGCCCTGAGCTTCCTCGATAACCAGATCTTCTTCCGTTATACCATAATCGTCCATCATCGTCACAGAGATCAACTATTTTTTTCTGTAGATTTTGTGTTTGAACCAAAGAGAAAGCAAAAAAAAACAAGCTTTTGGGTGTTCTGAGTTCTGTTTTCAGGCAAGAAGAGGAAGATAAAACTCAAACAACGGTCGGATTTTTTCTGAGTTTAACGATGACCATTCATTCTCTTTTTAATAATTTAAAAGATAATTACTAACAGCTGTTGGGAGAAGAAAATTTAAAAAGGCGTGCCACGTAAGCATTGAAACGGCCGTGTGGGACTGTAACGGCTATATGCCACGTCGGACCCACGCTCCACCTCTTTATGGAAGTAGTAAGTTTGGTGGCTCTATGAAGAAGTTGATGATCTTTCTTGTGACAAAAAAACTTTAATATGTAAGTCTTACCTACGGATCCTTTTTGAATTTTTAAAAATGTGAATCAAAAGTAGTAGTGATTACAAATTTTTTGGGTTAACTGACGAACTTTTTAGTGAATTTCTTATAGATCAATAACCAAGGAACCGACAAAGTCCCTAACCAAATCTCCCCAATGTTTTTGCTCTTCTAGTATCAACATACCAGAAAAAAAAAAAAAAAAAGGTTTCAAGTGTGTAAAGTAAGGTTCTGAATTTATGTTTTGAATGAATGAAACTGGGGCTTCATTCTAAACTCTTAATATCTTTGTTTGAAAAAAAAAAACTAATTTGCAGAAACTACAAAATTACTTTTTTCGTTGGTTACATGACAAGCAGAAATTTCAACATTGATATTTCTTGTTGAAAAATACTTTTTTCTTCTTCTAATTGATATACTTAACCTACGATTCTTCTCGATTATTCAACTTACCGTCTTAGTGGTGGTTATTTCGAAGTTTGTCTCTGACTATTGCCTAAATTATGTGGAAGATTGATTATAGGCTATAGCTTGTATAATCTTATACGAAAAGTACTGAAACTTAAGAATACTAAAGAAATAAACAAGACGAAGGAATGCTATTTAAACGCCAAGTTGGAATAAATAATGCATGTTGACAATCATAAAAAAATAAAATAAAAAAAAGTCGTGAAGATAGAGGAAAATAGCATTTTAACATCAAATTTAGGGTTTACCATCATAAATCTTTTCTTCTTTTTAAAACAACCTAAATCTAAATAAGTAAATTGCTGTTTTTATTTTGTCTAATAACCAGTAGTAGTTTAATTTCTCTTAGTTATGACTTATGAGCTAGTTGACATGCACATTGTATTTTCTCATTGTCGCCTAGAGTCTTTTAAGAAATTTAAGAAATTAGAGTTGATAACGATGATGGCATCGTTAATTTAATTTGGGCCAAGAAAAAAGGTAGAAGTGAGAGGGGATGGGCTGAATCTTTGCTGTTTCTGGTTTGCAACGCACATGGGTAGGTCACAGTTGTAACAAATCATATGGGTTCGTTTCATAATCACATATCTTAATTTTGATAAAACCTAGTATTTTGTTTTATAGAAAGACAATATAGCACGGAAAGTTTGGAGTCAGGCACCTCTTCCCTCTACACTCAACGTGGATTCCATCACAGATTTGAGAACAGGGATCTCCAGAGGCAACTTGATTCAGCGCTCTACACCGCCAACCACAAGCAGAACAATCTCTGCCCCCTGGATCCTTTGGGCACTCTGGACCAGCCGAAACAAGAAGATTTTTGAAAATCGCATAATATCTGAGCTAGAAACTATTGAAGCAGCATCTACAGCAGAAGAGGAATGGAAGAAAGCACAATTGGAAAAAGCACCCACTACGACTCACACACAACAAGCTTCAATACGCCACAACACACAACAAGGCACAAAGTGAGTCTATGCTTCCCCTTCCTCGCAGGTGTCTTCGCAAGTTCTCTCGGAGCTGGGCCTTTGGCCTTTTTTCTCCATTTTCCTTGTATTGGGCCTGTGGTCTTTTTGGGACCTTGGTGTCTTGTAGTTGTTTTATTGTTTTCTTTTGTTGGGCCTTGTGGCCGTCATGGGCTTTCGGGCTTTGTATGCTTCTTCTTTTAATTGGAAATTAAGTGTTAAAAAAAAAAAAAAAAAAAAAAAAAAAAAAAAAAAGGCACAAAGTATGAAGAATCCCCACCAGGAACGCTTTTTTGTCAAACTGATGCGGCTTGGCTTGAACAAAACAAAAATGCTGGCTTGGGATGGGTTGTGATGAATAACAACCGTGAAGTAAGCTCCCGAAGCTGCAAACCGGTGCCGTTTGTCAGAGGCCCGAGTGAGGCAGAAGCCCTATGCATCTTTGAAGCACTCCAATCTCTCCAAAACCATCTGCAGTCCAGGATCATCATTGAATCTGATGCTAAAACTGTTATTGATGCTATTGTCTCCAGGAAGCCACCGATACACTTGATAGGAGTCATTGAGGATATCCTTAACATTGCTGCTTCCTTTAATGCTCTCTCCTTTAGATTTATTCCAAGATCAGAAAACATGTTGGCTGATGATCTTGCTAGAAAAGCCGTACGGTCGATGACCTTAGGCCTCACATTCTCTTTGTAACACTTTGTTTCCTCTTAATGAAAGTTTCTTTCCCTGACCAAAAAAAAAAAAAGAAAGACAATATAGAAAAACAAAAACTAGGTCGACATACCGAACATGTCGGTGTTTTCTATAATTGATATTAATGATATCAAAAGCAAGAGAGTGCATATCTAATTAAAGAATCACTAAAAAAAAAAAAGAAGAATAAGCTTAAAATTTCTATAATTTCGTTTTTATTTTAAACTATATATAATGTATACATAACAGATATACATCTATTTAGATTTATAATGGCATTTACTGAAGAATAAGTAAAAACTAACGAATGTTTTACGTACACTTTGTCGATTTGCTTATAATACCCATATTTTTCTTAAAACACGGTTATGTATAACTTATCAACAATAAAAATTTCAAATAATTAATTAAAAAAATATGAGATATAATGGATACTGATCATTACATATGTTTTGCTACACATATATATAGATCCGAATAACAATAAAAAGTTTGAAACAGATTAATGTTTTAACTCAACACTCAAGAAACAAGTAGTGTATATATATATAGCTGTCTTTCTGACGATAATTATGCAAACCATAACTTGAAATTTTGTTGCAAATAATATACTATAACATATATTTATATAACATGAATAGGAAAAATGTTCTAAAGGATCTTGATGATCATGTTTAAGGTTAAATTAATTAACCAGCTTCTTGCTTCTTGTTCAAGTCATCATCACTCGTCTACTCCTCTAGGCTGCAGCCCAAACCCGGAAGCATCCGATCTTTTCATTATCCTCAGCCTCTTGCATGACTCTATAAACATCCTGCAAATCAAAATATCCAAACTCATTACTTTAGTTTGTGATACATTTTGTTTTGCAATGAGATATAATCTTAAGTCAAAAGATAGAACATACCCCCAAGGTACATCGCCGGCGAGCATCCAGTCTCCATCTTTGTCCTCGTATATGGTAACGTATTCGCAGTTGTCACCATCTTTCAAGGCCACACCTGCACAACAAATATGTATATGTAAATATTAATTGTGTTGATAATATCGCGATATATAGAAAAGTCTAACTAATTAACAATACGAGTGGTGCATAAACTCTGATTTTTAGACTTTTTGTGAAAAACAAAAATGGATGTGAAATTGAAACCTCTAACTTTTCTATAATTGAAAATTTTCAGATATTCAGTTTGAAGAAAAATTACTAGTAAGACCATCAGAGATTAGGACTAGTCTTAGTCTCTTAGAACACGTAAATATAATTCCTCAGATGACTAATAAAGATCTCCACCTATTTGTCCTTTCATAACACTCTTTACTTAAAATCTATAACAATGCTATCACACGAGTACTAAACTGCTAACCTAATTATTTGTAATTGTATTAGTGTTGTCGTTGTATCATAAATTGGGATGTTCCTTGTAGACGAAAAAAGAAAGAACTAGTACTAAAATACTACTCCATTACGTCTAAAACACTCAAGTTCTTTAATCGGATGTCTCGTATGTATAATTAGTGTTTTTCCTTTTCACATGGTCTAGTAACCACTCTACTTTGACGGGAAGAGAAAACAATTGTTACTAACCGATGCCACGGAAACCGAAGAGCTTATCAAGAGCAAAGGCTAGATCATCATAACCTTGGCTTGAACCAAGATCCATCTTCCTCAAATAAGGCACACCATCCATGCTAACTTTCACATACCCTAAACCCACTTTTGTGGTCGAAGCTTCCTTACAGCTGTTTTTCCTCCGGTAAGAGCAAACCGGCGGCCACCCCACCACCTGACTTTTCGCCGCCGGTGAATCATTAACCTTCTCAACGTCACCACCAGATGAAACGACGCCGCTTTCACATTGATCACTATTACTACCAGAAGACGTCATGTTCATCTCCGTGAAAGCTCTCTTCTTCATCATCATCTTCTCAGCCACATCTCTCCCCGGAAGCCCCAATCTCAGCTCCGTTATCTCAAGCCCGAGTCCTTCCTTCTCCATTTCTTGAACTTCTTTTTCTTCTCTCACAATTTGATACAATTATGAAATGAGAACTTTCTTCTCCTACACTTCTCTTATTGTAGTAATGGCACCGCGTCGTGCTTTTTATATGTTGCTTCGTTGGTCCACACGATAAAACCAATGAAAACCAGTCAGATATCGACACGTGGAGTCATTTGATATCTAAAGTCTTCTTCTTCTTTTTATTCAGTTTGTGTGGGGAGACAAAGTGGGGGCAGAGACAGGTCAACTGAGGATGCGGTGGTCGGTCACATGAGAGACATAAGTTTGGTGCTGTTTTTATTTTTTTCTCAAAATTAATAAAGACCGGCATTACAAGGTGGTTAAGGGAACAGATCCTACGGTTGTGAAATTTTCTTGTGATTTTTCTCTGACCGTTGGATCATTGGAATCCGAATCTCCTTCTCCTAACATCCCATGTGTTTTTCTTTTGTAAAGATTCTTGTTCTAACTAGTAAATCACAACTATAGTCTACTTTGTCTTCAATAAGTTCATGTTATTTTATAGTGAAAAATAAATATAAACTTAAGTCTATTTGTTTGCATTTCTAATAAGAGCATGGGAATATTAAATCAAATCCTACCATTTTGGGATATGTTCGTTATCTCTCTTTGCATCTCATTTTAAGTAGTAACTAACAATATTTGGCTTAATAATAAAATATTTCAGCAATGATTTTGATTGGTCACCGCGTTAATCTCACATGGAGAATATACACCAGATATACTAAATTTGTATGGATCGGAACCAAATATAGCAGAGTTTAGTTTGGATTGGAACAGGTAGTTACAAAGTAAAAACGTATCAAGTAACGATTTTGATTTAGTACGTTTTTGGTTCGACTTATAGATCGGGTTTGTTTTATTTTTTGAATATGAGTCATATCGATTGAATTTATACAGATTTATACCTACTTAATTTAAATCTTATTTGCAACATCCATATAAACCAAATTCCCAAACAAATATATAGTCAATGGCAACAGCTCTCAGCTTAAACTAACAAGACGATAACCGATGTATTGTAATATTAAGTTAGAGTTCTTCATGATACTCATCTCCAAAGTTAGTCTCGAAAACTCTTCAAGCGGAGTAAACTAGTTTCGAATAGGTTCAAACTCAGCCAGACCCGCATTGTTGGGTTGTTGTTAACTATCTTTAGCTCAGCATACCAATAAAACACAAGAAGTATAATGATGGGGTTTAGAGACGTAGGGACACGAGAATAGAAAAAAAGATCGACCGTGTGTATGTGTGTGAGTGTGTGTGGGTTCACTCTTGTCTACCAACTTTGATCAATGGATTGACATAAACAAGTTGGGCCACGTGAAATTATATGAAATACAACCACATAAAGAGAGAGATGAGTTCAACACTCCCATATCTCTAGTTTACTTTTAATTTTTCCAATGGCTACCAAACGACATTTGTAACACCATATATTTATAAATTCCATTTTTACAAATTTTGAGTGGGAGCAGTGTTTGGTTTTACATTTCAAATGCACAACTGTCACCTTTTTAGAAAACGTATTTTCAATAAACAAATATAATTTGATCAAAATTTTCATCCGAATACCATGCAATTATGGATCTTTGGTCCATAGTTTCTATATGCACTAATGATACAATGCGCAAATCTTTAGACTCAAATTCGATTTCCCCCTTAGAATAGGATGTTTATGTAAAAAAAATATCATGAAAAAATGAATATGATAGATTATGATGCTTTATTTCTGCCTTCGAGCTCTGGAAACTCCACAGTTTGCAATTTGGAAAAATGCCGTTCAACCTGGAAATTCAGGTCGTCTAAATAGAATTATTTCCAAAAAAAAATATGTTTTTTTCTTGACAGCAAAAATTACTATTTTTAATATCTAGAAATTTCATGTGCTTCTACTCGAGTTTTGATCGGAAAACTTTTTTAGTGATTGTGACATGTCTCATGTTTCTTATACGTTAGGTCGTTATCCACGATTCTCTTGCTTATGTTTTCGGTTAGTTAATAAAATATTACAAGTCTCAAAGATCATAATTATGTTCTAAATCCCTTATATATATATATATATATATATATTTCACAATACGTATCTTTCAAAAAGAATCAATGGAGGTATAATTTTTAATTAAATGGACGACCAACTAAAAGTTAAATTACAAGCATGTTCCCACGTCCATAAGCAGCATAATGCCATAATCTAAATTATGAAACCGCAAACGCTTTTTTATATTATTGTCAGTATTTTTTTAATATTTTATGTAAAGCACATATATAGATATAAATTACATGTGTATAGAATCAGGAGAATACCTGGTTAAGCATGAAGTGAAATTAAAAACCAATCTTTACCAGAATAATTTCAGGCAATAATAATAAGTATGATGAGAGAAAAAGAAGACCTCTCCTATGTAGAAATAGTTACTGTTAATGAAAAATATTTATTCATAAGTACTTAAGTCAAATTATAGAACGATCAGTAACTAGTAAGCCCTAATTAGCTGGATAATATTTTATAGGTTATCTTTTTAGTGTTTCTATCAAACTAATAAAAAGTTTAGATTGCGAATAACTTTTACACTTTTAATTATATTAATCATTTTCATTTGAAAACTAAACAATTAATAACTTTTGATTCTTCTCGACCTCAAAAACTATACAATTTGAAATGTAACTTTTGACAATTATAAAACATTGTCCGACAAATAGGCAACAAGCTAAAAAAGGAAAGCACGAGTGTTTAGCGGACGCATTAGTCGAGCAAATATAATTTAACTCGGATATTATATCTTTATGATTATAAGAATAGTCGTCGGATATTAAGGGGAAAAAATAAGTATCATTAAGATATGTTCGAATATTTTCATGCATACTAGTATCTTATTCTTAATCTTACTAAAGCATATTTCTAAACAGGAGAAAACAAGAACAAATGAACGGCGTCAGAGACAGAAAATCTGTTTAAAGTACGCCAAAGTAAAATAGAGAATTGGTTCGATCGCTATCTTCTTGGGCTTTCGATTCTATAGCTTCCAACCCAATCTACCGACATATGGCCCGTTTCTGCGGATATAGTGTTGATTTTCTCTTATTAAACTTTGTTGCAGTTGAGAAAACCATGATGCATGTGAACTTGGTGTAAATAGTCTATAGCACGAAATAGGATCTAAAATACTCTTGATCTTCGTGAAATCCGATGCGAAGAAACGCAGTTTTTGTTTCGAAGAGTCTATCGAGCCACTCTTTTGCCGTTAAAACTAAAACACACAAAATGATTTTTTACATCAAAGAATTGTATACATAACAAAAAAAAATTGAATGATAGTTTAAATGGATGTTTACAAATTTAGTGGCTAAATACTTACCTCGCGGTTTATTAGCAGATTCCCACCAGATTTTGGACACACTGAGCAATATAAACACGGCCATCAATACAAAATATAAGAGTTTAGTAGCCATTAATTATTTGAAGATATATATGAAGAGAAGTGACGAGACTAGTTGATTTATATAGACATCTTCATTAGTTACAATATTAATATTGACCACGTCAAAACTAATTCGGTCCTTACATTTGCCCCTCAGGACACGATACAAAGACTTACTATTTATATTTTTGTCACAATACGAAGACTTACTTATGTCCTAACATTTTACCCCTTAGTGCTCGTTGAAAAAATATTTAGACTTTTCGTCCATCGGAGTATTGGACCCAACTTTACTTCTACCAATAGCGCGTTTAGAGATATACATATGCAAAGACTGATGTGATATGATTAATTTCAACATATTAATAAGTGGGTCTTCTACGATAAATTCACATTCGAATAGACGTTGTGAAAATCAGAAGTGAAGAGACCAAAAGATTTATAAGAATTATATATCTTGCTTGAAGTAGATAAATAAATAAAATTGTATAGCATTTTTTTTTTAATTACGATAAATTTGTACAGCATGGTAATCCAAAAAAAATGGCCAACGTAATAGTTGTATGCACATTATTCGTAATAAAGAGTAGAGAGTACAAAGCTTCAATGGATTAGGCCGGAAAGAGATGAAATAAACCAAAACAAAACATATGCAACCGATTCCTTATAAAATGAGTGTTGGGGTTTCTCTTCTCCCCATTTTCTTAAGGATCTAAAAATAAAATAAAAATTACTATCCAATGGTTTTAAAACGCTTTTCTTACACCATCTTAAAGATTAAAATCACATAGATTCTAAACGTTAATAAAAATTTAATACTATTACTCTATTAGTAGAAGTTTTAAAATATTATATGCGTTTATGGTTCAAACAGTTAGAAAATAATAATTTTTGTTATATTCATATCTAAATTAAGCATGAGTTACAATATTTGGTATAAATGAATGTTGCTTGAATGTGTGTTATTGTATTATCAATGGTGTTGGTGTTAGTCTTACCAAAAAAAGTTGTTGTTTAGAGAAACTTGAGAAAGTGTAAGAACAAAACATATATAGGGCGTCGGTTTCGTGTATTACCTCAAGGTATCCTACTATAGATGGCAAAAGCAATTCAAATTCGTACTTTCTTATAATAACAAAATTAATTTTCATGTTTATTTGTACCAATAACATTGCATAATTATAATATTATGAAAAGATAAAAATTTGACAATTAGTAAATTTGTGCATGTCCCGTATATATTGCTTTAGATCATTTCTAAATTTTATGTAACATCCTAACATCATGTTATATAAAACAACGTATAATTTTCCATATGGTGAATTTCCGTTTGTTTTAGCCTTTTCCGTTTCTGTTTTTGATTCGAACCATGAGATGGAGCTGAGAGATCAAACCTATATGAGTTACGAAATGAGACTCTTTATCATTAGTTTTGCATGAAATGGCTGAACATAAATCACGGTTCTAAAACTTTTTGTGATTAATTCAAATTATATTTACAGACAAGTTACGCTGCGAATTACCGACATAAACCAATATGTTTAGGGATGATAAAATAACATAAGACGATGCAATATATCTCTTATCCAAACAAAAAAAAAAAACAAGTAGCCCATGGAATTAAGCCTACCGTCAAACTTTAGTTTTCAGGTTAATAGAATTTTTTTTAAAAAAAAAATTTAACGTTACAGACGGTGTTTTAAATTCAGAACACTAAAAGAAACCAAAATTTAGGAAAAGGTATGAAAAGATGTAAGGTAAAATATCAACGGTAGGATTTAAGAACAGAGCCGCAAAAGCAGCAGACGATGGCTCTCCAAGATCTGCAATAAATAGGTATAAGACAGAACCTCGTCGAAGTCTTCATGTCGGCGATTCTTGCACCACAACCACACCGGGAACACGTTCCTGCCGCCGGTTTGCTTCCTTTTATTTTCCTCTTCTGGTCCACCAAGAAACAGAAACACACCATTCTTGATCCTTAATTCTTCCAATTCTTGTTTCGAAAAAAAAAAAAAGTCACTGGAGATATAAGAATCTAATAATCGCCTAGGATTGATCGATATCAGTACTAAGAATGGTGTCTCTTGAAGATACAGTTGGGTTAGAGATGTGCAAGATGATTGCCCTACTGATGTACACGTGTTTGGCGTAGAATGTAAGTAATTAAGAATATGCTTCGAGACATAAATATTTATAGAGATTAAGATATTTAGAAGAGTTTTTGAGGTGCGTACGCACACGTACAACCCCCAACTTCCAACTGAATTCTTCATTTTATTTTTTTATGTTCTTATTCAATTTATATTAACTCCTAGGTTCTAGGAGTTTTGTTCTATATATGTTATTGCGATGTACGTCATTGATGAATCAGTGGCTGTATCTCTGTCAACGTGGAAAATTTTAGTTGGAGGTTGTGTTTGTCATTGTTCCTTATCGGAAATATGGGTCATGCAAAAAAATCCCATTCTCTACCTTTAAGTGTCAAAATTTTCTCATTCCAAATATTTAACATCTAATAAAAGCACAATAGAAATGGGCCTAAAACATATTAAACTTGCACTCTTTAAAAATTCTGTATAGTTGGGCTAGCTTAAGAGCCCAAAGTTTTGAAATTTTTAATTTTTGTCCGTTTTCCTTATTAATGAATTTTTTCTTTCCTGTCGATGGCTCTGAGTTTGCAGTCAGTTTTTCAAGAAACAAAAACGAAATTTTTACTTATAAAAGATTTTTCACTTACATGGAATTTTCAAGATTCTGGATGGTTTTACAATTTACATAATACAAAGTCAAACCAATATTACTATTCCAAAATTTTCTTTCCCAAGGAAATGGAAAGCTAAAAATGGTCACTGGATAGACTCACAACTCCCAAGAGAGAAGTGTCCAAAATAACTATTCTGCATCATAAACTATACTGCGTAATTATGTACTTATATATGCATGATTAGTTATGAAAAAAAATCGTCACTTGTATTGAACTAATGGCTTAGTTTGACGTTAAGACAAGAAAGTGTTAGGTAATAATAATTAAATAGGAATGTTAGATTAATAAACAAATTTGAGAGCAGAGTTACTTACTAGTCAACGACGGGTTAGGTCGTTCTGCGTCTACCAACTAATCAGGTTGCTACTATATAAACTATTTTCCTCAATACTTTTTAGATTCTTTCTACGGTTGCTTCTGAGTTTTGAGTTTTGGACGAATATCTTTTGACATATACGTCCTTATATCAGATTGTTTGTTTCGCATTTTGTTGATAATTGTTAAAAAATGCAAATATATGCATAACAGGTTTCAATCATCTTTTTTGACAAAGCTAACAAGATTAGTCTTGATTTCAAACTCATGTATCATTTTTCTCCTTAGACATATAAACTCTTTCTTTTAATTACTTTCAAAAAGAAAAGTGGATGGAATTTCAAATGTCACATGAAACAACAAAAAATGATGTAAAATGTTATTGACATTTGATAAGATTTTAAAAATATAACTTCATCTAGCTTAGCTGGTCATGTGAGTTACCAAAATCAAGAAAGATTATTACTGTTTGGATATGAGGCATCCCGCATATGTGAACACACTTGAACACCGACACTTCATTTAATGATTAATTATTTTAATAATCTTAGTATTTCACGGTAGTCCAGAGGATTAGTCCCCGCAAACACCCGAATTATTTTATATTTATAGATAACTTTCATTTGAGCTCTTCTGGCAACCTTTTTGGCCATAATCAAAAGAATATATACAAAGCCACACAAAAAAAAGGACGCATGTAATGTAACTTACGTGTTTTTATATTCTCTTGTTAGTTGTTACATAACTTACGTATTGCTGACGATAAATTGAGATAGTTATTTTAGTATCTGTTTCCATAGTGGTCACTGGTCCGTGTGATGATAACAGTACGTACAAAGTTCCTTACTACAATCCACCATTTCATTGGACAACCTGGACAACCTTCATGCACCTTTTTCTTTAAATTTGTATCGTATTCAATATTCGATATTAAGATTAACCTCTTGGATATGCGTATGCAATCAATTTGTGAGAGCTATTGAATCAAACGAGACAAAATACAACAAATAGAACTTGATTTCGGCTATGAAAATATCAAAATAATTTAGTTATTTTCCGTCGTCGAAAATTCAATAGCTATATATTCGAAATAGTTCAATATCCTGCTAGATTTCTCGGTTTTCGATAAGGATATCGAATAAATTGTCCATGGATGGAGACGCATTTGCGAAAATAATAGACTTTTCTTTTGTTTTATTATGTGAAAGAAAAATGGTGTAGCAAGTAGGAACGTAAGCTTTAGACTTTAGTGTTTGTAATTCAAAAAGAGCATTTAATAAAGCCGGTGGGGTTAATGCCTCTCCTTCTGTTTCCCATACTCATTTTACGTTTGCTTACATTTCGTCAAACCATTGGACCCCAAAAACTCTTTATAGTACTAGTATTTTCTAATTAGGTTCTTTTGCATATTATATTTTGTATAAATAAAGAGTGTGAATATTCAGCGGGAAGTTTGTTTTTAAAATGTTTTATCAAAAAAAGTGATCTATAACATTCGCTAATGATTATATCTTTAATTTGTGTCCATATGAGACAGCTGCGTCGTTAATATAACATCAAAATAATATACAAAACATAAGGTTTGTGATGGACCTATTTGAGTAATCTTGGTTTAGAAACAATTGAAACAGAAATAAGTTCAGCTTCGGCTTACTATCTGCGGTAATTTCGGCGATTATGAGAAATTATCGGATTTATGTTTTTAAAAGGTGAATAATTGGAAAAACAGAAAATGGAAAAAGAATCTAGTTGCTGTCTGATCGTAATTACAAAGGGGTCATTTCACGTAACAAGACCACGATTAGCGGAGAATCAAATATTGACATGTATGCCACGTGTCGTCCTGAAAAGTGGTGAGAGTGTAAGATGTACGGCTGCAATTTGATGATTGAACTTACCATTGATTTACCAATAATCTTACGCAACAGATGTTCTCTCCTTGCCTATGTCACATCCTCCTTGTCCATCATTTGATTCATCGCATTTCTTAACTATAGTCCATACCAATAAAATTGATGTTTTGGATTTGAATGATGATAGTATATCGAGTGGAAACAAGCATAAGTTTTATTGCGAATTAAGTGGATCGATATAGATGATGAATGGTATACTGTTTGTTCATGTTTTGAAAACGTGATTCTGGTAGTTTTAAACAAAAGATTTATAAAATTAAATAATAAAAAACATTTTTTAGTTCAGGATAAAATATCAAAAAATAAACATTTTGTTTTAAAAAGTAAGATAAAAGCTAATCGTTCGATCAATATGGCTATGATATCATATGGAAAATTGATGATAGAATAACACATTTGTATTTATGAAAAAGTGTATTGACTCTCATGAGAATACATCTTAGACTTAGTGATATACTGATATCGATTTCACTTTTCTCGCTTTACCGTTTTCAAAGTGTCAAATTTCACTATGTTTTGTAAGAGTCTATATCTAAACTCTAAAGAATATTTTTTTTTGGTTTTGTCCAACTTGTATATACTCATTTTTTTTTTTTTTTTTTTTGTATATCCTCAAATTATGTAGGTGTGTTGAACTTTTTGACAACTTCATGAGTGGGCAAAGGATATGGAGGTAGTTTATGTGCTCCATATGAATATTATGTTTCTGATATTGAGGAACACTATAAAATCCCGCAGTCATCATTTTAATCTTCTTTGCTAACTCAAGGTGTGCCAGTGCTACAATCTAACACACCCAAAAACCTTTTGATAACTTTTAAAAAATCAACAATCCATTTCATGCATGACAGCCATTGTACATATACAATTTTTTTTTTTTTTTTAAGTCATCTTTGTGACTCAAATATGTATCAGGATTTGTCTTTATCAAAAATCCTTTTCATTTTTTACCTCACAATTTGTCACTAGTATGAGATAACTTGTCAAAATTTTATAGTGATAATTCCTAAACTAAATATATACAAATTTCTATTATATTACTAAAATGTGTTTACGATATAACTCCATCACCATGTAACATATATTTACGATATCTTCATCAATATTTTCTGGATCCTGCATATACACATTTTTCTTATTATTATTTTTGTAGGAAAATTGCAGGCGATCTCGAATCTGGGAACACAGTGCATACATGATAACAGACATATATATCTATTACGATTCAAATCTCACGTCGTCTCTATTGGTAGCTCCACTGGCTATCAAAGAACTTATTTTATACCTGTTACAGTATTTACAATTTAATAAAAGTGAGATATTTGTAATTTCTATTAAACAACATTATCTCGAAGATGCATACAATACATAGTTCCATACTCTAGTCTTTGTCGCCTTTATAGCTTTCTCATCTTTAACTTTCGATCTCGAACGCGCTTCTTCTTTGAAGAGACTTTTACACATGGTCATCTCTCTAATTCTTTTAAGAAATTTAAATGTTCTGTCTGGGTGTTCAAAAATAGGATCTAATTGAGTAAATAAAACTCACAACTTAATTACACTCATTAGCTACATTTAGCTAGTGATGTGGTTAATTATATACCAAATGAAACTGAAGAAGAATCAGATATTTGTCTTATGAAAAACAAAAATTTATAAATTAGTTAACAGAAAAACACCATAAATTGATAGATTTACTAACTGCTGAGATCGTCCTTGATCCATTCTCAGCTCACGAATTAATCGAATCTAAATTATGATACTGTCATTACCGTGTGACCTTCCACCTTTTGTATAATGCATGTTGTTCTTTTACAAAAATCACTAATAGTCATTAAATCTACTATTTAAATTTCACTGAAGCGCTTTAATAAGTACTGTTCACTGTAAACAAGAGAAACAAAAAAAAAACTAATTAGTTTTGGTTCAAAAAAATAACAAATAGTACTACTAATCTTAAAAACATATACAATTATAAACAAAGAAAAAATACTTTACCAAAATAAAATACTACCGTATGTTATGTATACAGTATTAAATACTTAAAGGTATCTTAAGTAATTAAAAGAAAAAGGTTAGCTAATGATTTTCTGTTAGCAACCTCCAAATTAAAATTCTAGCGACTTTACGTGGTTTTTTAATTCAAAAAAAATGAAAGAAACCAGTGGTTTGAAAATGCAGAAACCGACAAGCATAGAGTGAAAAGAAAGCGCGTGAAAAAATTGTAATTAGACCAAAAGTTGCAAAAATATCCCTTTCCATAATTCCTTTCTTATTTTCTTCTTCATAAGTTCACTCACTCACCAACATGTTCCTGTAACGACGATACTCTTTCACTTACCCTACACCATTTCTTCTTCTTCTTCATCGTCCTTGATCCATTCTCAGCTCACGAATTGCTTGATTCAGTTTTCTGAATTTGAAACGTTTAAGATCTGTTTTTGTTTCTAGAAGAAAACAGCTTGTTTTCACCGTCTCTGAACCTCTTGGTACTTGCTTTTTTACTTTATTTGTTAGTTAGTGAGAGTTTGAAATTCGAATTTCAAATTTGACGAGCTAATAGATCGGATTTTTGTTTTCTTGCCTCAGATTTGATCGGAATCTGGAATCAAATGGGTAAAACCGCCGGAAACAGAGATTGGACTCAGATCTACGCTATTTACGGAATCGAACAATGGCAGACACTCGTCTTCCTTCTCTTCCATGCTTTTTTCTTCTCACTCCTCTCTGTTCTCTTCCTCATCTACTTCGATCAGATTTGCTTCTTCCTCGATTCCTTCTTCCTCTCCGGTGCCGCTAGGTTAGCCGCGGGTTTCACCGGCGCTGTAATCGCTCTCTCCGCGGTTTGTCTACTCTTCGCCGCTGCTAATTTCGTTTACTCCGATGTTCCGCTTCAGTATGAGATGGCTCAACGCATGGTTAACTCCGTCGGTGACTGGTCTTGTGTCAAAACTGCTCTCGATCTCGGTTGTGGCCGTGGTATCCTCCTCAATGCCGTCGCTACACAGCTTAAGAAAACCGGTAGCTCCGGTCGGGTCGTCGGGTTAGACCGCTCCAAACGCACCACTCTCTCCACTCTCCGTACCGCTAAACTCGAAGGTAACAACACTTCTCTAACCAATTTCCTCCAATTTCAATCGAATTTGAGATTCTCATTATTTTTGTGATTCAAAATCGCGTAGGTGTGCAAGAGTATGTGACTTGCCGTGAAGGAGATGTTAAAACGTTGCCGTTTGGGGATAATTACTTCGACGTGGTGGTCTCGTCTGTGTTCGTCCACACCGTGGGGAAAGAGCATGGTCAGAAGTCGGTGGAAGCGGCGGCGGAGAGAATGAGAGTGCTCGGAGAGATTGTGAGAGTTGTGAAGCCAGGAGGTTTGTGTGTGGTTTGGGATCTCTTACACATGCCGGAGTACGTGCGGCGTCTTCAAGAGCTGAAGATGGAAGATATCCGAGTCTCCGAGCGAGTCACGGCGTTTATGGCCGGTAGCCACATCGTGTCGTTCCGGAAACCCAGTGAACTCGTCGCCGGACCCCGTGAAGTCCGTCTCGATTGGAGATGATGACGTGGCGTTCAAAACGGCTGTGTTGTGTGTCGGTTCGTTATATAGAAAACGGCACGTAGTCTAAGTGTGGAGATTCGAAACTATAATTGTGATATATTAATTACGAATCTACTGTACTAAACTAGAAAATCAAAATGTATGTGGCGTCTGGGGAGGCGAAGCGGAACCAGATGCTTGATGAAGAGGCATAACGCTGCGTTTGCGTTTTTGTCTTGTATTTGTATAAGCTATAGTTTTATTAACAACATGTTAAGCTGAATCTTAATATGTGATTCAGAGAACGAGTCTTTTCACTGTTGCGATCAAACGCGGGTAAAAAAACTAACGTCGTGTAGAGAAGTAGCGACACTTTGAAACTGTGTACGAAAAAAAACTTAAAAAATGGAGCTTTGTTGAGTGAATTTCAAGAATGTCGTCTAATCTATGTAGTAGATATGGTTGGGCATTAAATGACCTGTCATTGTCACTTCACGTCAATGTGATATCTGTCCCCTATTTATTAATTAATTTATTTTAGTGTACTTGGGCCACATTTGGGCCAAGCCTTATACCTACTTTGGCTAACTTTTCTTCGTAAAACACACGGCACAAGCGAATTCTCAAACGTTGAGGAGTTTTGCAAGCATCACTCTCCATCGTAGAACACCACGCCGTTTTTCAACATTCACACGATGCCACGTGTATCCATTCACATATCTCCAAGTAAGCGTCTCGAAGATGAGGCGCGCCAAAGAAGAAAGCAAGCTCATCGTTTTTCCTCCCTATCTATCCTTGTCTCTGTAACTTGCAAGCTTCACATCAATGGCTTCTCCTTTGTCTTCTTCCACCGTCGTCTCTCACCGCCTTTTCTTTCTCCACCCTTCACCTCTCAATCGCAAATTCCTCTTCGTAAAACCCAAATTACCCTTTAATCGAACCAATTCCGGTGATTTCCACACGCGTTTGCATTCTACATCCAGTAAAATTGGCACTAAGGTCGGGTTTTAAAATTCTCGCGAATGCGTGCAATGCTCTAGACAGATTTCTCATTAGGGTTTTACTTGGTAGTTAATAAGTTTTTATTGTTCTTCATCGATATATAGCGTTAGAATCAAAATTCGATTTTTAGGGTTTATGGATATGTGATAAACTTGTTTTCAGCAGTGCAGGAACATATACATTCCTGCAATTCTTCAATTGATTCAAAGTTGAACCCTTTTGAAGCTGGATCTAAAAATTTCGAGAAATTGGTTGCAACGATATTGATATTTGTTCAAGTTTGGTCTCCATTGCCCTTGCTTGGTCTAGACTCTGCTTACATTTCACCTGCAGAGGCAGTTCTTTACTCACCGGACACGAAAGTTCCAAGAACTGGAGAACTTGCTCTAAGAAGGGCTATTCCTGCTAATCCAAGCATGAAGATAATACAGGCTTGTTACTGTCTTAGACTTTCTATTGGTTAATTGTGGTGAATTTGCTTTTGGAAATTATTGATTTTTTATACTATTATGTTGTTCTTGTTCCTTAGGCTTCATTGGAAGATATATCATATCTTCTCAGAATTCCTCAAAGAAAGCCTTATGGTACCATGGAGAGCAATGTAAAGAAAGCTCTAAAGGTAAACTTTGTTACTCTTGTTTATTGTCTATAGAAGCTTCTCAATAGTACTTTATTGATCTTGTTTTAGGCGCTTAGTTTCATATGTTCTGAGAGACTCTTGATTGGTTGGCATTGAAGTTATGGACTTACTTCTTGATTTCTAGTACGGTTGCTAGAATAGTGGAAGCATAAGATTGAATTTTTTTGACGAAATTGTTTCAGGTGGCTATAGACGATAAGGATAAGATATTGGCTAGTATACCAGCAGACTTAAAAGACAAGGGCTCAGAACTGTATGCAACTCTGATTGATGGCAAGGTACGTGGGAATTAAACCACAACTCTGTTCTCATGTTCATGGACTGTAATTTCTGTTACAATTTCATAACATTTAGGTGAAAGATGATCTGGTTTTATTAAATGAAAAGTTCTCTTAGTTTGCAGCTCATTACAATTGGCGGTTTTACGTTTTAGATTCATTTAGTTTTGAAGCGGGTATAAAACCTTATGTTTCCTTTGTTTGATAGGGTGGCCTTCAAGCACTTATAACATCTATTAAGAAACAAGATCCTGATAAAGTGTCCCTTGGCCTGGCAGCATCACTAGATACTGTTGCGGATCTGGAGTTATTACAGGTACATGCAATTCTTCTGGCCCCCTCATCTCTTGTGGGTAGGTTGATGAAACACATAAGCTCAAGAATTAGTTGCTGACGTTAAAGAGTGGTGTTGCAGGCATCTGGGTTGTCATTTTTACTTCCTCAGCAATACTTAAACTATCCCAGGTGAGTCCAATTTTTCTGTCTCTCTGAGTTAAACTCCTCTTATTAGCTGCAAAAGAAACAGATCTTCTGTGGTTTTGTAGGTTAGCAGGAAGAGGAACTGTGGAAATCACCATTGAGAAAGGTGATGGTTCAACATTTTCAGCTGCAGCTGGGGGTGATCAAAGAAAGAGTGCTACAATCCAGGTATCAGAGCTAAATCTGATCTTATATATGCGGCTGTTGTTGCCTTTTACGCCACAATTACTTGAGCTGCTTTTTCACGAAATGCTTGCTTTTGCTTATATTGTGGATTCAGATCGTTATAGATGGATATTCAGCACCTCTAACAGCAGGGAATTTTGCAAAACTGGTAAGGTAGTTTACTCTGACTTCAACCTTTGAAAGCTCCGGATCTTGAACCTAAAGAGACTGTACACTTAAATCTTGAAATGATGATTGGGCACGACAAACTCTTGCTTCTCGGATTTTTTCAGGTAACTAGCGGTGCATATGATGGAGCCAAACTCAATACAGTGAATCAGGCTGTTATCACAGAGGATGGGAGTGGTAAGGTGGAGAGTGTTAGTGTTCCATTGGAAGTAATGCCTTCTGGACAGTTCGAACCTCTCTACCGAACCCCATTGAGTGTCCAGGTATAACCAAATCGCTTCTACTCGCAAATAAAAACCGGAAAATCTGACTTTGCATTTTGACATTGGAAGGATGGGGAGTTACCAGTTCTTCCTTTATCGGTTTATGGAGCTGTTGCTATGGCGCACAGTGAAACCTCAGATGAATACTCTTCTCCTTACCAATTCTTCTTCTACCTATACGATAAAAGAAATGTACGCATCACTCCAAAACTTCCTCAGCTTGATTCCATTTTTGATACTAAAGGAGCTTGCTTTTGGATTCTTGTATTTTCTGCAGTCTGGCTTGGGAGGTTTATCCTTTGACGAAGGGCAGTTCTCGGTTTTTGGGTATTGGTTTCCAGAATGTTTCCATTCAATTTTTGAGAACTTGCAAAATGCATTTGGATTAATAGATTTGGTTTTGTTGGTCAAAAATTCTTGCAGATACACAACAGCAGGAAAAGATATTCTTGGGCAGATCAAGACTGGAGATATCATCAAATCTGCAAAACTAATTGAAGGCCAAGATCGTCTTATTTTGCCAGCTCAAAACAACAACAACTCATCCACTTGATTCTTCTTTGCATCCAAAGTGTTCTAAGACTTTCTTGTCCATAAACAGAGTGCTAAGTTTCAACTCTCTGCAATTGGGTCTGATTCTTATTGGATTTCCAACAATACAAGAAAAAGAAAAGCTTTGAATTCTATTTACATTCAAACAAAAAAGCTCTCAGCCTTGATTTTTGAGTCCCAGTTTTATGATCAAACAGAAGACATTTTACAGAGTCGGCTAGGTGTTGGCCTAAAATTCAACCACCGGAGATTCATCCGCCGGATAGGAGGCGTCAAAGCTCTCCGCAACACCTCTCTGCTTCCGTCGCTCGCCTTCCGCATAAGCCTCTCATCGCTTGGCACCACAAACCCGTGCCGTGCACACTTCGTTGAACCGGGCCGTCCTGAGCACGTGCAAGCTACTCGAACCCTCAGACCCGATCCGTGGCTTCTCCGTCTGACCCGATTCGTCTCTGTTCTTCCCGGCATCTCTACGCCTTCTCCAGATGGGATCCTTCTCGAAACCTGCATAAGTAACTAATATCTCTCTTGCTAGGAATTTTGCAAGAAACGTTTCTTTATAAACTGGCTCTGAGAGAGAGAGTCAAGGGAGTCTTCTTCTCTATATTAAAGAAACACAAGAGAACAAGACCACTGACTTGGTTACATGTTTTTGTAATGGAGAGGTTGGTCTAATTTTCAAATTCTGAATGCTCTATTTGTCAAAGTTTGAATGTTTGACAAATTCCATGTTCACCAACAGGTCAACGGAGAACCTTTTGAAGAACAAAATGAGAAGATTCAACGCAAACATGCTTTTTGCCTAATTCTACTTGCTTTATTCTTTTACCAGCTTACTCTCACACAAAGGCCAAAGCTATATAGGCTGGTTTTTTTTGGATCCAATCTACTTTCAAAGTTTAGACCATATTGAGAATAAACTGAAATTTAGTGAGGTCCATATAAAGTTTCACACCTCCGTAAGAGGTCCAAGTAATTTGAATAATTGGTATTGTCATTATATCATATTGGATATTAAAAAAATGGGCTTCTGCATCATTTGGATATTTGGATCTTTCTAATTTTTTCCTTCACTTGTACCATTTTGTGGTTCTTTTAGCTACAATGGAATGTACTTGTATTTGGAGCTGTAAACCTAAATATATTTGCGCCAAAATAGGAAAAAAACAAAAAAAAAATTGTTTTATCCCATTTGTCTTTTTTTTTAAATAAAAAAATGATGAATCCGTCTGTCCAGGAGTAAAAAACAATATAAATCTCATTTTGCAAATTTTATTTGAAGACTAAATTTAATATCATACAAGATAAAACAAAACATCAAATTCATATAAAATTAATATGAAAGAAAATATAAATAATTTTGGAATCAAATCCTTGTACGTTGATGAATCCATCATGTAATGATGACTCACATATATAACTGAAATTGTGAATAAAGTGTTTATTATCCTCCTACGATAATAAATGATTTTTATTAAATAAATTTTGGAGGGTTTCTAAAAATTCACTCCTATCGTAATCAAAGGATCGTCATGTAGCCAATTGAGAGTTGAAGACAGCGTTAGTTCATATTCCCCGATCTGTCTATATTTCATCTCTTCATTACCTCTCCACCAACCAACCCTTATTTTACCTTCATTAATATTTCATCTCTACTAATCCACAAAATATATATAATTATCAGCAATTTATTACATAAACACACACGTACACATTTTCTTCTGTATGGCAAAATAACATAAGATGTGTTTTATCAGTGAAATCAATTGCAGTAGTAATAGATTGATACCGCTTTAGTGCTCTTTTGTTTTCACTTTTTGTTGTTGTTTTCATTAACAATGGTTGTGAAAGTAAATTTGAGTTGTATTTTCTAAATAAGATATTGACTTGTAAAGATGTTTTTTTTTGTGGAAAATTTTAGGGTCTTATTGTACAATCCATTACAATGAAATGTATTTACTGGTTTTCATTTAATAATCTCTCCACATAATGTAACGGTTGTTTTTGCTTTTCTATACATAGCTGTCCTCGATCTTCATTGTGCATTTTCCTTGCCTCTTGCTTTCTTTTTTTTCTTTTCATCTTAATCGCTTTTTATCTATTTAATTATTTTGCTACTTCTGTTTATACAGAATCTTTCTTTCTTTTTCTTTCGACAACTTATGAAGTGAAAACAACAAGGCACCGTTTTCCTTTTGGGATTTTTAGGACCAAATTGTTACGAGGAGAGAAAATATAGATATTTCAAGGAATTGTATGAGTCTCTAAAGATATAAGAAAGAAAATTGGAAATGTAAAAATAAGATATGTGTGTGAAAAATATGGCAAGTGTAACCTGAAATAAATACTATAGGTTTTCTAAAACTAAGTGCTATGGATATAAAAATTTCTGAAAGGTAGTGTGTACTTATTATCCAGAAGAGGAATTTAGTTAAATGCGTCTTTAATTTCTTGGTTTAAAGATAATGATTCCTTTTGCTGATGTAGAAGCATATGGTCCATTGCTGGCCATTTTTTTAATGTACACACACTGTTTTTTTTCCAATATATCTTTTCATTCTATTTTTCTTAAACACCCAATTTCTTGACTTTTTTGCAGAAAATTTGTGGACGACTAGTTCTATGAAAAAGAACATATAATTAAAAATAACTTAAAATTAATTGTAAAGGTGTAATATGAATTACGTGTTGAAGGGTCCAAAAAATACGCTATACCGATATCTCATATAACTTCATCCGGTTTCCACAAGATATAAATTTATTTATTTTTTATGAATCAAACTTTTTAGAAGAACTCGTGACATAACCACTAGATAAATACATATCGCAAAAATCATGTTCTAAGAATACTTACTACCTCTTAGTGTTTATAATTTATTTCAAAAAAACCATTTTCATCTTCCCTCTTTTAATTAAACAAATGTAATATTTCCTTAAAGTTAGGATTTATTTTGTGTGCTTGTAATTGTGAGTGTATGACCTAATGGTTAATGGAATATATTTGGCGATGTCTAATCGAAATCTAAGTTCCCAGCAGGTTGACAAAAAAAAAGAGGTTGTGAGCGGAAAATGACATCCACACCTGAACATATCTGGAAACACTTTTAAGTAGGGGGTTATTTGTTCAAATCATATAATTAATTATGATCAAAGACAAAATTACTAAAGTTTGAAGTAAGAATGTAAGATGAATATGAAATAAATATCTCAATTTATAAATTCGATTTAGTTTATTTACGTTCATTTTTAGACGTTATAAAAAAGTGTTTGTCTTAACTTTTAACTACTCTAATACAGTAAAAATAGTAGATTGCTAGATTATAATCATGAAAACAAACGCAAAATTTTATGTCTAAAACAATGAAAATCTCTTCTTCTTCCTTTTTCAGTTATCCAGTTGTGCGAATTTGTTTTGCTCTTGCTTCCAAAAGATTATGGGTTGATGAGACAAATAAATAGTTTCTTGCTAAAAAATTGAGGATTGGTTTGGTATGAATTTAATGATAAAAAAACAAACAAAAATATATAGAAAATAAGAAGAGAAATCACAATCAACGTGAGATGGCCCTCGTATATATAACATAATATAAATAATACATTATATTAATAACTTTACATGTAATTATTGAAATTTCTTATCTACACAAACGTAGTTGAAGCTTATCATTACTTTTGATCAGTTCAGCAAGTTCAGGATGTTTCTAAAGAGGATTGGTTTTCACTATCTTTTATAATATAAAGTCTATATAAATCTATTTTTTAATGTTTATTGGCCACTGCGTCGTTATAGAAGAAGTGGAATATAAAATTAGGATGCATGGGCTTGAAATAAGAGAAAATCATCATTATAACTAAATACATAATTTTCTTTTTAAATTGATAGTGTAAAATATTATTTTCCAAATCCAGTTAATACACTACAACCTTCTCTTTATCTTTAATTCCTCGTAGTGCAAATGTTAAAGCGGATAATTTTGCACGAAAAGTTCGTACCGAACCGCATCATATCACGTATGTAAACAACATTCCCCATAAATGGTTCTTTTGATTTTTTAATTAAAAGCTGTTGACAAAAAAAAAAGTTAATACACTACTTACTTTAATTTAAAATCATGTATGGGAAGAGTCTTGTTTAATTTTGAAATTATACAATTCTTTTTGTTACTCTGATGGTTTTCTAATCACCACGGTTTTAGTAAAATTGACGACTAAATTAGTTTAATCGTCAAAATAGTGAGTATATATGCGTTTAATGCTATCCAGATACAATTGCTTAGTTTAGTGCCCCCATTTTTTTGTCCAAAAGAAGCCATGTAGGCTTTAAAATATGAGATACCATCGACTATTTCTCATTAATTAAATTTATAAAATGTAGTAGAAGTTTTTTTAATATATATAAAATACCCTCCAAAATTTCATAAGCAATAACTCATTCCAAAAACATCATTGATATTGAACATATGTGAATACAATACACATTTCCACAACTATTTATTTTTTCGATTTTTTTAATCATTTTCTTTACAAGAAAATACAATCTCAAAATATCATTGAGAAGACTATATGCATCTATACAAACAATATATAAACATCTAAGTATATGATTTATACATTTAACTATTAAAATTAAGAAACAGTAATACATTTTTAATCCTATGTTTTCTATATGTTGTTGCCTCACTTCTTCTCCGCTCTCTAAATAATCTTCTTCCTCTAACCCCCTATGACCAAATTAATTAACCCAAAACATATACACAAATCTCAAATTTATATTATGCAAATGTCCCCACCAATCGGAAAAATTCTGCACTCTCACCGGAAAATTCTTCACACCGGCAGCGAAAAACATATTTGATTAAGAAGAGTACCAATTTAAACCGGGTAATTGGTACGACGTCGTTCTGAACAATCCATCTCCTAACACACCACCTTGTTGTTGCATCAATGGTGGAGTCTCTTCCATCATCGAAGAAGACATGTTTGAACAATCTCCTCCTCCTCCACCGCCGTGAAACCGCTTGCTCGGAGATGCATCTTGCTCCTCCTCTGCCACCGGCCAATACGGCACCGGAAGAGCTCGTTTTAGACTCGCCATCATCATCGGACCTGACGACGAAGCAGGATTCAAACCAACTACGTCACCGTTATTGTCGTGATCCACTGAGTCGGTACCGATGTTGTTGATCATGCCACCGCCGTCGTATAAACTCGTGTTACCTCCGTCAGAGAAAATCCCGTAACCACCACCGGAGAATTTCCCAGGGAAGAAATTCATTGATCTAGAGACATTATGGTGATGATGGTGAAGTCCTGTAGCAGCAGCTGCCATTGATAACGACGGAGGAATCTTCCTGAAAATGTAATCGATCATATCATGATCCTTATCGTTATCAACATGTCGACTTGCGTTGTTCTTCTTGTAGATTCTACATAACACCCAATCATCAAGCTACACAAGAAAAAAAAAATCCAAAATCAAGATCAAGAATCAAGAATTCAAGAATCAAGATTATTTGAAAAAAAATCATTGAATTATATTTATATACTCTGAGTGAGTTTTTCTTGTTGCCGAAATCACAACCAGGAGGTCGATTGTTTGGTTTGTTTTCGATGAGACGATACTCATGCATGATCCAATCACTTTTCACGCCTTTTGGTGGTTTACCACTGTAGAAGACCAGTGCCTTCTTCACGCCCACCTTTTGGTTACCGTCGGAAGCAAGTACCGGTTTATCTGTACCGGTCGCTTTCCAATATCCTGAAGTCGCCGCTCTGTTTGGTCTTGCTCCGTTTGGATACTTCCGATCTCGAGGACTGAAGAAGTACCATTCTTGTTCTCCAAACGACGCTTTAGCTGCAACAAAAAGAATCCACAAACCAAAAAAAAAGAGAGTTAGATCATAACGTCATCATCACACATAGATGATCTCTGTGAAAATAAAATAAAAAAACTCACAAATTCAAATAAATTGAATTATACTAAGAATAAAAAGTTGTTGATGATATGATGATGAGGTTGTACATACCGGGAAGTTCCCATGGATCGAATTTATAGAGATCAACTTCGGCGATGATGGCTACAGGTAAAGGAGCAGAGGCGGCTTTGCGTTTGAGATAGTGAACTACAAGCTCTTCATCGGTTGGGTGAAACCGGAAGCCTGGAGGAAGGTTAGGTTGTGGCGGTGGAGGACCACCGGAAGAATCAGTGCTCTCCATTGTATCCGTTGTAAAATATCTAGAACCGTGATCGGAGGTTTCTGAGATTGTAGGAGAAGAAGAAGCTCATATCACTACTACTCTCTCAGAGATTATTCTCTCTTCTTTTTTTTTTGGTTTCTTGGATATTTATTTTTTTTTGTTTGTGGGAGAAGGAAAGGAAAGGAGTGCTGAAAAATGCTTCACAGAGTCGGCGTTATCATTCTTTTAAATGGGGATGTATAAAACGCCAATTTGTGGGTTTTAATCCTCTGTTCTTTGTTACTTATTTATATACACCCTCGGATATTAACGTAATTATGCAAAACTAATTTTTCTTACAGAATATCTAAGTTACTATTATTACATTATGTAATTCACACGACATCATGTAAAAATTGTGTAGGTTTATTATTCTCTGTAGTAATGTAAAAAAAAAAAATTTGCATGATTTCTTTTTTCCATTTTAACATGGTTTTATTTCAAATTGATACAGGGAAATTTAATAGATAGAAATTATGATAGATTAGAATTGGTCTTTAATAAAGAAGAAAAATTAAAAAAAAAGGACAGATTAACAATGGTATAATCATCTAAAACTACAAAACATCATAGTTTTGAAAAAGAAAAAATAGCACTTGTCTTTTGAAAGATTAACAGAGAAAGAGTCAAACATTAATTACCATACACTTAAGTACTAAAATAATTTAGAATCATATTTTAGATGTTAATGAGTAATCAGCGATAAGTAAAAGGTACAAGATGCCCCATATTTCAGCCGATTTTAGTGTGGTTTGGTTGCACAAAAGGATCTGAATGTGGCGACAATGCGACACATATACAAAGCCTGACTAATCATGTCGAGTATTTGTAATTACTAAATTAACCAAACTAAATAAGGGTAAATTAGTCATTGCGAATAACATAATAGCTATAATTAACCATTGAATTAAATATCACAAAAATTTCTCTGCGTTTATGACTTTTATGTATAGCCTCGCGACACAGACGAACTACGACAAACGGAGAGGAGGCTGGAATTAACGTCGAAAACGATATATCTTAACAAAACAAAAAAAATTATATAAACTTTTTTTTTTTTTTTTTTTTTGTTAATAATTATATAAACTTTCAAAGATATATATCGCTTTCGTCATTAGTCGATGACAAATTCACTAACACATAAAATCAAATACTCGCTATATCTTTACTATAATACATAATTAAGACGATATAAACAATATCGCAAGAAAAAAAAAAGTTGAAGAAATTTTCTAATTTCATCTTGTATGCTGTAATACGATTTTATTAATTTTGTGTGGTTACCGTTCTAGTTGATTTTCCAATGAATAATCGACACGTGTGATTCCTAGTGGACGAGATATTCACACGTGGCAATCGGGAAGTAGGACCCACAGAAATCGCCACAGAAGGTAACAAATTGATGACGTGGAAAAGGATGGCCGGGTGGGTGTGGGAGAAAAAAAAAAAAGTTTTACGTTTCAGATGTCATATGTCACGCTTTTGTTATTGAGATAATCCCACCACCAGAATATTTTTGAATTTTACATAATAAATATTATGGAAACAAACAAATCGACCCATTTCATGTCATTTTTAAGTTTCGATTACTTTATATTTTTATAACTATAAGATTTATTCTTCTTTTTTTCTTTTCCAACGTCATAAGATATATGATTATAACCCATGCATATTTTTCGACCACTAAATTACGTTTAGTGTGCAAATAATTTGTTTATTTATCAGATTCCTAGGAGTGGTTTATTTTATGACATGAGATTCCTTGTCTCTCATAGCTTTTTCTTTATGTTTAAAACAAAATATTGATAAATCGAATACAATTTGTTTTTTGGTTTGGTTCACAAAATCAAATACAATCTGATAATCTATTTCCACAGTTTTGTCTTTAGAGTTTAGAGCACTTGGTTTGAAAAACAAAAGGACAAAAGCAGTAAAAAAGAAAGAAACGAGAAAAGTGGACCATATTTTACATACGTTGTACCAACTAAAATAAATGCTTGCCTCTAATTAGTCAATTTAATTACATCATTTTTTAGTCACATCCATCAGATCAAGAGACATCCTTCTATTTGCATTCACAAAGATTTCTAGTGCTTTACATAGTTGCACACCACTTCTTTTTTGTTAGACGTTCAGAATCTCAACAACAACGCACATACAGAATTTTTTTTTTTGGATTATTGTTGATTTTGCCCTTTTTTATCAAAATCTTTTGAAAATGCTATTTTCATTAAAATCTTACGGATTTGCCATTTTTTACACTTAAAAATGTACGTATTTCGGATTTTTTTTGGTAAAAATACGTAGTTTATACAAAATACTAAACCCTAAGAACAACCACAACCGACTAAACCCAAACATAACGAATAAAACGCATGTTAAATCATATTTCCGTAGCCTGAAAAAGGGCAAAATCCATAAACTATTCAAAAAATGGCAAAATCCACAAATGTCATCCCAAAAAATGGCAAATCCATAATTGATTCTTTTTTTTTTTGTCATCTGAATTTTATTAATAACCAAGAGATACAAGGTGAAATACATATGCCGGCGGACTACATGAATGTCCCCAGAAACATTTGCCCAAAAGAGGGAAGCTAAGCCCTAAGATATAGGGAAACCGATTAAAACCAAATACTATAGAGACAAAACACGAAAGAGGAACAATCGCTGAGGAGAAAATGCAATCTAAGCACTAAAATTGAACAAAGGCAAGAGAGACTCTCACAAAGCTTCCCTATAGAACTTGTAAACGTCGGAAGCACCAATAAGCCCGGATAGACCTCACACCGAAGACAAACCAGAAGCAAACCAACAGGGAGGAAAGCAAGAATCCAACGCGACCAAAGACACAAATACAACTACCAACACACCTCACCAGCTAATCGGAGAGAGCAAGAAACACTAGGGTCAAGGCAAAAACCTTGCAATCGACCGGAGACAAACCACAAAAGAACAACAATTCTTACACGCGGACACTCGTCGAAACAGCTTCAGCCACCTACAGACTTAAAACTGACGACGACCTCGCAAGAGAAGAACTAGAGAACGATTCCACTGCTTCGACTAGAACCTAACTCCAAAACTTCCGAAGGAAACTCAAAGAGAGGCTAGAAGGGGGCTTATCCACGTTATGGTTCAACGCACATACACACCCATTTTATCATTTATAACAAAACTAAAGAGTTTTATAATTAAAATACTTTTCTTACCAAAAATATACACTCGAAACTATTTGTAAGGGGACCCTATTTGTAAGTGTTATCTTCAACATAACGTGGTTACTGAATAGTGGGCTTATCCCGTATGTCAATGTTATGGTTTAGTTTGAAAAATCAACATATAACAATCTTGATTGATAAAGATACCAAATATATAACGATGTTATCGTGCAATGACACACAACATGAATATATAATTAATATGCATAGACTTGTAACAGTTGAAAGTGTTTTCTGTAACCAGGAGTTATCAAACAATATAATTTCATTATAATTTTTGAGTACGTTGTGTGTATTTGCAGTAGTTTAAAAGTGTTTCTATCAAATTATATCATTGTTATGGACCAGTATAATGATGACCACTAGAATATCATTATAATTAGCTTCAGTCGAAATGTCTTTCAAAGTGTTTGGTGGTAAACTCTACTTTTTTTAATGTCATAATTTTCTAATCTAATATGAAACTGTTAGAAATTCAACTAAAAAAAACTTGTTAAACATGAGCTAATCCACTCATTATCATTATTTTGAAGTGAAAAATGTTCATAGTTTATCAAAGATATGCACCAATCAACTGATTACCAACTAGTTTTACATTATAATTAGCTTCAGTCGAAATGTCTTTCAAAGTGTTTGGTCGTAAACTCTACTTTTTTAATGTCATAATTTTCTAATCTAATATGAAACTGTTAGAAATTCAACTAAAAAAAACTTGTTAAACATGAGCTAATCCACTCATTATCATTATTTTGAAGTGAAAAATGTTCATAGTTTATCAAAGATATGCACCAATCAACTGATTACCAACTAGTTTTAAAATCGAAACACTTACAATTAGACAATTTCGATCATCTAGGATTTTAGCCTATAAATCTCTAGAAAGCCCCAGCTAAAACAGATTAATAAGTGGGAGATGCCAGGGCAATTCAAACATTAAATATTGACTATAATATGCATATTATATAAGAATAACATGACATGTATAATGTATGTTACATATTTTGGCAAGGTTGGTAAATTTTACTCTACTACAAGGTATTTTAATAATAGTAAACCTAACTTGAAACTTTTTATTGTATTTAAAACTTCCCTCATAAAAAAAACTGTATGCAGAAAAAACGACCTACTTTCAAATAATCCACTGTGTGAACATTTGTAACCATAGCTTTCATCATGTGATACAATACTTTTATTCTTTTTAGAAAAATATCTAAGCCAAATTAAACGTCATATTACACGGTCTTATGTAACGTGACAAGCCAAACATCGGACGACTGTCAAACATTTTGACAATATTTTTCCTACCTTTCAAAAAAATAAAAACATTGAGCTAGTTTTTTTTTTTTTTTTTTTTTTTATTATTTTTTTTATTTCAAGCATCTTTGTAGTTATTAGATTCAGATATATTGATTTATATATATATATATATATCTGAGAGTTTTAGCTGGTAATCTGTTCCTATGTGATATATTGGTGCCATCCTAACCGAGCCAGCCAATATAATATGATGTCTAGACGCTTAATTCGATCGATAAATTTATTTAAATTAATGTAAATATAGATACAAATTAGGTTGCTATAGCTAGTTAGTGATCACTCAATTCAAGTTTTAAGGCACATGTCTTTTAGAAAATAGAAACTAACTCGGATGGATGATTTAACTGTTTTATTTTTCAACGTGTTTAATTTAGAACCTTTCTTCAAAAGAATATGCTTTCGAACTGTTTTGGGTCTTTCCCGGATATAAATAATAACGAATTCATCGACAGTGAACATATTATACTTTTTGGGTAAATTTTATCTTCAAAATGGTGGATACATAATATAAGATTTTGAAACTTCCTTTATTAACAAATTATTTGCATGGTCTCATGAACTGATCTTATAATTACATATTAATTAGTCAAATCTCCTAATGTTGAGAATAAAATATTAAAGACAACACATGAATCTTATGACATGAAGCAAAGCTACAATTTCCTTTTATTATTTCTTATATACAAAACGGAATTGGGAAAAGCTCTTTTTGCATGACCCTTTTATTTTTTTTAATGCGTGCTCCTGTATTTGTTTCACGAAGAAAATGCTCTTAGTTCTGTTTTTTCAATTATATATGTGTGTGTGTGTTAAAAATGCTAGGTTTGTCTCTAAAATTGAACAATTTATTTGACGTAGATAAGTTCTACATACCAAATATTGAAATAGATCGCAATGTCCTGTTTTATTCAACAGAAGTAGAAGAGTATTTATACACATAGACTTCCTATACGTGTCGTGTTCAAAAAAAAAAAAAGACTTCCTATACGTGATAAGATTAAATCTAAGTAAATAGAGATTTATCCAAAAACGAAGAATGAACATTAGAAACTTGAAGATTAGTTTTAAGTAAATAAAATTTGAACCAAAGAAATAAAATAACTAAAACACTACTGCGAGAAACGTATATGAGCTTCCGATATGGAAGAAAAAATTCTTCATCATCCCACCACGCACTGTTCAAGTAAAGTTGTCACTGATCAGTCTCCGATATGTTCTTTTTTTTTATTAGTTTAAAGCCGAAATAATGAAATTAGTCGTATTGGGTAATTGGTATATCACATGTCACATGTGTTCGTTTTAATTGCATACAAAGAATGAAATGAGAAAAAAAAGAAATTAACTAAAAAAGATCTTGTGTGCCCCAATGTTTAATTAGATAATTGGCCATATATCCCTTTTCACCAAAAATTTCCAACTCGGTCCATATATTTTTGATATGTAAAAATATGTTTAAATACATATCTATTTTTTTCCAATAACCATACATCTAGTTATGTATAGATATGCTCATAATATATATATGAAGTTGTTGTTAACTAATTTTTCAAAACAATTTCGAAATATATGTTTTTTCTTAGTTGAAATCATAGTTTTTTTTTATTGTATCAAATGATAAAAATCAATTATCAAATCACATGTGTTTTTCTGGTATCTTCTGAAAACTAGTCATGTCTAATACGTACAACTTAACGTAAGTTATACGTAAGTATTCCTTAGAGATATGATCTAGAGATATTAATGGCCATGATTAATTATGCCTGATGCAAGAATCAATCAAGTGGATTAAGACATGATTCTGCTGAGACTTTGCTTTATTTTTTCTTTCTAATCCTTGTCTTTAAGCTTAAAATGGAAAGTGACTAAGGACCTCTTCAATTGTCTGCTTTGTTAAATATACTTTGTGACCTTCTCAACTCTCCGGACGGTCAGACAAGCAACGGTAGAATAACCAGCAACATAAAAAATTGTCTAAGTTAAATGTATTTTATCGCAAATGTCACTATTAGATACTATAAGATCTTGCATTATTATTGCATATGTGAGATATTTAAAGATTGATTGGTTAGTCTGAAAACATCCGTAGATATTTATATTTACGGTTGCTCGTTTGACATCAATTATAAAAACCAGTTTGTAATCATAAAGCTTTAAATATTCTCTAATAAAAAGAATTTCTCCGCAGAACAATTGAACTATTGAAGTAACGAAAAGATGAAAAAAATATTATTTCACAACCCACTCTTGAATATTAGTTCGAAACAGACGTTTGCGGACGTTTCTAAAATATTATTTAGCTTTGACTGTGTTTAGTTTTTTTTTTTTTTGTGGTTTAGTGGCTAAAACGCATGCGGTATAGTTACCACTTACCAGGTTATGAGTTCGAATCTTGGCAAGATTGCTTAAACAATTTTTTAATTTTTTAACAACAAATTCATTAAATAAATATAGATTATGTGACCCATTTTTTTCCTTGCTTGTAGCCAGTAGCCTTGTAAAACTTGGGGACGGCTCTGGTTCGAAACACATATCTTAAAACAAAATTCTATCATCTTATCTTGTTCAACCTTTTGGGATTTTAGATTTATCTCTCTTTAAAGTTACTAGATCATCACCCGTACTGTAGTACGGGTTAAATTTTATTTATTATAAAATTTATATATTATATATTTTAGAATAAAGTTGTGATAAATTATAATAGTAATTGAAAAACTATAATTAGATTTTTGTCAGTCCCTATATATAATATTAGAATGAATATCTTTTTTTTTAATTATACTCAATTATGGATTTTTTTTAAAGATATGAAAACAGAAAATAAAATTATTTTAATAAATTAATATAGTCTAAAAAATGAGTAAATTTATATTAACAACCACAAAATGAGATTGCATATAATTCAGTTAAATCAAAAATCAAAATATTATATATGAATCGCTTCTAAAACGTAGATTATTTTTAATTAATTAATATAGTTAGCTATTATTTTGAATTAATTTAGGAAATTCTTTTTTTTTTCAATTTCTAATTCTTTGGTTGTTGAAATAGAGATTTGTTTGAGGTAACTACGGAATTTATCAATTATTCGCGTAATCGAATATGTTATGAACATATATTTAGTATATAATATACCAAATTCAACCCGTGCGTGGAGTCTATATTTTTATTTTAGAATCCTAATGAAAATATTGCGTGCACAATCTATTATTCGTTATTTCCAAAATTGCTTGCACAATCAAATTTTCAAATATTTTGAGGTGTCAACCTTATTTAATCTATCTGATCATATAATCTTAACATGCCTTCTATTATAAGGATCATAATTTTATATCATATAATATATTACATGTAACCCTCCGCCTACTATAACTATTTTAATTAAATATATCTTTTTAGAAAATTATAGTATTTATAATTTTTTTTTATCTTTTTAATCTATTAAATATTTATGAATTATGATATTCATTAAAATATTAAATTAAACTATTTTTAAATGTTCCAATTAAAATCTTTAAAAATATTTCTTTTAGTATATAAAATTATGAATTTCAAAAAAGAATTATATGAAATTAAATAGAAATATTCAAACAATTATAAGGATCATAACTCATTTGTTAATATAATATATTATATTTAACCCACTGCCTATTATAAATATTTGTTTACAAAAATCAAATTAGAATATTTATTGATGATATTCTTTAAATATTGATGATATTCTTGAAAAATATCAAGTAAAACTAATTTTATATGTTGCAAATTAAAATGTTTAAAAATCTTATTATAGTATATAAAATAATACATTTCAAAAAATAAATGTATGAAATTGAATATAAATATTCAAATTCTGACCCGTTACTCAGTCTAAATTTTTGTTGAACTTATTTTTGGTTAAAAGAAATATATTACTCAAATGTGAATTTTTGACCCGTTAAATTTTTTTCTTCATAGATTTTACAATTTAATTTCGTTTTTAAAAATTCAAATCTTGGCATATGGAGAAAAAAATTACTTTTTTTTGTTTATATGGATGATATGATGATTTATTTGTTTCATAAAAATAGAATCATATAAAGATGAGAGGTGAACTATAATGATTAATAACAAATTAATATGGTAAGTTAGATATCAAATCTTATATGTTCATTTTGATTGGTCATTCTTTTTTTAAATTAATAATATATTTTCGTTTTTAATAATTAAATTAATTAAATTGCATAAATTAGTATTTGACTTGTTTATCCTTAATGAGCTGAATTAATTTACTCTTTAAATTTTTATCTCTAATGGCATTCTTAAGTAATTTTTTACAAATGAGAAGGTTAGTTAAGGATATCTTATAAAGTGTACTCCCCAAATAATAGTATAGGATACTCAAGGATTAAATTTATCTATGTACGCATTTTATTTATTATATAATATAAGTTGACAGATAAAATAGTCTGGTTTCTCAAGTCCGGGTCACGATCAAGATAGTTTGCGCTCTACAACAACAACAACAAAAGAAAGGATTCGAAAAAAAAAACACAAAAAAGGATATGTAACTTGCGTTTCCAATATTCAGGCCCATTTTAAAAACAATATAGGCCTAACTGAAACCAATTTAGGCCTATGGCCCAACACATATATAAATACAAATACATAAGTCCTATATAAAACATGGATAACCATATCGACAAATCCTCACTTCTTTGAATAACACGTTAATTTAGATCTCGTTTTGGAATCTTCCAGTTATAAAATTAAGAAAAATTATAAAATTCGTGTATACTAAAGAGAGAAAAGACATGCAACGCGTAGAATTTTTTTTACAAAACAAATGTTTATATTAATTTCATGTTATGACTTTTTATAATAGATTTAGATGCATGGAAAAAAATAAAGTAATATACATCACTAAACCCCATGACATGCGTAATTGCGTATGAGCATGTATTCGTTTACTGATTAATTACATGTGGTATACTGTTTATGGTTGGTTTAGCGTACAAAAATATCTTGATGAATATGGACCACAAGTATATTTCTATGCAAAATGGTTACAAAGTATTAAACTCAAAACCTTCGTTTTCATGTATTTACGATCGACTATGCTATTCTAATTAAGGGGTTGCGTAAAGCTTCGTCCAACAAAATTTACATGTACAACATTAATATTTTCTTCTTTTTAAAATTGAAATATTTCCACGTCCAGCCACCTTAATTATCAAACTTTAAACGAAAATATATATTTTTTTTTTTGTCAAAGGATATTCAATTTAAAGCATATCCAAAGTGTTCTTAGTCACATGTGGGGAAGAGGTCAAAAAATAGAAGTTCATCTCAATCATGCGAATAACTCTATGCTTGTAAGGTTGCCCAATGAATATATTAAAAAGAAGGTGCTTGAAAAGAAAATGTGGTACATTGGGGAATGTATGTTCCTAGTTGCTCAGTGGGACTCCTCTGGTGGTTCCAATACTGATATGGATGCCATCCCTATCTGGGCCCATCTAAAAGGTATGCCTTTTGACCTGATGCATCACAAAGGTATAAGCTTAGTGGCTGGTCTTGTTGGAGAGCCAAAGGAAATGGATGAATTTACAAGAAACCTGGTAAGCTTATCTGTTGCTCATGTCAAGGTTGAAAGAAACCTCAGCAAACCTCTGCCTACTTCAGTTGAAGTAGTAAGAGATAGCGGAGAAGTTATCACTATTGATGTGGAGTATCCATGGATTCCTCCATCTTGTTCTCACTGTAAGGAAATTGGTCATGTCATTAGATTTTGCCCTAGTGTTACCCCTGCTTGGTTCAATTCAAAAAAGACACCAGTTGAGGAGATAAATAAAGGAAAAGATACTAAAGAATCTGGGTCTGAAGTTCATGTAAAAGAGAACAAAGGAAAAAGGCATGTTGACGTCACACCTGTTTTGCCTCCCAAGCTCGACAAAGTGGCAGGCTGCTCCAATGTTCCTCTATTGTCTACAGCCACTGTCTCTGGTACAATTGTTTCTGATTCAGAAGTTGTGTCTCCTGCACCACAAAATAACCAAGCAAACATCAGCCTCTTAAATTTTCCAGAAAAAGCTTCTCATCTTACCACTTTACCTTCTCAAAAAAATTATCCAATTGATTGTTCCTCTCCATTGTTACCCACTGAAATTGCTATTTACAATCCTTTCGATGTAATAGCTCCCCCCTCTGACCCCATAAAAATCTCAAATTCTTCTTCAGTTTCACTTTCTAGAAATAGCTCTTTTTCAATTCCTAATACTCAAACAGATTGTTTCTCTGAACCTCTTGCTGATTCTTCACTATCCTCTGATATGGTGATAGAAATCTCAGTCCCTACTTTGCCTAACTTTCCTTTTGTGGAAAATCTTCCTTCACAGGGAGATGATCCAAATCGTTCCTAAACTTTTCTTTTTCTGATGTATATACAATCCTTTTTTTGGAACATCCGTGGTCTAAATGACCCGGATAAACATCGGCCTTTTGCTTCATGGCTTGCTTCTTCTAAGCCTACTTTTGGTGCTATTATTGAAACCCATATCAAGGAACCAAACTTGAACCGTGTTATGAACCTTACCTGTCCCGGTTGGCATTATACCTCTAATCACAATTCTGATGATGATGGAAGGATTGTTATCATCTGGAAGTCACCTGCTACAGTCACAGTCATGCATCAATCAAAGCACCTACTCACTTGTGAAATTACTATTCAGGGAGGCCACATATTCTATTTTACAGCTCTTTATGCTCCAAATTTAAGTGAAGATCGTACTGACCTATGGTGTGACCTCCTAAGTCTCCAACATAATTTTCAGCTAGACTCACATCCTTGGGTCTTGTGTGGGGATTTTAATCAAATCATTCATCCAGCAGAGCACTCCTCTCCTAACATCAACCATATGACTTCTCGAATGCTGGAGCTTAGAGACTGTCTCCTACAACTTGAGTTATTTGATTTGCGCTATCAAGGTTCCCGATTCACCTGGTTAAACAAGAACCCAATAAACCCCATCGCAAAAAAATTGGACAGATTGCTTGTCAACAATCACTGGCTCTCCTCCTACCCGGATAGTGTGGCATCTTTTTTGGCTCCTGAAATTTCCGATCACTCGCCGTGTCTCTTAAACCTTGCTGCTCCTCTTCCTTTAGCTGGAACTAAACCCTTTAAATTTTTCAACTTTTTAACCAACCACCCTCTTTTCCTCCAAACGATTGAAACTGCTTGGATCTTGGCTGGAAATTTACATCCTCTGGAAACATGTTTGTCAACACTGAGTGCTAAACAAAAAACACTAAAAAGAGAGCTAAAAACACTTACTCGAGAGAACTACTCGGACATCCAAAACCGTGTAAGAGAGACTAACGTTTTGCTTCACTCTGTGCAGGTACAAGCTATGGCGAACCCTTCTACTTACCTGTTCCAACAAGAAAGAGAGATCCACTTAAAATGGAAACTGCTGAGGGATGTGGAAGAATCTTTCTTTCGGCAGAGATCTCGCATTAATTGGCTGAAAGAAGGAGACTTGAATACTGCATACTTCCACAGAATGACTCAGATAAGAAACGCATTTAATGCCATCAGGTCATTCTCTTCACTCTCCGGTGTTATAATTGATGATCCACAAGAGATGAGCAGGCTGGCTGTTAGTCATTTTCAGTCAATCCTAGGTCCGAATTTTCTGCAACCACTATCCACTCCCCCTTCCTGGATCCAGAACTTATTGAGTTTTAGATGTTCTCCTGAGCTGCAACAATCAATGGTCAAAATTCCAACTGTAGAGGAAATTCAAAAGGTGATGTTTAAACTTAATGCCAATAAAGCTCCGGGTCCTGATGGCTTTACCTCAGCTTTCTACAAGGCAGCGTGGGGAATCATTGGCCCAGAAGTTACAAACAGCATCCTTCGTTTCTTTCAAACAGCTTTTCTTCCAACGGCGGTTAACGCTACCATTCTTGCTTTGGTCCCTAAAGCCCCTGGTGCTTCTTTGATCTCGGATTTTAGGCCTATATCTTGTTTAAACACCTTATATAAGGTTGTTGCCAATTTGCTTGTGTCTAGATTGAAACCTGTTCTTCCTGACTTGGTCCTTAGAAATCAATCTGCGTTCATAAAAGGAAGGTTGTTAGTAGAAAATACTTTACTTGCTGCAGAATTAGTGAATGGTTATCAAAGAGCAAATGGTCCAAAGAGAATAACTATCAAGGTAGATATTGCTAAGGCGTTTGATACTGTCAGATGGGAGTTTATTTTCAGTTGCCTTAGAGGTATAGAGATTCCAGAATTATACCTGAGATGGCTCAAAGCTTGTATTTGTACTCCATCCTTCTCAGTGGGTTTCAATGGGAACGTTCATGGTTACTTCAAAGGTCACAGAGGGCTGAGACAGGGAGATCCTCTTTCTCCCTACCTTTTTGTCATGGCTATGAATTGTCTTTCTGTTTTGTTGGATAAAGCTGCAGAGGAGGGAAAATTTCAGTACCATCACAATTGCCAAGAGTTGAAATTAACGCACCTATGTTTTGCTGACGACCTATTGATCTTCATAGATGGTTCCTCTTCTTCAGTGCAGAATGTTCTTCAGGTCCTAAAAGAGTTTGAAGCTGTTTCTGGTTTAGCAATCAGTCTCCCAAAGACTAGTTTTTTCACATCAGGCGTCTCTCAAGCTGAAATAGATCAAATCAAAGCGGTTACTGGAATTAGTCATGGACAACTACCAATAAGATATTTAGGACTGCCTCTCTGCACAAAGAAGCTTACCTTACTGAATTGTGCCCCTTTGATTCAGAAAGTAAAAAGTCGACTGAATGCTTGGTCTACAAAAACTCTTTCTTTTGCTGGCAGGTTGCAACTTTTAAACTCTGTCATTGCTGGAATATCCAATTTCTGGTGCTCTGCTTTCGTTCTACCAAAGAAATGCATTGAAATTTTGAACTCTCTCTCTGGTGCGTTCTTATGGAAAGGTACTACAGAAGGTCATCACTCAGCACGTGTAGCTTGGTCTACCGTAATCACTGCAAAAACAGAAGGTGGATTAGGTGTTCGTGATTTGCAGGTATGGAATAAGGCTTGTATGATTAAACTTATCTGGTTACTCTTTTTCAAATCAGGCTCAGTGTGGGTGGCCTGGTTTAGGAGGGTTGTCCTATCCGATAATCTCAGCAACTTCTGGATTCAAAAGCCAAACAACAAAAATTCTTGGCTAGCCAACAAACTTTTAAAAATCAGAGAAGCAGCCTATCCATGGATTAAGATGAATCTGGGAAATGGAAAAAGTTGTCAATTTTGGAGTGATCACTGGTGTAGATTGGGAAAAATGTCGACTTACCTTCAAGGTGAGGGATCTTTGCAGATTGGTATTCCGAAAGGTACTCTAATAGCAGATTTATGGAGGCGAGGGAGCTGGAGACTTCCACCTGCAAGATCAGAAGCACAGGTGAGCTATCACATTGAACTATCCACAATTGAACTCTCAGAAGCACCAGATTCTTACCGTTGGTGGATTGATGACCAGCTGAAGGACAACCACACTACTGGAAAGATTTGCTTGGCTTTAAAGGAGAAATTACCCACTGTACCGTGGCATAAGATCGTTTGGTGTTCAGGAGGAATTCCCAAACATAAATTTCTTACTTGGCTATTCGTGTTGAATAGGTGTCCAACGCGTGACCGACTGATCAATTGGGGATTGCAGGTTGATCCGAAGTGTTTATTTTGTGCTACTGCTGATGAAAGTCGAGATCATCTCCTTTTCGAATGCCCATTCAGTTGGACGATATGGAACTTCATCGCTCGTCGTTGCTCAGTCACTCCTCTTCGATCTTGGTCGGCAACGATACTCAGTCTGACTAGCTTCACAGGATCACGTGTATCAAAAAAACTCCTCCTGATTGCTTGGCAAGCGACGATCTATTCTCTTTGGACAGAGAGAAACCATCGGCTCCACCGTAACTGTTTCAAACCAGCAGATCTTCTCCTTCATCAAATAGATTCTTTGGTGCGGAACAGAGCCTCAAGTTTCCGTGACTCTCACCCAACGTTTTCATTGACTCTTCTTCAACTTTGGTTCTCTGGTTCTCAGGCGACAACCAGGTGAAAGCCCTAATTGCATAAGCGGCAGATGTGATTTATGAGAAATATCACGATTTTCTTAACTACCAATCATTGATGTCAATATTCGGTGGTCTGGTGTGGTCTTTTCTCCCCAACCGATTTTCTGGTTCAATTACAACTATTGGTTCAAGTTCTGGTTCTTTTTTAACTATGGGTTTCGTATTTGCTTTTACATTTTTGTACGTTGGGCTTCCAATATTGGGCTTTTTGCTCTGTAAAACGAAAATATATATTTAACAAACTCATTTGCATCTCTCTTTTTTTTCTGCGATTTTGGGATATGGAAAGAAAAATATAATCGCAAGTTGCTTGAGAAGTCAAAAGTTTTTGAAATTAAGAAGAAGAAAGTGCTTCTTTTTTTTGGATAAATTTAGAAGAAGAAATCTTTTGACTAAACAAAGAGAACAAAGATTTGCGTTTGACAAATCGGAAGTAACTAACAATCGCCCAATTGTTTCTCTTAATTCGATTCTTTAAGGGTTTTAAGTGATTTAGAAAAAGAATAAGACGAAGTTATATATAGTCAATTCTTTAAATTCCATAACTCTTTAATATTCAATGTAGACTAGAAAGAAAAAAAAACCCCTAAATTCGGTGTATAAAACTATTTTCATGTTGAACAAAAAGAACTATTTTTACAAAATTTAGCTAATTAATTAGTTAGATAAACTAAATTTAAAATTTTCATTATGAAAATCTAATTATACGAACAAAAAGCGTAGATGTGTTTAAAACTTGTACGGTGTGAATTGTTACTATTTTAGGAAAGAAATGATTCTAAACTAGTCAAACAAGCAGCCCATGCTGACTCACACGTACAATTTCAGGAAACCCCAAACGGTCCGTTCTCTGTTCTTATCTTAAAACTCCAATTGGTCTTTAAGATTTGGCCATCTAAATAATCTGTAATAACCATCACTATCCTTTTCCCATTAAACATTATAACTTCGTTTATCCATATCCTTTTAAATATATATGTTCATTTCTCTAACAAATTTTGAACGTTCTTTAAACAGCTGTACAATATATTACTATTTCAAACCTTGCGGCTTGCAAATGGCATTGCACATAAATGAATATATACACAACTATCTCGTGCGAAATTTCTTTATGTCATGTGTTTATATAGATATATAGTATTACTTTTTGAATTACACAAAAGTATACTAGCTAGTGTTATAGGCTAGACATCATCACAGATAAACATACATTTTTGGTCATGTTCGCTATGATACGGTTAGCGTCAGCGAAAGATGATGACAATTAGTCTATTGTTTGTTTAGCTGGCACTAATATTAAAACGATAGCGAACTAAATCATATTCGTCATGTGGTTCCTAGTTTATCGATATATTTTGGCGATTGATTAACAACTGCAACTTAGAATTAATATTATATATTATGAATTGATGATTTGTTGCGAAATGTAATGTCTAACCAACAAAAATAAAAGAATACGACTTTATCAAATAACAAATATTATATGATGTTGGCGTCGAAGTGTGTCATGAATGATAATAAAACTATCACATTTCTATCGTTTATCGTTTGCATTTGCAAGTACAAAACTTATAGATCAAATATATATCAATGCAATCTGTTTCTTTTTTATAACTAATTAATTGATACAAAATATCCAGCTAAAAGTTTACAAGAATGTAAATGTCAGGACAAATGACGACGAATATACTACAATTAATACAAGTTGTAGAACCTAAATCTAACCCTAGAGTTCGAATTCTACACTATATTAATTAATTAATCTGACTCGGACAAAAATAAAATTATGTTTTTCTTATTACGTCACCATTACACAATCAAATAAATCCGAAACCACTAGATTGTTGACCCGAGTACCCAAATCCGTTAACCGGGTCAACACTAAAACCCTGATGAGCCAACGCGTCCGAGTTGTTATTAAACCGAGGAATCCCCTCTGCCTGTTGCTGCGTTCCACCTTCACCGTAACGGAGACTCGGAACATTATGACTCAGTCCGAGTTCCGGTACCGAGTTCTGACCAACCAAATTCGCCCAATCAAAACTTGGCTCCCTGGCTAAACCGTGAAACCCGGTTTTCTGATTGGTTAAAACCGGTCTATGACTATGAGGCAGCGCGTTTGATGAACCGGCGGCGAATCCCAAACTTCTGTTGTCGATCTCATGCAAAGACTCGAGCACGTCGTCGTATTGATGAGACGAAGAAGATGTCGACGAACCATTGTTGCTGTATTCACGACCACTCGTCATTAGATTATTATAAGCCTGTTTTTGTGCGCTTGATTGCTTTTTGTATATTCGACATAAAACCCAATCATCAAGCTGAACAATAAAAAAAAATCAATCAAAAAATGTTATTCAATGGAATAAACAGAATAGTATAATTACTTTATACTTTTTGGATATATGTAACAAAATTTATACCTTGGTGCTTCCATTTCTACGAGAGGGTTCGATGAGACGGTACTCATGCATAATCCAATTGGTTTTGGTACCTTTTGGTGCTTTTCCAATGTAAAACACTAAAGCTTTCTTAATACCAACTCTTCTTCCCTCCGTCGAGATAACTTTATCCGTACCGGTGGCTTTCCAATAACCCGATCCGGCAACCCGATTAGGTCTCGACCCGTTCGGATACTTCCTATCCCTTGGGCTGAAAAAATACCATTCTTTTTCACCGAATAACGCCTTACCTACAAAAATGAAAAACCAAACAAGACAAGTTAGCAAAAAAAAACATATTTTATCTAACAAAGAAACCAAACACGGTTAAGGTAACGTACTTGGTAAAACCCATGGATCAAACTTGTAGAGGTCGATTTCAGCTATGAGCTGGAGGGAGAAGTCATGACCGGCGGCTTTTCTACAGAGATATTCAACCATCAGCTCTTCGTCCGTCGGGTAAAACCGAAAACCCGGTGGTAAGCTCAATTGGGCTAAGGGGTCAAGCTCTTGGAGACCCATTTTTCTTATCACCTCTTTCTCTAGGACAAAGAAAAGGAAGAAAATATCTGCACTTTTTATAGAAAACAATCACAACACTATCTTCTTTTTTTTGTATTTTGAGATTAAAGATTTTGAAGCTCTGCTACTTGTGTATGTATATATATATAAATATAATATTACACCGCCGCCCAATCTTCGTTAACGTGCAGCCTCAACACGGGTCCCACTTTATGTTTATCATGACACGTGGATCAATTAGAGCGTCGTGATTTATGCGATCCTTTTTGGTTCGTTGAACCTATGCTATAAAGTTGATTATCCTATACTATTATTTGGGGAGTACACTTTATAAGATACCCTTAACTAACCTTCCCTTTTGTAAAAATTTACTTAAGAATGTCATTACAAAAATTTTCTTTTAGAACAAATTTCATTCAATTTATTAATGATAAACAAGTAAAATATTAATTTATGTCATTTAATTAATTTAATTAAATTATAAAACGAAAATCTGTTATTTTTTTTTTAAATGACCAATCAAAATGAACATATAAGATTTGATATCTAACTTACCATATTAATTTGTTATTAATCATTAAACTTCACCTCTCATCTTTATATGATTATATTAATATGAAACAAATAAATCATCATATCATCTACATAATAAAAAAAAATAATTTTTTTTCTGCATATGCCAAAATTTGAATTTTTAAAAACGCATATAAATTGTTCAATCTATAAAGGAAACAATTAAACGGGTCAAAAATTCAGACTTGACTAATATATTTCTTTTACACAAAAATAAAGTCAACAAAAATTTCGACTGAGCAACGGGTTAGAATTTGAATATTTATATTCGATTTCATACATTTATTTTTTTGAAATGTATAATTTTATATACTACAATAAAATTTTAAATATTTTAATTTGCAACATTTAAAATAAGTTTTACTTGATATTTATAGAGAATATCATCAATACTTAATAGTTCACAAAAAGTTAAAAATTATAAATACTCTAATTTGATTATTTTTAAAAATATTTATAATAGGTAGCGGGTTAAATATAATATATTATATGATGAAATGAGTTTTGATCCTTATAACTATTTGAATAGTTATATTTAATTTCATATAATTTATTTTTTGAAATTCATAATTTTATAAACTACAAAAAAAAATTAAAGATTTTAATTTGGAATATTTAAAAATAGTGTAGAACATTTAAATATGGTTTGACACCTCTAAATATTTGAAAATTTGATTCCGCAAGCAATTTTAGAATTAACGAATAATAGATTGTGCACGCAATATTTTAAAATGAAATATTGAGATTATAAAATAAAAATATAGACTCCACCCACGGGTTGATTTTGGTATTATTATATACTAAATATATGTTTATAACATATTCGATTATGCGAATAATTGGTAAATTCCGTAATTATAAATCTCAAACAAATTCTGTAATTAGATTAGCTCAAACAAATCTCTATTTCAACAACCAAAGAATTATAAATTGAAAAAGAATTTTCTAAATTAATTGAAAATAATAGCTAATTTTCTTAATTAATTCAAAATAATCTATGTTTTATATGCGATTCATTTATGATATTTTAATTTTTGATCTAACTAAAATATATGCAATCCTATTTTGTGGTTGTTAACATAAATTAACTCATTGTTAAAAAAATATTACTTTTTAAAAAATAAAATTATGTTCCATTTTCATATCTTAAAAAAAAATTATCCATAATTGAGTATTATAGAAAAAATTCTATATTTATTCTAATATTGTATATAGGGACTGACAAAAAAATTAATATTTTTTCACTTACTATTATAATATATTAAAACTTAGTTCTAATATATATATTATATAAATTTTGTAATAAATAAAATTCAACCCGTACTTTAGTACGGGTGATGATCTAGTTATATTAATTAATACTTTAATGTAATGTATTGTGTGTGTGACTGTATCGCCTCCTATGATTTTTCTTTGTAATATTGTCAAAGGTTTTCCCAAGTATTAGGGAGTTAAGTCAAACTTATTTACAAAAATTTGTACGTTCAAAAAAATTAATTAGGTGATTCTTAAGACTCGTGATTTTTCCTACAATTTTTACGCGGTAAATTTCTTTGAATGAGTTACACTTATATATAACATTGACAATATACGAAAAGTATTTAATAGATTTATGAAAATAAGTATTCTTAAAGTTTTTTTTTATAATGGGTATGTGCCAAATCTTTTTTTTTTTTTTGTCGTGAAGAAGAAAAAACACGTGTAAGTGAATGATGGGGTGAGTTCACTGGATGGTAACATGGAAAGCGTTTTTCATACGGATAGAACTACGTCGAGACGACACATGTCCCGTGTTTATTGGTAGAGTTAGGCGGGATATCTTTCTTTTGTCAAAAGCCGTTAAAGATCAGAGAGCTGATGATGATGCAGACTCTCATTATTTTTTTTCTATTTGATCCATATGAGATAATTGTAATTTTTGATTGACCTCAGATGAAACTGTAATTGTAAAACGATCCGATGTACCCAAAAAATTAGGCTTTGTGGTTGAGAAATGGAAACACAGGATTTGGTAATTAAGTCCGTATAACACAAACACACTTCTCTTCCAATTTTTCTTTTTGTTTTGTAAGTGAAAAAGAGCATTTTACCAATTAAAAATAAAGGTCAGGTACAATTTCCTTGCAAGTGAAATGATATTTAACCAATTTATGGTGGTTTATTGATTGAAATATCTATTTCAAGAATTAGAGAACGTGATCTTTGACAAAAAAAAGGAATTAGAGAACGTGATGTCAATCATGATAACTATTGTGAACGGAGTAAATAGCACAAATAACCAGTTTTACACACACACACACACATATATATATATATATATATATATATATATATATATATATATATATAGTTTGAGCTTCGATTCATGGTTCTTGATTGTTAAAAAAAAAGAAAGAAGTTAAACGGGATTCTTAGTAATTAATTAGAAGTACATAGATAGCTTGTCAGCAAAATTATCGTATATATATGTATTTAAGTTTAGGCTTTTTTCTTATCCATGGAATTAACTGGCTTCCGTTTGATCATTTTTCTTGGTAGTATATGTAATTGATATCTTGTGTTCACACTTCACACCACACGTACATGATGCTGTAAAAATAATTTTAAGCGAATAGAAGAAAGAATTTGGGGTTTCTTTCCCTCAATAGTTTTCGTGTCACGGGGCATCTGGTTTTTTATTCGTTTCTATTTATATTGATCTCTTCCATTAAAGATCCATCAATTTTTGGTTGCCGGGGAAATTGTAAGCTATAATCTATGCGTGATCGAAGGCTTGTTTTGGATCGTAACTAGTAACTACATGATCAAATCATATTCAAATAAGTTTTTTGGCAATCGACGCTCGTTTAAGAAGATTTTCTCTTCGTTAATTCTCATTTTATTTACGTTTGTTTGTTATTCTGTTTGCGTTTTTGTGTTTATTTCTTTTGCCATAATTTGTTTTTATAATTTCGTAGTTTTGTGGTCATTTCGCTTCAAGTGAATCGTTGTAATTCCTATCAAAAATTGAAAATAGTATAAAAAAATTAACATTTACGAGTTTTAGCAAAAGCTGCTCTTCAGGTGTATACATTAGTCGAAAAACCTGAAAGAAAATGTTGTTATAGGGGGTACCAAAAAAAAAAATCCATCAATTGATGATAAAGAAGTAAAGAACATGTTGGTCAAAATTGTTTTTTAAAGCTTTGTTATTCTCTTTTTCGGGTTTTTTTTTTTTTTTTTTTTGTGAACGTTGAAGATAACATGATAATATCCACACAGTGACACACAGGTCTTTAATTTTGGATACGTAATTAAAAATCTGCTCATCGGCGATGTCATGCATATATCATAGCGTGCATGTCTTGCATATCTCATAATCACATAATGTGTACGTAACCCGTAAATTTGGGTCAAAAGACAAAAGTGTATAGAGAATTGATGACGTGGATTTCAAGGTGATATAGGTTTCAACTTTTGACATGTGACTATGTGAGTTTAGTTAATTGTTTGTTAAATAAACCAATATACTTCTAATAATAGAATTATATAATGTGGTGCACGATGAGCTCCCTCCACAAGCATAATCCAGTATATACAAACCGGAGTTAATAAAATTGTTGATCGATCTTAGATAGAATCAGTCTTGCTTTCTATAATTAAAGCTTTAAAATAAGCATACTTTTAGTCTTACACAGTTACACATGTTTAGACATAATTATCTTTAGGTTCAACCATTTTGTTAAACTTTTGTCATTTTTGGGGTCGACAATGTGTTATATATGCGGATTGTTTCATTGAAAAATATATTTTGACAATAAATTACAACTATTTGGTCGTTTTTTAAAATAATATATATACTAAACGAGATAATATTTTACTTTTCTTAGTCTATTTCTGAAACTTAATTTTTATTTGTTTATTATAATATATTATTATGATCAAAACTTGTATTTTGTTTTTACTAGGAACATATTGAATCAACCGCTACAATTATAAGCATAAATTCGAAACATAAAGCTAGTGATAGCAAACAAGTTAATCGAAGTTTCGATCCATATCTCATATACAAGATATTCCGATAAAAACATATATATTATATAATAAACCCTGAAAAGCTAATAAATATTCTCTTCAAGTTGTGTATATATATATATATCGATCATATGGAGTACCAACTTGTGCATATTATACGTCTTTTCATATTCTTAAAATAGAATAGAAACGAAAAAGGGGGAATCAAACAATGAGGATGACCATCGAGATCAAACCCCCACTTCATCCAACTATATCTTATCTCAAAAGTTTGATTTAAATAATTTGTATATATAGGTTTCTTTGGTATAAGAGAATATATTTATAGTTAGTTACTAACGAATTATTGCAGGGTAAATCATATGTAATCACTAGTTAAGGTTTATTATAATTTTCTTGGTCGGGCAACGATGTCTATTAAAGAAAAAAGAAAAAAAAACGACGTCTCTCTCTTTGGCTTTTTGTTTTTCGACAAAATTGTTAAGCGAAGAGTTATGAGTTCTCATGTAAGTGATAATGTAAGCCACGCGGTAAAATTAGTAGCTATAAGCTGACAAAGTAGGGCCTAAGTTGTTCGATAACATCGTTTACCATAATACCTCTCAAAATCAAGCTGGAGACTCCTGGAAAAATTTTAGATAGAAAAAAGCGAAATCAAGATTTTGACAATTACTTTATATATTATCAGATTATATTTTGGGGGGTTACATTTTCCACGTCACTTGTTTATATATATTTATTGTTGACCTTTTGTTTTCAGTTCCTGATAATGGGAATATATACAAAGTAACCATGAATTCAAAAAGAATATACAAACTAACCATGAACTACAGTAACATGTCGGGAACATGTCGGAATGCTTGTGAAATTACGTAAGTGTCCTTTGTAACACGTTTTTTTCTCGAATTACATGTTGTAACGTAATATAGATCTTTTTATCATGTTATTTTCTCGTATTACACATTATTTATAAAAAGCACATGGTATTTCTTGAAAAAACATTCTATTTAGTTTAATATCTCTCTTTATCATGTTATTTTATAGTAATACATGTTTTTTCTTTAGATTACATGTGATTTCTTTAAAAAAAGATTCTTATTTTGTAATATTACACGGTTTTTATTAAGATCACATGTAATTTTTTTTTAAAAAGATTTTTTTCAGGTTAGATTTTTCCATAACAATGTTTTTTCTTAAAAAATCACTATATTTTTCCAAATATCATGTATTTCAGTTTAATATAACATGTGAACTTTAAATGTTACATGCTATTTTGCAAAATCTCACGAAATTGTCTTGCATACGGTTGAACTTGCAACAAACGAAGGATGATTTCGTTATTTCACTTCTTCTGACAAGGTGGGACCATGGCTATTTTGCAACAAAAAATTTTCTCTCTGCTATTTACTTAATTTGTGTGTCTAATTTGGCTATTCAGTAACAATTCCCTAAAAGTATATGGATGTTCGGTTAATTGATGACTGATGTTGTTGCCAACATTTTTTATATATAAACCGCTAAACAAACGTGAGAAAATCTCCGATAGAGTATTGATATTATTGGTCTGTTTAGGTATCGATAAATTTCTACAGCCGATAGTATTATACGAAGATGGGCTTTAAGCTTGTATTAGGCCCACTAGTTTCAGGCCCACAACGTTTATTGTTTGAAATAGGCTCATTTAACCTTATATCACATACCGAGTCCTAAATCTCTTGAATTCATGCAATTGTGAACCGAAATCTACCAATCTTCTAGAGGTAGTACTGTAGTAGCATATGAACTAATTCAGTTGATGAAGTGAGAGCAAAACGATTATATCTCAGCAAACATTGCATAGCCTATTAACTATTCTAAGTGAAGAATTGAGTCTTCGCATGGAATCCTGGAGGCCCACTAGGTCTAAAGTACCGTTTCCAAGCACCAAATGGTTTTACATACGATTTTACAACAGATAGATGGTTTTACATGTACCATTTTCACATTAGACAATTTTATTTTTAAAAAGATGAAAGATTTTATATATATGTACGACGATAAGATGATAAGTTTGCATCTATAAACCCGAAACAATTTACATTCACTGAATAAGTCTCAAAAGTCAAAATCTATTGTGAGCAAGATAGGTTCATTTGTTGAACTTGTTGAAACGTCTCTGGAACTACTTGAAAGTGAGTTGTGTTAGTGTTGGGGTAGAGGTGGAAAGAATCATGGTCAAAGCTACTGCCAAATTTATCGTGGTTTCTCCTATTGCTGGGCTTGGTTGGGCATATTCGGATTTAACAGCTGATACATTAACATTTGCTAATTTGGTTGATATGTTGAAGAAATTGAAAGTGACTTTCATATTCAGAACTGTGAAGAATGTTTTCTATTTGAATTCTCTCTACAAAGAGGTCTCGGTAATCCGATAAGACGTCCAGGTTATCCAAATTCTGAGCAAGATAGGTTCATTTGCGAAGAAGCTAGATATTGATCCATCTTTCGTGGTTTGTTCTTCTCCTCTTTCTCTCTATTTAAGAGGTATTTACGATTTTTAGTTTTCAGTGATGTTGATTGCATACTTGATATTTCAGATTGCACAATTGAAACAAACAGAGATCCTTCAGAAAGTGGAAGAAGCCAGATATCCAAATTCTGAGCAAGATAGGTTCATTTGTTGAACTTGTTGAAACGTCTCTGGAACTACTTGAAACTGAGTTGTGTTAGTTTTGGGGTAGAGGTGAAAAGAATCATGGTCAAAGCTACTGCCAAATTTATGGTAATCCGAGAAGATGTACATATATAGAAAATCTTTCATTTTTTTAAAATAAAATTGTCTAATGTGAAAATGGTACTGAATAAGTCTCAAAAGTCAAATCTATTGTGAGACATGACATTCTTTGGTAAACGGTTGGATCAATGTTTTCACCCATAATATTCTTTATTTTGTAAAATTAAATTGAAATCATCTATGAGTAGGAAAACAAACCCAAGAAAAGATAAAATCTGTTAGTATATATCACTTTGATATCTTTCACATATATTGAACTAAGTATTTATTATGTTTATATTTGATATTATTTATACATCTTGATTTAGTTTTTATTTAAAATAATAGATTTAAACTAAATTAGGATATTAAAAGACTTTTTGTGAATACATATCAATTTTTATATTATTTTAACTAAATTTGGATACAAGACTTATCATTAATAAACAAAAAATTTCAAAAATCATATTTGCAAAACGGAAAGCATGATAATGTTCTTTGGAATATGTTTTGGCATCATTGATATCAGTTTTGCATTAAGAGAGAAGTATTCTACAAAAGCATAAATAAAATAATATATATTTAATGACATTAAGATTAGAGAAATAATCAAATCTGAAGAAATAACAAATTGTATATGCAGTTTTTCTTTTTCCCTTGATTACCAAGAGATTCCGGGCATAAACCCGTACATTTTAATCAAACTCTTTTTTTCTCTCCTTTTTACACTACTAAGGTTTGACTTTTAGTGAAAACCTCTGAACCATACAACAATCGCAATCAAACCCTTATCTCATGAATGATCGATCTCTTCCTTGGAACTCTCCAAGATTTGGATGCATAAACTTAGAATTCTCCTTCACAACTTCCTTTCTCCTAACCCTTTTCATTTTCTCTACCTTCATCGCATCAGGATCGGAAATGCCAAGATCGTCACTTGAAGCTGAATCTTCACTTATTGAATCCGCAGAAGTAGCGATGTTGGTTTGGTACTTTTGAGAAAGTTCCATTACAATATCTGTAATTTCATCTTTCCGCACACTTGTGTCTAGAATCTTGACTATCTCAGAACCCACGACGTTTCCTTGGCGCAAATCTACACAGTCTTTGTCAAACTTAAGCCCAAATCTTTGGACGAACAAGCTCCTTATGTGTTGAAGATCCTCAAGCTCGCCAATTCTTGATGCAGCAAATATCATTCCGGCCATTGCTTCTTTAGTTTCTTCCAGTAACAAATTAACATCGCTAGATAGAGAGAAACATGAGGAAATTAGGGTTTTTGAAACGTTTAGGTTTACTTTTGTTACCGTATGTTACAAGTTATCAATAACAACTTACCTTTCATGTTTCAAAGAAGATATATTCTGCAAGATGGATGTGCAGAAGAGCTCGACCTGATCATACGCCGATAACCTTCTCTCGTCTTCATAGAATTGCTTCGCCTAGGAATTTAATTTGCAAACCCGAAAAAGAAAGATGAGTCCAGGGAAAATTTAACCAACAAATTACGCGATGTGATAAGGATTTTGATAAAGTAAGCAGAATCTACAAGGTGATTGAGATTAATCTCAGATACCTTTGGAAGAGCTTCTGAAAAGCGGCCATTAGAAAGGAGCTGAGCGATATCAGAGCGGGATTGTCTGACCATACACTCTCTTCGACTCCGATGTAATTTAATAGAACATAGCAGATTCTGGATATGTAGTTTGCTGCAAACAAGACAGATTAATTCTACAAAAAAAAAAAAAAAACACACGAAACAGAAGCAAAATCTTAACCGTGTAAGGCAAGTAAACAAAGTTTCTTACCACTTTGAAGCTTTTCGCCATCTTGAAGAACGAGATCGATCACCAAAGACGTAACTAAAGCACCCAAACTTTGATTTTGTTTTCTTGGCACACATAATTTTACTTTCCTCCGTGAGAATGTGAAAAGATTCTTATAAGTAAGGCCTAATAATGAGATGTGAATATATATAGCAAAAAATCTACATATATTATCCTTAAAATGTGGTAAATTAAAGATATTTACTAGTATGTTTTAATTGTCTATTAAATCTGGAAAACCCCGCTTTTTTCTTTTCCAATATGGAATGTGAAAATCTAAATGCATTAAACGTTCTTTGTATTAACAGATTCATCAGTAACTTAGCTAAGGAATACAAAAAGTTCGTTCATGAGTTTGCATTCCATTTAGAGGCGGCAATTTAATCGTCGCCTGTTATTTTTTAATCAAGATTTTAGTTTTAGAAAGGACGATGAATGAAATCATCATTGTCTTCTACTTTTTTTTTGGGTGAATATCATTGTGTTCTACTTTTGTTATACCTATGTTTTTTTTTGTTAATACATATGTTTCGTTGAATAAATCCTACTTTCTTAATAATATATATATATAAATTTTTTGTTCAAACCATTGGGAATATGTAGACTAAATCCAAAAGTTTCGATCTTAAAACCAAAAGAAAAAGAAAATCGAAACTGATTAATCTATTTCCCATATCAAACCAAAAACGAAACAAATATTTACTCTATCTTTTAAAATCATTTATTATTTCTAAATCTTTAAAAATTGAATAGAAAAATTAATGATCTTTTCTTGTTAAAGATAAAATAAAATTTTAGATCATATAAAGATATATACATATACTATACTTATCCAAAGAAAATTATTAAAAAATCTAAATTATAAATTTCGTAAAAGGAATCAGTTTTACAAGCTATTATTTGTAGACTTGAAGTAAAGCTAATATCTATTTTTGGTTCTTTTTTTTTCATTAATAACATAGGAATTTCGAACCAAAACTAATTTTATGGGCTGGTGAAATTCATTTTTTGTTATTGAAATCATCTATAGTGGTAATAAAAAATCAAAAATTGATCTTTTTAGTCGTAACTATAAAAATTAGTGGAACACCATGATTAGTTGATCTTTTTTACCAGAAGATATAAACTATTCATGAGCATAGTCAAGCCCAAGTATCATAGCAATATGGGCCTTTTATCAGAATGTAGCATAAATCCATTAGACTAAGCTCACGAAAAAAAGATTGATGCGTTAAACAAAAGTGATCATTACTTAATGGTACTACAGTACATGTTATGCGTGCATGACTTAACATATTTGAATATTTCTGTGAAAAAGAAAGACGACCGACAAAACGGAAGAACCAGTTACCGGTAAAACCGACGCGTATTATTTACTACTCCCTCCGTTTCGTTTTAGTTGTCGTTTAAGGTTTTCGCACACAAATTAAGAAAATCATTAAATTTTTTGTTTTACCCTTTATTAATATATTTTATAATTTTTTCATTGGTCAAAACATTAAAACATTAATGACAAAACATGAATTTTCACCAAACATTTGCATTGAAAACCTAAAACGACAACTATTATGAAACAAAATTTTAATCCTAAAACGACAACTAAACTGAAACGGAGGGAGTATACAGCAGGCGCCAGATCAGCCGGTTAAATCTAAACCATTCAATGTGTCTTCTTCGTTAATAGACGGCGACTTTTAAACTAATCCACTTTTTAAAACATTTTAATTTGGCAGATTTTCACACTTAATTATGATAAAATGTTTTCTTAAAGTCGAAAATTGGGTCAATGTCTCTTTGACTTTATCGTCAATTTAGGAAATCACCAAAAAAGCTGCTTAAGGGAGAGAGATAGAGAGTGAAAGCTACTTGAGAGAAAGAGATTGAGCTCTGAGAAAATCCAGCAATGGCTTCGAAGCTTGTAGTTATAATCGTGTTTATCCTCGATCTCATCGCCGTTGGATTAGCCATTGCCGCCGAGCAGAGAAGAAGTGTCGTAAGTTCATACTCTCTTCTCCTTTACTTTGATAGGTTTGGGTTTTTGCTCAATCTATATCTGTGCTTCTGAAAGAGTTTTTCGACTAGTATTAGCGAAGCTTCACTCTCTAAGTAGTTCGAAATCTAGTTCGAATTCTCTAAATCGGTGCGATCTTAGATTTTTGAAGTGTTTTATCAGATCTGATTCACAGTCGTGTTTCATTTTCAATAAAAGTGTACTGTGAAGTGAAAATCAAGCATTGAATTGGATAATTATGTCAGATTCCACTTGATTTTAAAGAATCCAAAGGCATAATTTCGATTCATGACCTAGAATTTATGCAGAGCATGAAATCGTAGTGACTATAGAGTTTTCTTGGTAATACTGCATTGTTGAAGTTCCACATTCTAGGTAAGTGTTGTGAATTTCCACATTGGGACAACTGATTAGCTAAAGATGAAGTCATATGTTTAGATCAAATCCAAATCTTGTAATGTATTGGCTCTGCAAAATCTGAATGTGGTTTCTACTTATGTTTTTCCTTTTATACGATTTATATCTTGAACGAGTCGTTATTTTGACAGGGCAAGGTTGAAACGGATAGAGAGAAGCAATATGAGTACTGTGTTTATGGTACTGACATTGCTACAAGCTATGGAGCTGGTGCATTTGTTCTTCTCTTTGTAAGCCAAGTACTTATTATGGCTGCTAGTCGTTGCTTCTGCTGTGGGAAGTCCCTTAACCCAGGCGGTTCAAGAGCTTGTGCCATTATTCTCTTCCTCATTTGCTGGTAACCAATCCGTCCTATTATTCTTTGGATTAGGTTTTTCTCGAAGCAGTTGATTTGAAACAACCGAAAAACGGTTATTTTGCAGGGTGTTTTTCTTGATCGCTGAGATGTGTTTGCTAGCGGCATCAATCAGAAACGCGTACCACACACACTATAGAAAGATGTGGAACGTTGAAGATCCACCAAGCTGTGAAGTTATAAGGAAAGGAGTTTTTGCAGCTGGTGCTGCATTCACACTCTTCACCGCCATTGTCTCTCAGTTCTACTACGTTTGCTACTCTCGTGCTAGAGATGCTTACCAGAATCCGTCCTACTAAAAATGTCGACTTCCACAGCAAGCAAAGTTTAAGCATCAAGAGTTTGAAATGTTCGTTTTGTGTTTGTTTAGCATCATCCAGTGTTGCTTATCCTATAGGATGTTTAGGTTTTCTGTTGTCTCTTTAAGGAAACACTGATATGTGATTGTTTCTTGTGATATTCTGAGATTCGTATATTGTTATGTTCTGTGTTGTAATGTGTGAATGAATGAATACTAAAGAGTAGAGAACATGATTTGTTGTGATATTCTGAGATTGGTATATTGTAATGTTCTGTGTTGTAATGTGCGAATGAATGTTTCAGCGGGCTGTGCGCAGAAGGAAATTCATGATTGTACACTGTCTAGACTCACATTTAGAGTTGCTAATGGGCCAACATATGGCCCATTATGGAGCTGTAAATCCCAAACCTTGCGTTCTCAAAATAAAAAGGAGAGAGAGTCGGTGAAACTTTAGGGTTTGACAATTGTGAGACAATGGATTTCGTCCGTCGTGCTGTAATGGTTTACGGTTCTGATCTCTGGAAGAGGATTTGTTCTGATTCAGCCACAAAGGTAAATTCATGAGTCGGTCCGTAATTTGTTTATAGGTTATGTTTGGATTTGGAGACTATTCAGATCTCTCTATAACTCTCTTTTCAGGGATTGGCTAAAGCACTGCAATCTTCTCCTATAGCATCATATGCTCGTTCTGAGGTACATTTATTATTTCTAAGCTTTCCTTGTGTTTCAGCAACTGTTTTCATCTCTATATATTCATAATAAGCCACGCCACTTTTTTAGCAGTTGTTCTTTGATGAACAAGCTATTTAAGTGTTGTTTTCAATTGTGCAGACGCCGCTGGGGTATGCTCGTTACTGCACAATTCATGCAGTTTTGATTGGTGATTGCAAGGTTCGCAGTGCTTCTCCGGTTTGGAATGGTACTCGCAGGATTCACAGAGTTTTCGCAGTTTGATGGTCGGAATAACTACATTATAATAAGTTTGGTGAGTATGTTCTTAATGAATAAAAGCACAGCTTTCAGATTTTAATCTTTACTTCGGAATTGTTCTTTTCTTTTGAACTTAAATCGTTGTATCTCCTTGTGAAGGATCTTTGTCAGAAATGCCTATTTGATTATTATACTAGTAGATTTTTTACATTATGCGGAAAACCAAAACTCAAAAGAAAAACTATACAACATTTCACTGTAATCGTAAGCTAGAAACGAAAATTTGCAATCTCACAAGGTGGCTCTTCCTTCTGTGTTCTTTCAAAAATAAAATCCTCTTTTAACCAAAATCTGTCCACGTTCGAAGTACAAATGTATAACACTTAAGCATGCACGTTCACATTAATACATTGCATATATAGTGTATACAATCGCATGTATTCACACGTTACACGTATTCTAATTACGTATGTTTTGTCATGTGGGAAAATGCGTTTTTGCTTTTTTTTTTTTTAAATAGTATATTTAAATTTTCAGACGATCTCCAGAGAGAAAACTTAATGATTGCTCACACACACCCATTTGTCCTTTGTTAGATCTCAGATACTCTTTAAGCCACATTTGCATCCGTACTTTCTCTTAATTTATAATCTATGTAACTTATTAAAATCGACTTTAGTGTCTTCTCGTGCACTTGACCAGTCACCACCTCCAATTAAATTTTAACAACGACATTCAAAAAACCAATAGCGCGACTTATTAGTTTAATCATTTGCCACTAGTTTTTTTTTTTTTTTTTTTTTTTCACTGAATTTTTCATTATAAACCAAAGGTGAAATACAAGGGTGGAATGCGTTTTTGAAATACTAAGCCGGCGGAAAACAAAGAAATCCCCGGAAGCTAAAGCCCGATACACGGGAAGCACTTGATTAGACTACATAGCACAAAAGACCATAACAACTAAGAATTGCGGAACTCTAAAAACAAAGGTAGATCAAACAAACAACTGAGGAGGAGGCAATGAATCATAAGAACTGAAGAGAATAAGAAACAGAGCAGGCCGACGACTACCTCAAAGAACCTGTAGAAGCCGAGTTTGAGCCAAAACCAAGTGCTTCGAAGAGAAACCAAAGGACACTACCAGATCACCGGAAGCACGAACCAAATAGAAACTCCAACACAAACAGCAACAAACCGACGGAAGCAAACGCAAGACTGATCAAAAACCACAACGGGCACCAACACCAAACCAAACTCGAAGAGAAGACGCTGCATACGAGATAAGCTAGGCTCAAGGAGGGGACCTTGAACTCCAAAGGGAGAAAACGTCAGAGAGGATCTCCAACTCTTACACGCGGACATTCGTGAAGAACAGCCTCAGCCATCTACAGCCTAAAGACCGACCACGACCTCGCAAGAGAAGAGTCAAAGAACGAACCAATTCCAACGCCTTGAACTCAACACCCAAACCACAAAAGGCCCAAGAGAGGAGCTAGTAGATGCCATTGAAACGAGAAGCTTTCCGAGAGACGAACTGCACCAGAGGAAACCTAAACCTAGCTCACACAACCAAGCTCACGAGAAGACCAAAAGGTGAAGGAGAACTAAGGACCCATAAAGCCTCCCACACAATCTGATGTAAAATCTGATCTACCAAACAGAGACACCGCAACACATATTCGAAACCCAAAGCTAAGACCAGACTACTTAAACACATAACCAGAGCAAAACACTAACTCCACAAGAGGATGACGGAGGCAGAGAACGAAACCAGCAGCTGCACCCATCAGAAGAACCAAACTAAAAGCTTCTAATGGCAAGAGAAGAGACCCATAAGAGAGAAAACAAAGGGATCTGAGACAAACCGTTAACCTGTGAAGCCGGATGAACCGTAACTTAAGACCACAAAGCCAATAGATCCATCGAAATCAGATCCAGGGGATTAAGAACTGCTCTCCACGCGCCGCCACGAACCTTCAAAACCCACTGCCACGAACCACCAGCCCACAACGCCAAGAGCCTCACACACGGAGAAGGTAAAGCCAAGTAAGAAGAAACGAAAAGATACTTTAATCTAAAGAGAGAGAGTCGACTCCGGTGCTATGTAAGCCACCGGAGCCGAAAAGCGGCGGCCAACCCTAGATCTGGTTTTTAGAGAGATGGAGGAGAAGGGAGAGATGAGAGAGAAGTCGACTCCCAACTAGTTTTCTTATACCATAGTATATATTTAGGATAAAACTGAATTTGTTTTATAAATAGTGATAAGAAGTTTACCCTGAAACTTTGTTTAATTGAATTGACGGGTAGAGAGTAATCCTAGACAAAACAAGAGATAAGAATGAGTTCTAATGCAAACTCTTATCTTATCCTGATAGTTGTTGAGATAGGAAAACAATTTTTAATGCATCTCTGCTAATTTTTTTTTCTATTCTACTTACTTTATATGATTCTTTTAGATTATAAAGGTAACAAAATCACAATTATTATATAACACAAAATTAACAATATTGACTATAAAATATGAAAAGCTAGATGTGTGCGTCTATTTCTAACCAAACAGGATAAACAAAGCTATCTCAGTTCTCAAGTGTTTGCAGCGGAAGATTTGGGTTGGCCCGACAAAGGAAAATATGGTCAAACTCTACTTTAGCCTCAAGATACATAAAGGGAAATTATCTGCACTTTAACGACTAAAAAAAAAAAAAGAATAAAATTTTGAAACTTAGAAATTTTGATAAAGACAAGTAAAGAAGATGTTGAACAAAAAAATAAAAAATAAGTAAAGAAGATAAAATGTGATCATTTCAATAGGTCAAGACTTGTCTTCCCTTATCCCCTATTGTTAGATACTTCATAGTTACGACTTAAGAGTGAATAGCTTAAATTTCTCACAAGTATAGGGACCTCCACAATATTTGGATAACATATCCATGTTTTTAATTCATTTTGTAACTAAGCAAAACAACTTCATTAAAATACTTGTGGATTGAAAAAAAATGTTATTGTCACACATGTCAAGTTTTTTTTGACTTGTACTGTTTATTACTCGTAGACTCGCGTTGTAATACAAAACGTAAACTATGTTGGAATAATCGTTAACTTATGAAATTTTATAAAATTGTCTTCACAACTTATTATAGTTTTTCGATTTCGCAAACACGCCCAAAACCAATCTAATTAAACATATTATCACTTCAAATATGGTTACTTTTTGTAGTTTATCTATTATCAGTCTACACATATAATCTATTTTCTTTAAAATAAAGATGCTAAATTTATTGTTCCGTGAGAAAAAAATAAAAATGTGTAATGTTGATTATATATGTTTTAACGAATGAATAAAGTTATGCCAACGAGCCCTAACTAGAGGTTGGTGGGTGAGAATGATTCAGACCATTTAATTTCTAACGGTTTTGTGTATCTTTAATGTTGTAATGTCATTTATTCTAAAAAAATTAAACACCTATTTACAATAGATATGATATTTGACTTTTGCTCGTCTTTTCATTTTCTTGTAAAAGATGTACCTATGTGTTGTTTTTCTTTGATAAAAGACCTATTTCCTCCATCTTTCTTTTTTCAAAATTTTTGTTACGCGAATAGTTGAACCTGTTAGCCTACGAAAAAAAAAAACTAGTCTGCGAAAGCTAGTTGATTCTCATTTATTTTATAAAAATGGCAATGTATAATTCGTTTAAATTTTTAAAAATTCATGAAAAAAAGCTAACGTGACATTCTCATGTCATAGTCCTAAGAAAGAACTCTATATAGATAATCCACTAGGGTAATTACTATTCTTTTTGTCAAATGATATTAATAAAAAATACTTACAAAATATTCCAATTATCATTTTCATCATATTTATCGAAATGTCATATAAATTTCACTATAATACCATTGTTAGAAAAGATTTTTTTATCGCATAAAAAGTAAAAGTTATAGGGATTATTTGATAATTTGACAAATTTGTTAGTTGAAATGGTAATCACCATAAACATTAAAATGTATTTTATGAAAAATAAAAATAGAAGAAAAGACAAAAGAGAGAAGAATGGGGAGAGGAGAGGGACGTGGCCGATCTGAAGACACTGACAACGGCCGACGGCGACACCCTATCATACTCTTTTTTACGCATTTCCATTTCTTTTTTTTTTTTTCCATTCTTTATAATATTATAATACTATATACTATAATTCTAATATGCTTTTCTAAAAACAAAAATATGACATAAACGCAGACAGTTTTTCAGCTTTTGTCCCGACGATATTTTTCACTTTTAACTCCAAATTATAAACTAATAAATTCCTTGAATACTCTTTTTTTTTACCCTTTTTCACATTCCGCTTCTCTTGTTGCTTTGTTTTTTTTTTGGGTTTCATATAACTTTTCTCCTATGAGCAATGGAAAAAGATTAGTAAATTCAAATGAATATTCATTGCTAATTTATATATTTACTTTTTAATAAAACAATCTATTGTAGATAGATGATAAGGTTTCCATTATGTGTTGTATGACAGAGAACGGTGCTTGTGATTGATTTGAAGTATGCAATAAACTAGATTTTAATGGATGCTGGGATGAATTTATTCATAGTTAATTTTCAAAAAAAAAAGAGAGTCATAGTATTATTTGGCTTAAATATCTACATTCGATACTCCAAATTCCAAAAAAGTTTACACCAATAATTATGTATGCCTATACAAAGGATTATATAGCCTTGATTTAGCTAAAGGGGCCTTGAAAAACATATTTTGAAGGCTAATCATACTGCATGTAGTAAAATTTTGTAGTATTATTTTGTCAATAACATTCATTATACATTTATACGACTTTTAATTTGGACGATAGATTAGATGTTCGTATATTATCATCTCTATTGGTTTACTCTTTGCACAAAATTGCAGAGCAGTTCATTAGAATAAACAAAACATTTACTCTGCTTTTACTCAGGTCATGTACGTGTTGCGATCAATGTCGTACTCCATCAGAACCAACCCAACACCATCGAGACTCATACATTTAACTTCGCAATGTTATGTCACTCTTTAAAGCTTCCAATTCTTTCTGACATACCTATATCCACTTTGTCCATTTTATTTAATTTGATTTATTGAAGGTGTGGTTACTAAATAACGTGAAACATTGTTGTAAATGTATGTGTTAAACCAAGAGAAAATGCAAACACAACAAAAAGGGAAAGAAAAAACATAATGGTGCAAAGAGAGCTCAGAGACTTTTATATGGAAATAGAAGATCCTGCTTTTTAATTTATTGTTACCACATTTTCACTTTTTTTTTTTTCCATGCTTGCTTTCGTTTTAGATATTCCGCTGTGGTCTAGTAGAGTCTACTACCAAACAAAACTTCATAATGCAATCTTGGGTATATTCGCATGAATTAACATAATATAAACTTGTGAAAATCACATAAAAACATTCACATGTTTCACATCAAATTTTCAAACTATTACTAATATGATCTCATGAAATCATTTTGTGTTTGTTTGTTGACAAAAACAAATCATTTGATGTTGATGATTTAATTAAGCATGCGACCTCAGATGTCGCTAATGAATTCAAATTGAATCAAAGTGAGTTCAAGAACATAATTAAGAGTACGTACATAAATAGAGTTAAACGACACGAGGAATCAAATCACTGTATTTACATTCATGTCAAGCTCTCTCTCGGACTCAACAACCATATCCAAGCTAAGCCACATAACCTAAACCGCTCCTCATGAATTAACTTTCGTCTAAACCAATCGATGTTTATATATGGAACAAGATACAAGTAAAACCATTAGACAGAATATTGTGGCTACAAACGTTAAAGATGTATGGTTTTAATTTATGTTTTTTTTTAATATTCATCCAACTAGTCCAAAACAAACTAAACAAAGCCAGTAGTTGATCAAGATCTTCCAAGAAATGTCTTATAAACAAATCAAAAGCTTAAATCCATAAGAGTCTCGTGATTTGATATATTAATGTCTTTGTGTATTAAACATGTTTATACTAGTGGTCGGTATATCATTAGTTGTCAAATGTTTTTTTTTTTGTTTTTGTTTTGTTTAACGTTTGCCAAGTGTTCTAATAATGCTCTTAATTAGCATACTAATCATAATCGGTAAAAAGAATGGTCCCGGAGAGAGAGAGAAGAAACGGTGTTGTAAATTTGTAATGTAAGTAACGGTGGGACGGGAAAAAATAGAGTAGGGAAGGGGAAGAGAGAGGCATGTGTTACTTGATTAGCTGTCCTCTTCTCTGCATTTACTCTTTGTGGGCCTTACAGGCCCATTTCTCCTCCCTCCATCTTGTTTCCACTTTTTTTTTTTTTTTCAAAAGTTTTATTATTTTCTGAAACCAAATAAAACCTCGTATAATCACTAAAGATTGAGATTTGAGCGTTACTTATGGTTCTTATTTCCAATTTTTTTGGTGTTGTGGGCCTTTTGAAACGAAAGATGTATAGATTTTTTTATTAATCATCATCTTCTGTAAACCTTTATGTGATTTGATTTGATATGTTGGAGTTAAATCGATGGTTTAGTTATTGATATATAGTACTCACATTTTGTTAGAGCTCAGCTTTCTACTGTTTTTTTTGTTCTACACCGATTTGTTTAATGTTAGAGAAACTACAAAGTAACATTAGTAACAGTATTAATGCTGTTGTTATATATATGTCCCTTTAAATCGTGATTTCATATAAGTAACTTACTAACTCAACGTAGATTTTAAATAATAACTTTTCTGGATACATTGCTTTTAACTTTAAAATTTGTTTTATGAATTATCACTGCAATTAGTTTGTAATTTAATTAATTGTATTGATCTATTATAGACTATTTATTTATATAAAAACAAATTATGTGTCGGTATTTTATTATAAACTTTTATTTTGATAACATTTTATTTGTGAAATTTTATTATAGCAAGGAAATAAATCAACTTGAATAATGCTATATATATATACACGCCCTTCTTTATTAATGGACTCTAATCAAAGCATATGGCAATTACATTATTGATTGTCCTATTTTACATATCATATACTTTTATCAAAATCAAATTAAAAACCATATAATATAATTTATACCTTCTCTTTTGTCGGAATTAAAAATGAATATTTTAAATCTTTTTTTTTTTTTGGGCAAAGAATATTTTAAATCTTTAAAGATCTAATTTCTGGATGAAAAACTTTGGTTTTCAGCGCCTACAAAGTGCAAAGGTCCACAACCAAAATTAAACACAGAGCAAAAAAAAAAAAACAGAAACAAAAAAAAGTTCTCTCTCTCTCCATTGATTTCTTCTACACAGACATCTCTACGAACCCCCAAACTCATATCTCTCTCTCTCTTTGTTCTTCATCGGATCTGACTTCTTCCCGAAAACCCACAATCTGATTCTTCGAATTCTTCAATTCAACGACAAAACCCCCAAATCACGAAATCCCCAACCAAAAGTTTCAATCTTTTTGACTTTGAGACACACAAAAATTTAAAGTCTGCGTTTTTTTTGGGGACTTTTGTTTCTGTTTGATCAAATTCACCGGCGAAGGAATTTTCCGATGGGAATGCCTTCGCTGGCTTCATCACAGCTACGACCATGAGCTACCACAACGAGGAAGAAGAGGAAGGAGACACCAACGATTGCTTCTACGAGTCTCTTGATCGTTTAGCTTCTTCCTCTTCTTGCTCTTGTTCCGCTTCTAACTCTGATTACGATTCCGAATCCTCTCCTCGGATCTCCTCCGCCGCTTCTCATGACTCTGAAGAACTCAACGGTGGTGGTCGTCGCCGTCGATATCCATTCCCAGTTCCTCGGTTTCCAATGGGAGCCTCGAAGTTCGACGTTTGGATCTCTGAACCTGCTTCTGTCTCTGAGAGGCGTTCCAAGCTTTTAAACGAAATGGGTCTTAGCCGTGACCCGGTTCTCTCTCGGTTAAAACCCGTTTCGGAGTCCAGCTCCAAAGAAACCGGAGCCGGCAGCTTCGAGATTTCCCGATCGATCTCGTGTAATCAATTGGCTCGGCGAGATCATGGAGAGTGTTCTGAAACTGTCGGCGGTTGTGCTTCTTGTATCGTGAGATCGAAATCCGACATTACCACTAGCCAATGTGGTGATCGTGAACGTCGATATACGTCTCTTGGTAATTCTTGTTCTTGTTCAGTCTCTAAACTCTCTGTTCATCATCCTTCACATTCAGAGATCAGTAGAACCAGCCCACCATTTGTGAAATGCAGTTTGGGATCAGTTAGTGCTGATTCGTGTGAGAATTCATTGCGGTTAAATGGAGATACTGATTGTGTACTGAGCGAGAGTGTAGTGAATGAGGAAGTGGAAGTGTGTACTATAAAGAATCTTGATAATGGGAAAGAATTTGTGGTGAATGAGATTCAAGAAGACGGTACATGGAAAAAGGTGAAGGAAGTGGGAACTGGAACACAGATGACGATGGAGGAGTTTGAGATGTGTGTTGGGCATTCTCCCATTGTTCAGGAGCTTATGAGAAGACAGAACGTTGAGGATTCTGATAAGAACACGTCTAAGGAAAACGAAGACAGTGGGAATAGTAATAAGGATAATGCATCTAAGTCTAAGAAGAAAGGAAGTTGGTTTAAGAGCATAAAGAGTGTTGCAAGTAGTATGACTGGTCATAGCAAAGAGAGACGAAGCAGCGATGATAGAGATACATCGTCAGAGAGAGGTGGTCGGAGGTCGAGCTCTGCTACTGATGATTCTCAGGAATCTTCTTTTCACGGGCCAGAAAGAGTTAGGGTTAGACAGTATGGGAAATCATCTAAAGAGCTCACGGCATTGTACAAGACGCAGGAGATTCAAGCGCATAATGGTTCTATTTGGAGCATTAAGTTTAGTTTGGATGGTAAATATCTTGCTAGTGCTGGTGAGGATTGCATCATTCATATCTGGCAAGTCGTCGAGGCTGAGAAGAAGGGAGAGTTGCTACTTGATAGACCGGAACTGTTGCTTTTGGCTAATAATGGGTCTCCAGAACCAACTACTATGTCACCAAGGAGAAGAGGGAGAACTTCTATAAGTAGAAAGTCATTGAGTTTAGAGAACATATTTGTTCCAGATTCTCTTTTCGGGCTTTCGGAAAAGCCCTTTTGTTCCTTTCAGGGACATGTGGATGATGTACTTGACCTTGCTTGGTCCAAGTCTCAGGTTAGTTAGTCACTTTATTCTTGGTACTGTTTGGAAGAAATGATTGGTAGAGAAGATTTATGAGTAAAAAAAGCTTTCTATTACTTGTTTCCTCAGCATTTGCTTTCTTCATCAATGGATAAAACAGTTCGTTTGTGGAACTTGTCCAGCCAGACTTGCTTGAAAGTATTTTCGCACAGTGATTACGGTCAGTAGGTTCTGCACCAGCTGCTTTTAATTTTTCCGTCTTTTGGTACTTCTCAAATTAACAATGTGTGTTTTGATTATTGATTGGAACAGTGACTTGCATCCAATTTAATCCGGTCGATGATAGATACTTCATCAGCGGATCCTTAGATGCAAAAGTTCGCGTCTGGAGCATTCCAGATCGTCAAGTAGTTGACTGGTATGATCTTCATGAGATGGTCACTTCTGCTTGCTACACTCCAGATGGTCAGGTACACTAAATCTGCCAAGTTATCTAAAGTCAGTTGTTCTGCATCTCATGAAGCATCTTTAAAGAGTTTCCTTAACTTTCTAAAGAATTTCTGTTTAAACTTGAAGGGTGCGTTGGTTGGTTCATACAAAGGTAGCTGTCGCATGTATAGTGCATCAGGTAATGATGAAGTTCTTGTTGGGATTTTATATTGTTTTTTTTCTGCTGTTTGTTATGCTTTAACACTAACTGATATTTACTTTTTCAGATAACAAGCTGCAACAGAAAAGCCTGATAAATTTACAGAACAAGAAGAAGAAAGCTCATCAAAAAAAGATAACTGGTTTCCAGGTAATGATAATCACTTCTTCAGAAGCAAAATCAGATGAAACAAAAGACGTTGTTCTTGATGGCTCTAAAAGTTCCTTGCTTTGGTCTCATTTTATTCTCATTTCATACCTTAGTTTGTGCCTGGGAGCTCATCTGAAGTGCTTGTCACATCTTCCGATTCAAGGATCCGTGTTGTTGATGGAACTGATCTAGTTAACAAACTTAAAGGTAAACAGACAAACAATCGCCTTTCGAGGTTTCAAGCTTTGTCTTCTGTTTACTTCATTCACGAGCCAAAGTATCGATCTTTTCTGTTTTCATTTCATTTGACAGGGTTTCGGAATACGAGCAGCCAGATATCTGCCTCAATCACAGCAGATGGGAAATACGTAGTTTCAGCGAGCGAGGATTCGCATGTGTACATATGGAAATACGAATCCCCTGCTTCTCGGCCAAGCAGAAGTAACAACAACAAGAACGTGACGGTCACAAACTCTTACGAGCATTTCCATAGCCAAGACGTCTCTGCAGCCATCTCATGGCCCGGAATGGCTTCAACAGAAAACTGGGGAACTCAAAACAGAGCCGGGTTTAACGGAAACACCAATAATTTGGACAATGTCTCCACAGCTAACCATCCGCCTACACTGGTAGACCAGCCGGGGACAGTGGACCGATTAAACAGTCCACGAAACGGGATCATTTCAAGCACAACAAACGGATACTTTTTCGATAGAATGTCAGCGACTTGGCCTGAAGAGAAACTGTTGTTTGGAAGGAACAGAAGTGGGAATCGTTTGAGTACGGATTTGTCGTCGTCAAATGGAAACTCAGGGAATGTATCAGCTTCTTGGGGAATGGTGATTGTCACTGCAGGTCTGAGAGGAGAGATACGAACGTTTCAGAACTTTGGTTTGCCCATTCGGATTTGATAAAAAGTGTACAGAGTGGTGAAGAAAAATCGAGTGAGGTTTGTATGATTGTTAGCGAGCTTTCTTTTTTTGTTTTTTTTTCCTATTCTTCTTTGTTACAGATTCGTTTCCAGGAAAATGGAGAGAAAAAAAGAGAGAAAGAAACTATACTGATCATTGTAGAGTTACAGACACGAACAGAGAGATATGTTTATTGATTGGAAATAGAAGAAAGAGAGAAACAAAAAAATCGAAAATTCTTTTGCATCTCTTCTAATCAATATAGTTTCTTTTGCTTTTCATTAAGGCCCATGTAAGCTTGACCCGGCCCATTTATGTTTTTATTTTATTAAAAACTACAAAACGTTGTCGTTTTCATTGTGAAATTTAGTTAAAGCAGCTTGTCTCTTTAGGTTGTTGAGTTTGGTACTAAAACCCTAAAGACAGAGAATTTAGCGTTGTTTCTTCTTCAATAGACCAAAAAATGGGGAGGAAGAGAAAGCACAGCGAGACTGTTGCGGCGGCACCGGTGAAGCAGAACGATTCTGCTCCGGAGAGACCTAAAAGGACTCTTTTGGGTTGGAAAGATAAGAACGAAGATGCTGAGGACTCTAAACCTGCGTCTGTATTCAGGAATAAAGAGAAGGTTCTCGTTACTTGTTCCCGTCGCATCAGTTTCAGGTGAATCGTGTTGAAATTGAAATTGGTTTTAATTTGGTTTAATGGTTATGAATCATTGAGTAACTTTGTTTAATCGTTGGAAGGTATCGGCATTTGATGTTGAACATGGTGTCACTTTTACCTCACTGTAAGAAGGATAGTAAGGTGGAAGCTAAGAGCAGTAGAGGTGCCACTCTTAATGAGCTCATCGAGCTTAAGGGCTCTTCTTCCTGTTTGTTTTTCGAGGTAAAGTTTCAATCTTTTTGGTGTCTTAATTCCAGAACCAGTTACTGTTCTATGGTCTGATCTTCTTAATCGTAAGGGTATTTTGATAATAAAATTCTTATCAGTTCTCTTAAAAAGTTTAGTATGAATTGTAACTTGGTAAAAGTTTCATACCATTGATGATAGGAACAAAGAGCATAACTGATTGGATTCTTTTTGTCTGGTTCAAATTGTGCTCTTTAGTCTCTCTGTTTTAATGTCATCATGTCTGGATTTACTTGTTGATTTCTACCAAGAAACTGAAGTTAGTACGTGTTTGTTTGTTTTCGTCTTCAGTGTAGGAAGCACAAAGATCTTTACATGTGGATGGTCAAGTCCCCTGGTGGACCTTCCGTTAAGTTCTTGGTTAATGCTGGTAATGTCTCCAGCTTCTCTTATTTGGTTTCAAAATAAGTGACACGAGCTGGTGGATCTAATCATGTGTTGGGTACTTTTCACTGAGTTGGTTTATCAATTTGTATCGTCTCTGAGTTGTGTTTTTATAATTTTCTGTATGGTGAAGTTCACACAATGGAGGAGCTGAAACTCACTGGAAATCATCTGAAAGGTTCACGCCCACTTCTGACATTCTCATCCAATTTTGAAAAAGATGCACACTGGAAACTTCTGAAAGAGATGTTAACTCAGGTCATTCTCACTTTTGAATTGTGGACATGTCTTTTGTTGTCCCTGTTAGTTTGGTTTATATCTTGAAATTTTTAACATTATAATGAGTTTTGTTTTTTGCTTCTAGATTTTTGGAATTCCCGAGGGACATAGGAAGTCTAAACCTTACCATGACCATGTGTTTGTTTTCTCCATTGTTGATGACCATATATGGTTCCGTAATTACCAGGTTGGTTGAAAATTTAGCATCTCTCAGAGATCACCTGCTCTCATTTCATTTCAGTTTGGAAACGTTTCGTTTAACTAGCCGAGGTTTGTTTTTCTTCCATTGCAGATATCAGTACCTCATAACGAGTCAGACAAGATTGCACGAGGCGATCTGGATAAAATGACTCTTATTGAGGTCAGGCCATGACTATATTCTAAACTAATTTTCATAATTCATTAATTCTTATGAAGTAGTTGTTGATTGAAGTAAAAACCTGATGACAGGTTGGTCCAAGGTTTTGTTTAAATCCAATTAAGATATTTGGAGGCAGCTTTGGAGGTCCAACGCTTTACGAGAACCCATTCTATGTATCTCCAAACCAGGTACTTGGTTCTTCTATAAGCAACTTGATAGATCACATTGCTAAATGATAATCTGTCAAATTTTTTTTTCCAATTTCCTGCCTTTTAGATTCGAGCTTTGGAGAAAAGAAATAAAGCTGGGAAATTTGCTAAGAAAATCAAGGCGAAAACAAGAAGAAAGATGCATGAACTCTCAAACCCATTGGAGCCTGATGAATTTACAGACATGTGGAAGGATGAATGATAAAATTCGACCGAAGTTTTTTTTTTTTGGTGTTGTAAACTTCCAAATTCACAGAATCAACACAATTTTGTCTTTACTATGTTTTCTTCTCTCCCTCTTGTCTATTATTGAGAGATACAATAAAGAGGGTAAAGTGATTGTTGAGGAGCATCCGATCCTTGCATGTCAACAAGGGGTCCACCCGATCCTCCCTGTTCAACCAAAACATATAGATGATCACAATCCAAATTCTACTGTCCCCAAATATTTATACTTAGAGTGATGAGTAGACATCAAGGTTAGCAGGAGTTAGACCACAAACATAAGTTACATTTCCTAGTATAAACTAGCAGGTAAATGAGTTACTAGACAGATTGCTAATGTGTCTTGACCTAAAATCAAATGCAAAGTTACTGATTACCCCCTAACAAATCAACTACATCATAAGTACTTCTATGATTATCACAATCCAAATTCTATTGTCAGAAAATATTACATACAAGCAGAGAAGTTCAGAATTCTAGTGAAAAACAATGAGTTGACATCAAGGTGTTAGCAGCAGTTAGACAACATTTCCTAGCATAAACTAGCATGTATATGGGATACTAGATAATGTAGACTTCAGATTGCTAATACAAACAGAGAAGGGAATCCATGTACTTACAAGATTTATAGCACAATCGGTCTGAAAGAAAGGAAGTTCATTTTCTGCTTCATTAAGTATTCGGTCGACACAACTACCATAATAAATAAGCATTAATAATAAAATTATAAAATGATTAAAATCAAAACAGAGAGAAAGAAAGATGACAATTTGTTACCTCACTATACCAAATGAAACGGTCCGATAGAGAGAGAGAGGGAAACCAAAAGCCAAAACCAAATCGCCAGGTCTAACATCGGTAGAAGATACGAGCTGAACTGGACAATAAGCTCCAAGAGCCTCATCCGTCAAATCTATCTTGACCAAAGCAAGGTCAAGATACCTATTCACTATACCTAGACGACCATGGAAGCTCTTCCGGTTACTAAAGACAATACAATAATATTAACTCTACTTTTTTCTTTTTTTTTTTCTTTAGATTAGTTGTTGTGTTCATCAATCTTTTAGTTGACAATTTTCATGAATATAAATTTGCACTCACTTTGCATTCACTTTTGTAGGATGTGGGATGAAACATTGAAATAGAGACTAATAATGATAATATATAGATTTTTTAATATTATAGTAACAAAAGTTTACAATTTTTTTCACATATTGTTTTTTGTAAAAGATTTTATTGGCTGGTTCAATTAAAAGTTTCATTGTCTTGCTCTCCCCTGCTTTAACTTTTGTTGTTTTGGTCTTACGTGACTGTTGCACAGTGATGGGCTGAGGACCTGAGGTAGCAACTTTTTAGTGGGCTTCCGGCCCATACTTTTGAGATTCATTTGTTTTTACACCTTCTGGAAACGAACGAATAAAGAGAAGAGACTATAATTTCACATTGATAAACAAAGCTCCCCATTCACATTGATAAAGAGAAGAGACGAATTTCTCGGAGATGATGATGAATCATTGAATCATATGAAAATGAACGAGTGAATAACTAATCTAAGCTTACGAAGTAACGCCTTGGTAGATTTCAAAGATCTCGACCCTACACGTGTCACAATTTTCTTAATTAAGTTTTATGATGATGAATCATATGAAAAGGGCTCTTCTTCCTGTTTGTAATTCGAGGTAAATTTTCAATCTTTTTTTGGCTACCTTAATTACAGAACCTGTTAATGTTCTATGGTCTGATCTTCTTAATCTTAAGGGGTTTTTTTGATAATCAAATTCTTATCAGTTCTCTTGAAAAGTTAAGTATGATATGTAACTTGGTAAAAGTTTCATACCATTGATGATAAGAACAAAGAGCATAACTGATTGGATTCTTTTTGTTTGGTTCAACTTGTGCTCTTTAGTCTCTCTGTTTTAATGTCATCATGTGTGGATTTACTTGTCACTGTGCAATCTGTGGAGTATTAAACTGCAAAATTATCTTCTTGATTTCTTCCAAGAAACTGAAGTTAATACGTGTTTGTTTGTTTTCGTCTTCAGTTTAGGAAGCACAAAGATCTTTACATGTGGATGGTGAAGTCCCCTGGTGGACCTTCCGTTAAGTTCTTGGTTAATGCTGGTAATGTCTCCAGCTTTTCTTATTTGGTTTCAAAATAAGTGACACGAGCTGATGGATCTAATCATACTTTGGGTAATGATGAGTTTTGTATCGTCTCTGAGTTGTGTTTTTGTGGTGAAGTTCACACAATGGAGGAGCTGAAACTCACTGGAAATCATCTGAAAGGTTCACGCCCACTTTTGACATTCTCATCCAATTTTGAAAAAGATGCACACTGGAAACTTCTTAAAGAGATGTTAACTCAGGTTATTTCGATTTCCATTCTCACTTTTGAATTGTGGATGATCTTTTTGTAGTCCCGGTTAGTTTTTTTTTTTTTTTTTGGACAGTGTTAGTTTGGTTTATATCTTGAACTTTTAACATTATAATGAGTTTTGTTTCTGCTTACAGATTTTTGGAATTCCCGAGGGACACAGGAAGTCTAAACCTTACCATGACCATGTGTTTGTGTTCTCCATTGTTAATGACCATATATGGTTCCGTAATTACCAGGTTGGTTGAAAAGTTAGCATCTAAGAGATCACCTGTTCTCATTTGGAAACTTTTGGTTTAACTAGCCAAGGTTTGTTTTTTCTTCCATTGCAGATATCAGTACCTCATAACGAGTCAGACAAGATTGCACGAGGCGATCTGGATAAAATGACCCTCATTGAGGTTTGGCCATGACCATTTCTAACAATAATTTGCATAATTCTTATGAATTAGTTGTTGATTGAAGTAAAAACCTGATGACAGGTTGGTCCAAGGTTTTGTTTAAATCCAATTAAGATATTTGGAGGCAGCTTTGGAGGTCCAACGCTTTACGAGAACCCATTCTACGTTTCTCCAAACCAGGTACTGGGTTCTTCTATATGCAACTTGATGAGACCACATTGCTGCTATATGATTCTCTGTCAAAGTTCTCATTTTTTTCAATTTCGTTGCCTTTTAGATTCGAGCTTTGGAGAAAAGAAATAAAGCTGGGAAATTTGCTAAGAAAATCAAGGCGAAAACAAGAAGAAAGATGCATGAACTCTCAAACCCATTGGAGCCTGATGAATTTACAGACATGTGGAATGATGAATGATAAAATTCGTTTTTTTTGGTGTTGTAAACTTCCAAATTCACAGAATCAACACAATTTTGTCTTTATTGCTTTTTACTCTGTTTTCTTCTCTCCCTCTATCTATCAAAAAGTGAGATTCTTTTCTTGCAAATTAACACAGAGTTCTCTAAGTAAAGACTGCATCTTTACTCTCTTTGAGATGTCAAGAAGCAAAGCAATTTTATTTCTTTATTAAGTAATAAGAGAAAAAAAAGAGTTAACACTGGTCTTTACTCTGTTTTTATAGAATCAACACAACTTTGTCTTTACTCTGTTTTCATCTCCTTGGTGATCAAAAAGGTGAGATAATTTTCTTGCAAATGAACATACTTCTTTAAGTAAAGAGCTCTTTGTGATGTCAAGAAGAAGCAAAGCAATTTTATTTCTTTATCGTCGTCGTAAGGCTATTTAGTATTTACAAAAACAAGAGAGTAGATAAAAAGAAAACGCAACAAGAAGCAAGAGTTAGGAAACTCAGAAGCAAAATTAACGAGAATTAGCCAGCGCCCAGTTAGCTTCACTTCCTCTTCTAGGGATACTAATGATCTTAGAACAAGCATCAACTTTGAAATTAGCTCCACAAAGAACACCTTCACTATCAATCCTCGCCATTGCCTTCATCTTATTAGTCGGATGTTCAAAGCTCTTTAGCCCTGACTCACTATGAAACATACACCCTGCAAAATAAAAACACACACACACCATCAAGATCTCAAAACTCAAAAGTTTCTTTCTTTCTTTAGATTATGAAAATCTTAAGTTTTGCTTTACCAGTAGGGAAAGGTGCAAATGATTTAGCACAGCCTTGCTTTATGATCTGAATATCATCAGACATTACAACAGATCCATCTCCAGAAATTCCCCAGTAAAGACTCTCTCCTCCATCAGAACTCAAAGCTGAGAAAACAGAGGAGCTTTGAGAATCGTACACAACGAAAGCGAAGCTTCCCTCAAGACCTCTAACGACTTGATCAGCTGGGTAAGGACCACGATCACGAAGTGTTCGATAAGCTTCGATCACAAACATAGCCTCGTTTGAGTTCTTCCCAGATAAACCGTATTGTCGATTCAATGTACAGAGGTTACTCAATCTCCCTAGAAACATACAGTAGATCCCATCTAGACCACAGAACAACCTGAGAAAAACAAAACCATTAGATTTATGAATCTGTGAATCTATGGACTGGATCTTAGGATTTGATTTGTGGTTTTTATATATTACCTCTGACGAAGAGAGGTTTCTTGGCGAGCGTAAGCTAAGACGGCGGAGTCGCCGAAGTTCATGGAGAAAGCGGTGTTTTGGTGACGAGAGAGGAAGTCGGAGAGAGTTTCTCCGGGAAGTTTAGGGGTTTCGCCGGAAACATGAGACGCCGGACTGTTGAGTTCTTCCGGTGGGTGAGCAAAAGCTTTTTGAAATATTGCCAACATTTTTTTCTTTATTTCTTTCTTTGTTTGATTAATCAAATGTTTGAAATGAATGTTATGTTTTTGTTGAAGAAAATGGAAGGTTTATTTATAGGTGCGAGATTTTTATTACACGCGATGCTGACTTGGTTTTTAAGATAAGACTGACATGTCTGACGTGTTCTTATCCGTTTCCTTCTGTAAGAAAATTATTCTATAGTTATCTTTTTTTTTTTAAACCAGGTACGTAAATAAACAAATTGTGAATCCAATGATGATTAGATATTTAATATGACGATTCTTTGGACTGATCTGATATTTTAACGTGCCACGTTAAAAAAGTATGCTTTTTTTTTGTCAAGTTGGAAAAGTGATAGGATATTTTTGACAGCGAATAAGAAAGTCGTATGATTTAATAGAATCATATGAGATATTTTGAATATCACGATATTTTATGGTGCTTTAATGATATGAATGAATGTAGTAACTTCGAAGATATTTTAACTTTGGTAATTAGTATTTTTTCTTTACTTATTCGTATATGTTTATGATCAATCTAAATTAATGAAGAATTCCTATTGTAACTATATCCTTAAATCTCGCATTCAATCCCAACTATTACTCATTCCTTTTAAACAATTCAGACCTAAATATTTCTGATGCACTCATGACTCATAGCTTGAAAAACCTAATTCTCTCGTAACTTTTTTTTCCCTACATCATTCCATAGAGAATTAGAGATGGTGGAGTATATTGTGGATGATATATCAGATAGTACATGTATCGTGACACCAATCTACTATTCGAAAGAAACAAGTCAAGATCGTCAAACTTTTTTGTTTGATTTTGAAGTTGTCTACACAAAAGTGCCTGAGCCAAATAGTGATGGAGAAGCTGACTACATGTCCAATGAGGTTAAAACAAGGACTACTAATCAACTTCAAAGATATGGTCGAGACGAGTTCATTGGTCAAGATGAAGACCAAATAAAAGCCACAATCTACGAAATTCTCTATGAAATTGGTGTTCCTCCCTACCGAGGGATCATGAAAACATTTGCTGAAGAAATCAAAAGCATATTGAATTCACCTATGGAGAAATTGGAGAAGATCAAAGTAAAGATCGAAGTTGTTGCACACACGTTTCCTGAAGATGAGACCGATGCGGAAGGGTTTTAGTTTTAGTGATTAAAGAACTTGAAAGTAGATCGTTACAATGATATATTCTTTTGCTTGGTCGTTACAATGATTCCTTCATTTGCTTCTTGGTTGTTTCCAGTTTTTATACTTTTACATTCTATAATGTTCTAAAGACCGGTTATTTTGCAAAGTTTTGAGTGTTATCTATCAGTTTAAGGTTCTCTTAAACTAACTAATGTTATGATTCTCTGCAGTAAGGTGATCCGGAAATATCTTCTATTACTCACACAACTTGAAAAATCAAACAGATACAAATCAATACAACATACACTAACCGGTAAATCCAATCCCGATCCGGTTCATACAAACAGGGTTGTTTGTCTACTATACCTTGGATCAACAAAGCCTGCTACGAGAACGGCCACAATGGAGAAAGATTTCGGTTGGTTCTAAGCAGCCGCGGAGTGAGTCATGACCAAGCTGAGCTCTTTCATTATCTCCAAACCCAAAAATGCGACCACCTTGAGTGACCACAATGGTGTGATACAAACCGGTGCTAACTTGAGAGACACGGTGTGGTTTCAGACACTCCAATACTCTTGGCCTCAGAACTTTGTCTGAAACTCCTCTGTCCGGGAACCCAAGGCTTCCAAATCCCATCCACCCAAATCCATACAATAACCCACCTTCCACCAAAACAAAAGTCTTCCTTTTTCTTGCACACACCTGCAAGCAAAAGCAGAGTCATGCATGATTAGGGCTGTCTAACTGATCCTAAACGAATCAAAACTCCATACAAACAAAGGCAAACACATTCAGCTTCAATTTTCTTCACCAAAACCGAAAAATAAACTGGATGTAACCTCAATTTACACCGAAAATTCTCTAAACTAAGTTTTGCCAAGTTTTGATTCTACTTGAACTGATCACTTATTGGTTCTTAGAGACCGCTCAAGATCTTAGAGAATATAACAAGGTGTAAAGGGATCATCATCTTATACATTGGATGGAACAGATGGGGGAAGAATCTGACCTGGACAGCAAGGCAATTCTTGAGATTGACCAAAACTTGAGGAGTGATCTTGTCATTTTCGTCTCCATGGCCTAGAGCACCGCAGTAACCTTTACCCCATGTGTAGACCTAAGTTTCAGAAAGATTAATTAAAACAAGATTTCTTCTGATTTCTGCGACCAAATGGAAACAGAAAGTGATGGAAACAAAGAACTTACACGGCCATTGGAATCAAGTGCCACGGCGTGTTCATCGCCTGCAGAGACACGGAGTATATGAATACTCTTTCTTTTAAAAGCCTGAATAACACGCGGCTGAAGCTCGTCCTGTTGCTCTCCATGACCAAGACAGAAGTTAGAACCAGAGCCAAACGAGTAAACCGAGCCATCCTGTGTTACAGCTAAAACATAGCTGGGTCCAGCTGCGATTTGCACCACAGGGCCAATGTTTTTAAGAAACTCAACAACTTTGGGTACTGGTCTGTCCATGGTATCGCCATGACCAAGCTGCCCATGTGTATTTGATCCACAAGTATACGCATGCCCTTCCCTTGATAGAAACACAGTGAAGTGAAGCCCAGCAGCCACCTGGTATAGAAGATGAGTTTATAAATGTTCGATAGAACCAATTTAGAAAATCAATTGGTCTAGATAGGGTTGGTATCAATTTTACCTGCTTACAAGGAGTCCCCTTCAAAGCCTCAACAAGCTTAGGCCTAAATATTGGACGGCTAGTATCTAAATGACCACAGCAATGCGATGAATTATCCCCACAAGTGAGAACCTGTGCCACATTTCAAATATGAGTTGTTGGTAAGTGATTATGGCAAGCGACAATATACTCATAGGATAGGTTTTAAGTAAAACAGCTACCAACCTCTCCAGATTGCAATACGAAAGCAGAATGGTTCTGTGTGGCTGAGACTTGAGCCACTTGAGCAGGCAACGGAAACTCTATAGGCGTAAATGCTACACATTGAGTAGTTTCAGGGCCATGAGCAAGAACACCGGACAAACTTACACCACAAGAATAAACCTTTGAGTTGTTGATTAGCAAAGTGTGATACTTTCCTGTTGCAATTTGCATCTGCAGAAAGAATGAAAGAAATGCATTTGAGACTTCTAAACCAAATTAACCAAGAATGAACATAGCATTTTGAGCTATATTCCTAAGACTTTCTTCATAGCAACTTCACTGAACTACCTAAAACTTTATGAAATGAAGTATTCACTGATAGAAGCAATGACAGAAAGCAAATGAAATCATACTTTGCCTTGAGAGGTTTCAACCATATCTGAGGATTGCTCAACTGACTGTAAGAAACTCAAAAGCCGCTTCCAGTTTCCTTCACAATTGGCAAAGAGCTCTTTCTGTGTAGTCAAACCCATTCCCACATAGACAGGATGCATAGAGCAAAGCTGAGACGCCGCATAATCAGCTAGTGATCTGAATTTCAAAGGGTAGAATCCATGGCTCCCTCCGAAAACCTTAGAGGTCAATTCCAAGCTAAGTAGATCAACCGCACTAAGCCTCCCAGAGGTCAACACCTCCAAGATCAAATGAGAAGGAAGATCCTCGAACGAAATCAACCAGTTTCGGTCAGCCATTTTCTTCCTTCCTAATTCTTAACAAAAGAGTTTCAAAATGACCTAATCGAACGTAAAAGACGAGACTTTGGGTGGCTTCAAGCTACAAGAGGGTCAGATTTTGAGGCGAAATCTAGAGCAATTGAAGTAGCGTATGAAGAAGACGTTGGATGGTAGAAAGAGATAAGAAATTGAATAGGAAAATGGAGTTATAGATGAGAATCTCGCAGTTGGTCTATTCGAAGATCGAAAACTAATCATGAGAAGGGTCAGATCGCAAGAATCAATCCACCTGAACACGCCAGATTCTTCGAAATTTTACCTGCAACCAACAACAGAACAATCCAACAATCAATCAGCTAAACAAATCACCCAAAAAGAGAAAATTTTCGATTGAAAACAGTACAATTGAAATCGAAAATAGGGTTTTGGAACGAGAAATCGAGAAGAGCAGAAGAAGAAAAGAGGTTAGTGGTGATAGATCTTTACCTGGAAAGCAAAAGGTCTTGACTTTTTCGGTGCCCACTAAAACAAATGAAACCAAAAAGTCTAAAAAGAGCTTTTTTATATAAGAAAATGGTGAAAGACGTGTGAGGACGAATAGAAAAATTAGGAGAAAATTCAATATCTTGCTTCTTAAGCTTCTTTTGTGGCGATTCTTCCTCTCTGTTTGCAGAATCTTTTGAGGCTTGCTTAGTCGTCGTCACTCTGTTTTGTTGCTTTGGCTGGAGTTTTTATCTGTTTTCTGCTTCACCACTCCTTTTTATTGGTAACTTGTTGATTTGCAAAATTATTTCCGGTTCTCCGGTTTATGTTTTCGGTCTGAGATTTGACACGTGGAAGAGGAAGACTTGAGAAGATGAAGAATCGGCCCTCCATATTTTGGGCTTTAGGTTATAGTAATGGGCCCAAAAGTGATGCGTAACAGAGCAATTTTTACACAGACGAAGAAGAAGAAGAAGCAGAGAATCGATTGACACGAATCTTCTTCTTCCTCTTAATCAGGCTTGTTCTTCAATTCCATCACTTAGGGTTTTAGTATTTGCTCGAAAGATTCAAGGGAAAAAAATAAAGAGGTGAGTCAATCTCAACATAAATTTGTTGTTTGTGAGATTGAAGAATTATAATTTCTTGAAGCTAATCGTGTTTAGAAAGTGAATTAAGAGAGAAAGTTTTTGGATTCATACAGTTTTGCTAGATTTCTAGTTGTTTCTAATAAACAAATTGATACAGGAGAGTGAGAGAGAGAGAGATGGAGGAGGAATATGTTATGATTGATCTTGATGAAGTTTCAAGGCACATTGAGATTCCATCAGATGCTCCTTATACTTTATCAGTTAGTTCAAATCCAAGTTCTTTAATTTCAACTCTTTGCATTGGTTTTGTTTTGAGATTGTTTATTGTTCTCAGGGTTTGGATACTTTGAATCCGGTGTTGACCATTGATGGCAAAATCAAGCTGGTAATTCTCAGTTGCAGTTGTTAAAGTTTTCTAATTAAAGTTACTCTTTTGCTTAAACCATTCTTTTAATCGTGTTAGATTTGATGATCTCTCAGGTTGGAGAATATATTGAAACAATTGGTACATGCCTTGCTTTCTCTGAAAAGGGTTAGTTTCACTTTCTCATAGACATGGAAACAACATCTTATTTGAACATTGTTTCAACTAGTTCTTCATGTTTTATTGTGCTGAATATTGAGTTGCGGTTTCTTCATTTTTTTTAATTCTTTTTTTGCAGAAGTAGTTTCAGCAAGTGAAAACAAGAAGAAGATAGTTGAACCTGTTGCAAAACTCCACAAGATTCTTAAGTTTAGATTAGCAGCATTAGAAAATGATGATGGAGAAATAAAAACAAACAATTTGTAAAAGTTTTTCCCTTGTTCAAGTCAAAAGTTCCTCGTCTCTTTCTACTATCTTCAACTCTCTTTTTTTAGGTATTGTTTGGACTTGCTTATTGGCAATAAGTTATTGCCAAACGTCACAAGATTCTTAAAAGTTTAAGTTAGCATTCGACAATGAAAAATGGAGAAACAAAAAAAGAAAACAATTTGTAACAAAAAAATTCTCCTGTTGAAGCCTTTGGAGTTTGTAGTACATATCACACAACAAGACGTACTGGATTACACACCAACAAAAGTAACACAACAAGGACACCAACATTTCTCATCAATAAAAATCAATCTGTTGTTGTTCAACACAATATTTTTTTTTTTGATTAACCACACACAAAAATGTTACAAACAACAACATAGGTCTTGAAGTTAATGTTGTAAAAGCTACTGATCTGGAAGTCTGTCTTTCAGGTAGTTCAACACAACTTTCGTTCCTCTTTCTAGAATTGGCCTCCTGATGCTGTTTAAAGAATGTTGGTGAAATTGAAAAATCAATCAATCTGGAATGTTATTGTTTATATATTAATGTATCAGTTTAAATACCTTCTTAATGGGTTCCCGTCAAGTCGTAGAACCTCAAGTGTAGGCTCAAGCAAACCCTAAGGAACAACACAGGACTTGTTATTACATATATTATACATTTCTATGTTTCAGTTAAGAAAAGCAACAGAGACTTACCAGTTCTGGAGGAAGACTCGAAATGTTGTTGTTGGATATGTCCAGATGTTTGAGTGAAGTCATGTTCTTGATACTCTGCATGGGAAAAACAGATCCAATGCAATAACATTACATGACGACTTTGGTTGATTAGCTGATTGATGCCAGGTTACACTAATTTCGAACCACAGATTCAGCAGAGTAAATACCACAAAGTAGAACATATAGCTATATTACCTTCGGAATCGATTGAAGTGAATTCTGGTTCAAGTCAAGGATAATCAGGTTAGATAGGTTGAGGATATCTTCAGGGACTTCAGATAGCTGGATTCGACTGTCAAGTGAGGTATAAGGTATTAGGTATCTTAAACCAGTGAATAATAGATTGACAAAGAATAATATAAAGTATCATAACCAACCTCAAATAAAGCTCTTGCAGTTGTGGCAAGTGGCAAAACTTAGGATGCTCTCTGAAGGAAACTGCATTACCACTTAGGTCTAGAATCCGAAGCCCAGAGACTGCTTGAAACCCATCCCGTGGAATCTTATGAGCAAATAAAAAATGTGATGCATTAGCTCTTGGTGGAAGCTATAATCAACTATTTAAATATTATTCTCTTTGAACATCACTATACCTGCGTCAGGGGATTATTATCCAACTTCAAGCACACAAGATTGGAAAGTGACTTCAAGATTGCACCAGGCCAATCTTTAATCTTGTTCCTTGACAAAATTAAAGTCTGCAATTACAAAGATACTATGAAATTTCTGACAGTAATTGATAGATTTTATGTAGCAAAGGCAGATATAGCATCTTCTTTATATATAGAAAGAAGATTTATGGGAAACCCATTACCTGAAGGGAAACAGATGTGGAAAGTTGAGCAGGCAATTCCTCGATAGAGTTCTTAGAAAGATTAACTTTCGTGATCTCACCAGATTCCCAAACTTCTGAAGGGACAGCACTCAAGTTGAGACCTTCCAGAGAAAGTTCCTGAGTGTTGTGCAATCAGTTAAGATAATAATTTCTAATTTCTATCAAGAACATGGAATTCTTAACAGGATGGTGCTCAGATCTGTGGTTTCACTTACCTTTGATGAAATGGACATACGAGCTGCTGAAGCAATTACATTTTCCTTTGTTGGAGTGCTTGCACTTGTTTCTATAATTGGAAACCTTTTACAGTTAGCCATGACCACTTAGATGAGAGAGAAAGAGGGATGTTGGACTAAAGTACCTTCACTATTAGAAAGGCGGCTCCTAAGATACTTCAATAGAGCAGCTGTAGGACCATTTACTAATGAGCTGGAGAGCAAAAAAAAAGAGAAAGGATTAGTGGCCTCTTCAAATAGCAACCAAATTATGACCAGGCAATCAAAAAACCAGACAGAGACAGAGTAAAACGAAACCTTCTAAGGGTTCTCAAAGGATTGCCAACAAGCACAAGCTTTCTCAGAGTAGTCATGTTTCCTATAAATGTGAGACAAGAAGTTTTATGCTAATCAAGTTCTTATGATGTCATATGTAAATATATTAGCAAGCAGGGGATGCAGAAATGATTCGTGCTGTTTGCTATTCATACCAAGCTCAGGATGCAATCCTGTCAAGGAATTATTTGAAAGATCTAGGTACGAGAGCTTCAATTTACATGCCCCAACTGGATATTCCTTGAGCTGAAAATTGGGAGAAAGCACAAGTGTGTAGACCATTGATTAAAAGCAAGTGACTGTCACTAGATAAAGGTTTAATAAAACATAAAGAGAGTCAGAAAATAATATCCATCAAAGAAATGAGCACAATACCTGATTAGAACGAAGATCCAATGTTCCTAGACGTGATAGATCTCCAATCTCGGCTGGTAATGTTGATAGCGAGTTAATTCTGGAATTAAGTACAGAAAGAAGAATGTCAGAAGTGATTCCATGTAATTCCAAAAAAATCTTTCTGAATAAACCGTAGTAGAAAATGACCCCAAATAGAACTCCACAAGAGAGGAGCAACCGCCTATTGATGGTGGAACAGACGAGATTTCTGCGTGAATCAAATACGAAAACAATTTCAGCAACTACATACGAGAATCAAGTTGGCTATTACTGGAGCAAAAGGTATGGCAGAAACATTATCTTCTCAGTCTACACTTACTGTTCTGATGAAGGTCAAGCCTAATAAGACGTGAAAGGCTTCCGATATTTTGTGGCAGACCACTCAGCATATTCTTCGCTGCAGAGTTAAAAGATATTAAAGTGTGTCCCAGAGTCTTTCAACATGTAAGAAACGCAAAAGAAAAGTTGAATATCATTACATGCATTAAGTTCTGTAAGCATGGTCCATGATGCTATGTGGTTCTCAGAGAGAGCTGTGAGCTTGTTTCCCTGCAATAGGTTTACATCGGTAAATCATCCTGCTATACCCTACCACTGCTTTCTTCCAGGCCGGCCATACTGGACTTGGAAGATAGTGAAAGAAGAAAAAGCAAAATGCTAAGTAGCCACTTTAGACTTTAGGAGGAAATCGACACTAATACCTCCACATCCAGTTTAGATAACTTCGAACAGTTCACCATGTCTTCTGGCAAACTGGAAATTTGATTATTTGAGGCCTGTGGATAACAATAAGCGCAATCATTGCCGTGAAAGAAGAAGTAAACAAAAATCAACTGAACCAGAAGGAAGAACATAGAACAACCTTCAAATCGGATAAGTCTAAACATCTCCCAATAGATTCTGGCAATTCTTTAAGCCGATTGCTTGAACAGTCAAGCCTGAAGCGATAAAAAGGAGTTTAATCAATGAGTCCAATGCCCTAATCTAAGTAAAACCACAGAAGTTTATGACAAGATGGAGATAACCTACTTGACAAGAGAAATTGCTGAACCAATTTGTTCAGGAAGTTCTGATATAGAGTTAAATGACACATCCAAAGACTTCATCGCAGTAAGCCTACACAAATGGGTTAAGAGAACAAACACATTTGGAGATCACCAAGCTGAACAGAGTGGAACCCAAGTACAAAGATCCAGAAAGACTTACTCCCCAATAGCTGCTGGAAGTTGAGAGAGATTATTGTGACTGACATTTAACACAACCAAACAGGCAAGATTCTTCAGATCTTCCCTTAAAACCTCAATGTCATTATGAGCCAAAATCAACTTCTGCAAATCAACAGCCTGCCAGATGGGGAAATTTATCCATTCAGGAAACTTGATGACAGAACAATGCATTAGAAAAGGATTGAAAAGATGGAAAAGTATGATCACCTCCCACCAGTTTTCACCTTCTCCGGTCGTTTCCAAACATTGATATACCTCAGTAGGTACATCCCTGAAAATTGAATCTCAAATCAATGAAAACAAAGACTTTGCAGCTCAATACAATGAGATCTCGTGACCAAGCAATATGATCAAAACTTGTAACATCGAAGATTCAATGATAATTTAACAAAGACGAAAACTTGACTGAGTCCCGATCAAAAGATGATAGATATTCACATTCTGACACAATTCGAAAAAACTAAAACATTTTGAAATTCTACAAAAATCTGAAATTCAATTCAATCCAAAGAAAGGGAAAAGGGTGACAAAATTTAAGAAGACTAAAAAATGGATCTTACTTGAGAGAACGATTGGACAGATTAAGCGAACCCGATGTTCGAGCGGCTTTCAGAATCCGATCCATTAAGACACACAAACTCTCTCTCTCTCTCTCTGGCGCTCGTCGCTCTTCTTCGACGTTATTACAGTACCACTCTCCTTTCGGAAAGTTTAATGCTTTACGACAAATTCACCTCTTTTGATTTCATATTAAATAAAATAAAAATTAACACTTTAAAATCTAAAAACTCGTATTTTCCATTGGAAGTACATCAGCTTAACTTGATTTGTGGACCGGTCTATTAAATCTCATTTGTCAGTCATACAGCCATGGAAATGCAATTACCAGCTGCCTAATTCTTCTTAATCAATCTTTGTCTCTGAGTACTTTTTTTACTTACTTATTCTTAAATAACTTTCCCTTATTTAACTTTTTACTTGGGCAAGAAAGTTGTCTTATTCAACTTTATGTGAAGCTTTTTACCAAACCAAAATAGATTTCATTACGAGTGAGATTTATTATTAGACTCGTGTTTCATTGACACTTGAAGCTTTAAACATGCATCTCCGGTGTAGTGGGAGCAAGAGCTTCCGTCATTGCTCCTTTGTCTGACATGTGCTTGTCTTCTCCTGATGTGAAAGGTGGACAATGTGGACATCTTGGTGGGATATAGTAGTGTGGTGGGTTCGGATTGCAGCCACCTGTTTGGCAGCCAGAACCGTAGCCAGGAACTGTGATACCTGGAATCGTAAAACCGGGAATCTGTGCGCCTGGAACTACTATGGGAGGGATTGTTGCGCCTGGGACAACTACACCGGGTCCACCACTAGAGCCCTGTCCTATTCCGATACCAATCCCTTCGCCTGGAGCTCCCGAGACAGGACCGCAATTGGGTTGGGCAGACCCGGATCCTATTCCTTCTCCAATGCCAATACCTGTACCACCACCAGACCCAATTCCTTCACCAAAGCCGCTGCCTCCACTAGACCCAATTCCTTCTCCAAAGCCACTGCCTCCACTAGAGCCAATACCTTCTCCAAAGCCAATGCCTCCACTAGAACCAATTCCTTCCCCAAAGCCACTGCCTCCACTAGAGCCAATTCCAACGCCATAGCCAACACCAGACCCACCACTTCCGTAGCCCCTACCTACACCATATCCCATAGGCTTAGTTGTGTGGTCAGGATCTTCCTCTTCCAGTTCACTCGCCATGGTCTGCATTATCTGATCAGGCTTGACTTTGTGCGCAGGATGTTTTGATTCACCAGACATGGACTGCAGTTTATGGTCAGGCTTGACCTTGTGCTCAGGATGTTCTGATTCACCCAACAAAGACTGGAGTTTATGGTCAGGCTTGACCTTGTGCTCAGGATGTTCTGATACACCCGACATGGACTGGAGTTTATGGTCAGGCTTTTCCTTGTGCTCAGGATGTTCTCCCAACATGGACTGGAGTTTATGGTCAGGCTTGACCTTGTGCTCAGGATGTTCTGATTCACCCAACATAGACTGGAGTTTATGGTTAGGCTTGACCGTGTGCTCAGGATGTTCTAATGCACCTAACACGGACTGGAGTTTATGATCAGGCTTTTCCTTGTGCTCGGGATGTTCTGATGCACCCAACATGGACTGCAGTTTATGGTCAGGCTTGACCATGTGCTCAGGATGTACCTCATGATCTGGGTGTAGCACAACCATCCCAGGCATCATTTCATGGTCAAGATCTAGCTTACTTGGCTCCATCATAGGGAGATCCTTCAGAATCCTGCGTGCGAAAGTTGAACTGAAGAAGCATAGTAAGAGGACGAACACAAAGCATATGCCTTGGTGTCCCTGTGCCATTATTTTCTATGTAATAAGTTGATCCTGCTGTACATTTCGGATAAATGATCCCTCATGCTTTTATAGGAAGGAAGACTTTTACTTAATAGAATAACACATCCCGTAAACGCAAGACGCCTTGCTGAAAATACGCATTAAAAATCGATTCACAAACATAGCATGACAGGCTTAAGAAATAACTTTTTTTCGATAACACAAATCGTATGTTCAGCAACTTCAACTCTCCAAGTTTCAAAACCTTATTACGATTATTAGCAAACAATAAACTACATCAACACAAACTTAGGAAGAAGAAGTCATTATAACAAAAACAAACACAAAAGAAAACTCAACTGAGATCTTCTTCTGAGCACTACTTGGTAGATATAGATTTAGACACTATCACCATCACCTTGTGACTCAGCAGCTCTCAAACCCTCAGCCATAGCACGAGCCCTGTTCTGAGTTTGTCTTTCTACAGCAACCATGTATAAACCTAAACAATTATAGGTTTAAGAAAGTGTCTCAGAGAAACAAAAAGCTCATAAATTTGAGTAACAAAAACCCAAAATCTCTAAGATCAAAATGTGGGAAAAGATGGATCGATCATACCAATTGCACTTCCGATAGCACAACCCCAAAGAATCCTCATTGACCACTTATCGTTGATAATTCCTCTCGATCCCATACTTTTCTCTGCAATAACTCTTTCAAAGCTAGTTTTAAACCAATAAAAACGCAAACTTTATGATTCCAAAACAGCAAATCACTCTCAATCCTAACGAACTCTGCTAATTATCGAAGATTTAAGAGATAAACCTTATTCTATAAGAGGAGAAACAAAATTCGTGGGGTTTCTCGTAGCGTAAATTAAGGCACTGTGGATGAGCATAAGGAATGCGAGCTTACCAGAATTAGTCGGTGACCGGAAGAGTGAGAATCGAGAAAATGACGAGGAGAGGAAGAAGAAGGAACGAGGAAGGAATTAAAAAAGGAGCTAATTTGTAAATTTAAAACTATGAGTGCTATTTGGTAAGATATAACTTATAAAGGGTTAGTCAACAATAAATGAAACTTTAAGTTTTAAAAGGTCACACTTTTTTTTTTTCTTTCTCGACATGTAAAATTTTTTAACTAATAAAAATTTCTGAATAACATTCGCACATGTAATGTTGAATCTCTTATCGACTCAAAAATGTTAAATTTATTTTGCAATTTGGCTCTTGGATTTTCAAACTTATTTTTAAAAAATAACAAAAATTTGTCAGTGTCGTATAAGCGAGTTTGGAGGAAGCAAAGGCGCTGGCTTTTCGCAGCAAGACTAAAGAAGCTTCACTTCTCCTCTCATGCACCGAATGTATTTCCCTACTTAACTATTCTTTTTTGCCAAATTCTCAATTTGGTCCTCTTCTTCTTCTTCTCCGTTTCGATTTTACAAGATTCCATCTTTCGAAAGCAAATACCTAATTCCGATTCTCGATTCTCTCTGTACGGCTCCGGCGTCTTTTGCTCCGATTTCGGTAAGCGAACTCTTACACTCTCTGTCTCTACTCTTTTGCGTCTCGCATTGCTGATTGTTGGAACTTGATTCTTTGCGGTGTAATGCGGTTTCGAGTTGGCTCTTTTTGAAAGATTTTTTCTTTCTTTCTTCTTTAGTCTGATTCTCAAGGTTACACATTCTTCGCTTTGATTATGCGTTTCCCTAATTGCGTTGTGATTATCGACACCGAGTAAGAATCTTGTTTTGGGACTTGCCACTATGCCATTGATTTGCTTCACTTGTATTACTTTAAAACTCTCAGAAACGATCATTGATTGGCTTGTCTAGAGGTAATTGAACAGTTCCATGTATCTACTTAGGTCGGAGATATAATGCCTGCCAGGTGTTTGTTCGATGCAATTTTGTGTAGCACATTGAAATTTTGACCGAAGCTATCAAAAAATACAAACCATGTTTAGGTTCCTAGTCAGTGGTGGTTTTTAGGAAGATGATTGAAACTAGCATTTTGGTTGTAATGTAGGGAACATTTTTCATTCAGCATTCTACATTTTTGCATAGCTACTGTTGTTAACCAAGCCATTTGTTTTGCACTGTGAATTAGTGGGAGGAATGTCTATGATTGCAAGCTCTTCGAATAGTGATCCTGATTCAAGAAGCTTACAAGTGCTTCTCGATGCTTTTGGTTCTCGTTTTTCTCTTGATGACATTGCTGCTGCTTATTGCCAAGCAAGTCAGAATGTCGATGTAGCTGGTGAGATTCTCTTTGCAATGACTGAAAAGACACCTCAATGTGACCAAGTCGAAATGAAGAAAGAAACCTCAAAACCAAGTCAGGTCTATGTTCCCAAGGAAGTTCGACGACAAGAGGATAGCAAAGCCAAAGTATGGAGGCCGAAGAGAAATTCTATATCAGTTGGTACTGTTTCAAGCGTTATCGGTAAGGACTATGCTAGAACCAGGCCTATATCAAATGCTCCCAGAGAAGCAACTAAGCCAATGAAGATAGACTCAAGGGATATTCCAGAAACTGAGATATGGAGTGAAGAAATGCCAAAGAGTAACGAGGCAAAGATAAGCAGGGCTCCAACTGATGTGGAGGAATTTATCGTTAAGATGCTTGGAGAAGGCTTTCAAGCTAGCCAAGATGTCATTCACCAGGTTCTTGGTAAGCATTCTCTAGCTTTCCTTGATTCTGCTTTACATATTTTTCTTCTTTAATGGTGGTATTGGTTACCTTAGCTGCTAAACTTAATCTGCTTTTCTACCAAACTATCAGGCGTATGCGGATATGATGTGAAGAAGGTAAGCCGTAAGCTGATGCCTTTATCTCTGAAAAATAATGTATTTTGTTTCTTTTCAGCGTTTTGCTTTCCCAGATGCCTTCATTATCTTACTTTTTCTAAAATATTTTTGTTTTAGCTTTTCTTATATTATATATTCCCATACCTTGAAGCTCATCAAGATGACCACCAGCTTAATTATGACCTGTGACCTTTATAGTTGCATCACTCTTTATTTGAGCTACTTTAACAATTTAATTACAATTATAGCCTTGAGCCACTTTGACAATCCTTTTCTCTGTCTTGGTACTACTGCTGACTAAAGCTTGAGATAAAGTTGACTTTTCATACCCACTGTCGCCTCTAATTTTGATCACTTGATTGTTAGTGGTATCTCTATAACTCTTGGCATTTGGCTCTTGTGAGTATTTCATTTGATCCTGCTTTGGTTACAACTTCTTCTTTTGGCATCCACACTATCTTCTTCATTATATTGCAGAGTACGGAGAAACTGCTTGACTTGTCTGATACCAAGAAATATGCTGATGTTGGAATTTCCAATGAAGTTGTGAGCTTTTGTTATGACTTTAAGTTTGGTCTTTGTTATAGAATAGCGTCTTCTTCTAAATCTGACTCTGTTGCTTTGTTTCCCTTTTTATATAGATGTCAAAAGTTGATCCTCAAAGACAGGGATCTACATCCTGCAACCAAGTGGAACTGCAAGAATTTTCTCAGAGGCACGTTTTTCCTAATCAATCTTTGTACCGAACCCTTCCCTTGGCAATCCTTTTGATTTTTTTTCCTCTTCGAATTGCTTTCTGTGATGATGCAGTGATGGAGCAAGAACCTTTACAGGTTCAGAGGAAAGGCGTATTGTTAAGAATGGTCTTGAAAAGGAAGTTTTAGAAGCTTTGTTCTCAGGTGCGGAAAGATATGTGGAAGAACCAAAAGTAACTCGACATTTTGGAGAAAGGAGACCAAGAGTTGCTGGTCGTCCTGTTTTTAAACCTCTGGAAGACCCTTTTCAAGAGAGAGTAGTTGCTGTGAAACAATCGTCCAATACATCTAAAGAAGGTAACCATCCCATAGTCTTACATACACGTTTATTTGAGTTTATTCTCTTGTTCCTCAAGCGTTACCTCAACTATCTATTTTTCTCCTTTGATAGATGAAGACGAAAATGAATTTAAGGCACATCGTAAAGCAGTACGCGAGCATTTGAATCAGATGAAAGAATATTATGGAGCTGTAAGTCTTTGAGATGATAAGGATTCATTACCGTTATATGTTTGTAATGGCTATATGATTGCCATGATGTGATGGTTGCATAACTAAAACCTCTTCCTTTTGACAGGCTGCAGAAGCATTCTCCAAAGGAGAAACCGAGCGAGCACACAGACTCGTGGAGAAGGTACAATTTGGAAAGAAATTTTTGGTTGAAAGTAACCAATGTCTTTCTTGTCTTCTATAGAACAACTATATGATATCTTCCACAATATATAGGGACACTTTTTTGGACAAAGAGCTCGAGAAGCGGATGACAAATCTTTAGCAAAGATTATTGATGTCAAGTCAGTTAATTTCTCAATATCCATTTATTATCAGTCCTCTATTGTCATTTTCTTCTGTATACTCCATTGGCAGGAAAAGTTGATAAAATTTAAAACCATGCTTATAGGAAAGACGATGATTCGACTTACGAGGAGGACGAGGTAGTGACAGTGAATGTGAATGAACACGAAACAAAGGAAGCTCTTCGTCTTCTCAAGCGCCAACTAAATTACTTCTCTGGCATTTCAAGTAAGGTTTTAAATCCCTCTCTTTAAACCTTTTTTGTTCTATCAGAAACAAATCTAGTCTGTTTGATGAGTTTGTATTCTATTTCTGATTTAGCTTTCAAGTACCTCAGAGTCGCATTGGGTGACAAAAAGGAAGATTTCAAGAGCAAACGAAAGGTGCTATCTTTACTCCTCTGTTTTCATCTCTTAAAAGAACGTGAAGTCTTCATCTCTGAAAATAACTTGAAATTGCTTCTATTTATGTTGTTTTCTTAGCATATCGTAAAGCTGCTGGAGGGAGAATCCATTGCTTGGACTGAAGAAGATAGCGGCCTCGTGATGATGATTCGTGTTGATAAGATTGACCCCAAGAAATTGAGTTTTGCCAAGAAATAAGAACAACATTGGTTAATTCTTTTGCTTCATTCTATTAGAAATTGACTGAACCGTTTGAAGCATTATGATTTGTAATGTAACCAAACAAAGATGGATTTTGCGGAAATATGATTTTTTGGTTTCAGAATCGAAGAATGGTCAAGCCTTGTTACAAACAGGTAATAGAATAGAAATAAGGGTCTCAATGAAAATTAGGATTTGGGATTAGACGCAGCCAAATCAGAGCAGAGCTTTTCCTGCTGCTGGAAGTGTTGCTCATACTGAGCGATTAACTGCAAACACAAGATGGAATCACGAAGATGAAATCACGAAGATGAAACAATAGCAAATGGTCAAAGTAATCATTCAAGTGCTTCTCGATTTTGTTTTTACCTCTTGCTGCTTCTTTTCAAGTTCACTCTTAGATGTAAAATAACCAAATATAAGAGAACCTTGATTAAAAAAAAAAAAAAAAATCTCTCATTAATTTGACTCGTCGATGAAAAATTAAGGGAAAAAAATCTCTAAATTTCTCTGTCCATACCTAAGCCATATCCCGCAGCTAATCCTAGACCATGAGTTAATATCCACGGCCAAAGCCTCCTCGTTCCAGTGAATCTGTTCAGACCTACAATTACAAGTGACAAAATATAAAATAAAAAGATTTTTATCCGAATACATATACACGGACACCAACGGTCTGGAATCTGAAGTTATTGGTACCTGGATGATCTGGATGTGAACAGAAATTGCGGCGAGAACCCATCGATCTCGATTTTTGATGTACCTGACGTCAATACCCAATCGAAGAAGAAAGAGATTATAGAAATCGCGGCGAGATCCAAACGCATAAAGAAAGGGAGAGAAAAAAAAAAATGATGATTATAATCAGATCTTCGATGTACCTGCGCGATGACCGATCCTACATTCGGTGGCATGTCGGAAATTAGGGTTTGTCTACTGTTGGACCCAAGCCCTCCGAGCTTTTCGGCTTCCCGGTTTTGTCAAAATTGAACTGTTAAACTTGTGGAAAAAAAAAAATTGGTTAATTCTTTTGCTTCATTGTTGGAAATTGACTGCACCGTTTGAAGCATTATGATGTGTTATGTAACCAAACAAAGATGCATTTTGCGGAAATATGATTTTTGGTTTCAGAATCGAAGAATGATCAAGCCATCTCACATTACAATATGCTTAGAATGTTTTAGAGATAAAAGATTCTATTTTTAAAAACCATATAAACCGGCCAACCAAAGAAGAAACAAAACTTATACAGTATGGATCTATCAGTGGGTAAGTCTCTGAACCTCTTCCTCCTGATTGCTATCTAAAGTTTCAAGCAGAAGAGGTGGCGCGTGCTGAGCATTCCCTTGATTCTCCTCTGAGTCTTGACAGAAGGAGAGAATGATTGTGTCTATCGACATCTCAACCACCGCAAAGAAAAGTGTTGCCACAATATACCCCAATGCCCAACATGCCTGTGCATAGAGAGAGTCGCAAGCAAACCTATTTAAGCTCAAAAAAACATGTCTTTGTATTTACAATTGAAACTAGAGAGCAAGGAAAATGATTTTACCAAAACAGGTAATAGCGGGGATGAGACTTTGTTGTGAGAAGACCGATATCTGTGCGAATCCAACATCAAGAAGCCAAAGAGAGCACTGAAGAGACTCACACAAAGCTTTCCTAGAAACAGTATAACATCTCCTATCACATTAACTTTCCCTATCCTCAGAATGTTGCTCATGATCAGCTCTGTCGCGATTGCAGACGATTTGCAGAAGCTTTTCCCTGTTATAGCAATCTGAAAAGACACGAGAGACAGACAATCTATCAAGAAATGGTTCAAAGAAATGCGCTTTATTTTGCTAAAAGAAGGAGATTTTCTGTTACCATTATGTAGGCATTACGGTTAACCGATTTGATGGTCCACTCCACGCTTTTGAGACAACCACGTGAAGTGTAATGAGCCATTCTCCAAAACCAGTGATCAGGTGTGGTCCCGCTTACTTTTGTTCTACGACGAATTGCTTCGAGAATGAACCGAACAGACTCAACAAAAGAGACAATGAGTGAACCAAGAGCCACGGATCCTAGGTTGTAGCGTGCAAGCCGCTTCATTGAGGCAAAAACAGGAAGAAACGGTATCTCTGGCTACATTGTTCAACCATAAACCCCAAATCAATACATAATAATAATTGACAGTTTCATATACTTGCTCAGAATTGTTAGCTTACCGATGCTTCCCCTTGAGCCCAATAATAGGAGGCAACAGAGCCAGCAATCACTGTCGCGGAAGATGCAATGAAGAACTGTGTAGCCCAATAGCAACCAAACAGGTGGAAGAATATAGCAATGGTGATGTGAGGAGTGTAACGTATGCTGTAACCGCAACAACGGTCGCAATTCACTTTCTTTAACACGAGATCATATGCGCAGCAGTTAGTGTTGTTGCAGTTGTTCTGAACAACTTGACCAGAGCTGAATAAATGGAGAGCCGCTGATATCCAGAACATATAGAATATCGCAAGCATCGCGAATGGTATAGCCGGGAATATAATAAGCGCTTGAACTTCTCCAATTACTTTAGCAGCTACCTGGATTTCACGAGTATACAGCAAAATGACCTTTCTAGCACAAACAAAACTGATAACCAAATTACTAAGAAAGTAATACTCGCCTTGAGGACTGATGTTGCCATGAGAATTCGGCGGATAATGGCGATTGAAGTGAGAATAGCAACAACTGAGATAAAAGTCATCAGAATGGCGACTCCACGAATATGAGTCAGCTCCTGAGAAGAAGCAAATGCAAATAAGCTTGGAAGAAATTGGGACTAATGGTCTCATAATTAAGTAAACGTGAAAGCAGGGTAACGCAGAAAATGTAAACTTACTCGACCATACACATGAAAGTATGGGTCATGCTCACCAATAATAGGTGTTACAGCATCATTCCCAATCCATCCAGCTACAAAAGATATAAAAGTGGAATAAGTGTATTGATTCCATATGACTTGAAACATAGAGACATACAATAGAAATTTGATTTCCTAACCAACCTTTTAAGTAATAGAACATTGTCACTGATATTAAGAGCATGTTGAAAAGGACAACAGTTATCCAGGGCATGGCGGCAACAAAATGTCGAATAAGAAGGAGCCAAATAATGGATAGAAACAGTGGGACGAGGCCTCCACAAACGATCAATACTGGCCATGACTTCCCAATATCAGCCACATAACGCTGCGATTGACAACCAAAAGAAGCTTAGAGCATTCTTCAAAATCATCATTTTACAAGGAAATGTTTACATGTCAACAGAGAAGAGGATCATTCTAACCTTTAGAACTGAGGCACGAGAATTCATTGACCTTCTAATCGATTTGTCTATGATCATGTCCTCTTGAATAGTCACACCACCCATCTGCTGCCAGTGGCGCAAGGATGAATTCGAAGCACGAGCAATATATTGGCAGCTCCAATAAACTAAAGAATTAAAAGAACAAACCTTGTTACAAACAGGTAATAGAATAGAAATAAGACTAAGCTTTGTGCATATATAATACACTCACCATTCACACTAGGGAATATTACAGGGTAACAAGGACCCTGAAGCTGAAGAGAAGAATTCCGCATTTCTGGAGTAAGAAACTCAAAGTAATCGTAATTCCTATCAATCCAATCATTCATCTTGAGACGAATCTCGCCATCAGGATAGTCACAGACCCAGTTGAGAGCATCATCAGTTGGTGCAGGGCAATCCAAGAGACAAATAGTTCTAGCATTAGCCAATTTGAGTTCCCCATCTTTCAAACCACTTTCATAAACTTGGTTAGGGTTTAACCAATATCTAATCTCAAGTTGAGTAAGGTCACGGTGACGATGCTTGCTACCACACACATTCCCTTCATAGTCCAATCCATAAGTGAGTCTGCAACAACAGTTCATATAAGACATCACCACTCAAAAAAGACTTTTGATTAACAGAACAAAACAAAAACACAGAACAATATTAGCACAACTATGTTCTTTAAACTGTGTTCACAACAAATCTCTTTCCTAAAGAACACTAAGAAGAAGAAAAATAGGTACTTTACCCTACAGATAGAACTATAAAGGTACAAACTTTGGTATCATAAAAGGTAGAATCAGCCAAGATTAGCAAAACATGGAAGAAGAATTGAAAACCCCATTTGAGAGGTTAGTCCAAAGAGATTTGGAGCAAAATCCATCGAATCTTTACCTTAAGGGGTTGCCTTGGTTGAAACCAAAGCTGGAATTGACAATCATTGAAACCCAAAAGGCAATGAAGATGACAAGAAACGTAATATCTCTGCACTTTCTATTGTGCTTGATGATCCCATCATTTGGAGCACTCCCATCACTTGAAGTATATCTTCCAATCACAGCTCCCAAAGGTCCTCTCATCTTTGCCACAGCTATGTCTCTTCACAGTCTGAAAAACCCTCGAGGTCAAAAATAGGAATATCGGAGAGAACAACACAGAGAAGAACTTTTTACTTAGAGTGTCTTCTCTTTCTCTCTCTGTGTTCATTGTTCAAGAAGAGTGTGAAAACAATGGGAGGGTATTTATGTCTTTGTGTGTTTAAAAGTGTATTTTTATTTCTTTTTGGTAAAAGATAAAATTAAATGGTTTCTGTTCAATCTTATATCATCATCCGTGGAACATGAAAAGAATCCATGTCTGGTTTTGATGGGCTTTGAGATTTTTTTGACCATTTTTAAATGGTTCCTTAATCCTTATTATTAAACCGATTTTTAAATCTTTGTTCTTCTTTTTTGTATAGATTTTAAAATCAAACTTTTTTTGTTCTTATTCTCACTGTGAGATCTGCAAGACTGCAACTGTAACGCCATCCACTTCATTAAAAATGCAATGATTCCACTTTTTCTTTCTTATATTATTAAACATGAATAAATAGGACCAGAGTTATGTGTACAAATTGATGACAAAAAGAAAACAGCTTTTTATTCATGTTTTATTAAAAGTTTACACCAATCTGGTGATAAAGAACTGAATGTGGTGTCTGAAACCTTCATAGTTGTGAGGAAATTTTGTTGTATATTTTGTTAATCTCTCACAAAAATTCTTGCAAAGTGGGAGGGAAAATTTTAATAACCTTCCCAAAAGTAGGTTTTAGTGATATTTAATTAACTTTCTTAGTTTTTTCTATTTTGTGTTTGAAAAATCAACTCTTCGAGAATTGAGGAAAGGCAGCAGAAAAAGCATGGGCCAGCACCTTGTTTTTTTCAATTTTTTATAAAAATATTTATTGCTCTTTTTTCGTTATAATTTTTTTATATTTATTTTATCTTTATGTAGGAAAGAATTTCATCTTTCTGTATGAAAGAATTATTTCATTGACGAAAAAAAGGTAAGAATTATCTCAATTTACGTGTAGATAGACTGACAAATTATGTGGTTCTTTTTCAACCAAAGCTAGCATATACATTACATTTATATACTAATCTGTGTTTTGTGAAGCTTTGATCTGATAATTTTATTGACAAATGAACTTGTGAAAATGTTATTTCCATTAATATAGATTCTGCAAAACTCTTTAACTTGTCGAGTAATGCTTCATACATAAATGAGGAACCAGTCGTTAAATAAAATTAAGCAAGAAATTATTTAGCAATAAAAGAAAAACGAAGGAACATTGCCCAATTAAAACAAGGGCAAGTTGATAAACAAGCAAAATAATTGAAATCAGCTCCATTCGTAAAAAAACGAAACGTTGCGTTTTGACCAGAGCACGACTTAGTTTTGTAGTTAAACGAACTGGCGTCCTCGAGAAGAGAAGGTTTGGCCAAACCACCAAGAAGAAGGAACAACGTTCAAAAACGTTTGCGTTTTGCGGTCAGTCAGAGTAACTTTGAAGGAGAGTCTCTGTCCCCGGAGATCGCCGGAGCTCTGCCAGTTGGCACCCCAATTACGGGTCATCTGAAGCCAAGTCTTTCCCTTTGAGCCTCTTACCGCTACCGCTCTCACCGAGCCGCCACCGCCAACGTTTGAGATCATTACCATATTGAAGTTACCTTGCCCTCTCATCGTGAACCTCACGCCTCCTCTTCTTTTGCATCCCACCCTATATATATATATATACATTACAAAATTGTTAGATAAATATCTCCATATATTACATGATGCTATATTTTTATGTGACTAAAGTCGATTTAAACCCTTTTTATTTCCAGATTCGTTTGAAGGATTGGTTGATTTTGTTTTTTCTGTTTGGGGTCGTATATATACATATTATAATGTAATGTTGATATATTGTAAACTGCAATGCTAAACTTCATCCATTTTTTGCTTATGAACTTTGCTATAATGATCTAGCTAGCTAGTGATCATTTTGATTCAACCAGTATCCAAAATTTTAACAAGCAAATTCAAGTTTAAACCTCTTACCATGGATTGTAGACAACAATAATTTTAATAACTTAAAATAATGATGCGGTTCTATAATGTTCACTACCTTACATTTAAAAAAGAAAAATCTCCAAAATAACTAATATATAATTTCAGTTTAACTTATCAAAAAGGAGGAAAACTATATGCATTAAATAGCAATTGACTCTTATAGCATTGGATACGTTACCGGCGGTAGAAGACAGGGACGATGCCTTCATTGCCGCGACGGGCGATGCGGAAGAAAGCGGGGGAGGACATATCAAAGTGATGGCGAGGGAGATTGCACCAACCATTATTGTTGTTCGACGGACAAAAGTTTGTAGCCGTCACCGTCACGGCGGCTCCTCGGAGACACCACTTAGGATCCGCCGGAAAGTCGCACCTCACCTGGTAGCACCCACCGCATGACTCACCGCTTCTAAATAACGCACCGCTTAGCGCCGCCGTGTGGGCTCCGAAACCGGCGTGGTACGGATTGTCATACCCACAAGCTCCTCCTGTAAAATTGTATTTAAAATTTATATTTTACTATACAAAAACTAATGTAACAAACAAAAAAACGTATATTAAACTAAAGTTTAATGGACTATATATTTACCAAGTGAAGCAGGGCTATCATTAACACCATAATACGTTGCATGAGCTCTTATCCAACCGTTAGAACACATCCCCACACTTAACGTACCAACCAAGAGAATAACCGTTACCAAATATTTTCCTTTCATATCCATAGATAATTTTATTTTAGATAAGTATATATTTCTCGTGATGAAACAAAGAGAGATCGAAAAAAAGAAAGCTTTGAGTTCACAAGCGATTGCTTGAAGAAGAAGGAAGACATTTGGACTCGTTTTATAAGGATCTAATAAGTATTAACGCGTTTTGTCGGTGATTATTACGACTTATTTCACTTACATGCACCACAATCTCATGCATGTGTTCGTTATCTTTCTTAGTTGGATCTTTCTTTTTTATTGCTCTTGAAAATTCTCTAATAATTGAATATAGCTCTAAACATAGGGGAACATAATTTCCTAGTTGATATATTAAAACACTTTAATGTCATATGTAGTTGTTTTTGGTGAAGTAGTTTGAAAAATATTTTTTGATATGTCCATATATAGAAGAACCATATTAAGTAACAACATTTTAGTTTTTGAGGAAAATTACCCATAACAAAATACTAATATTTGAAATACTACAACATAATGATATTTTTAGCTCTATATTTGGTTAGTAATTGAAGTGCCTTGTAATGTGACTGTAACTAACATTTGGTTCAGATCTTTCAAGTAAGAGGAGAAAAAATGTGTTAATTAAAGAGAAGAGATTGGTATAGTTGACAAACGTTTTTGATATCTAGCTGTATATTTAGTTCAGGATTTCGTATCTTAATTATTCAGTGAGTGCGATCAAAATTGGAGATCTAACTGTATATTTCAAAATTTTAGTCTACTAAACTATTTAATGCGAATTCGCGAAAACTCATTATAGATGAAGATGACCTGTGTAATCTGAGATTAAACATGGGAATCCAATTAAAATGATTTAGAAAGGAAACGCGTTTTCTCATGATCGTTTAGTATAATAGATATGGCTTGGACATGGCACATATAGTATACACACTTACATAATTGGATTAGAAATTGAAAACACATATGATATAACAATAGATATATAGACCCGCGTGGTATTAATATATGTCCTATGCAGTACACAGAATGAAATAGTACGGAATCCTACATTACTCAAATCTTATGTATATTGTTGTACGGTGAATTAAAGCTTAGGAAGAAGAACATGACATGTGGTTCAACGTGGAGTTATGCTTCTCATGGCGTCGGTGGATTATTTTTTTTTGATTGAACCAGACAAAGAGGACCCACGATAACATTATAGTCAAAAACTCAAAAGACTTTACACAGATTACAACAGAGAAGATAAGGTAAAATGGTTCTGAGAGACAAAAGAGTCAAATTTTGTTTACTCGACCAAGAATCTTTCTATAGTTTTCTCCAATGTCCCTCTAGGGACAGCTCCAATGATACTATCTTTCTTCTCACCATCTTTGAAGATCATTACTGTAGGAACGCTGCGTATCCCGTAACGGTTTGCTGTGTTTGGGCTCTCGTCGGTGTTGATTTTGTAGAATTTGAACTTCCCTGCGAAATCCTTGGCCAGTTGGTCAACTATGGGGTGAATCATACGGCACGGTCCACACCATGGTGCCCAGAACTCGACCAATACTGGGACATCTGATTCCAGAACCTGTGTTTGCCATTCTGAATCAGACAGGTTTGGTACTGCAACATTAAACAAACTAGTTAGATTTCTCAATGGTGATTGAAATTATGCAAATCAGAGTATCAGAGAGAACTGTTCTGTGATATACAGAGCACATCAATGCTCAATGCCAAGACTCTGGTTCTTTCTTGAGTTATATTAAACCATATGCTAAAAGGAAGCAATCAAGATTCTTATCACATAGTATCTTCAGGAACTTTGCTTTCGATTTGTATAATCTTTGTTTGATCACGAAAGTGTTACGGAAAAACGAGTTCGTGTTGATGGGGATACATAGAACAGACTAAAATCCAAGCAGCTTGATAGATGAAGAAGTTGAGTCCTCAAACAACGTTGACCACAATATGTTTTAAGGTTCATATCTCCGAGTTCTAGTATCAGAATCCACTCCCTATGAATCCTAGTTTCAGAGAACTAAATAGGTGAATACAAAAGACTAAAAATCCAAGTAATTCTACGTTTAAGGTTCAGATCTACGAGTTCTACGATCAGAATCCAAACCCTATGAATCCTACTTTTAGAGAATGTAACAGTAACAGAGCAGAATCAAACAGTAGAAAAACTATTCTCAAATGAGATTTTACCAAAATACTACGAGTTCTAATCCCAAAGAATCCAATGATATAGCTTATTAACGTCAGTCACAGATAATCATTCCACATAATTAGCAATCACAAAAAAGCTTAATTTTACACAGAAATTGGTTAAGACTACACTTCCACACAATCAGGAATTCACCAATCCATGAGAGAACAAAACGAGAAGAAGAATGAAATTAAGTTGTATACCTTCGACGGCAGCAGTGGTGTCCTGAGCCTCACATGCGATTCTTCCACCGCGAGCACCTCTGGGTCTACGATTCGCACCAAGACTCGCTGACTGAGCCACCAAACTCCGCGAACATTTCAAACCTCTGAATTCCAGAAACCTGACTGGGGAAATCCGGCGTCCTGAAACCGACGGAGCAGCTGAAGTAGATGAAATCGAAGCCGCAATCGGGAGAGAAAACACGCGGGTCACGGTGACGGAATCGAGCAACGACGCCATTGAAGTAGCAGAGAAATTTTTTTAGTGGTTAGAGAGTTTTTGGCAGATACGGGTGATTGTTTGAATGACTTAAGAACACACAGAGGCAATGTTATCCTCGCCACGTCATTCTTCCTATATGATAACGACAGCGTTTAGAGGACTCCGAGTAAACCATCAATTTTTTAAAAGACTGTCTATCAAATCCGATTTCGGTTAAGCAGCACCATACCAATCCGGTTTAGCCCTTATAAAGTCGATTCTGTTTTCTGTAACACAGGCACATTTTCTTGCGCGTTTAGTTAAATTAAAGGGATAATATCGTATAAATTTAAAGGGATAATATCGTATAAAGTAAATATCTCGTTGATCTTTTTTATCATATAAATTAAAGGGATCATATATTTATCTTTTTTTTTGGATCTTGTATTAGTCCTAGCAGGAGTTTCGCAAGGTACAAGTAAAACCAATAGGGGTTGCAAAGGGTATCGCCAAGGATGAGTGCTCCATGTAAACATTGGCTCTGTGTCCGCGGGAAGTGCTGCAAATGCGGATTATACTTAAAGCGTGTAACAGTTCCTACAAGGGTAAGAGATACAAATTTCCCTGAATGCCGCCACTGGGTTGCTCAACGAGGATTCTGTTGCCGATGCGGTGAACAGGTGGAGGAAGAAGATGGGAAACCTTTCGAGTACATCTCCGAGAGTGCACAGCTGAGCCACAAATATGTAACAGCCATGAAGAAGCAAAAGTCTGGTATCGGGTTTGGGCAGAGGAAGCTTCACTTGGTTCTCGGTCTGCACCACACACTTTTGGATAGCTGTCACATCGCCCGGCTTGCAGACGGAGACAAGCATCTCGTTGAACAGGTTGGCGTAAGGGATGATCTGGGGCGTTTCATCAAGGGCTATGCGTGTAGTGACGTGTTGGTCAAGTTACGGCCTTTCGTTCACCAGTTCCTACGCGAGGCAGACGAGCTGTTTGTGATGCATGTGTACACAAACCTTAGCCGAAGCACTAGTCGCAGCCTCGTCAAGATGCTTGATCCGCTGCGTATATTCTTTGGGCACCGCGTCATCGTCGAGGAAGACACTCCAGATGACCACAAGACTCTTGGTCTTGTATTGGCTCAAGAACGTGGCGTGGTAATCGTCGATTGGGTAAGACCAGCGTGGGATCCCAAAGATAGAAGAAACTTGGTTCAGATCAAACCATACAGATATTTTAAACCCAACCCTCTTGGAACGCCCAAGATCCTTCTCAACTTGCTCAAGAACAAACTGTTCAAAGTTGAGTCAGATCCGGAGAAAAAGATGCCTGATGATCAAAGTGATCAAGACACAGCTTTGATGGATCTTCTCAAATCCCTCAAGGATCTTCACCGCAGATTCTTTAATGGCCCATCTTACGACGTCAGGATCTTGTTAAATCCCTGATTCTAGTTTACTTGTCTTTCTTTTTTCGGGTTTTTTTGAAGTATTCACTTTACAAATTAGTTTTCTTTAGTTAAGTTTACCTAGTCTGGTGCTTCGGCGAAGTTTCCATAGCACTATAGCAGAAGTTAATTTCTAATAGTTCCGAAGACTACCCGAAATTTTGGGTTTGTGATAGTTAGTTGTTGTCATCTCTTTTTCCTGATATAAGAACATTTTTTTTTTTTTTGACATCTTTTCCAAAATCATATTCTTGAATATAATAATGTTTAGTTTTCGTGGACATAAAAAAAGGGAGATTCATATAATTAATAATTTAAAATCAAAATATTTTTTTTTAGAGATATACAAATTGAAAAGAGATCATGATTATATGATTTTGTAATTTAGTAATATAAACTTTTAGTTGTAGTTTATTAATCAATCGATATTGCATACATTTTGAAACAATTTCTTTTGGTAAAAATAATAATTATATCAACTCTAAACGTAATGCTTTATCTTCTACTTATTACTAATGGATATCATATCACCTAAAATCACCTAAATTCCGATTAGGTGGTATAGGCACTAAGTGTTCTTTGGTCACCGTCCATTAACCACTTACCATTTTTTTGAACACTAACAAATACAATCCAATAAATAGATTTTGAATTTTATTGTTTTTCTAGTCAAAAATTCGTTGAGACTTGGGAGAGGTTGAGAAATAAATCTCAGGAAGATTTTCTTATAGATTTTATAAATATAAAGATAAAAGATAAAAGATTTTGTGATAGAAGGTAATAATCTAAGAAGAATATCCATTTAAAAAAAAAATCCATTGGGAAATTAAAGAAGTTACTTTTGTTGATATAAAAAGCTTACCCCAAAAGCATTAGAGAGAGAAAAAACCATAGACTGCAACTCTCAATCAAAATCGTCTACAGGTATTTTATTTGGCTATAGGTTTGCGTAAATTTGGAAAAGAAAACAAGGCGATTAATTCAATCTGTGCATATGTGAATTTTAATTTACAGAAAGAAAGGAAAAGGCAATAATGGTTTGTGGTCATAGTGTTGTTCTAGAAGGAATCTGTTGTCGATGCAGATCAGCTGTGGATGAAAGCAGTTACGTGGAGAATAATAATCTCATACCTTTCGATTTCCTATCCAAGGGCTTGAAATTGAGCCCTCAATACGTTGGTTTTATGAAGCGCCATGTCATGATAAAAACTTTACAAGAGAAGAAGAAGCTTCACTTGCTCCTTGGTCTACGAGGCACACTCTACGACTACAGTAGAATTTCTCAATTATCCGATAGCGAGAAGCATCTGATCGGACAAGTAGATTCAAGGGACGATCTTTGGCGGATCACCGCACAGTCCCATGAAGGGTTGATAAAATTGCGCCCTTTTGTAGCCGAATTCTTGCGTGAAGCAAACAAGTTGTTCACGCTACATGCTTACTCGCTTGCCCGGCCAGAACACTCCGATTATATGCTCAAGTTGCTTGATCCGGATCAAACCTACTTTGGCCGTCGCGTCATCTGCAGTAGAGACACTTGGATGAAAACACTTGACCTTGTCTTGGTCGACGAACGTGTCCTGGTTGTCATGGATGATCAATGTTCAACTTGGTGGACGGACCATACCAACCACTTGCTTCAGATCACGAGTTACCGTTATTTCCAAAGACCCACGACGACCCAACACAATGGATTGATTGCAAATCTTTTCAACTTCCTTAAGGCAAACTTGTTGGGATATCGTTGCCACCATTTGGCTCCAAAATCTTCATCGGAGGAGAATATAGATGAGACTGAAGAGGATGGAGGATTGGCCAATGCTCTCAAGTTCCTCAGGAATCTTCATCAACGATTCTTCGACGGAGAATATCAAGACGTGAGGATGTTGCTTCATACATAATCATTTCAACAATATGAAGCCCAAAGCTAGGCCCATATTTAGCCTAACAAAACTTGTTGAAATTTATTGCATACCATCATATTTAATTTATACTTTTTTTTGGCTATTATTGGTTCATAATTCTGGTAGCAAATGACGGAAAAAAAAATCTATAAGCAAATAATGCTTTTTCCATATTTGTGGAAAATTGATGAACAAGGAATAATAAATTTACCTAGCGTTTGAGTCTTTTTGTGTATAAGAAGAGACGTATGGAGAAAAGAGAGGCTAAAGAAACTGATAGCAAATATAGAGATATTGTCCTGTTAAAACAGAACTTAATTCAAAGAGTTTGTACTGAGATAAATAGTTGCAACATTTTTGTCCCTTGATTTTTTTCCTTATTCCCGAATCTCATATAACATTCATAACCAAAACCACTAATTTTATTATAAATTTGGAATGTGAAGGAAAATATAATGAGACAAACAAGAAGAAATCGTCATTTTAAAAATCATTTCATCAAGGAAAGTTTTATGTCGTCTAAGCCATTAATCTCAAGCAAAAACAGAAGCATTTTGTGAAGAATTAAAAGAGTTACTTCTTCTTCCTTGTGTACTTGTCATCCTCCTCTTCCTCATCATCGTCAATATCATCAAAATCTTCATCGTCGTCGATATCCACGTCATCAATCTCTTCCTCATCAAAATCTGTCTCCTCCTCTGAATCAGCGTCCTCGTTGTCCACCACTCGCTTTCCATGAGCCGCCTCCATTTTCCCTATCCTCTCCGAGACAGCCTCCTTCTGAACGAAGCCGACACGTAAACCGGATTGCATAACCGGAAAAGTTTCAGAGAAAACAGGGTATTGGCTAGCCGCCGGCGTCTGGTTAAACCAAAGCAGAGATCGAATGGCCGGTCTATTGTTCTGCACTGTCTCAGTAAGATTGGTCGTACGTCCACGGAGGAGTAGATTCGCCACTGATTTTCCGTCACGGATGAGTGATCTCGCCGCCGATGATGAAGCTGAAGCCATTTTTGATCGTGGAGTGTGTGACTGATAGTTTAGGACGGCTAATATACAGAGAGGAAAGGGTTTAGGGTTTTTAGTAGGAGAGGACACGTGGATGGCCACGTGTACATTTACGTATCTCCGGTTTTTTAGAACCTAGTTTAGATTTTCAGTTGAAGCAGAAGTACATTCACATCTTTTGTCTTGATATATGAATATAAAGCTTAAAAGTCAAAATCTAAACCTTGTATCGTTGACTTTTACTCGCTTCTCAGAAAATTGAGGCTATAATAATAAATCTGACTGGTAAAGGCACCTGTACAAATGAGAGTGACTTCTCAGTTCTCAATGGTCTTAAAGATTTATGTCATAGTTAAGAGAAAAAAGAGGATCCATGATTGTAAGAAAAGGAGAAACTAATTAAGTCACCGGTTGGTTTCTTCAGAAATTAAGAAAAATTAAGGGAAAAAAAAGGAGCCATGGAGATCAACTAGAAGAAAGTCTGTCTCTCTTGGCGCTTGATCTGGTATTGTGGCTACTCTCTGCAACGTTGTTAGTCTCAGGTGCTTTGTCTTCTCCTTCCGGTTCGAGACCAAGGACACCTAGAAGAATAAACTCTTTCAACAGCACTGTCTCCACAAAGGTAGCCACATCTGTCCTAAACTTCTTAGAGCTACTGTTCGGGCTATTCTCTTCCACATCTTGAGCCCCCTTCACCAGAAATCCCGGTATACCTCCGTTTCTATAGGCATTACACGCCTTCAACACGTCGTGAGCACAGCTGAAGAAATGTCCATACGCAAAGTCTTCAAAATACTGTAGCATTCAAAAAACCCCACCAGAAACAATCAATCTCAAGTTTCAGTCAACAGGTTTACGCTTTTTTATTAGTATAGAGAGACAAGTGTAATGGAATGAGGTTTTTGTTGTTACCTTGGGTGGTCTCCTCATGGTGTAAACCATAGTCTTTAAAGACAGTAGGAGTGTGTTTTCGCTGTAAGCCTTAGAGTTATTCTCACCATGTGCAGAACCCGCTGAACTCTCATAGCCAGGCTCGTTGAAGTAAGGTTTTTGATTTAAGATGAGACCTTGGATCGAGACAAGAACCTGTAACATTGTGGAAGTGTTGGGGATCCATTTCTCCCTCTGGCTACCACTCCAAGTGCCGAGAAGACTCAGACAGACTTTCCCACAATTGTACAGATTCGGGTTGATTCTCAGCCCACCAGAATGGTAATGAACAGTCTTGTAAAACCAAAAGGAATTTCACATATCAAAAGAGACAACCTTTAGGAAACAATAAAAAGAAACTCAATTTGACAAAGTTCAGTTGACTTACCGGTGGCACAGAAGGGTATGTATCCGGGAAGAAGATATCAAAAAAGAACAGACCATCATGGTATGGAGTTCCTTGCGCTCCGATAATTACAGCCCTTAAAAGATCCATCCTAGATTCATAAGCTCTGACAAATATCATATCTGTTCCAATAACAACAAAAGCAAAAAAAAAAGAATGTAAGAAAAGTTGCTAATAAAAGCCACAGAAATTGATGTATAAGACAGCGTGTATACCTGGTAAATCTTTCTCAAGAATTTTCCACTCGTCTTGAATCCTTTTCGCCCAATCCTTCGAATGCTGATAAGACAAAGAAATAGTTAAATCTTGAAAAACATAAGAAACATTCCATAACAAAAATTAACTTATGCTCATCTGGTCGCAACCTGCTTTGAAGAATTTCCCTTAGTAGCATAGTGGTGATCTGAAAAATCTTCGACGATGTCAAATCTTTTGAAAAACAAATAAAGCCCAAGAAAATCCTCCATATTTCTCTTAACTCTGGAAGCATCCGGAGGTAATATAGCCTCTTCCACTCTATACCGAGCACCATAACCTTTAAAACCAGGTGTGTTTGGTGGTACCGGAAGCAATAAACCAGAAGAACCTGCAGCAGGAGCTGGAGCCTCCCCCAATACGGTATCAGGAGTCTGAGGCTGAAAATGATTGGAAAAATACGTTTTGGAGGTTGAAGAACCGAGAGTAAAAGGTGGTTGAAAAGCTTTGCTGTTCTGTGGCAAGGCATAAGCAGAGTTTGGTATGACTCCTCCAGCTTTGTGCGGTAAAGCATTCCATGGTTGAGCAATAGGGGTTGCCATATCTGGGAAAGAAAACTGAGATTGGATTCCACTTCCTTTTGTTGCTTTCTTGGAACTGTTACCGGTAACATCTGACTTATTAGACGATTTGCTGCTTCCACTCGCTGATTCCTTGTCAGCTGAATTTGGAAACCAATCCATTGACACCTCCACACCAGTTGGGATATCCTTACCATCGAAAAGGTCTTGATACATGGAGTAATTATCAGTCTCCTCCTCCATTTCAAAGTCATATTGTTCGGAATAGTTTTCGTCGTCTTCATAGATCAAAGTATCTGGGTCTAACAAACTATTTGATATTGGAGATGATTCAGGGTAATCATAATCATCACCCTACAATAGTTTTTAAAAGTGACCTTTTAGTTGTGATAGCATAAGTAGACTCATTAAAAGAAAAGGAAAATTCAAACACCTACCGAAACATACTCATCATCTTGCTCATCGTAAGAAACGGAATCAAAATCAATAGCCTTCCCTTTATTCTTGTTATCAACATTGTTGCCATTAAGAACACCACCGTTTTGCAAATCATATTCCTCCACATCAATCACTTCTGGAGTTTCAGTCTACAAGATCATGAATGATAATACGCAAAAGGAAAAATCAGTTCCATTCTATAAGATTTTCACAACAGAAGAAGCACAACAAAACATAGCAAAAGAGGAGTACAAGAAACGAGCAGTGACACTAACTATGCATAAAATTACACACAATTGAAAACGCCAACAGAGAAGAAGAAGAAGAAGAAGAAGAAGAAGAAAAAAGCCAATTGTTATCACAAAGAACCAAAAGACAAAACATTCTTAGACTTGATATCACATTACATAACAAAAACAAGTCTATAACAACTTAAACAGATACAGAACACGAACAGTCAATTACAGTTTCAAGTGATCAGCAACATGAAACGTCAGAACAGTCTCCTTCATAACCAATCCAACAACAAAGAGAAACCCACAAATAAAAAACAAACATAATGCACGTGAGAACCCTAATAATCAATCACACATAAGCAAAATCAACGAAGACTCACTAAAACCCTTAAATCAACAAAGCCCTCAAACCCGGATTGATGATCGCACAATCCCCCAAATCAATTAGGTAAATCAGTGAATTTTGGGATACAGTTAAACAGAATTACCCTCTAGAGATAAAAATCCGATCAAATTCAATTCAATTCGGTAAAAGTATTAACCTTTGCTCTCGAGCAAGAAGCGACCGGAGGAGCGATCTCCACTACGTTCGACTCCATTGAACGATCCCAAACACAAAGAACTGAAAACGGAAACGAGAGAATTTTCCTCAAAACTTAAGAAGAAGAAGACGAAGAAGACGAAGAAGACGAAGAAGAAGAAGAAATCGATCAAAGAAAAAGTTTTGGGTGTATAACCTTGGCGCCGTATTAATATACCAACACAACACAAGAGTGAGATTGCGCAAAGAGCCTCTCTCTCTCTCTTTCTCTCTATTTAATCCTAATCTTAAATTAAAGACCTAAATTAAAAACCTTTTTAAAGTGATGATTAATGAAATTTTCCAATTTATGCGTTTTATTCAACAAGTCAATACGGAAAGTCTACTCAGATGGGGCCCAGTTTTATATTGACGGTTCAGATCGTTTTTTATATTGGAAATTAATATCAACGGTGTTGATGAAGGTACTAGCGTAGTCTGCTGCTGTAGAGGAACTAAAACCGAGCTTAAGCAACACGGTTAGGTGACTTCGACCAAGGCTATGATTTTAGATCCGTAAGATTTGAGAAAAACAAGTTTTCGGGTTAATCCAACGGTTGGGAACTCTTTTATGGATTTCCGTTTTTTTTTCTTCTAGTAACAGAACAATCATAGCAAATCTAATGAGAAGATATAATTGAGTTAATTTTTTTAAAAAAGTTATAAAGTATACAATGATTTTGATTTTTTCTTTAAAATAAGTACGATGAATCTGACTAGTATTATTAATTAATTATTTTATTTAAAATAAAATGATCACTAAATGATCATTAATTTATAGATGTTTGATGTCAAAAAAAAGATAAAGTTTAATACTACTACATTAAGTAATCAAAATGTATTAATTTAATTTAGAATAGTTATATTAGTGTGACATATGTCGTTTATTAATTTTTTTTACAATTTTTTTTTTTGTATTAGATCCTAACATCCAGATTTTATATTTTTTGTTTCAAAATATATTTTTAAAAAGAAAAAAAGAGAGATATCCATGCTGGTCTTATTTTGGGCCTATATACATTATTTTTACTATTGAAAAAACTAGTAAGGAACAACAGCTACTGATGATGCCCATTTCTGAAAGCCCATAACATAAGAAATCAAATAATGGAAGATGAAGTCAAAAGAAGAAAACAAACAAAGAAACAGTGAAACTTTTTAATCGAAAAATAAACATGAGATAGTCATCAGTCATCACAGGCTTTGTAATCTACTGTAGTTGAGAATAATGAAGTTGTTTGTTTAATTAAGGCACTAATTTCTGAAACACATGCTCTACTAATTTTCAAACCAGAGAGCCAAATTAATAAAAGTTGAAAGAGACAGAAAGCCATCTTTTTGGTCTTTGCAAGTTAGTGGACAGGTTTTTATTCACATAACGACAAGCATTTCTTTGCTCATTCTTTCGTGAATGGAAAAATGATGTTTATGAAAGAAATGTTCAAGGAAATTGATATTCAGAATTCAGACAATGTACACAAAGTACAGTGCGCAATTGAGTTACTTTTGTACTTTTCTTACTTTCACACTCTATATGTTTATGTTTTCTTTACACCATTACTTATATTCTTCTAATGATTGTATTTGAATTTGATACTATTGGGAAAAAAGATATAGAGCACTACATTCAAATCATATCCTTTTGGAATCTTTGGTAATCATGAGTTTTGCAAAGTTAAAATTACGCCGAATATCCAAAACTCCTAACTCCTAAGTAAGGAGTATATATTTAAAATTAATCTATTATAAAAAAAAAAAAACAAAGATCTTGTTCAAAACTTTAAATCTTCACCCACCCTAAGTTCACGAATACGTCACAATTTTGTGTTTGAGAAAACGACTTTAAATTGTCACCTATGATTTGAGAGCACGCCTCTATTTAAATATTTCAACTAGATCATTTTTACTAATTTCACCTTCCACTACATATGCTAAATTCATATATGTTGATTCCATATGAATAATTGTATACCGTATATAATAGCAAAAATTCTACAACATCTTTTTTTTTAATGAATGATTATGTAACAAATCCAAGATCTTAATTTATGTAACAATACAGGCACATAAGTTGAAAAGAAAAAAACTGATCTCAGTTAGTTAGTAATCTTAATTCCAATTCTCCAAATCTGTTAAACAAAAACAACAAGTTGTAATGGATTACTAAAAATAAAGGGAGGAATAACGAATATAATGGGAAAAAAAGAGTGAAATGGACACGAGAGGTTGGCAACGAAAGGCTTTTCTCTCCGTAACCCAAAAAAGATTCGGTTGTCACATAATTTGCAGAGATTCTCCACTCTCTATCCTTCTATAAATTACAGAGCCATCGGATCACAAAACAGAACAACAACAACAAACAAGAACTCAAACACTAAAACAAACCTTCAATCTTTTTCAAAAACTCAATCATGTCAAGCAACTGCGGAAGCTGCGACTGTGCTGACAAGACCCAGTGCGGGTAAGTCCTGTTTCTGATTCGTTGTGTAATAGATTTTGTTGAGTCAACAACAGAGTGAAACCTCTCTGTTTTTGGATCTTGATGCTTGATCTATGTCTGAAACTATAATCTTTGTCTTTTATTACTCTTATTTTGCTCTAGATCTTGACTGACCTATGCTTGTTCTTCTCTGTGACTGCAGGAAGAAGGGAACCAGCTACACCTTCGACATCGTCAAGACTCAGGAGAGGTAATAATAGATGATTGTGATGGTGATGATACAACGAGATCATAATGATGTAACAATTAATTTGATTTTGCAGCTACAAGGAAGCCATGATCATGGACGTTGGTGCAGAGGAGAACGACGCGAATTGCAAGTGCAAGTGCGGCTCCACTTGCAGCTGTGTCAACTGCACTTGCTGCCCCAATTAAGAAAGCTTCTTTAATCAAAATGTAATATGAATAAAAGTTGATGTGAGTTCATCTATTGAGCTCATATCTCTCTTATGACTCTCTAGTATGGTGTGATGTAATGGGTTATGACCCTTTCTTTATCCTCCAATCCAATCCATCATATTTCTATTAGTAACATCTTCTTTCCTTTCCATATAAAACTAAAGAACTTGCAAGATAATTGAATAGATGGTTTCTTTTTATTTTAAATCACAACAAAATGGGATTTTTTGTATCCAATCGCATACATAATCTCATGAAGAATTAGTCTCCTGTTTTTATACCCTAAACCCATCCCGGGTGATGAACAATCTATGTTGCTCATTCCTTTTGATCCACCATCAAATTACGTATTAAGAAGAGAAAAAAAAGTATCAGACGTTGAAACCTTCTGCTCGGAGACACATTTTATGAGCCTCGATCCATTTTGTGCAAGCCGATTCACCATGCTCGACAATGCACTCATCTCTCAGCTTCTTGGTATCAGGGCAAGCACAACATATCCTCTTCTTTGGTTTCGTCTCTGCCGAGGCAGCAGCCTTGCTTGGCTCTGAAGTGGGTGAAGGAATCAAGCCGTTTTGTGCTGGTTGATCACTCATCCTGTAGACAAGGAAAAAGAAACACGGTCAAAAGATATGAACATGATAATGAACAAATGGCATACACATAACATAAGTAACATCGCCTAGATTCTCCTTCACATCCTATTTGGTAAACTTCTCATTCATCTGTTCAAGAAGCGCTCTTAAAAATCAAATATCAAGTCTTTTAACCTTGGGATGTGCTCATTATCAAACAGAAACAAAGATCGAAATTATATACTTGGTTCTCAAAAACAAGCTCAATAAGAGCTAACAAAGGTATACAATTCCATGACAACCTTCTACTTGGTAAGAAATCAAGAACAAGGACTGCATAAATCTTCACCACAAAGACTTCTATTGAGAACTTCTGATCACGAATTAGTGGGTTATTAAATTCTAGATTTTTTCTATCGATTTCCAAAAGTGCGCATAAACCCATCAGAAAATTTGATGATTTTAATTGAATACTCTAGACACGACGACGCTGATAAGCAAAAATCTGATAAACCCTAAGAAACATCAGACGAGAGTTAAAACCCTGAATCTCAAAAACCCTGATCCTCAAAACCCCTGAACCTTAAATTACGAAATCTCATCCATAAGATAACAACAACACCAAACTCATAAACCAATTGGGTAACAATTCAATTCAACGAACAATCAAGCAAGCTAAATCTGGCGAAAAATGTTTCCTCTTTCTCCTGCAGCATCTTACAATTCTTGATACAAAATTTCTTAGAAAGAGGAGAAAAAACAAACCTTTGAATGGATTTTACAGAGGAAGAATCAAAGAGCAGAGAACCGGTTGAAATGTCGGCGACGGTATGAATTATGAAAGGAAAGAAGAAGACCACTTGGCTTCAGGCTTGTACAAGGAGGCGAATTCAAAGACTCAAAGTAATGAAGCCACCAAATACGAATTTTTTTTATTTGAATGTTCCAGTAAACGAATTTAGCTCCGGGCCCGTGTGATTGGTCTATAGTGGGCTAGGCCCATTTGCAATGGATCCAAAGTCCTTGAGGTAGATTTGGAGAATGATACTAACTAGAGATAGCAATTCAACATCTCTTACACAGATTCATTGATAGCTTGTGGAGTTGAGGACAAGGTAAGGACCAAGGAAGATGAAACATAGTTTCTTTAGCACTTGCAAAGAGATTTTACTCATCTGAGCAAAGTTAACTTTTTGTCAGCTATAATATACACAGAGGCTCAAGGTAATGGCTGGAACAAAGAAAGCTACAATCTTAGCTAGGCAGAGGAGAGACATTAGAGAATGGAAGATTGGGATTCTGGAATTAGCTGCTTCCTCTCATTACGCTGCAATCTGCATTAAAGATGAAGCTAATAGAGTTGGAGTTCCTATGAGTATGATTGTCCACAGAACCATCCCTTTCTTAGAAGATGAACTTATTATCTCTTACTGGAAACTGCTCTAGTTTGGCCATCTCCATCTTTGTTTCTAGTTTCTACAGCATTGTATGTGATTTAGTCACTTACCTTGAAAAAAATATTGAAATTCACTTACAGAAAAGAAAAACATAGTTTCATAAATGAGAATCCCACCAAACAGAGTATTTACACAGACGAGTTTCCATAATGTGCTTGCAGATGAAAGAAACCAAGACTTGTGATGTTTTCACAGTTGAAAAAAAAAACATTTTCATTGACAATTCCTATATTTCATTGACACTTGATCTTCTGAATCTATAAAAAACCGACAATAGTTTAATCTGAGATTTTCACTTTCCCCAAGCTCTACTGGTTCTCGTGATCTCCAATTTCTAACAAAGCACATCATCTTTTGCATATCAGCCCACACAAGTTTAAAAACAAAACATCAGTCAATCATACTTCTCTCTCCATGTATAAACGAGGAAGAAAACCCATGAGACAGCTAAAGCAATGTCTCCAAGGGCTTGCTTGGGACATTCAAAAGCAAGATCTTCAATCTTCCACTCAAACATAACTCTCCATAAAGCCATCAGCATATAGAGAATCACAGAACCAACGGCAAAGAAGCTATGAAACTCTCTGTCTTTCACAAACGACACCATGAACAAGACCAATCCGATAGCAAAGAGAAGCAAACCAGAGAATGACTGAGAAATCTGAATAAGCTGCTCGTCGTGAGGTGTTGATCCTTTGAGCTTGTTTGCTATATCACTACCATGTCCAAAGATCGAAGCTTTCTCTGTGTAGAACATCATCAGGGTTCCACTTGTAAGTGCGATAATCGAATGGAGCATACAGATTACACGGAAGAGATGTGAATTCATCGGACCTTTGTTGATTCCGATAGAAAGAATCTGCCTTTTTTTGCTGGGGTTTCGAAGAATCACCTGAAAATATCGAGAAGGTCAAAAACAGATGGAACCAAAAAAAAAACGCAAAGTTTCAAACTTTTCGAAGATAGAGAGATGTTAAAGCTTCAAATTTCAAACCTGAGGAAGCTGTGATGTTTAAGCTTTTGCAGGAGGAAAGGTATGGTTTTGAATAGAGAGATTATATGATTTAGGGATTTTGAATTCCACAAGAGAACTTCTGGGAATTGTTTATGGATAAACCCTAGTTTTGTCTTGTTGCAAAAGAAGATTTTTTGACTTGATCTCGGTCCTCTTTTGGCAGCTTCTCCTCTTTCTTCAACAGAAATTCAAACCCACCGTATAAAGATTGCTTTCCGATTATAAGTAGGAGAGAGATTATAAACTAATTTATAGTTGAGAGAAAGAATTGTCAAAAACAATTAAGATTTTTTAAAAAAGATTAGGATATTTTTAAACCAATAATGTCATCTGTTAGGAAAACTTATCCATGACTTTTGGTAAAATAAATCAGTGGAAAGCAATCATCAAAGACACAAAGTAAAGTTTTGTGATTTTAGTTAATAATAATATTAAGGATAATGACTTTTACAAAATACAAGAAAAAATGAAATTTCGTTTTTATAGAAGGGACACTTATATCCTTTTTGTGACAAACCAACATTGTTTCTACTTCTTCTACTTAACTAAAGGTTTGTCCTTTAAAGCCACCAACGATCTGATAACGCCTGGAGAAGTACTATCAGCAAGAGCCCCGAGTTCCGATATAAACAGAGCTTTCTCCTTCACTAAGCTCTGCAATTTCTTCGATTCAAACTCCATTTTCTCTTCATCTACACATAGTAACAAGTAGGACATTTTCTCATGAGGAAACTGCATTAGTCTAAGAGAGAGTAGCAAACAATGTGGACAAGATAAAAACCTTTCTCTAGCATCGTATGCACAGCATGAAACGGAATTGCAGCAAAAAGATCAGCTCCTGGGAGCATCATCCAAGTGGGTTCACTAGAGTCATGGGATCCACATGTGGAGCAAACTTCTTGGACCAAAGGTTTCGTTGAGCTCACATGTATATCTTTCATCATAGAATCGAATGGAGACAGAACACTAGTCTTTGTTGTCCGAGCTCTCTTCCTAAGTGCTGTAAGAGCCTCTCGGTTTGCATTCCTCTCCTTGTCATTCTCCACCATCTATTGCACATATTACAAGCTTTATTTGGTTAAAAACCTTATTAACCAAAGAATATATCAAATCAAATCTGATTTCTCACAAGATAAAATAAAAGTTGCAAAACAACAATAGATCAAAAAAGCTTTGAATTCTAAAAAAGTTATTGTATTTTCCACAAATCAATATGAAATTAGGAAGTAGTGAATATTTCCTACTAGATACTACCAAACAGATCTCGAGTACCTGATTTCGAGCTAGTAGAAACTCATCTGCTTCTGCTTCAATTTTGTCCAATAGTGCAGCAAACTTCTTTGGATCCAACTCCATCTCTAGTCTAGCAGATTCCAACAAACAAACAGGCTCAGAAACATGCTTATCAAATAAAGCAGTCTTGGTTACAGAGTAGAAAAAAGAAAAGATTTGATTAGTGGCATAGTCAATCTTCCCAATCCTGCAAATCAAACCGTAACTAAGCCAAAAGAAAAAGAAAAGAGAAGCTATGGATACTTTGTTTGCTTAAGCTCAATTTCAAAGACTCTCTCACTAGACTCTCACCTCTCTTAAGCCACTCCATGTTTTTGTTCCCCTTAATATCGTTTCAAGTTCTATGATATGAAGTGATTACTGAATTCCCCAAATTGGATAGTTAGCATAAGTAACATTGCCTAGATTCTTCTTACCATCCTATTTGGTATTCACAAGAAAACTTTTCATTCATCTGTTCAAGAAACGGTCTTAAAGATCAAATATCAAGTCCCTAAACCTTGAGATGTGCTCATTATCAAACACAAACAAAGGTCGAAATAATATACTTGGTTATTAAGTTCTAGATTTTTCTATAGATTTCTAAAACTGCTCATAAACCCATCTGAAAGTTTGATGATATTAATTGAATAATTTACTCTAGACACGACGACGATAAACAAATCTGATATAAACCCTAAGAAACATGAGATGAGAGTTAAAACCCTGAACCTCAAAAACCCCGAACCTTAAATCGAAATCTCAACAATAAGATAACAACAACACCAAACTCATAAACCAATTGGGTAACAATTCAATTCAACGAGCAAGCAAGCATTAAACAACCTCAATTAAAGCCAATTTCAAAGACTCTCATTAGACCAAGCTCTCTTGAAGCAACTCCATGTTATTGTTGTATGTAGTATGTACCAATATCATCCTAAACCTCTTCAGCTTCTATTCTATAGAGTAATTGTTGAATTCTCCAATTTCGCAATTGGGATGTGATAATTGATTCATCCAATTACAAAGAAACGATTATGGAAATTAACAATTCTGATAAACGCTAAAAGTTAGAACCCTGAATTCTAAAACCCTAAACCCTAATTCATGAAATCTCTCGTTCCTACGATGCAATAACGAAGGCACCCACAACACCAACACAAGTGTAAAACGATTCTCTAATTCATTTTTGCAGCATCTTAACAAGAGAACGATACGAAGTAACTCAGAAAAAAGGAATAAACAAATAGATAACCTTTAAATTGATTTACAGACGAAGATTCAAAAAACAGAGGACCTGTGAGAATCTCGGTGACGCAATGAGAGGGACGAAACTTTTTTTTTTTTTTTTGCAACTGATGAGACATGAGAGGGACGAAGTTAACAAAGACAGAAAAATAAATTGAATGATATAATTACATTAAATGCCACGAGTTGAGTTATGGGTTAAGTATTTGGGCTATCAATGGCCCGGCCCAATCTTCATACCATTCGATTGAAAGGTACGATCGTTCCCGCCGTCGTACAACAAGAAAATGTATATATATTAATTGGTCGTTAAAAATACCTTCCCTTTATTGATTGGAGATGATAACAGAGTAAATTTTTTGCATCAACGTAATGAAAACGAGTTCATGATATCAACTAAACTTTGTCAATGTATTTTTTTGTACACGAGGCATGAAAATTAACAATGTTTCGTAGAGAAAGGGGACAAGAAACACATTATATAATCAACCAATTATTATTACTCGAATCAATTACTATGATTTTTTCGAAAGGATAAGATTTGTTCATTGAAAGACATCTGGGTGGGTCCATTTTTCACTGCTAAGGCCCTTTTTGTGGCGTCTCCAACGTGTCCACTTGGCTTAGTTTATTTGACCATTTTTCGAATTATAGATTTGAATATTCAAACTCGATGGCTTACGTTGTCCCTTTTATAAGCACATCATCAGACTCCAAATAATTTCATCATCAATCTTCTCCACACTTCAATCACAAACAACAACAACAACAACAAAAGAAACATAATGCAGATTCACAAACTCTGTTTTCTTGCTCTGTTCTTAGCTAACGCAGCTTTTGCCGTCAAATTTAACTTCAATTCTTTCGATGGCAACAACTTGTTATTCCTAGGAGACGCTGAGCTTGGTCCTTCCTCTGATGGCGTTGAGCGATCCGGAGCTTTATCCATGACCCGAGACGGAACCCCATTCTCTCACGGTCAAGGTCTTTACATCAATCCAATCCAATTCAAATCTTCAAACACTTCTACTCCCTTTTCATTTAAAACTTCCTTCACTTTCTCTATCACTCCTCGCACCAAGCCTAATTCTGGTCAAGGTCTTGCCTTCATCATTGTCCCAGCCGCCGATAACTCCGGGGCTTCGGGCGGCGGATATCTCGGAATCCTCAACAAAACCAACGATGGAAAGCCAGAAAACAACCTCATATTTATCGAATTGGACACTTTTCAAAACAAAGAGTCTAATGACATTAGTGGTAACCATGTCGGAATCAACATCAACTCGATGACTTCTCTTGTAGCTGAGAAAGCTGGTTATTGGGTTCAGACATTAGTCGGAAAAAGAAAAGTTTGGTCGTTTAAAGATGTGAATCTTAGCAGTGGAGAGAGGTTCAAGGTTTGGATCGAGTTCAGAAGCAAAGACTCTAGGAATACCATAACGATCGCGCCTGAAAACGTTAAGAAACCGAAGAGGCCTTTGATCCAAGGTTCGAGAGTACTCAATGATGTTCTTCTTCAAAACATGTACGCTGGTTTTGCTGGTTCCATGGGACGTGCCGGTGAGCGTCACGACATTTGGAGCTGGTCGTTCGAAAACTAACTTAGCCGGTTTGGTTCGGTTCAGTTTGGCTAGTTATCGTTTGCTTTGTTTTTGTAATTGTTGTACTACTAGAGTGAATAATTAAGGTTTAAATAAAATAAGCCAAAACTGTGGCTTACTCTGCATTGCATTTTCATATTTATGTATTCAGTCTGAATAATTCAGAGATTTTCAATAAAATAAATTTTCTTTCCAAACATTTTATAACTGATTAGCTGGATTTGCTTGAACCGCATGATTTCACAAGGTAGGAGATTGTATCAAGCTCCAAATCAACATCAGTAGCTTGATACACATCAACATTAATGTATCTATCATGGATACATGATTCTATCGATTAAAGATGACAAAAGAAACAGAACAAATTCTTGCATCCACGCAATGAAAACGGTTTATATTAAATAAACGGAGAATAATTGAGTTTTGTTTTGTTATTCACAGAATAAAATATGGTTTTCCATGCAAAAGATTATAAACGTGGAATGTCTTAGATTTATACACGAAATATAGTTTTTAAAAAAGTTCCATTAAGATAGGGGACACGAATTACATAATGGAATCAATTATTAGTCGAATTTTATAATAAAGAAAGATTTTCTTCTTTCTGTTTTTGTATTTCCCAATCGGATAAATAAACCCTCATTCACTAAAACAGTAGGTCCATTTTGTTGGAGACTCTAGTGGCGTCTGTAACGCACCCACTTGGCGTTATTGAATTGACGATTCGAATGAATAGAATCTTTTTACCGTTTAAAAATTCAAATTCGATTGTCTTACTCTTACATGCCTATTCAAAACTCTGTTTTTAGCTCTGTTCTTCTTTCACACCAATTCTTCTCTCAAATTCAACTTCGAAACCAATGATGCCTCGATATTCTTAACAAAACCAACAATGGCATTCCCAAAACCCACATCCTAGCTGTCAAATTCGATCGCCTGATTGCAAGACAAATGTTTTGAGACATTAACGATAACCATGTCGGTGTAGACATTGACTATGTTACTCTCTGAACTTTTTTCTTGAAAACTGGTTTGCTGGTGTCATGGCACATTTGAGTCGAGAAACAGTGCCAAGAACAGCTAAACCGGATTGGACCGGTTTAATTAGTGGTAACCGGAGCCAAATCTTTTTTTTAGTTTAAAATAAAAAAGGTCAAATCTGTGTCTTATTGTTTTGCTTTGCATTTGTTAATTGAATTTAGAGCACTACATTCTTTGAACTTTAGAGATTCACTCCTTTTAAAAGAATCTGGTCTTTATTTTTGTTTCAAAAGAAACTCAATTATGTGTGCAATTATATACCCAGAAATAGTTGCCGTTCTGTTGGGAAGAAAGAAAGAACCCTGACACAAAAAATGTTTCTTAATTCCAGAGCAAAATTTTTGAAGATTTGACCCCCAATGTTTGTCTAAATTTATACATTTGGCCCAAAAAAAGGTTATTCCTTTTACGTGCAGTGATTTGTGAGGTCGTAGATTAACCACGTTGCTTGCGTGTAAAGAGAGGGTGGGTGATTATCAAAATTGAAAAAAAAAACCTGAACTGAGAGATATATTATATAAATATATTAAACAACGATTTCGACAGTGAATCGTTTCTTTCAGCAGTCGTTTTTTGTTTTTATTCTACAAGGCCGAGAATTTATGAGGCTGAGAGAGAGAGAGAGAGAGGCTTCTTCTGCTTTTTTTTTCCGAGTTAAAAACTGTGTTTGGTGTTGTTTGTTGTGTGTGGCTCTGTTTCAATCTCTTAAAGATTATTTCTGGGTGGCCTCTCTTAGATACTTCTTATCTTCTCCTTCTCACTAAGTTTTGCGGTAAAGAAGCTTCCTTCCTTTTTTTTGGCTGTTTACATGATCAAAGATTTGCATCTTTTCTTGAATATTTTTTATCTTTTTGAGTGTTGTTCTCAAATGGGGCTCCTAAGTTTTTGAGTTTTCTTCTGTTTATAGCCCTAGGGTTTGTTTCTTGAGTGGGATCACTGGAAAAGGTTGAGAGTTTAAGTTCTTGGCGAATGTGTGACTTGTGTGTGATTAACGATCTTGAGCAATGAGCTGTTGAATCCGAAATGATTCCAGTTAGAGTTGGGAATCCAGAGAAGTCATTGGTTACTTGTTGGTTTCTGGTTAGCTTTTGGTGGATGTTAAATGGAAGGTTCTTCAAATTCTAACTCTAGGGGATTCAATACCTCTGGTGTTTCTGACAGGAACACTGAGTTTTTACCTGTTGAGAGAATCACACCTCGTTCGAAGCCTTCCTCTCATGTTGATGAGTATGTCAGAAGCTTGTTTGGTAGTACTAGTACACACAAGTCCGGTGAAGATGATTCTTTAGGGATTGACCCTTTTGTTAGATCCTTGGAATGGGGTGATGTTAGTTTGAGACAGTGGCTGGATAAACCTGAACGATCTGTTGATGTTTTTGAGTGCTTGCACGTTTTCAGACAAATTGTTGAGATTGTGAATGCAGCTCACTCTCAAGGCATTGTTGTTCATAATGTCAGGCCATCTTGTTTTGTCATGTCTTCGTTTAACCATGTTTCGTTCATTGAATCCGCTTCTTGTTCGGACTCTGGCTCTGATTCTTTGGAGGATGGTCCAATTAGCCAGAAGGAAATCGGTAGCTCGAGAAGAGAGGAAACTGTGTCAAAAGCTATTGCAAAAGAAGAGAAAGGAGTCTACAATAAGTTTTTGGAGAGACGAATCGAGAAACTTGAGGAAGAAAAGGATCAACCTTTTCCGATGAAACATATATTAGCAATGGAGACAAGTTGGTATACAAGCCCTGAAGAGGATTTTGGTTCTTCAAGTACTTGTGCTTCAGATGTTTACCGCCTTGGCGTCCTTCTTTTCGAGGTTTGTGATAAAGAAACAAACATTGTTTCTAACATAATAGTAACTGCTTTTAAATTCAAACTTTCTGTTTTTGTTTTGCGTGTTTATTTTCTTGGAAAGGTGATTAGATGAAAGTTAGTCCCTTTGCAGCTATTTTGCCCTGTCCCTTCTAGAGAAGAGAAATCAAGAACTATGTCTAGTTTAAGACATCGCGTTCTTCCGCCTCAGATATTGCTCAAATGTCCAAAAGAAGCTTCTTTCTGCTTGTGGTTACTGCATCCTGAGCCAAGTTGTCGACCATCAATGAGGTTGTCTTTTACTTCATGTTCTTTATTTGAGCATTGTTTAGTCTCTGTCATCTTTTACTACATGGAACTAATCAAGAAGTTGTCTTTTATGATGCAGTGACTTGCTGCAAAGCGAGTTTATAACTGAACCAAGAGATAATTTGGAAGAACGTGAAGCAGCAATCGAGCTAAGGGATAGAATCGAGGAACAGGAGTCGTTACTCGAGTTCTTGTTACTGATTCAACAGAGAAAGCAGGAATCTGCGTATAGATTGCGTGATACGGTTTCGCTTCTTTCTTCTGACATTGAGCAAGTGGTAAAGAGACAATTAATTTTGAAGAAAAAGGGAAGCTCACTCTCTGAGTTCAGTAAAGATGATCATCAATATCCCTCTGGTCAGCCATTGATAAGCTTCCAGGCAAACAAGGAGCCATCAGCATTCTTGGCCTCAAGAAAACGATTTAGACAAGGGGTTCCAGCATTGGAAAACGATGTTGAAGTTGATGAAGAGAGTCAAGGAAGCACACTTCTTGAAAGCTCCCGGTTGATGAGAAACTTCAAGAAACTAGAATCGGTCTACTTTCTGACAAGGCGAAGGCAATTGAAGGCTGCTGCTTCAGGAAAATCATTAACTAGACACTCGCCGTTAAGTAGTGAAAACGGAAGAGGTTCAATGATTGTCTCAGAGAAAAGTTCAGTAAGCAACCCGGCGGCACCCAAAGATTTCTACAATCATGATTCAAGGCAAGGGGGGTGGATAGATCCATTTCTTGAGGGTTTGTGCAGATATTTATCATTCAGTAAGCTAAGAGTGAAAGCAGATTTGAAACAAGGAGATTTGTTGAACTCCTCTAACCTCGTTTGCGCCCTTGCTTTTGACCGGGATGGAGAATTATTCGCCACTGCGGGTGTCAACAAGAAAATCAAGATATTTGAATGTAATTCCATTGTAAACAATAACCGGGATATTCACTATCCAGTTGTGGAACTGGCTGGTCGGTCAAAGCTAAGTAGTTTATGTTGGAACAGCTACATAAAGAGTCAAATTGCATCAAGTAACTTTGATGGCGTGGTTCAGGTAAGTTTTAGATTCCGTTCTAACGTTATTAAAAACTTCCTGTTTCATAAAACCAATTTGGGATACATTTGTTTTCTTTTCCAGATATGGGATGTTGCGAGAAGCCAGCTGGTTACAGAGATGAAGGAGCACAAGAAGCGAGTATGGTCCATCGATATTTCATCAGCAGACCCGACTTTGCTTGCTAGCGGAAGCGATGATGGAACTGTTAAGCTCTGGAGTATCAATCAGGCAATTCTAATTTGAAATGTCGGCTATTGAAAACTGAAACTGATTTCTCCAATAATGCAAACATCTTCATTCTCAGGATGTATGATTAAGAAGTTTTTTTCTTTTAAATGTTTTCAGGGAGTTAGCATTGGGACCATTAAGACAAAGGCCAATGTATGCTGTGTCCAGTTTCCATCAGACTCAGGAAGGTCTCTAGCGTTTGGTTCTGCAGATCACAAAGTGTATTACTACGATCTTCGAAACCCCAAGATTCCTCTTTGCACAATGATTGGTCATAGCAAGACAGTGAGTTATGTTAAGTTTGTAGATTCATCCACTCTTGTGTCCTCTTCTACTGATAACACACTGAAGCTTTGGGACTTGTCGATGTCTGCTTCTGGGATTAATGAAACCCCTCTTCACTCATTCACTGGACACACTAATTTAAAGGTAACATTTACCTGAAATCTGCTTTCTAGACACTCTTCGATCTCCGGTTTCTGAAGACGCATTCTGAAATGTTATGTTCTTGTGATGTGTTGCAGAACTTTGTTGGCTTATCGGTCTCTGATGGGTATATAGCAACTGGCTCAGAGACTAACGAGGTAAAGGCCTGATACAGAAAGAATAAACAACTTTCTGACAGATTATCACCTAAAAACTTGATTATCTGAGCTTCTTTATGTTGTGGATCCATTACAGGTTTTCGTGTACCACAAGGCATTCCCAATGCCAGTGATGTCGTACATGTTCAACAACACTGACTCTGTGTCTGGTCTCGAAGTAGATGATGCCTCACAGTTCATATCTTCGATCTGCTGGCGAGGACAGTCGTCTACGTTAGTCGCTGCTAACTCCAATGGCAACATCAAAATTCTGGAGATGATGGCTTGAGCCTCTCATAGATCTCTTGTACTTCTTCACCGCAAGAGATTGCTCTGCTGGAGTGATTGATATAGGGTAAACCATTTTTACCAAAAAAAGATAGGAAAGTGGAAACATTGTGTATAGAATTTCTTTTGGAAAAAAAAAGAGAGGATACAAATATTGGATCTTTGTATTTGTATATTCTGTTATAATTGAAAACATCTCAATAAAAAAGGTTATAATTTTTATTTGATCTGTAAATTTGAAGGAGATGACTTCAAACAAGAAAAATTTAATCCCGGTAGGTCGTGGCATACAAGGCATCTCTACTCAATGAAACAATGGCTAATAGTTTTTCTAAAGCCTGCAACTGCAAGATTCTCTATATGTTGTATAGATATATATATCATAAGGACAGTCACTCTCCATGAAATCGATTCACAGCCCCAAAATGATTCCTTGTTCTTGGAATTCGATCTATTTACACTGACTAACTCCTGTAATAGCTTCGTTGACTAACCTGTTCACAAGTCCCTGAAGCCTCTGAGCTCCAGCGCTAGGATCAATCTTAGCCACATCACCGACCTTGGAGCATTTTGGTTTCCCACTGCACCATCCACCAGGAGTAAAACTATCTTTACCATTCCTCCGTTTAAGTAATTCCTTATCTATAAGATCAAGTACTCTGTCGTCTCTTCTGAATTTCCTAGCAAAAGCAGCACCACTCGATATCATCTGCATTGTGTCGTTGAGTGACAACACGTGTGGGTGCTGCTGCGGTGGATTGTCCCAGGAAATGTAGTGGAGGTCATGGTTTACTGCAGTTTTTGCAAACTCGGGTACATTGCAAATCACTGTCTGGAAATAACCTTCGGGTGATGAAACGAAGTTGGTGTAATACATTAGGAGGGTTCGTGGTAAATTGTCCCATCCCCATATGCAATACTCTACAAATGGGCGTGATAGAGCCATCCAAGCTGATCCTGTGACACCAACAACAACGAAATAGATTTAAGCTTTGGTGGGCGACAAAGCGGCAATACCTAAAGGTTCAACTTTGATGCGCAAAAAACAAAGAAAGGTTTCAAGCTTTGATGCAGGAGAAGAGTTGTGATCTTATAGATACCGAGAACAATGTTTCAAGATTTGATTAGTGAGAAGTTATTTTGTTCCAATGGATCTTCATATGCAGTTTAGAGGAATTAGAGGACTGACCAGTGAATAACTTGAAGGCAGTTGGCAAACTTCGGCGAGGTGTGACCCAGTAAATATCTGATTTGTTCAACAAGTAGAGTCCAGGATCAATCATTAATGGCTGTGCTCGCTTCTCCCTTCACAAGGAAACAACAAATCAGTCCACTAGAACATAAGATTCAACCATATATGAAACTCAAGAACGCGAATATGCTCACTCTTTCCAACCCAGTTGACTTGTGTGTTCGATAAAGTTGAGGTTCCGGTCCAATGTCGAAAACGTATGAAGCAGATCTTCAAAACACAGAGATTATTGACAGTAAGTTAATCTAAGACAGGACTAAAATCTTGATGAATACTGAGAAAGAAAGTGAGATCAAAGCTTTTTATACCATCTTGGGTCACTAGAGGATAATCTGAAGCACTGAGGTTAATAAACCAATCCCAGTTTGCGCTTCTCTTAAGAAGAACAGCACAAGCGTGAAGAGTATTTGCCACCATCGTTGGTCCTTTATATGTCACAAGGTTAGCCTTGGTTATCATATATACATTCCCGGTTCCAGAATACATAGGATCGTTATTAATCCGAGAAGCCAGCTCTAATCTCTCATCCACCGGTGATTCAAGATCCAAGTGAACAACATACTGGTTCCTGGGATGGTACACTGCTCTAAGTGTTCTCCAAAGCTTTTCTACATCCCCTTTAGACCCGGAAACAAGGTATGCAAAACGGGGAAGCTTGTCTTCATGAGGCGAAACACGGGTTTGTCTAGCAACTTTAGACTCTGCAAAATCAAGTCTTGTTTGATTCTTGACAAGACGGGAAGGGATGATGGAGAAAATCCCGTTGATTGTTCGAAGCGAAGAGACTAGGCCCATATTGAAAGACGTTGCAAGGAGAAAAACGCAGACAAGAGATGTGATGACAAGAGGAAAAACCCATCTCTTCTCCACGTTTACATACCCCATTGCTGAAAGCTAGTGATCATGAGACAAGAAGAAACTTCTGAAAGAAAAACCGGTTTCTTGCCGAATCAAACCCCTGGTTTAGCAATCTGCAGAGTCTGATATGTGAGCTGATTCACAGCCCTCTTGGAAACTTAGAGCTAAAGCCTGAATCTTTCAGGAATCCACAACAATCTTGAGTTTAGGCTCGTTTCAAACACAAAAACCTATCAGCAAACACAAATGTTAGAACTCTAGTAAAGTTTTCAGAACCAAATATAGAAAGAAGAAGCAACTAAAACACCCAGCCGACACATATAGGTTCCCAGATTCTCACGCAACATCAAGCTCAAAGCTTAAGAATTACGAAACAGTATATTAAGAAAAATTCAATCAAGAACGACAAGGCTCTCCTCTCCATAAAAACCTCTTGGATCGAGATTCATCATCAATCAGACATCTCAGCAGCTAGAATAAGCAACTCTAAAACCCCTTAAAAAGTGACATTACCGATTTCCTAAGGAACATTAAAAGAAACCCATGTCGTAGATTATCCCCCAAGATCAATTTACTACAACACCAACACCAACACCATCAGAATCTCGAAGCTGCGATTTAGATCTAGTGCACTGTAGAACATTCTTTACTCATCCAAACAATAACAAAAACTAAATCTACAGATTTAAAAAAAGAGATCCAGAAACAAAACTGAAGGATGGTAGATTAAGAAGATGAAGAAACCTGGCTTTTTTTGTTGTTGTTGCCTTGATGCTGTATAATCTCGAGGCAATGAAGGTTTTTTATTGGCTTTGTTATGCTAGTACTTTGTGCTCAAGAACACGGGACACTTCTGTTTCCGAGTAAAAGTTATATAGACGACATGAAGAGACAGTGAAATGAAATCCAATAAAATTACGATTTTTAATCTAGAAAATTAAGCTGGAAAATTCCAAGAGCGTGTGTGATACTCCGATTCGTGGAAAAATTACAAAGAAAATTTCCAAATCTTTGGTTTTCTTTCAGCTCTAAATTTCGTTACTTTTTATTGTCTCTCTGTTCCTTTATTACTGGAATCTATAACGATTTTTAATTAGTCAGTTTTCAATCCCATTAATTAATTACACGAAGTGTTAAAAAGAAACCGTTTGGCTGACACGTTTTCAGAGTTTTAAGATACTGGGGTAGCTTCAAGTATTTATTACCTACATGTCGTTTATGTTAAGACCTGTACGAGTAAATTAATCGAATGGTTAAAACTTAATCAAAACCAGATCCAATGGATGAAATTGAAGTGCATATGTGGACGTGCATGTACCTGATTAATAGCTCTTGGCCTTATTCGAACAAAACATATCTATTGCGTAGTCATTGGGCTAGTATAGTAACCGACACGTATGGTAATGTTGATAGCAACATCAACATACCTCTTTATTACACTTACTATAATTAATTACACTTCCTAAAAAGATGCTCTCTTCTGACGAATTTATGGTCATGTATCTATATTTCACTCGAATCTGTTAAAAAAAAATGTACTAAACAGAAGTTTTTTTTTCCCAATAGAAGACAATATAGTCATAGTCATGGAAATTCGTATTTTTTGTAATAATTATTATACAAGAATCGTTGCTTTCCATCATATTAAGTGAGGTCCACAGCAGGGAGGAGTCTCGAGAAGGTTTTGGTTTCATACACATGAGTAGCTTCAATATTATTGGCATTTGAATACGACTTTAGAATCGAAAAGTGTATGTTGCGCTAATTACGTGTTGTCGTGTTGACAATTAGTTTGCCAACAAGCGCGTGAAGTGGTCACGAGATCGATCACTGTTGAGATTTGATGGGCTTTCAATGACTCTGGCTAAACTTTGTTCTATCACGAGATATGTCACTGTTGAGCCTTGATGGGCTTTAACAGTGTATTTCTTGACGTGGACTGAGGCCCAACAAACTAGACTTTCAATCCCTTTCTTTTTGAAAAGACAGTGTGGCGGGACAATTAGATGTATACATGCTTAAATGTTAGGTAATATCCTTCAAAATCAAAAAGTAATATATGTATATACAAAAGAGAAATGTGTCCTTTTTATAAGAAAACTGTTTATTCTATAATTTCTTTTTAATGAAAATCGGTTTTGTCCGATTCTCATAAATTATCTCGCATTCAGATAACGGTTTTTTTTTTCAGGTGGTTAATTCGAATATGTCAATTATACTATTTTGGAGTTATACTTTCTATTCAATTTTATATGTGGTGATGCCAGTGGACAACAAACCATCTACCTAACAAGATACATAGATACGGTTTTGTCCGATTCTCATAAATTATCTCGCATTCAGATAACGGTTTTTTCCAGGTGATTAATTCGAATATATGTCAATTATACTATTTTGGAGTTCTAGTTTCTATTTAATTTTATATGTCTTGATGTCGGCGGACAACAAACCATCTACCTGACAAGATACATAGATACTGTTTTGTCCGATTCTCATAAATTATCTCGCATTCAGATAACGGTTTTTTCCAGGTGGTTAATTCGAATATTTGTCAATTATACTATTTTGGAGTTCTAGTTTCTATTTAATTTTATGTCTTGATGTCGGCGGACAACAAGCCATCTACCTGACAAGATACGTAGATACGGTTTTGTCCGATTCTCATAAATTAATTTGCATTCAGATAACGGTTTTTTCCAGGTGGTTAATTCGAATATGTCGTTACATGTAAATTTATTTTAAACTAGATGTTTTTTTGTCAACATCATTATATTACTTGAATGACTCAAACAGATGTTTCTTTTTTTTTTCATTAAAACATTCCAAATATACTATAATAAATACGGAAAATTATATAATTCCGCATTTTCTTTCCAACATAAATTTTTTAATATAAATAATTTATGTGATCTAGTATTTATTTTATTTTAGTTCAAATAGCCGATGTTTTCATATTCAGTTGTTCGATTACATTAGAAAAAACTTTCATATGTATAACTTTGTAACGTTTGTCCAAATTTTGGAGATATAGTGACAAATATTGGTGTGAATTTGACAGATAGTCAAGTAATTTAAAAAAATCCATATATATTATGAAAGCTATCTAAAATGTTTTGTGATTATATTCTAAAATTCTTATTAAAAGAAAACACAGTTATTCGATAATTTGAAAGCTTTTAATTGAATGAGCAATAAAACTAGGTGACATTTTTAGATAATTTTTGTTGTTGGCCGTTGCAAAACTTTCTTTTCTTTTTTTTTGGTAGGAGTTGCAAAACTTTCTTACGTAACGTATACTAGATCCGGACCCGCACGTACGTGCGGGGTTTTGTTAACGTACAATTTTGTGAGTATAAAACTTATGTCATATAGGTTTTGAATGTGTGTATATCAATTTCAATATGGGATGACTATTGAAAATAGATTATATGTGACATATTACATGATTGAATATATTGGTATGGTAAACGAATGAATCGGTCGATAAAATATGTATTTGTGTATAGTTTGTATAAAAAATAGTTGGGTTTTGTGAGGATAATTATCTATAATAAGTTTGGTATATATCTATAATAAGAGATTGTATTATTTAATATAGATAAACGTAGTATATCATATTTTTTAAAAAAATCTATACTATTTAATTGAACATGCGTGTGGGGTTTTGTTCGTAATTGTATTTTTTTATAGCATAATAGGGTTGGGCATTGTACTCGTTACATGTATTCGATCTGTTATCCGATTCGTACCCGTCTCAAAAAAAGGACATCCGTTACCTTAGGATGGGTAAAAGGTATTATAATTATATTACCCGTAGATAAGGATCGAGTATTAGGTATTAATATTATTTTAAATAACCATCATGTTTCCCGATCAGTTTTCCGCTTACTACATGACTCATAAATACCCGTTTTATTAGTATTTTATAATATTACTAAAATTTTATAAAAAAATTTTATAGTAAAAGTTATAAAGGATGGAAGTATTTCGTTTAAATTATATACGACAAATATAATAAATGTTTTTTCATATTTGGAAAATCAAAATTGAAAAATCTTTTTTCCATGTGTACCAATCAGAATTAATTAGCATAGTCTTGTTAAGGAAATTTTTAAAAATCTAAACGAAATGATAATTTGTTATTAGATTAGATTGCAATTTTCGAAAATATCTAATAATATCTTATGAAAATAATTTAGTTTACATATATGCAATTTCGAATTAAATATACACTATTACGAGTTTCGGTTTATTAATTTTTCTTCTTCAAATTTAAAAATATCAATAACATTCTTTGTAATTTTTTTTTTTTTTAAGGTTATATTTTATCCAATGCTTCCCAATTAATAGTGTAAATCTACACTATTAATATCATAAACTTTTATAGATTGGTAACATCGTTGATAATATTTCTCGTTGCAAAACTGCAAATCATACCAAAAATATTGACGAAGCAAATCTCGGATTATATTGGATCATTTAATCTCGTTATTTGTTTTTGCAAAAAATTAATGAAGGATCCGAATCAAATATATTTATTTAGTTGTATTAGTTGTTTATTTACTAAATTACCCATGTAAAAATTCATTTAGTTAGTTTTAAACTACCCTTACAATGTTGTAGTTCACAAAATGCTTCTCAATTAATAGTATAGATAATTTTTTTTTATTTTTTTCTCGTAACGTATATAATTGTCCACTAAAAAATAGTGTAACCGATAATTAAAGCCATAATTAAATGCTAGAACTCTTTTTGTTTTGGGGTAGTTAGGGATACGTGGAGATTAGTTCTTTATCTAAACATAGTAAATTACTGACTGTAATTGACAACTCTTTTGGCAATTAATACAGCAACGAAAATTTGAATTATGCTCTGTAACCCCTTGAAAAAAACTTCAAAGATTATAAACCAGCTTATTGTTTAATGATAAGTATTTGAAAACACATGTGATATATAAATTTAAAATATACTGTATATATTAACATAACGACAACACTAATACAATTACTAGAATATAAATCTTCGTCAACGCATACTAATTTTGGTATACGACAAAATTAAATATATTGATCGATTAAAATTTGTTTTAAATTTTAGAAAATAATATGGGCAAATAATTCTAAATATGTTAAGTGAGTTAGACATTTTTTTCAGAACCATCTCAAATTATGTCAAGTAATGGGTCAATGGTCATGCTTTGTCAGCATTTATGATCCATAACTTAAGTAAATTATCTATTGAATGAAAGAAATAAGGTTATCTAAACAAAGTATGGAACTCTCATTTTTTTTCTGGCCAAAATCTTCAATATTGTTATTATTACATATGAATTCATGCAATAAAAAGAGGATTTTAGTAATTAACTAGTCAAATTCAGATAAAGTCAACAGTCAACTTATATGAACAAGAGTTGACTTTGAATATCCTAAGCCTAGGGACACAGATTTTTTTCCTTATTGTCATTAAGCATCATGGACTTGCACTTTCACGGTCAAAAAACAAGTTATGTTTTGTAACTGTAAAATTGTAATATTAATAACTAGTTGTTTTTTTTGTCAATTAGCTTAACGCAAAAAATTAAAGTATTTTGCCAAAACTAGGAATCATTAAAAATTAAAGAATATGAAAAGGTCCACAACTTTAAAAAAAACGTATAGCAAAATTTGGATAGAAAGAAAGAAACAAAAAAGGAGAAAGAGATTAAATATAAGAAAATCTATGTTACCTTAATATGAGTTTAGGATGAACAAGAGAATCTTTTTTTAAAGGCTTGAAGATATAGATTTGAGGAATTAGCCAAAAGAAAAATCTCTCTCCATTGAATTGATAGAGAGAAAGAAGAACAGGGTCTCTCTTTCTTTCTTAACATAGATTAGACCACCCTAAAGACTCGATTTTTTTCTCCCTTTAGATTTCATTTTTTCTTTCCCCAGTAAATCAAATTAAAATTTGCCTCTTCAGCCCAAAACCCTGAGATTTTTGGGAGAATCTCTGTGACACTCATTTCTTTCTAGGTAAATTCCCAATTACTTTTTCGGTTAAAGCTCAAAAGGTGCAAAGTCTTAAATCTTGTTCCTTGATTCTACGGTTTTTCTTTAGAAAAATTCTCAAGCTGAAAAATTATCTTTTGGCTTTTGATTTAAAGGACATATCTCTGTTGTTGATTGGGTTATAACATCCTTTGTTCTTCTTTTTTTCTGATTCTCGTATGTTCTAAATAAAATCTTCTTTATTTTATTTTTGCACTTTTTGTAGGACATATCTTTTTAAGTCTCTGTCTTGATCACAGTTTCATTTCGACAATGTCGCTGTTCTTACAGTGATTTTTCTTGTTCTTGTTTTTGTTTTAAGGGAAAGAAACAAAATGGGTTCGGAGATTATACTCTGTGATGGCTTCGAGGTGGTTCCTCCGCCGATAAACGATGTGATACTCTTCGGAAGGGACCAATCTGTATCAAGTTGCGATGTATCAACGATCACTACCGAAGAAGACGGCACTGTTTTTTCCGGTGATAGTTCGCCGGGAGGTGCAGCTGAAGAGGATTGGCCTGAAGATAAATCTTTATCGTTTTACTTTGTTAAGCAACCAGCTTACGATGATCCCGAGATCCAAGCCAAGATCGATGAAGCTGGTCATGAGATTAAGCACTGTAATCAACTCCGTATTGGTGTCTCCAGTGCTCAGAAATCCGAAAAGGTGACTCTGTTTTTCTTTAATCCCATTTTTGTTTTGTGTGATGTTTTTTTTTTTTAATGTTGATTTTGAGTTTGGGTTTTGTTGTAGGCTGAGATTTCGTCTTTGTTTTCACATATGGTGAGTTTGACTCCTAAATCAGAAGGATATAGAGTGGTTTTTGAAGAGAAGAAGAGGGAATTTGATACTCTACAAGAAGCTTTACGGAATCTCCGGTGCTCTACTAGTGATCAACTTTGTTTTTCAAAGGAGGAACTCGATCATCTTGTAATGACAAACAGTTTATCTAACCATTTGACCATTTCGTTATTGTTTCTGATTGTAGAAGTGTTTTGGTGTGGTGGATGCAGATTTATATAGCTCATTATCAGATTGAACATGGTAGCATTGGTTTGGAGGAAGAAGATTGGGTGCTTAAGGAGACCGAGAAGCATGATGGGATAGTTCTAAGTGAGGATTCTCTTGCGGAGAAAGAAGCTTCCATAAACCGTGTCAAGGTAAACTCTAATCAAAGCTTTAACTCTTGGGGGATTTGCTAAAAACATTGTTGAATCTAATGTTGTGAGGTTTTTTTGCCTCGTCATCAGTCTAAGGCCGTGGAATTGTATGAAGTAAAGAAGGACCTCGATGCGATTACATGGAAGATAAACCTCTTGGCTGAAAAAATGGGGAAGGGTCGGAACAAGATCAAGATTTTGGATGTAGAACTGGCACACATACTTGAGAAGAGGGACAGATCCTATGAAAGGATTAGGATGTTGAGGATACAACGAGACAAAGGGGTACAAATATTTGTCTTTATGTTACTTTTGCTTGTGGATGATCTCAAAGATTTTAATAACATTGGGTACTGCATCTTTTTCTTTGTGTAGAATGCCGCCTTTTTCGAGAGCCTTCCTGTTATGAGGAAAGCTAAAGAACTGGCTGCTTCTGGAAATGTTAGAGATCTTGAAGTGTTTGCCAACTCTGAGGTTTGTTTGTGTGTTTGGTCTAATCCAATGATTGAGTGATTCGGTATTTATTTCTGAGAATCATTTGTTCTTGATTCTGTCTTTTTATAGGTTGAAAGATTCATGACTCATTGGAATGATGACAAGGCTTTTAGGGATGATTACGTAAAAAGAATCTCGCTTTCACTTTGTGAAAGACAGCTGAACCAAGATGGCCGGATTAAAGATCCTGAAGTTAAGGTTGTTGGGGAAAAGCAAGTGCCGGTTAAGACTATGAAGGGAGGCGAGAAGGTTCACAAGACGAATAGAGAAGATTCCAGCTCCAACTCGTCTCAAGATGGAAGTGTAATTATAGATAAACCGAAACAAGAAACGAGGAAAAAGGCGATGGACTTCAACAGGTCGAGTGCTGAGGAGAGTGATGTTATAAATTTGGAATTCCCGGTCTATGAGAAACCAAAGAAGGAAGAAGAAGAGGTCGATGAAGAAACTTTGAAGGAGAGGAAAAGAGAAGAGCAGTTAGAGAAAGCTCGGTTAGCGATGGAAAGGAAGAGGAAGCTGCAAGAGAAAGCTGCTGCTAAAGCTGCTATAAGAGCTCAAAAGGAAGCTGAAAAGAAACTCAAGGCAATTATATTATCTGGTTTCCGTTTTTTCAATGTCTCATTAACACATCCATGTCATTTGTCTGTTTCTTAATTCTTTGTTTTGTTTTCAGGAGTGTGAGAAAAAGGCTAAGAAGAAAGCTGCAAATTCTTCTTCTCCTTCAGAATCAGACCAATCACAAGAAGTAATCAATGAGCTGGAAAAGGTTAGGACTTTAGCTGTTTTAGGGAAAGAGAAACACCAAAAGGAGAGATCATTGTTTCCAAAGCAGAGAAGTTTCAGGTACAAACACCGCGGAAGAGGAACCGAAGCTCTCCCTAAGGCAATCCTAAACCGTAGAAGGGCTCAAAAATATTGGGTTTGGGGACTTTCATCTGCTGCACTTGCTGTCGCACTCTTCCTTGTGGTTTTACTTCTACGGTAAACTGGGAAAGGAAAGAGACATTAAAAAGGTTTTGACTCTGCCTAATTGGAGAGATGGAGCAAGTGAAGGAAGAGCTGCTTCTGGACTTTCAAAGTTAGCTTTTAGTTTCATAAGCTTAGATGTTAGTTAATATGTTTCTGTCTCTTTGGAGAGTTGTCTGAAAAAAAAAAAAAAAAAAAGAGAAACATCCTAATTGTTAGTAAGAGCTTCTAAAACTCCATAGAGACTTCATGTTGTCTTTATGTGAACATTGTGGATTGAATCCACTTTATAGTTAGTCAAGATACTTGACTAACTATATACTTAGAAATTGCAAATAACATAAAGCTTCTTCCATCTTTTCTCTCTCGTTACATATTTCAGAAGCTAAATCTAGCTAGTTCCTACAAGATGGTACAAACAAAATCTAAACTTATTGATTGGTAAACAAATTCCAAGATTTAACATCCATGTGGTTTAAAGGGACCCTTTATCAAGGACCTAACGTCCTTAAAATCTAACTCTTCTTCAAGTCCACAGGTAAAGAATCCATTATATATGAACTTCCTTGAGGAATTTCAGACGTGTCACCAATGCTCTTTTGGTTCTACTCTCGTCAGTCTTCCTCTCTGCGTACGATAGTCTTGACCTCATGATGTTTCTGTGATCGTTTTTAAAATAGAAGTAGCTTGTGATCTCCAACAAGTTTCGTGTATGATGAGGCCAAACATTTAGCGTATTGTTTTTAAAATAGAAGTAGCTTGTGATCTCCAACAAGTTTCGTGTATGATGAGGCCAAACATTTAGCGTATTATCCACAATCACGATTCCACGCTCATCAGCTAAGACATGATCAAGTGTTTTTAAGTCAGGACTCTCTTTTCTGGTTATTACTCGATCCCCGAAATAGATTTTGTTTGGATCAAGCATCCTCACAACAGCTTGAGCGTAAGTCGAACCTCCCTTTGTGTAAGCAGTCATTGTAAAAAGCTTGTTGGCTTCTTTAAGGAACTCTTCAACAAAAGGTCGAAACTTAACTAATCTATCGTTATATTTTCGCAGATCTTTCCTTGAACCTGATTTCTCTTCTTTGATTAGATACTTTGATTAGATACTTCTCTGCGTTGGAAAGATTTAAAGTCTTCATGGAGTGGATTAGCGTGTGGTCCAAGTCAAGGACTAAGTGAAGCTTCTTGTGTCCGTAGACTGAGACTAGGGTTGTGAGTTGCTTTGTAAAGGATAATGCTTCGTGGCTTAGGCGTAAACCGGAGAAAAGATAATAGAATGCTCGACCTTCGACATAGCTTACCTTCGTTTTACAGGTGAAGCAGATTCCGTGACGAACGAACAAATGACTACAATTACTACTAGAAGAAGATGATGTCTCGTTCATCATCTCTGGATCGATCTTCCGAGTTCTCTTTTCAAAAAAAAAAAAAAAAGGAAAGACGAACGAGTTTTCTATGAATCAATGGTTTTCGATACTTGAGAAAGATTTGACAAAACAAAAGGGAAACTCAAATCTCGTAGAACTGATTATTAATTGGCAGTTTGGCACGCCAAAACCCTACTCGAGAAATCGAGGAACTTAAAATCAGTATTTATTGGAATGAAAAGAGGAAGGTTATGAAAAAAAAAGGGAATCGAGGATAAGATATCCCAAGATATTTATTTAACAACATTGGTAGAGAAACCCTCACATTTCTCAAAAAATATTTTTAAAACCCTATATTTATGTAAAGGTTTTAATTACTTACTTTACAAATACATATATAAAATCGGACGATCTTTTTTTGTTAACACAAACGACATTAGTTTTTAACCCTTTAAATATTGCAGTATTATTTCTTCATTGCTTTTACTATATCCTGCAAACAATGGGAACAAATAGATAAACTCACGTATGTACAATCTCTTTAAACTTCATAATAATCTGAAGAGTGAAAGAAATTCTTATACATAATTTACTGGAAGCAAACCCTTCCAAACAAGTTTATATGGGAACAATAAAGTCCAAAGAAGCAAACCTTTTTCAAAAACTAAAAATAAAAAATAAAATCCATAGCTAAAAGAAGAGATTGAGTCTTCTTGGGTCTACAAGTCAGGAATGAAGGAAAACTCTCACATCTCTCTTATAATTATCGTTTTCACTATAATGATGATTAAAGAAGTCGTGGTGAATTTTGAAGAGGAATCTCAGAGCATTCGCTAATGCTCCATCATCTACACTCTCGTCTTTTCTCTCTTCCGAGTAAGAGTTTGAATCCGAGAGTAGATTGTCATCATCTTTTGAAAATATCTTCAGAAAATACTTGAAAAGATTCTGGATCATGCCACCATCGAGGCTGTTCCTCTTTTTCGTTGCTTTGAAATATGAGTAAGTAGTGATCTGCAACAAGTTTGATCTGTTTTCGGGTGACCAAACGTCATATCTATCGTCGAGGATAATCACCTCACGTTCTCCGACCAAGACTTGATCAAGTGTCTTCTCCCAGATGACGTGTTTGCTAGGACTAATGATACGATTCCCAAAATAGAGTTGATGCGGATCAAGCAACTTGAGCACAAAATCAGCATACTCAGGAATACAAAGAGTGGTGACATGTAATATAAACAACTTATTAGCTTCACGCAAGAATTCGTGAACAAATGGACGCAACTTTATCAAAACATCGTGACGACGGATTCTGGTTTGCCACAGATCATCCCTCGAATTGACTTTTCCCTTAAGATACTTCTCCTTGTTAGAAAGACATGTAAAAGCTTGAGAGTCGAAAAATGTACCGTACAAACTGAGAACCAAGTGGAGCTTCTTCTTCTCTAAGGCGTTTTTTGAAACATGGCTCTTCAGAGAACCAACAAATTCATGGCTCAAGGATAAGCCATTGGCGAGATTATTGAAATGTTGAAAGTCATCATTAGATTGAGTCACACTCGATCTGCATTCACGGCAGATTCCTTCAACGACAATACGATGATTGCAAGACATTGGTTTTTAAAACCCTAATTGTTATCTTGTAGAACCCTAATTTTGGGATATCTCTAAGAGCTAAAAAAGGAACCATATATGGATATAAAAAATCATGTATTTAGCTTGCCGAAATTTTTGGATAAATCTTATCTTTTTTTTTTCTTTGTAACAACTTTATATGAATAAGGTAAGACAATTTAATTACTAGTTAGAGTCGGATTTGGTGAACCGACCCAAGGTTTTTAGATTTTCACTATTGGACCGGAATCATTACAAGTGAACCGAATTGCTACTGATTAAACCAACCTGAATTTGAAATGTTCAGCAAGTGCTAAGTTTCGGAATTCTCAAAAAAAAAAGAGATATTCAAGCCAGAAGAGATTAATGGAGACAAATGTCTGAAATCAAGTTGTCTGAAATTTAAGGAAAGCTTTTTTTCTACAAAGGGGTTGTTGTATTCATCGTTATATGGGTGAGGGATGTAACAAAAGTCTCACGTCTTTACATTGGCCATGAAAGAATCTTTGGTGAAGTGTCTTGAGGGAGTTGAGTGCATCCACCAGCACTCCATCATCATCTTCTCCTTCTTCTTCTTTTTCATTTCTCTTTTCCTCTGAAGAAGACTTGTTGAAGAAGTTGATGAATTTCGTGATGAATCCTTGTTGATACTCCATTCCTTTGAAATAATCATAACTCTTGATCAGAAGCAAGTTTCTATCATCATCCTTCTCCCACGTCTCAGACTTGCAATCAAGAATCACAACCCCTCTTTCTTCCGCCAAGACAAACTCAAGACTCTTCTTCTTCCTCTTCTCATCAGCGATTGTAATGAACCGACTAACTGGAAAGAATATTTTCAGCGGATCAAGCAACTTAATAAAACTGCGGACTTGCTTGGGGTCAGATTTGGTGTATGCATATATGGTAAAGAGCTCGTTTGCTTCACGGAGGAATTCCCGAGCGAAAGGACGTAACTTTACCAAAACACCATTTGAGTCTAGAAGCACGTGTTGCAAGTCAACAACCAAGTGAAGCTTCCTCTGTCCGTACCCGATTCCAAACCTCTGCCGTTTCATGGAAGCTATGTATTTGTAGCTGAGATGCGTACCTTGGGATATGTAATTGAAAAGCTCTCCATTGCTTTCGTCCACCTTACAACAGCACCTGCAACAGTATCCACGGTAAGAGATGGAATGATCACAATCGGGATCTTTGATCCTTGTGCAATTCTTTAGCCGACCCTTATACCAGTCTACGGCAGATTTGCATTCACAACAGAACCCGTTATGGACAATCCAATGAACACAAGGAGGAACAGACATGATGATCTAAAAACCCTAACTCGACTTAAGTCTGCTATTTATTTATCGCTGAGTAGACGAGGGTGTGTTATCATCAGGCCTGGTCCATATGATATATTGGGCCTATCTCATATTAAGCACAGGTTTTAAGCTTCATTTTTCGATTTCATTATCCTAATAATGATAGTTATGTTAAATAAGATATGCTCACCATTTTGAGATATCTCTATCTCGACAGGACAAGGGTTTTGTTGATATCTTTTGTTGATAATCCTTGTATGAGCTATATTGATTTGTATGTAACAGAAGGTGCTACCACTTTTGGTTTAACTTATGTATATCAGTACATGGCTATGGGGAAAAGACAACATATGGAGGAAGATACTGATCTTGTAGTGCAGGACTGTAGCGCCATAGAACAAGGCTAGTATTAGGTGATTTTCAATGATATCTCAGAAAAGAAACGAGATGCAAAAAGATTTGAATCGTCTTTTAGACTAGTTAGAGAAATGTTGGCTTGCATGATCTAAAATTTATAGGAGGGAAGTATACATTGGGTAGGAAAGAGATACCAATTCACAGTCACGTCCAGAATAGACAAAGCTATGGCTACAGCGGACTGGCAAGATTTGTGTTCACACGAGCTCATGTCAAGGTTCAGCAATGGATGTATGTACAGAGCAAAAGTAGATGGGAGGGATTTAAGGGATTCAAATATGATGACAGATGGCCCCATAATGAACAAGTAAAAGAGGTTATTTAGAGTACTCAGAGATCAGAAGTGATCATAGGAACATTTTCTACTGCTTTATCTTAAATGCAGAAGAAGTTTTGCACACTGGAAGCTTCAGAATAATCACAATACTTCCAAGCAGATTCAAGAACTCCAAAATCAGCTTCATGATCATGGTTATGACCCAATTCCCTGAGCTATACTATTGGTACATTGGTGCTATAAATCAGAAGCTTAAGTTAGCCTATATTTTTTAAGAAATATACTGGCAAATAGCATAATTCACTGACTTCAAACAGGGGACAAGAACACTCAATTTTTCATGCAAGCTACAAACACGGTTTATCAATCAAAGATGAACAAGGCAACAGTTTGAGTAAAGATCATTATATGCCTCCTCTGTCACTAATTTTGATGATGATATCTACAGAATAACAACCACTTGTAGAAGAATTTCCAAACAAAGTCTCACTAGTCTAATTACTTTTAATTTAAGAATCTGATGGTTGTAAACTGCAGTGCATCAAAAATGAAATCATATTGATCCAGATAGAAGCAGTAGAAAAATAAAACATACTGCAAGAGCTTAAACGCAGAAGAAGGTTTCACAACTGCAATGCAACAAGTTCACCAGATTTTATAGCCAAACAAGTTCCCTAACCTGGTCTTCATGTTCATGTGTGGGGAAGCAAAGCACAAGTGGTCACAGTGTCCGAAGACAGCTTTATTAAAGCTGTTAGCTAGCTTTTTATTAAACCAAATAACTATAGAGGTAAAAAAGAGAGTCAAAAAACTTGTTCATCAATTAGAAGCTGAACATATCAGAAGTATACATCAATCGTGTACTCAATCAATCAGCTACTCCTATAAGGCTATAACAGATCAAAATCCTATCATATACTCCTCATATCAGAACTCCCCTCATATACACATATCAAAAAAGTCCCATTATATACACCTACAACATATCAAAAAGTCCCACTGCTACTTGTCTTTTTTGGTAGTAACCATAGGAGTTGCTGGTTCGTCATCATCAGATGAACCATCCAATTCACAGAAAGAGAAGCGCCTAAGTTGTTTTCTGGCTTTCTTTGACCATATGAAAGAGATGATAACAATCATTCCAGCAAGTGTGGCTAACGCACCAATCAGTTTTAACCACCATATATCGCTTGGCACAATTAACCAACTTCCGGAAACAAAGGCCACAGCGAATGCTATCAATCCAACCCACATGAAGGTATGGCAAATCTTCAATGTGTTTCTCTGCACTTTCTGGCTTCGTGGTGTGACACCGCAAAGCAGACCAAGAGTTATTATGCAAACAGGAACCATGGTGTAAACCGCAAGCATGAAGATGAAGAAAGCTATCTCCTTTCCTAAGACTGCCTTTCCATCATTGTTAAGCCCTCCAGGTGGATTTAACCCTGTCTTACATCCTACTGTGGCCAGAAAGATCACCACCAAAGCAACTATATTTCTTGCACTTAAAAGGGCTTCTTTATAAACTGCATCAGTCTGCATTTGTTGATCTTCTCTATTTTGACCAGTCAAAGAGGCTATGTCAATAATTTGTTCTCCAGTCCTGCCTCTTATCGCTGCCGCATTACTCGTTTCTCCTATTTCACGACCATTAACCACTTCGATCCCTGTATCAGTTCTTTCTCCATCGTCAGCCACAACAACTTGTTTACCTTTCCGACGACGTTCAATCTCAGCCTTTTCCAAAGAATTTTTCGCCTACAAGTCAATCAAATTCAATCCTTAAAGATTCAAATTCAATCCCTGAAGATTCAAGTTCATCACTCATAGTCTCACCGTGAAATTGAATCGGTAAGGATACGCTAGTTGAAGAAGACTCGAACAACGTGCTGGTTTCAGAGAGTCTTGCCCAATTTTCACCTAAGTTTTTCCAAGAAAATGTCAAACTTTTCCGAGAAAATAAACAGAAAATCGAGAAATTGATGACAGATTCCATTCTTACTGCCATTTGTGCGTCTACCCGCGGAGAAGAAAGAGCGGGCTATTGGTTCTTGCAGAAGACCGAGAGAGCGCAAGTTTCAAGAATTTGAAATTGATTTGTTAATCCGAATAAAACTATAAATTGAATGATTTAATTATGGTTGCACAAGTAAAAATACAGTCAACGCTTTTTTTTTTTTTTTACAGTCAACAACACAGGCAAAGTTTTTCAAACTAATACTGTAATTGTTAAAAAGTAATTATTATTGTTTTAAATTTAAACAACCTTCTAAGTATGTATACAGTGTTAAGTACAAAAAGAAATTAACTTTCCATCTCAGAAGTCGGAACATGTAACATTGGGTTAAAACTAAAATTCATGATCGAATAATCCAGATATTAAAAATATATTTATATGTTAATGTAGTAGTATATTTATTATCTTATCATTAAAATGCTAATAAAGTGTTTTGCAAGTCTAAACCAAGATTGTAGAACAATTGAACAAGAGATTTTTGTTATGATCCACACGGTGATCAGACCTTCTAAGTTCTAATGCATCTGGATGCTCTGATCTGCTATGCTCTACGGTTCTATCTTCTCGTTGCTCTCATGCCTTTTTGTTTAGTGCATATAGTGGATATAGTGGATAAAAGCTATTTCTTGTCCCCTGATGAATTGGAATTTATATGATTCTTGTTTATTTTTAGGGGGAAATACTAAATTTTATTACATATTTGTTACTAATAAAACCAAACAAATATATGATTAACTTTTTTTTATAATAAGATTTGGATATACAGAATACGGATAATTTTTACTTTATATACAGTGAATTACTTTCGTCTTGATAGTGGTATAATTTTTGAGTTAAAATTCGCCACACCGTAATTGGTTAGTTTTAGTAAAAAATAAATATTTGGTAAAGAAGAATTTCAGCTAATCTTTAAAATAATCTAAAATCTGTATGAGCTACTACTAGTAAACCAAAAAAAAAATGTTATATAATTTTTTTGCAAATCAAGGAAATTAACAACAAGATTGAAGCATATACGTACTATATATTATTACTCCGACGACTAACGCTTGTGTGTTACAAACTACATATCACATATACATGAATCATTGCATAGATCATATATATACTGATAACTTATGCATATAAATCTTGTATACGTTGATTTCTCTGCTTATAAGTTATAAATTACCCCCCTTAACCCTCCAACTTTTTCATTTTAAAAATCAAGCGTACCCACAATATCCATATTCACATTTAACCCCGGATTTACACTTTTTGTTGCATTTACCACAATGCTTGGGGTTAAAGCCAACATAGGTGCAGATGCCTCCGCAACACCGTTGTCCGAATCTGCATTTGTGACCGCATCGTCCACAATTATTCATGTCTCCTAAGATATTCCGACAATGCTTCTTGCAACAGTACAACAAACTCGTCCCCTTGTCCGCCTTTACGCCGTTGCAAATGTTGTAACCTGCGACATGACATCTCATCCCTTTTCTGATCTTTTTGTAGTGGGAAACTAGAAGCCGGGTTTTGGATGATATTGTTAGATTCGAATGTATTGTAGGAGTTTCATCAAGAATGTAGAACTCTGGGTCTTCTTTGGTAACTTCTTCGGCTAAAACCGAATGAGTATTCACCGTTGCGATAATAAGACTATAGAGGATTAAGGAGATGAGGGGCATGAGTTTAATGAACGTACAAGGGATCTTAATGACCATTTTGCTAAAGTAAAGAGTCGATTAATTAGACAAAGAAAGTTTGGCTTTGGAACACAAAATAAGCAAAGGAAGAGTGGAGCATAAGGGAAGATGTCATGTGTATATATATTGGCATAAGAAGATTCATAAATTCTAGAATTGAAATATAATTTGTAAACTAAACTATATGTTTAGTTTTAATTCCTTAAAATTAGGCAAAAGCAAGTGATTGATGTCTAATTGTAACGGAAGGGAAAAAAGGGGATCAACTGCAATACCTTAACTTACAAGTCTCCTTTACCTATTATCATTATATCATTTCATCTTTTTTTAGTTGCCATATTGTGCAAAATTTTACTTTAATTTTGTTTGTTACACGTTTTCTCATCAGTTGTTTCTGTTAAATTTAATCATTTGTTGCGTTTGCTACTTTCTTTTGTAGATGAATTACAATTTTTTATTATGTTTTAATATAACAATAGTTTCGAAGATTAATCTAATGTTTTTCAGAGATTCCTCTATCTAGAAAGAAATAATAAGCATATATTTTTTTGGCAAAACTTGCCAATTAGTTTAGGAAACTGTCTTTAGGCTTCTGATTGAAGCATGGGCGGTCTAAATTATCGCATGGTACTTTCGCATTAAATGTATTCGTTAACCAATAGTGTCCACTGCTTTTCTTGAGATAGTATAAATTGTGGGGAAATAATTTGGTCACGAAATCAACTCCACCCTCCTACTAAAACCAAAATATCACATTTTGTTCCAAGTTAGTATTTTATATATTTCTTCTGTCGCTTAGACAATTTAGGACAGTTTACTGTTATTCTGAGAACTTGAGAAGTCATGCAGTTCATGAGTTGTTTCAAACCGAAACCTATGCAAACCTTGCACGTGTGGGGACGGTGGCTGTGCCACGAAACTCGGTAAGAGTCACATGTCCGTCACGCTTACTTGCAAAACTCGACTAAGACACTCTAATGGGTTCCCTCCAAGTGTCGTTTCCTTCTCACTTCAAGTGTTTGTGACAATCGCATCGCCACCGCACAAACTCATTACTTTACTTGGATCTTCCCGTTGACTATTAACCAACGTTTACCGTTGACCTCTGAGGAGCCTGTTGGAAATTCAGTTGAACGTACTGCCAATAATAGTTTCTTCAAATGTATATATACAACTTTTCATTATTATCAAATATATATATATATATATATATATATTATGTATTTATGTTCATTGATCTAAGACTATTACGCACATGATATCTTATAAGCCTATATAGTCTAATGCTATATAGCTTCATGTTCTCTGAAAGGTCAAGATATTCACACAAGAGACTAAATTGGGCCATATCGGCCCAAATTGACCCGGAAACAGTGTGTTCAATAAGACATAAGCTCGTACGTAACTAATTTAATGTTTGAGTAGATGCAAGATCGTTGTTTTGCTTTTCGTTTGTTAATATTTGAAATTTTAGTTAACGAATCTAGGCAGCTCGTGCGGAAAAGTCGACTGTGAATAAGGATTTTAACACGTTCTCGTTTGGCTTCTTTATTCATTACATTAATTAATCTTTTCCTTGTGGAAAAAGAAACCACTTCTATCGATTGTTTTTGAGTTCGCTGTACAGCGGAAAAGGTTGGTGGTTGACACATGTGTTGGGATCTTTTTTTTCGCTCTGAACGACGACAAACTTATTTTCATCAAACATCTATCATAAAAGAAGATCAGAATCATTTATATCGATAGGCAAACTCTTCTATCATTCTTTTGAGGCAGAATTTAGGTAGAACGGGAACATTTGGTTTGAATGAAGATAATTTAACCTAACTTGAAAATATATTGAATTTTACAGAATCTAACTTCTTAATGATTATGACAAGAAAGCCTCTGTTAGCCACTAATATAAGCATCATTAGCTTACCTTAAAAAGTTTAATTATTCTTTTTTTCAGTAATGGTGGGTGAATGGTTATTTTATAGTTAATCATATAAATGTAGTACGAATATATTCTTAAGCACATTACTAACCAAAAAAAAGTAAAAAGAAAGAAAGTGGGAAACCAACTATGGGTTAGGCAATTAACAAAAAAAACTATGTGGGTTAGGCGGTAAAGATTCATCATCTTCTTTAATTATTAATTAATTTACAGTTTGTTTCTTGCATTCATAGATAATACTAGTTAATAGAGCTCATCATCTTATTATTGCGATTGACTTTCAACACAGCTATGATAAAAATATGTTTTTTCCTACATTAACCAAGAATATATCATCAATATGATCTCCCCAAAAAAAATCTCTCTATTGCCATCGGCAATGCGCTAAATTCCAAATACTACATAATCGAATTAACTAGTTAATTAAGCAGCTTAAAAAGGAACAATTTTTGAGAAAATAAAATGAAGAGAAAAGAAGAAGAGCAATTTAATAATCACCAACGTAATTATTTTAACTACAGAATTAATTATGTGGATTAAAGAAGAGAGAAAAGTGTTTTTAGTTGTGCACAAAAAAAGGAACAAAATTTGGACTGATCAAACCAAATCAGTCTATCGCAACATGTGTACTTACACGAATTAAAGTGTAACCAAACACGACATATAATATGGTTCGTATAGAACAAATAAGTAATTAATTAGTCTAAATAATTGGACCGGCCAATCCGAAGTTAATTAGAGTTAGTAGAAGTAGACTAATAGGAGTATTTGCCCGTTCAACTAGCTAGGAGAAATAAACCAATATCAGAAGTACAAGTGTCTCAATAGTCAGACGACTTTTAATTTTAAAATTCATCATTAGGGTTTGCGGCTCAATACATGCACGCCTATATCGCATCTTTCTTTATCTAGTTTTCTTCGTTTCTTTAAAAAACCAGTCTAAATTGAAACTTGTACAAATGCTTTTTGTTAGTTTTAGGAGTATTGACTAAGACTTATTCTAATGAAAATGAATAAGAAAATTTCTGCAAATTTGTTTAACCAAAGTCTACTTTATATATGTGAACGAGTCATAATGACAGAAAATAAATCTAATCCAAATAATCCTACTATATATGTCTGTATATATAGGTTCAGATACACGTAGTTGCCATTATACGTATTCAAACTTCGACTAATTCATTATTTATTTATTCTATAGTATAATTCTACATTTTCGTGTGATTTATAAGTAGTGGAAGTTGGTACTTTCTGGATTTATCTACATGTTTTTTTTTTTTTATAGAAAGTATGTAATATCGCAAATATATATAGTCCACTAAGACAAAGAATTCGAAGTTTCTTTCTTTTATCATCATCACAAATGAAAATTTGATACGTCGATGTCACACACATCATATATATAAACACAATATAGCCCATGTGTACGAGTTTGATTGGTATTTAGAACATTTTCTGGATATGAAAAAGCTATAGGAGACCGAGATACGATAAATCTATATTTTTATATATGTATAGGTGTATGCATGCACATAAACTCATAAAAAGCAATTACTTTGATAATATATAACTTTAGCGGAGAAACGACTCAATGCTTTTTTTTTTTTGAAAAAAAGAAGCAATTATGTTATAATTTAAAAAACTAAAGTATCAATATAATTTGTTGTTCGATAAGTTTATCCAAGCATTCTCTGAATAGAGTGTAAATAAACTATAGAATTTCAATATTAGTAGAGTCCTAAATCCTAATAAAGACAAAATTCCATTCTTTCATAAGCAATTTTTTTTCCTTTATGCACTATGGCAGACAAATTCAAAGTAAGAAATTAAAAATTGCCTAATAAAAACATCTTTTGATTCCCTGGGCACAAATCCTTATGTCAACTTTTATTTGTCTGTATATTTTTTCATTTTAGTAGTTTTTTTTTCTCATAAAGAAAGATTCCAGATTAAATAAAATAACCAATCAAACTTCTTTTATAATCCCAAAACCTTAAGAGGAGACCTTCATTTTAATTTCATCTCCTTCTTCTCTTTCACTCAAACTCACACAGAATTTTCCAACTATTATTGATTTTAATGGAGTTTTAGAGGAAACCATTAAAATCAAGAAAGCTTCCAAAAGGATAAAACATCAATGGAGATTTCAACAAACCCACCATCATCTTCTTCATCATCTGCTTCATCTTCCATTATCAATGGATCTTTACATCATCACATCATAACTAGATCTGATCATTATCCAACAACTTTTGTTCAAGCAGACACTTCTTCTTTCAAACAAGTCGTTCAGATGCTAACCGGAAGCTCTTCCCCGAGATCTCCTGACTCGCCGCGTCCTCCGACGACTCCTTCCGGTAAGGGTAATTTCGTGATTCCACCGATCAAAACCGCACAACCGAAGAAACATTCTGGTAACAAACTTTACGAGAGGAGATCACACGGCGGATTTAACAACAACCTCAAGAACAGTCTCATGATTAACACACTCATGATCGGTGGTGGTGCCGGAAGTCCAAGATTCTCGCCGAGAAATCAGGAGATTTTGTCGCCTAGCTGTCTTGATTTTCCCAAGCTTGCACTTAACAGTCCCGTGACGCCGTTAAAGCAGGGAAACAACGGCGATCCTTTCGACAAGATGTCGCCATTATCGGAGGAAGAGAGAGCTATCGCTGACAAGGGTTATTACCTGCACCAGTCTCCGATTTCAACTCCGAGAGAATCGGAGCCGCAGCTTTTGCCTCTGTTCCCGGTGACTTCTCCGAGATTATCACCGGAGAAGTAAACTGAGAAACTGTTTATAAATTTTTACTGCGACTGTAATTTTCGTTTCTTTAACTTTGCTCTGCTTTTAATATATCTTTATCCCCTGTTTCGGCTTATTACTATTTACTTAAATAGTAAAATATGTTAATTAAGTTTTTAAATAAATAAAATGAGAGATCAAAGATAAGATTTACAACTTGTGATTAGATGAAAAAATTACACTACAATTTCAAAGAAAATACATTTACTAAAGAGCAAAGAGCATTGCATGGTTAAATTGAGTTACCGTTGAAGTTTGAACTAAAATATAGTAATAATAACGTGTAAGGTATTTGTCTTTTGCTAATTTTGTTTTCGTCAACAGAGGGATTTGTCTTTTGCAATTTGACTAGTTATTCTTTGCATCATCAACTTATAAAAGTTATCATTTCATGATTTTAATCATTATCTCTTAAATTTCTTCGTCATCGATGATAAGTTGATAACTTGACATAATTCTCTGTCGTTTTGCTTCTAAATTTCCCTAAAACTTTTGGTTAGTACTTGGTAGATAGAAGAAAGATATATATGAATTTTGATATTGATCCAATCAAACCAAACAACAAAGTACTAATGGTTTGTCTTGGTCCCTTGGACAACATTTCTTCTTGTAGCTTTACTGCTGATAATTACTTTTTAATCTAAAGTCTAAACCAATATATTTAAATTTGAAACAAAAGAAATTATAAAGAAAATTGATTAGATAACAACATGGTAACAACACCTTAATGATTTGTTGAAGCTAAACTTTAGTACATATCAAGATTACAACACAAGGTCGCTTATGCTGACCAGTAACGTCATATCTACCAAGAAACAAAGGGACAAAGAAAGGGTCCAGAAACGATCCACAAAGTATTCACTGTTCGTCTTAAGAGCTACAGATGTCTTCTTGTTTTTTTATTGCCTTTGGTATTTGCTTTCTTAGAGCCGAGGAGATAGCTTCTGTGTAGCTTTACGGTAATCATAAACTCCTACTCCTCGTTTTCTTCCGAATCTTCCAGCATCAACGTATTGAACAAGAAGAGGGCAAGGTGCGTACTTTGAGTCCCCAAGTCCCTCGTGCAGCACTTTCATTACAGACAAGCACACGTCTAGACCAATTAAGTCCGCCAACTCCAGAGGACCCATCGGGTGGTTTGTGCCATGTTTCATTCCACTGTCTATGTCTTCCTTTGTAGCTACCCCTGTGTAAAGTGTGTGGAAGGCTTCATTGATCATAGGCATAAGGATCCTGTTCACTACGAAGCCCGCATAGTCTTGTGAGCAGACTGTTGTCTTGCCAAACCTGAAGGTTTCAGGAATATACAGTTAAATTTAAATCTGCATTAGAGTAATTAAATCAGCGATTTAGTTAGTTAAACTGCTCAATCAAACCCAAGAAGGCTCTTCTAAGGATTTCCTATAATCAAATTGTTCTCGACCTTAAAAGAGATTTGTAATATGCGTTCAAGATTCTGATCCAAAGGTAACAGTTTTGATAGATAATGCATTTGATTTCATTCCAACATTTGATACTACGTTGAAAATATCACATACATGTAAACTTTATTTCAAGAAAATATCAAACCTTTCAGCCAGAGCTTTTGTAGCAATAAACGTCTCTTCTGAGGTATCTGCACCGCGAATGATCTCAACCAGTTTCATTATTGGAGGAGGGTTCATAAAGTGCATTCCAATGACCTATATACGAAGAAGAAACAATTAATAAGGTTCGAAATATTCACTATTCAGACCTGAAACTCATGAACAGAGACATAATCAATTTAAGCAGAGGAAGTAAAAGAGTCTTGAACCTGGCTTGGTCTTTTCGTTGCAGATGCAAGACGAGTAATGGAGATAGAACTTGTGTTAGAAGCTAAAATCGCAGAACTCTTGGCTATACCATCTAGATCCTTGAACAGTTTCTTCTTAATGTCTTCTGATTCCACAATGGCTTCAACAATGATATCAGCAGAACACAAATCTTCAAGATTCGATGTTAAACGTAGACGATGCATAGCATCATCACCAACTTCCTGCAACATACAACTCACTCTTGTGTTAATGAATCACCACAAGATTCGATTATTCTTTGCTCAGTTCAAATTTGCTTAAACGGTGATCTCTCAATTAGATGATTCGACAGATAAATAAATACCCAGTAAATTGAAAGAAAAATCTTGCCTTGGAGATTAGACCTTTGGAGACGAAACGTTTGACGGAGGAGGAGATAGCTGCGGTGGCTCGAGAGAGCGCATCTCGATCAGCGTCCATGAGCCAAACTTCGAGGCCACTCGTGGCGGCGAGTTGTGCGATTCCTGAACCCATCTGTCCAGCACCAATTACTCCGACACACTTCATCTCCGCCATTTTTCTATCTGCTTCTTCGAATCGCCGGCGATCGTGATCTCTCTGTAATTTCAGATTAGAGAGAGAACATTTTCAAGTTAGGCTTCAAAAAATGGGCCTTAACTAACTATAACGGGCCCAAATGGCTATAACGGGCCAAAATTTAGAAATGACACAATAATAAAGATTTCTTGGGAACCGTTTCGAGCACGTGTCGAGAAATGAGACATTAACTGAGAAACGTGTCGTACGTTTTGTCCACGTGTCGTTGGCCCGATACACCATCATTCCACTGACTTCCGCAACCTTCGGATCTTCGCTAACTAGTTCTTAAGCAACTGAGGGAAAATGGGAAAGCTACAGATTAAAAATTAATCAAGAAAACGAAAAGTAACAAATGGCGACTAGGTTTTTGGTGAAGAGACTCACGGCGGTGATTGTTTCAAGAACTCCAGGGGGAGAATTATCCGGTTATGTTTTACGACAAGCTACAACCGGTATCAACCGCTTCTCAACCGGATTTAAGCAAACGGAGGTATATCCAGGATTTGTAACATTTAGATAGATTATGAATTATTGCTCTTCCAATGTTTTTGGATAAGAATGTATCATTTTTCTCGTCGAAGTATTTATTTGGTATTACCGCTATTAAATTACGGATTTTATTTATAGGGCACTAGTCACGACGATAAGTCCACAACGAATTACGTGGCGGACAAGGCAAAGGAAGGGGTGAAGAAAGCGACAGACGCAGCCGTCAACGCAGGAGATAACGTGAAGGATGCGATGGACGGTGCATGGAAAGCGGCTAAGGAAACGGGTCAAAACATTAGTGATGCAGTTGCGGGCGATGATGACGACGGCAGGATTCAAGAGGATAAGGTCGCGGTGGAGTTGAAGGATGTTCAACAGCCTGTGGATACGACGGAGTATAGAGGCGTGGAGGATCTACATCAGCAAACCGGCGGCGAAGTTAAGTCACCCTAAGGTATTGTGATAGTGTTTCTATCCTTTTCTCATTGTTGTTTCAGTGAGAGCTAGGTTGCTTGTGCCTCATGGTTCAGAGGTTTATGAATGGACCGTGGCGTAGATCGCATTGCAATTTGTTTTTATAATTACTAGTTGAACTAAAGCAAAATAAACTACCACTCTGAACAATTTTCTAGATATTTGTTTTCTAAAATTTTATATGCACATACATTATCTCAAAAATATTTCCCAAATATTTTTCATCAAAGGATGATAAAAATATGATGTGATTGCATGCAAGAAATGATACGATAATTGTGTGTATAAATTGACAAATATCTACGGAGTTTGGTTTTGGGGTTGGGACTGAACACAGCTGGATCGCATAGATACAAATATCTATGTAAGGAATCTCACGTTGGCAAATATTTAAAGCTGGTCTCATTGACAATTCCCGTAAATGGAGGGACAAATTCTCTAGGCTTAAAATCGCTCTAACAGATCAGACACAAATCGTGTACTATTTACTAAAACTAGTAAATAGTAATTCAATTTCTTTTTCTAAAAACTAACAAAATGTTTATATCCACACACACAAAAAAATCAAACAATTGTAATACATAAAATAGAACTATCATTATTCCCGTTTGCTTTTCTTTCAATTTTTCTAATTTAAAAATATATTTTAGTTATAAAATCCATGATACTATCATATCTAGTTTTTGGCATCTATGACAAATAAACAGAACAAATGCTCTTCGGTTCTGTAGGGGACAAGTGGAACCGAAAACGAGAGGAGGCATCTCTGATATTTGGTGTTAGTAGTGGCTTAAGGATAGCTACGTGCGTTTTGTTTCCTTGCGTTAAGTGACAAATGCGAAGCTAGAAAAGTTCGCCATGAAGGGAATATGAGTGCATAAATATATTCTCCACTTCAGGGATTATACGATATCATCTCTTTTCTTTTTCTCTATAAGTTCGCGTTCCGAATCTGTTTCTTTTGTAAGGCTAAAACTTGAAATTGGCACCGAGCAGACGGAGACGAGCATTAACTTATCATATTCTACGGTTTGTTCACTCTGTTTTTTGTTAAATGGATTGTTCACTTCTTGCTTACACAAAAAATTACAAAACGAAAGTAATATCATTATCCTTAAACTATAGCATATTCTTTGAAATTTAGGGTGCTAAATGCTAAGAACAATTTAATTTTAAGGACCACCAACAATTGAAAATGAAGAAAAATCGAAGGGGAGATGAAAGAAAAAAGGAACAACATTTATTTATTCTGTTATTGTAAATAACAACCCCAAAGGCTTAGGTCATAGACTCAAGACATGAGTACAGTTTGGCATGTGAAACCTTTTATGTCCCGTCTCTTTCACTACCCACTAATTCTAACTATTTCCTCTTTCTTACACTGCCGTAATGTATAATAACAAAAAAAAAAAGTAAACAAAGTTTTTCACTGTTTAATATTTATTTCCCAGAAAGAAACAAGCTAAAGAGAAAATCACATAGCTGAAAAGGAAAAAAAAAAAAAAAGAGCAACATAGAAGTGTTGATGATTGCATCTTACAGAGGAAACGCCCATACTTGTGTGATTCTTTCTTTAGCTGGATGAATCTCAAAGACTCTTTACTTGTTTCAGTGACCAGTAAGACTTACGATGAAAGGAATCTGCACAGGTCTCTTCTCCTACCAAAGCAAAAACAAAACAAGGTTAAAAGTGAAGATTTTTTTTACTTTTATGGTTATTATTACTCTTTTGAGCAGCTAAACTTTAAACCTTAAACATCAAAGTTCTCTATCAAAAGAATATAGTTCCAAGTGTCTTTTGCATTGACCCTTTATAGCTAAAGTGAACTTATTGTTTACTTTCCATCTTTTAATCTCTGATTTTGCACTCCCACAAAATAGAATCTTTATAGGTAATACTGATAAATGCCTAAAAGAAAGAAAAAAAGTGTCAAGGCATCAACTAAATGCGTTGATATGCTATGGTCCAGAACAGACGATATTCATACTGCCAACATCATATGCCACAGACGAGCCAAGTTAAAACCAGATACAAACCAGCATGTCATAAAAAAAAAAAGGCAACGCGATGTTTAAACTGAACATAACCATTTTACCTCTAATCCTAAGCTAACCTTAAATGCCTATAGTCTAGATGGGTCCAACAATAGATGACCACTAGGGTTGCAGGAAGAGGAATCCAATAGTCTACATCGACAAAGGATGTCACCATTTATTAGGATCTTTGTCTGTTTCTAGAGATATATTATAAAGTTAGATGAGAAGACCATGCGTAAATTATGATATTCCAGCTCTTCTTCCCTGTACTATATGTCTACAGTTGCACTGGTCAATAAGGATCACCTTAATTACCTAGAAGGACATCAATGTTAAAAACAAAAGGGTCCCCAATTTGAATTAGAAATTCGAATTAAAAGTCAAACAGTAAACCCGGAAGTACAATATACAGCTTCAATCTTGTACCAACTATTAATTGCATCAGAAGAAACCAAAACCACAAAAGGCCTATGAATAGTTTATAAGAAATTTTTCACTTCTGTAATTCCAATCTAATGCCCTTTACTATATATCTTTTTTGGGGGAGCAGGCACATCACGTAATCATGTACTTATTCCACCAGAGAAGCATACAAGGACACAGTGGTCCATCTCCCGACTTTTCTTCTCCTTTTTAAACACTTCAAAAAACATTCATTCCATACCCCAAGCCCATCCCACAACATTGCTCATTCCTAACCAGAATTCCACCACCATCTTCTCAAGACTACAACTTAAAGCTTTACCAGAAAATGGAGGGTCAGAGAACACAACGGCGGGGTTACTTGAAAGAAAAGGCTACAGTCTCCAACCTTGTTGAAGAAGAAATGGAGAATGGCATGGATGGAGAAGAGGAGGATGGAGGAGACGAAGACAAAAGGAAGAGGATGATGGAAAGAGTTAGAGGTCCTAGCACTGACCGTATTCCATCGCGACTGTGCCAGGTCGATAGGTGCACTGCTAATTTGACTGAGGCCAAGCAGTATTACCGCAGACACAGAGTCTGTGAAGTTCATGCAAAGGCATCTGCTGCGACTGTTGCAGGCGTCAGGCAACGCTTTTGTCAACAATGCAGCAGGTATCTTTCTTTCCTTCGATTTTACTTTATACAAATTACAAAGTATCAAGAAGGGATTTGTTTTTCAATATGATTGGTTTGGGGGTTTTGAGCAGGTTTCATGAGCTACCAGAGTTTGATGAAGCTAAAAGAAGTTGCAGGAGGCGCTTAGCTGGACACAATGAGAGGAGGAGGAAGATTTCTGGTGACAGTTTTGGAGAAGGGTCAAGCAAGAGAGGGTTTAGCGGTCAACTGATCCAGACTCAAGAAAGAATCAGGGTAGACATGAAACTTCCTATGACCAACTCATCATTCAAGCGACCACAGATCAGATAAACCCTCCCGCTCTCTCTCTTCTGTCATCTACATATGCTCTATCTACACCCTTGTTATCCATGTAATGGCATCTAACCATGTCAAGAAAAGTTGGTGTATTGAATCCTACACGGATAACTATAAACCTCTAGTACCCTCTATGTTGTCCTGTAATAGATGTGTATCTGAAAATGTAAAAGACGTTGGCATAGTCTTTTGTCTAATAATGTTTAGTGATTTTGTATGTTTGAAGATATATGATTATTATGTGTTTTTCACTCTCGAATCTCGACTTTATTCCTTACCAAATGCCTAATTGAAGAGGCTTATAATACAGATTGAAGTAAGGTATAAGAATCTCCAAAAAGGAGAGAAGAAGACTGACCAAAAGCTAATGTCACTGAAATTTCACGACGACGACTGAGATATCGTCTGAGCTTTTCCTTGCAACAGCCTCCTCTGCAAGGTGCTCTGCTGCAGACTTCGCATCTTTTATTCCCTTAATCGAGTCAACGGCTTCTTGGTTTGACATGACCTATGAGATTTTGAATAATCAGCAACCATACAAGTAAGTTGTTGAAAATCGAAATTGATAGATCAAAACCTTCCACAGTCCATCACTTGCTAGGATAAGAAATTCTGCATCATCATCAATTGTCTCCACCGTGACATATGGTTCTGAACTCAAATGCATCTTTAAACTCTTATCACCAAATGCCCTTGCCACTGCCAGTTGACCATCAACTCGAGGAACATCCCCTGAATTGGTTGAATACAAACCAAATTTTAAGCACACGCAACAAAAATAATCAGATTTTCTTTGCAGAAATGTAATTAAATTAGATACCAGGAAAGTTAGAAACGAATCCGCCTCTGTTCTCGATTTCATCCTTCTCCATGTTCGGCTCATGATCAACTGAGAGTGGCTTCGCAACACCATTTTGGCAAATAACAGCTCGAGAGTCTCCAACATTCGCAACCACTAGCTTCTGGCAATTGATCAATATCGCAGTCACAGCAGTAGAACCTCCTTTCCCCAAATCAGTTGCCTTATCCAGAATCGTTTTATCCGTTATATAATAAGCTTTCTTTATCGCTTTCTCAGGCTCTTGCCAGAAATTCGGCTTCCTCATCAAAAAAGAAAAGAGAAGAAGAACATAAGTTCATATACTCAAATTATAAACCAACTTCCAGGCATTTTAGATAAAACTCCATTACCTCATTCAAGATGTTCTCAAACAAATGGGAGCACAAGTAGTCAGGAATCACGTGGCTAAGATGGCCATCGAAGATAGCAAACAGACCAAGCTCATTGTCATCAACTTCCTTGAATTTGGCAACCACGTAATCCTCCATCTCGTGAAACGCTTTCCCTTTCACCAAATGAAAACCATGTGTGATCTGCTTCGCCATCTTGCTCTTACCTTTCCCTGAATCTGCAGAAGAAGCAGATGCACCAAGCCCAACTTTCTCCTACACCAAAGACAACCACATAGAGTAGAAACTTCAAATTACAACAGAGACAGAGTCAACAGCCAGTGTTGAAACCCTAAAATCTAGTATCGTATCGGGATCTCAAACTCCAACAAAACATATCTGGATCTAACGTTACAGCTTCACATAGATTTTTCGCTACGTTCTACCCAATCCAATTTCGACCCGATCTACTCGAATTCACAGGCCAAATTCTCGAAACTATTGAATCGGAAGCGATTGTTGAAGTAACATGGAGTGAACAAAGAATCGATTACCTTGACGGATTCCTTCATCTTGTGGAGAATTTCTCTACCGGTCATGGCTCGAAGATGAAGACAGGATTATCTGTATAAGTGTGTGAAGAAGAGACGAAAATGCATACGAAATTAATCTTGAATCGCGAGCGTAAGAGAGAGAGAAGGAGAAGAAGAGAATGACACGAAAGCCACCGTTGCATGTCAGCTTCCACCGCCGCTTTCTTTGCGGCTATCACTGACGTCTTCGCGCCACCTATGACTTTTCCTTCCTTTTTTTATTATTGCAAACGAATGTTGATAAATGGGCCGTTACAAAGCCCAAACTATGATGGGCTTACTTCTAATACTCATATCTCTAATGTTAATTATAGGCAAAATAGCCACTAGATACTAAAAATTTAAAATATGATTAGCACTGAGATTAATGATGATAGGTGTTCCTTAGGGTATGGGTCCTAAAGAGTAAAGAGACACTAAATGTGGCCAATGGGAGACAAAAGCCATAGTGCGAGTTCTTTGTCTAAATTTTGTTGAATTGTGTGTTTAATTTCTCGTTATTTTAAAAACACTAGTATTAGATTTTATTAATCTCTGCAATTTTAAAATGTTTCTTGTTAGATTACCAACAAAGAATCTTTCCCCACTTTTGCTAATTGTCTAATAATAAGAGCAACATTATTGGTAGTCTCTTAATATTGGCTCTTAGAATATTTTAATTATTAATTTTGAAAATTTAAAACTTAAGAGTTTGGGTAAGAGTTGATATTTTTGGCATTGTCCAATGGTAGTATCTTAAGTTAGGGTTCTTAAAAAAAAATGTTTTGAAGTGATTTGGTTCATAAAAATTTGAAATGTTTTGGTTATTAAAATTTTTAAGTGTTTTGAAGTGTTTTGTTCATAAGTCTTGTGTTTTCGTTTAAAAAATGGTGTGTTTTGGTTAAGTATTTTGGTTATTATGTGTTTTGATTAAATTTATGTGTTTTGGTTTTTGTGTTTTGATTTTGTGGAGAAAAGATAGATATGGTTTTGGTTTTGTGGAGAAAAAAAGATATGGTTTTGTGATCATTTCTAATAAGGAGATTTGTTCCATGTTATAGTAAAACATAAAATGACGGCATTTTGTTCTCAATTAAGATCAAACACAAAAATACTTGCCTTACAAATGTGGAAACCTCTTCAAGTCTCTTTAGGTTTTCTGAGCTTAAACAGAAGACTCTCATTTCCAAAACAAGACGCAAACGAACAAAACCAAACCTTGAAAGACGAATTCAACTGCTAATTCTAGTTCAGGGAATAAGCATTAATATATCTCTATGAATGAAGTCATCACTGACAAATGATCAGGTACTGTGGCGTTCAAAAGCTCTGCCTTCTCCTTATTCAGCTGATTGTCTAGGTCTTTTGTCTTCTGCTTCAAGTCATGCTTAAATCCCATCAAGTGCTCTGTTACTGGCAAAGGCAAATATGTTAAACATTGAGAGTTTCGTGAAAGACAAAGTTTTATCTAGGAGTATCACAAGTGAACATGTATCTCTACAATTACCGTTTGGGAAGTGCATTGAAGCCATCAGAACTTTGCTTGTTTTCTGAGAAGCTCTTCAACAACTTGATTAATCACAAGATTGTTACTAACACATTCAAACTCAAAACCTCTTCTGGAACTTAATCTTCTTAGTGATTTTAGTCACCTAAGCTTGTGTCAGCCTGATCTTGTGATCATAACATCTAAAATGCTCACTTAACTCTTATGTGCCAATTGACTTGTCTGCAACTCTAGCCAAACTAAAATCACTATCTTTCCTTTTGGAAATTTCCTTGCATCTTTTCCAAACAGAGAATCCCATTACACACACCAAACAAATTTCCTCTCATACTCCATGAACACTCCCTATCATGTTCAGATCAAACCAAATCCAATTAGCAAATGTTAGTTGTGTATTGCATCATATCTCTGAGGTTCGTTTCCAAGCAAAATAAAAGAGACAAATGCAAATAGCAGAAACAAAACTCTGTACCATCTGTTTCACTTGTTCAATTCCTCCAGCTCCAAAAGTGTGTCCTCAAGGTAAAATCATAGCATCAGCCATCAAAGACCCTCTAAAATTGTGCAAAGAAAATCAAATTTAACAACAAAATAGGCTATAGATTAAACGCAAGCATGATCAATACCAATCCAATGGTTTCCAACTTAAAAAGTATCAATCTGATGATACAAAATTTCACCAGCTTCTTTGTTCATGCCGATGTCACCTTCATTTCCGTCTATGTCATCATCCTCGTCTTCTTCTTCCACGTCAACGTTATCTTCGCCGTCGGATCCACCACTGTCGTTAGGGTCTCCGATAATGGGTTCCTCCGAATAGAAATTCTGACGGAACTCTAGGTGAGGTGTGGATTAGCTGCGGCGGCTGCTGCTGCTGCCGCGAAATACCGGTGGTGGTCGCCGATAAAAGCAGCGAATTCACGGGTTTAAGGGTCTTTTTCACCGACCCGGAAACGTAACGGGTCAGCAACTTGGACAATCATCGGCGGTGCGTTGAAAGGCGCCGAAGATAGCACTTTTCCGGCCATGGAATGATGGAATCAAACGATCGCCCCCTCCGGTTTCTCTCTGTTTCTTGGTGAAATCGCGAAATGAGAGAGGAAAAAAAAACACTCACTTTGCCACGTGGACGCCTCTTAGTTCTGTTTTTGTCTCTTAACTAAGAGACGTTTTTTAGTTGCAAAGGTGACTTTGTATTTATTTTAATTAACCATTAAAGCTAAGAACTCACTAAGAGACTTGCGATAATCCTGCTCTAAGCTCATTTGATAAGTTTGTATAAAGCCATTGTTGCTTTTGCTTTAACCCAAAGCGTATCTTTGGGAAACTTGTGTCCCCTGCGTAAAACATGTGAGCTACATATAGCAGAGAAATTTATCGATTATAAATAGTTGTTCGACATAAAACAATGCAACTAGATAAGCTAAAGATTTTAATAAATATGGAAGATAATTAAGAAGATTAATTATTGTGTAAACTTTATATTATAAGATCAGTCTTTTATTAATTCGTGATCCGGTCGACCGTCGACATAATTAGACAAGATGATTACAAACACCATCAATTCACTTTGCCACGTGTAGTCAAAAGCTGAGCTGGCTTGACTTCTTCACCACTTCCGTACCCAATTTGCCACGTGTCTTCCTCTCTATTTAAACAAGTATACGACCACATAAATCAAACACACAAAATATGGAGAATCATCGAGAAACCACAAACTCCGACGAGCCGCCACCGGAGTTTGAGTTTGGATCGTTGACTCCAACTTCTCCGTCGCAAGACTCTTTCACTGAGAATTCTCCCGCCGACCACCTCTTCTTCAACGGCCGTCTCTTGCCACACGCTTTCCCGGCGGCGAGCAGTATTTATACAAAGCGGTCAATCTCGACTACGACCAGCGAATACACCTCCCGGAGCAATAGTACGAACAGCCGAAGTAGTTTTGGTAGTTATAGCAGCTCAACTTCTCAATCTCCGAGAACGAGCAGTTGCAACAGTAACAAGAACAACATCCCCATTAATCAAGAGCCACTGGATTTGAAGCCTCCAATTAGCAGATGTGGCAAAACCGTAAATACGACGAGCAACAGCTCGTACTCGTTGCCGAACAAGAGGAGGAAAGCGACGGAGATGGTGACAGCGTCTCTATACAGGTCGTATTCATCACAGCGGTGGCAATATATAACTCCGGTACCGGTGAAAATGAGTGGAGGGATAAGGGTCGGTGGCCGGAAGAAGAAGGCGGCGAGGGTTAGGAAGCAGACGGAGGAGAGAAGGGGAAGTAGGGTGATGAAGTTGTGGAGAAAACTTTTAATGGCGGCAATTTTTGCTTGTAGAGAGTGTCATGCATTGGAGGGAGCTTGAGTGAGACTTGTGATTTCTTTTTTTTGGTCAACAGTGAGACTTGTGAAATTGTGACGTGGTTAATGATAAGGAAAGTATTGATTGTTCAATACTGTAGACTGTAGTAAACAAAAACTCTATTGGGCTTGTGGGTTTTTCACATTTGTGTATCTAAATATTTTTCTTTGATTACTTGTAAACAAAACTATCTTTAAAAAACTTAAGTAAGTATCCTATCTTTAAACAAAACTATTCTAGTAGAATCTTGTAATTTACAACTTAAGTAACTATTAATGTAATCTCTTGAACTATGAAAACAAACAGATTTATGTATATTATATTTAAAATTACAATTGCGATAATTGGGAGAATTTCATTTTAAAATATTTTTCAACAAAAAAAAAATTGATTTAAAACCTCATACTTCTGCCGTTATGAAAAAAGGTCAAGAAAAGTTTTAGAAAGAAAAAGTAAATTGTTGAGAAAAAAAAAAAGAAGAGAGAGTAGAATGAAAAAAAAGAGAGAGTAGATTAACTAGGTTTAACACAAGTGATAAAACGATCGAAACAACAATCAAGAGGCATAGAAAAAGGACCAAACAACAAACAAGAACATACACGAAGTCATATCACTCCAAGAAACTCATGTTTCGGTGGTGACTATCAAGGCTCAAGAACTCGCTCGGATTCGCTTGACTCTCAGAGTTGCTCTGTTCCTGGCTCTGGTTCTGGTGGCTTTGGTGGTCTGTTTTGTCACCTAACCCCTCTGAATCAAACAGAAGCTTAGCATTGACATTGTTGGTCAACGCATTGAAGAATGATAGCCCTGTGGGCCATTTCACATCAGGGTCTTGTTCTTTGTTTGAGTGTGGCATTACTGGGAAAGGCATGTGAGGCTGGTAGGTAGGCAAAGAGGTTTGAGCCATCATTGGTCGTTGGCTCGTACCACTCCAGTTGTAGTGGGGAAGAGTGGGTTGCAATGGCTGAGTCTGTGGAGGGAGTATAGGATGGTTCGAGCCCATGAGCGATGTGTTTGAAGTTGAAGTGGTTCGATTTGAGGAGAATAGCTGAGAGAGGTAAAAGCCGGATTGGTAGCCGAGTGATTCAAACGTGTGCCTCATCCGAAGTACAAAGTGCAGATCTTCAGGTATCTGAGTAAAACCGGCCGGTTTAGAGAACATAACCGCAAAGATCCCAAGTAAGAACTTCAATTTACAGTAGAAGACTTGCAATCTTTTAACCATTAACCAAAATAGAAAGACTTACAATCTTGCAAGAACCGAGTTGTAAAAGGCCATGTCCGGCTTGAATAACAGCTATGGTCTGTAGGTACAATAAGAAAAGATTGCAAAGGTGACTTGAGAAACAAGAAAGTCAAGAACATTCCCACATATGATTAGTGTTCTTTATTTTACCTGAATCCCAGATTCGAATTGATCATTCCACTCTGAAGGAATCTGCATTTTCGAGAGATAGATCTTAGCCGGCTTACAAATTTGCAGATTAAAATCTTATTATACATAAATGTTTCATTGATACTATATACAAACTTACAGCATCGAATGAGCTTTGCCAGTAACTAGAGGCATTAGATTCAGATTCAGTTTGTTCCTTGAAAACCCATTTATGGCATTTGTCAGAAGCAACCTTCCCCATTAACCTGTTGGCCAGAAATGTATGTTGCAAAACCCAGAAAAAGGGAAGAAAAATAGTTTCTATTCTTGGCTAATTTGCAGTGACAATGTCATCAGGAGTTAAATATATCCATGCAGACAGATAATAAAAGTAATTAAGGACCTACCAAGTACCCACCCTTCGCCATAATTATATAACTGAATTGACATCTTGCTGAAAGATTTACGAACAGGATCTTCTCCTTCCATGTCTCCATAGCAACCTTCTGTTCCTCCTCTTCCTCTGCAGTATCCGTCTTCCCACATCAACATCCTGTAGCACCAAACATCAATTATATGTCAATACATAGCATGTATTATATTGTAATCTACTTATAAATCATTCATTTTTCGTTTAAATTTTGTGAAGAAGGAAACAATGGTTATTATACAAGATCATCTACAAGTGATGACTTGATGTTTTTTTCCCCAGCAGATCATGATTCATAACTTAAAAGAATGGTAGATACAGTCGGCAGTCGCATCGCATATATATATACAACTACGTACGTGATCATGATCATGTCTAGGATCTTCATTCAACATTTTTGTAATTATTTTGGATTTTCTTTTTGTTTTGTTAATTCAAGCCTAGATGAGTACTAATAATAATAGTCTGTCTTAACTAGTTTCTTTCCGGTGACTATAATACGATAAAAGTAAAACCATAGGGGAAAATGTTGACTTTTTAATCATATTTCGTAAAGACTAAACTATAGTAGGCTGTCTTGACTATATGGGTAACATGATTTTTTTTTTTTTTTGTAAAAAAATGTAACTTACAAGCTTCCATTGTCGTCGCCAACTTTGCAGCCGTTGCCACCGCCTCGAACTCTCCTGAAGAACAAAAAAAGACATCGTGTGACGAGAGAGAGAGATAAAGATTGAGAGAAAAAAGGGAGAAGGAGAAAGAGACGTACGGACGGGGACGGATGGACCAGAAGACAGAGTAAGTCCAGTCGGTGTTGAGACAAACGGTTCTTAGGGCCTCGTGGAGAGCCACCATCCCTAAAGCTTCTTTGCTCCTTTGTTGCTGCTGCTGATGGTTTTGATGATGATGATGATGATGATGTTCTGAGCCCACCATCTATATAAATATGTCGGTATGTGTGTTATATGTGTTTCTCTTCTAGCTTTTGCCTTCTAGTTTTTCTTTGCTGCCTTCCTTGCTCAGGCTTCTCATGGACTCTTTTATGTTCTAATTTTCTTTTATTTTCAATTTTTTTAAGACTAATTATCTGATTGCTAAACCCACATTTACTGTTTGTCTACACAATAATATGCTATTTTAGTTCTAATTACTTTGTTGGTAAAATCTAACAATCTTGTGGTAAGGATACGAATTTCTTGGGGTTTGGTATAGTTTAACAATAAGTAATATATAATTAATTATCAGAGAACCAATTGAACACAAGGTTAAAGTTTTTTGCATGTAAAAGTTTTTATCTCTTAGGCCAAGAAAGTCAAAGATACTTCAAAATCTTCCTGAAAAAATCATTTTGGTTCGCTTTATATTTGTTTTGATGGAATCCAATTACCAACCGTTGATTTCTTAAATAGTTAATATTGCTTTTCTGAAAGAGAAATAATCATATGGTTTCGAGTGGATAAACTGTTGTTGTTATGATTAAAGATACAATTACAGTGACATAATTAGTCACTCGACATTTTTCTTCACTAAAAAACACATTCTTTTAGTTTTAGTGTATATATAACTATAGTGATACCATTGAAACCATGAAATGTGAAAGTGATTTTTCTTCCTATAACTAAAGGAGAGCTACGAAATAATTTTAAAAATAAAAAGAAGGAAAAGGCTTTTATTTAGTTGTCGTCAAACTTGGGATTAGGTATAGGACCAAGATTCATATTACTACGGGTGTGACACGCACGCAGATTAAGGGGGCACGACAAAGAGAATATATAGGAAGAAGAGATTTAGGAGTCACGTGTGCACGTGCCGTGTGTAAGACTCGAGTGGCTTTGTCATCAACAATGACCCAGCGTCTGGTTTTGACCTCAAGGCGCGTATAAACTACGCATAGAAGCACAAAGACGAAACAGGAAGAAGAAACCAAATCGTGTGTATACATACACCAAAGGGTCGCGTGAGTTAGAAACTTTAAAAAAATTAGGACAGTAAACAGAGAGTTGGTCTCGTTGCATCAGTCTGAAACCCTGACGAGTCTTAGCTCCGCATTGACCGGCTCTGTTCTTTACTTACAATTTTTCTTTTGCGGGACCCACCGTTTAAGAATTTTTTTTTTTAATTTGTTGGCAAAGTCCTTGAATTTGTCAAATAAGAAGAGGACATGGACATGTAGTCATGGACCATGGATTCATATAGTGAGATTTTATAGAACATTTGTAAATGTTGGTTATATACTTATATCATCCAAGCTTTGCATAATTATGATATTCAAACTTTCTTAAATGAGAAGGTTTATATTATCTTTTACATATTCTTACTTTTGTGAGTTTGTATATGTCCTTGAAGTATTCGTATCCTTTTGATGTAGTTAAAAAAAAAAAGAATCAAAGAGCGGTGATCCCATAAAATAAAGAGAAACTCGAAGGGATAATTAAATTGTCTTGTAATGAAAAATGAAAAATATGTGATTAAGGTAGTAATTGATGCAAAGGAACTATGGTTGGTTTTTGACTTCCTAATACATGGGCCGTTAAATGAGCTTTAAAGCTTATTGGGTTTCAGTGCTTTTAACTTGGGTTGGTTTGTTCTTCTTAACTGGATCGTAACGAATGGTTTCCATTTTTTTTTTTTTTAAAACTTGGAAGGAAAAACAAAATGAAAAAATATTGGAAAATCTGGCAACAGTTTCTCTCGATCTCTTGGTGCTCTCTTTCGAGAGAGCTTTCTGGGGAAATGATATAGCAAACAAAAGGAAAGAGCAACAAAGAGATCTGTAGTAGTATCCCATTCGTCTTCTTTGTCGAATTACCAGGTAAATTTGGATCGATCCCTTTGAACTTTTTAGAGAATTTGATTATTGTAATCGAGGATTATTTTCGTTAAGTATGATTTTGATCGAACATCAGTAACGAGATGTTTCAAATAGCGTTGTATGTTGCTATTCACTATCTTAGAGTGACGAATTTTTTTGTCTAGTTGCAAATTCTTCTTGGTCAGCTCAGCTGTCACTTCCTCTAATCCGCCAAACAGCCAGATTTTTGCTGATTTTGTAGGTCATCGATATATTACAATTCTCCTTCTCTTTTGTTGTTTGCTTTGAGTAAAAGGGATTTTCCACATTGCGATTATAATCAGATTTAATTCAAGTTTGCATCTTGCTTACTATAGTGGTTGAAGTGGGAGCTGAGAAGGTGTTTTTCCTTGTATGTTGAGATGGACGATGTTGCCGGTTTACGAGAGGCAGCTGGAGCCAGATTTACCCACATTGAGTTGATTGGAAGAGGTTCTTTTGGTGATGTCTATAAAGCGTAAGTATCTATTACACTCTCAATTTTAGTTTCATCATGCTAATATTTTACACCGTAGTACTAGATGCCTAGACGGTGAGCACTAAGCTGAGTCATCGTGCTGATATTATATGCTAGAAAATAGTAAAAGGTTGCATCAGTTGGAAAAAATTGGAATCGAGACGAAAATGTTTGGCACTTATCTGTTATTTTGTGTGTAAAGACTGTTTAATAACTATTGAGTCTATCTTTTCTGTATTTTGAACAACTACTGCTGCTGCTTATCAGGTTTGATAAGGACCTCAATAAAGAAGTTGCCATTAAAGTAATCGACCTGGAAGAATCGTGAGTACATTTCCTATTTTGTTTTTTTTTCTCGTCATTTATGCAATTCTCTTCTTATGATTTTGGATGAAATAACGTTTGTTGTCTTATAAGTTGAGTAACTACATATATGATTATATGAATGATTAAGGACAGTAACCTTTCATTGGCTTTCACTATACTAATAGCATGTTTGGTTGAGAATACCATCATGCTCAGTAATTTTCTAACTAATCTTTTTACTTGACATCTGGCAGAGAAGATGAGATCGAAGATATTCAGAAGGTATCTCTTATTGACGTTAATTTCTGTGCTTTATATTTGTGTGTAGCGATTGTCATGCTCACTTTTTGTTGTTTACCCCAGGAAATTTCAGTATTGTCACAATGCCGTTGCCCATATATCACCGAATACTATGGTTCTTACCTTCATCAGACCAAGTTGTGGATCATCATGGAATATATGGCTGGTGGCTCTGTTGCTGATCTTGTATGTCAACTCACTACTTTGTAGCTCAGAACTCTTGGAATTTGGAAGTATAATTTTGTGTGTGGTGATGCATGCACGTTGGAGATCTTGTCTAATACTTATATTCTCTTTGACGCAACTTATAATCCTTAAAAGTGATATATCTTTTGCAGCTTCAATCTAGTAATCCGTTGGATGAAACATCAATCGCTTGTATCACACGCGATCTGCTTCAAGCTGTTGAATATCTGCATAATGAGGGAAAGATCCACAGAGACATCAAAGGTTTGTGTGCGTTAATAGAATTATTTTGTTTTATGGGTTTTATGTGATGAAATATGTTTTAACGGCTTGGTACATAAAATCGCTTTCTTCCTTTTTTGCAGCTGCTAATATTTTGTTGACCGAGAATGGCGATGTTAAGGTTTATTTTTTTTTACTTTTATTAGACAGTAAAGTCATCAATATCTTCTATATCGAGTATTAGTTGCACAAGCTTCATCCTCAACATCATTTTCACTCTGTATCAGGTGGCGGACTTTGGTGTGTCTGCTCAGCTAACGCGGACAATATCAAGAAGGAAGGTGCTTACTCTATTATGCCAATGATCACTGTTGATTTTAGTTCTTGTTATTGGTTCATTTTCTGTTGTGAAATATATCTTTTATATCCCCATAATAAGTGTGGAGGGCTGGTAATGAAGTTTCTGGCCTCTTTGTTTAGATTATGCTGCTTGAATCGTGAGGTCTATTGATTTTTTACTAGGTTAAATATCCTACGGACTAGGCTACACTTGAATAGTCCAACACACTAGTAATTTTCAGCCTTATCTACAGCCTTATATAGGAGAATCCTGTGAATGTTTCAGCTATGGGGTAATTTATATGCTAGAATCGATCTTCTGAAAGATTGCCATGACTAAAAGATAATCTTATCAATTTAAAAAACATCTGATCTTTAATTCTCTGCTGATGGTTTACAACTTTCACTCATTCATCTGGGTTGCGTGCGCTGATATGTTAAAGAATGACAGACTTTTGTAGGAACCCCATTTTGGATGGCACCAGAAGTGATTCAAAACTCAGAAGGGTATAATGAGAAGGTATCTCGCCTATATACTGAGCTTCGCCTCTCCTAGCTTGACATGTCTTATGTGTTTGTAGAGTCTGCACTTGTTTCCTTAGCATATCTAATATTTTTTGCATTCTGTTTCTGTTGCTGGGATTGTTGTCATTTTAGGCAGATATTTGGTCGCTCGGAATAACAGTTATTGAGATGGCAAAAGGAGAACCTCCCCTAGCTGACCTTCATCCCATGAGAGTGCTTTTTATCATTCCTCGAGAAAATCCACCTCAGGTTTCACATAATTTCATTTTAAACATGATAAAGTTATGCTGCTCGTCAGTGTGCTTTGCCTCAGCGGAATTCAACCACTGCCTTTTCTTGATTGTGAAGTTAACCTTTAATGTGTAACATTCTTTCTTTTCTGGCAGTTAGATGAGCATTTTTCCCGTCCAGTAAAGGAATTTGTTTCATTATGCTTGAAGAAGGCCCCTGCTGAGGTACTTGCAATGCAATCCTTGTAATCTTTGCTTTTTTACTGGCAGCAGTGGCATTTCAAGATTTCTTATTCAAATCTTATACTTTCAGAGACCAAGTGCCAAAGAACTTATTAAACACAGATTTATTAAGAATGCTAGGAAAAGTCCGAAACTTCTTGAGAGGATAAGGTTTGATACGTTTTCTCTTCAATAGCTTTGGCATGTGATTTCAATTATGACTTTCCTGATTCAATTGTATGTCAAAAGTAACATTTAGATGGTTTTCCCGTATGT